TACAACTACCCTACCCCCCCCCCTACTGATCACACAAGTTCCCCCCAAAGAAAATCCAACCTTCTTGATGCAGCGCTCTCCTTTTCCCTTGTTGATGGTCTTCACAGAGCAGTGCTGTTGTTTTGCCAACGCCTTACTGTCGTGTTGCTCGAGCATCTTCCGTACAGCTTTGGGTTGACACCTCCCACCGCCAAACTACTCTCTCTCTCTCTCTCTTTAAATTCCGTTCTTTCTCTTGCTGCTACTGTCAACAAACGCCTTCATATTTCCGCCATGGTTCTCATTATTCATGTCTTTTCAAAAGAAACTTCAGCTTCCCGCTGCCGTCGTTGTCGCTGTCTGTGTGTGCGTGTATGTGTGTGGGGGCATCTCAAGCCACACTAGTGAACGAGTCGCACAGCAGGCAGACCGCTTGGGAGGAAAAGGCGAAAGGGATATATTTATATAAGTAGTTTTGCTTAGTGAGGCACGAAAGGACAAGCAAAGAGCACAGGATGATGCGCCGCTCTAGTGTGCGGTGCCACCGCACAGGCAAGGCGCGCGCCTTTGTCATGCACGACCCATCTCTGAAGCTGCTGCGGGCCGGCAGTGGCTTCCAGCCGCTCAAGCGCATGGGCATGCCCTCGCAAAACACCTTGGGCTACCGACAGGTGGACGACTTCTACGCAAATAATCAGTACCAGCACGCCTGGCCGCTGCTGTCACACGACGACCTTGGCAACAGCGACCAGTCGAACCAGACGAAGAACATCCTGTACTCCATGTACATGCCGAAGCGCAACAAAGGCACTGCGCCGTGGTTCCGCGGTGCCGACACGTACTCCGTGAAGTACTGCGAACAGGGCCGCTACGAGTACCAGCGCTACCTGATGATCAACCGCTTCCCCAGCGAGTACAAGAAGCACTTTCTGCGTTTCCTGGGCAACATCCGCGGCGGCGGCGCACCCAACGCGATCCCGCAGGAGACGCTACACTGGCTGCTCCGCATGATCGTCGACAACTTCAACCCACAGCACGTGCACTACATCGCGGCGATGCGGACCCTCCAAGACGCAGGGGAGCTGGACATGGCGCGTGATGTGTGGAAGATTATGGAGCGGCAGCAGACCTGGCCGGACACGGCAACGTTGATTGCCTACTTAGACGTCTGCGTGGAGGCGGGCGAGAAGACGTGGGCCGCGGAGGCGTGGAACCGCTACTGCACGGAGCTGCGCTTCCTCCAGGACGGCGACGTCGACCCGAAGCCGATCACCCGCACGCCCTTCTCGCTGACCCGGGAGGAGCTGCTGTACCTTCCTAAGTGGAAGAAGCACTTCGACCACGACCCGAACCTCGACGTGCCCGACCTGAACCGCTTCAATCGCACGCGTGAAATATATCTGCGCATGGCGAAGGTGATGCTGGCAGGCGATGACGTGCCCATGTTCGAGCACTTCTTTGCGAAGCTAGAGGCGGCGATGCTGACGACGCCGACGCCGGTGCCGGAGCCGCCGAACCCGCACCTGCTGCGGCGACCGCGCTGGGCCCCGTACGAACACCAGAAGTCACTTCACGCCTCGCCGTGGCGCATGGAAGACAACGGCCGAGTCATGGCCCTCGGCCCCTCGCACACCGCCGAAGACGAAATGCAGTCGCGCTTCTTCAGCAATCCGCAGTTCCTCGTGCACGCCGTAAAGGAAGTCATCGGCGTGGTGCTGCGGCGGCACATGGCGATGCATCCGGAGGCAACGGACGGGCAGACCGCCGCGCCGGCGTTCTTTGAGCTGACGCCGACGGCGCAGGAAACGCTCGCGCTGTGTGACGGCCTTGTCCAGCGATTAGTGGATCGCCTAGAGACGAAGCTCGGCAATATGGACACCTCCGCGCTGCTCTCCACCTGCCTGTGTGTGCGCCGTGTCGTGTGCAAGCAGTCCGGCCAGGCACTCGCCGACTACGCAGATCAGTTCCTTTCCAAGAAGGCAACGCTGAGCCACGACGGCGCGAAGGAGTCGCTGACGGCGCCGAATTACTACCAAATTCTCGCAGCGTACGCCGATGCGAGCGCCTACTCCTACAACGCCAAGGCGCGGCAGTACACGTACGCCCCGGCTTTTCGGCCCATCGAGGTGGTGCAGCAGCTGAGCCGCACGCTGACGGAAATCACGGCGAACCCGCACGTAGCGTGGTCGGCCGAGATGCACCTGCAGGTGATCCGCACCCTCGTCGGCTGCGGCACCATGAAAGCAAACGCCTACTTCGTGGACAACGTGCTGCGGCAGTTCCGGTGGGACAGTCGCTTTCTCGAGGCCCTCTACGCCGAGTACCGCCGCCAGGACAGCGTCGACATGTGGGCCGAGCTGACGAAGCGAGCGCTGATCTGGACGGCTCGCTACAACGTCATCGCGTCGGAGCGGCTGAAGCGGCTAATCGAGGACGACTACGACGTCATTCACGTGCAGACCCGCTCCTTCCGCGAGCTGGCCGTGTTCCAGTTCCGTGACGTGGAGGAGAAGCGGCACGCCCGCAACGTGGTGAATGAACTGCCGAACCCGTGGATCGACTACGTCACACACGCGCTGCCCTTCCCCGACCGCGACGCCGGCTACCCGGATGAGTACGGCGACATTGGTCAGTGGCGTGCCCCGGGAGGTCCGGGATCTCCGGTGAAGGGCCCGGGATACTACGCACCGCCGATGGAGGGAGAGCACATGCGGGGCTACACGGCGGAGTGGCGTGATTTGAAGAACCCGATGAAGCCGCCCGCCTTCCCGGAGCCGTGGGACCGCAAGTACAAGCAGTACGCGCGTGGTCAGCACCCATCGTACGACATGGTGTACGCGGGCCCGATGCCGGAGATCTTTCCTGGTCGCCGCGACTTCCGCAAGCCGACGCGGTGGGACTACCACGACGTGGAGAAGCAAGGCAAATTCAAGATCAGCGGTCCTTACTAAACCAGCGTGTTTATGGTTGGGGTTGATGTTGTGGGTGCTGGAGTACTATTCTGTTTCCATTCAAGGGACTCTCTCTCTCTCTCTCGATCTCCCACCTTCGCTGATGCCCTGTTGGGCGGAGGGAGATACCTCAGGCGGTTGTCTTCGGGAGGCTTGGATCAACAACGAGCGCGCTGACGGACTTGTTATGGAATTGTCGCTGATGTGATCGTGCGATGGTCTTCGAAGACGATGGTGGTGGTGGTGGTGGAGGAACGAATGTTAAAGCTCACAGTGCTGGGCTTTTTCTTTCGCTTTTTTCTCACCCTTGTTGTGCGAATCACAATTTTAAAGGGAAAAAGAAGCTGGGCAAACTCACCGCATCGGACGGTGTCGCTGAGAAGTTTTGAGGAGGGAATCATCTTGGAAGTGTCCGCGCGGTGGACAAGAAGCCTTCCTTCCTTCCTTCGCGTTGGGATGCAGCGGCTGCAAGCACAGATGTGCACGGAATCACTCTGCATCGAAATGAAATCTCGTGCAATGAGGGCTAACGGAACGAAAGACTCAGAGTTATTGTTAGGATTGCCATGTAAAGACAAACTGGCGGCAAACGAAGTCTGCCGCAATCACCCACCGTAAATATCCCCCTTCTATGTATGTGTCTCTCTCTCTTTCTCTTATATATCTCTACAGCATCATCGTTGCATCCACTGCCCACTCGCGGAAGAACTGAACTTCGTACAACACGGTGGTCGACATCCATCTAAACCCCAACAGGTAATCCTCGTTTGTTGTCTTGCTCTCGCTACTGGTTTCACTACCACAACCGTGAACCAAGGGAATAACGACGGTGTAATACGTACTGTTGCCAATCATGTGTGCCGCGGCGGCCCCCTCCTCCCTCGTCAAGTACGAGACTCCCATTCTGCTGTCGGATGCCCAGCATAAGAAGGCACTGCAGGCGAAGCGCGCTGCCGGGGCCGAGAACATGAACGGCGGCAAAAAGCGCCAGCAGCAGCAGCCTCAATCCGAGGACGTCCTCTTCAGCATTTTACCGCCGCGTGAGTTTGAGAAAAACGGGCAGAGGTGGGTGCAGTACCCCTCGAGCACCCCCGCCACCCGACTCGATGTGATCCGTCTGCAGGAGGAGCTAGACACCTTGCTCGTAGAACGGCAGGCCCGCGAAACAGGCGTGTGCCCCATTCGCGAAGAGCTGTACGGGCAGGTGTTCGATGAGCTGATCAGACAGGTGACCATCAGCTGTGCAGAGCGGGGGCTGCTCCTGCTTCGCGTGCGGGACGAGATTCGCATGACGTTGGACGCCTACCGGTCGCTTTACGAAAGCAGCATTGCTTTTGGGATGCGCAAGGCCCTGCATGCGGAACAGTCCCACGTAGAACTCGAGGCGCGTGTGCGTGCGTTGGAGCGCGAAAAGGCGGACCTGCAGCGGCAGGTGGAGGAGTTGGAGGAGGAGTGTGCGCAGATTGAGAAGAACGACGAGCTGAGGCGGAAGGAGGAGGAGAAGAAGCACGAGGAGGAAGTTGCCTTCTTTCGTCGCACCTATCAGACCTTGACAGCGAACCTGCAGACGGTGGTGAACCCAACAAAGGCGTAGGCTAATCTGCGCCGCGGTGCTCGGCTGCCCTCTACCTCTCTCTCTCTCGCTCTCTATGTGTTGTGTGAGGGCCGAATTTGTGAAGGCGATTGTTTTTACCTTCTCCCATCGATGTTAATTACCCCTTGTTTACAGTTGATTTTGGCATGTACACCTGGCTTTGTTCCACTTCTACATAAGGTATAAGAAGCAAGAGATAGAGATGTGAGCCGCGACCACTACTGAGGAAGCGGGGGAAGACAAAACACAGCCATCTGTGCGCGCGTCTGTGTGTGTACGTGTACTTGTGTGGTGAGGTGAAAGACTTCGTTACACAGGAAAGGAAGTACGAGTACGGTATGGTATCAGCCGCCCCTCCGCTTCCTCCTCTCGTACCACTGCTAACACGGTGCCACGCAGCAAAACATGCACACCGTTGAGCCATTCGTACTTTAAAGAGGGTCGCAGCTTCGGCTCTCTGCGTCGGCGTCCTCCTCCTGTACTGCACAGCTTTATTTCCCAGCACTCTTTCTTTCTGCGCAGTCCCTTCCACCTTCCCCCGGCCCCTCCCCCCTCCTCTGCATCGTTCGTTGCCCTTCCCTTCTTTTAACGTTGATCCTCCGCCTGCGAAAACAACGCTGCACACCACTACCACGCTCGCCGCAGAACTCTTCCCGCCTCACCTCGCCATTTCCAGCAACCGTCTCCCTTTGTCCTTTTCTTTCCCCTTTACCTAACCCACTAAAGCAAGCATGTCCGCCAAGCCGCAGCCCGTCGCCGCCGCCAACTGGAAGTGCAACGGCAGCCGCGCCTCCATCGAGAAGCTGCTGGAGTGCTTCAACGGCCAGGAGATCACGCACGACGTGCAGTGCGTGGTGGCGCCCACCTTCGTGCACCTCCCGATCGTGCAGGCGAAGCTGAGCCACCCCAAGTACGTCATCAGCGCCCAGAACGCCATCTCCAAGAGCGGCGCCTTCACGGGTGAGGTGTCGATGCCGATCCTGAAGGACATGGGCATCAACTGGCTCATCATCGGCCACTCGGAGCGCCGCACGTACTACGGCGAGACGAACGAGATCGTGGCGCAGAAGGTGGCGGACGCCGTGAAGCAGGGCTTCATGGTGATTGCGTGCATCGGCGAGACGCTGCAGCAGCGCGAGGCGAACCAGACGGCGAAGGTGGTGCTGACGCAGACGGCCGCGATTGCGAAGATGGTGCCGAAGGAGGCGTGGGCCAACATCGTGCTGGCGTACGAGCCCGTGTGGGCCATCGGCACCGGCAAGGTCGCCACCCCTGAGCAGGCGCAGGAGGTTCACGCGATGCTGCGCCAGTGGGTGACGGAGAAGATCGGTGCGGATGTGGCTGCCAAGCTGCGCATCCTGTACGGCGGCTCCGTGAACGCGGCCAACGCGAAGGTGCTGTACGCGAAGCAGGACATCAACGGCTTCCTCGTCGGCGGTGCGTCCCTCAAGCCGGGGTTCCGCGACATCGTCAGCGCCACGCAGTAGGCGTCTAGAAGACTTCAACAGGGATCACCCCTCATCAAAATGTCTTGCTTCTTTCATTTCTATTATTTCTGACTAGTAAGTATTTTCTCTTCCTTTTTCTTCTACATATACATCACGGATACGGAGCTGCAGTGGCGCGCGGTGCCTACAAACTGGCGGGTGGCGCGTGCCACGCATACGCGGAGCACAGGCTCGCCGGTTGGTCGTGGGGTGGACACAGAACTCACACGAATCTGTGACCGCCTCCCGACAGGCACGGCCTACGACTTTGTGTCGGACCCACGTGTGAGACGATGGGCAAACGGCAGTGCTAGGGTGCACGTAGGTCTCTTGGACACGGTTTGCAGCAAGACTCAATAACGCTGATCCTTAAAAAGCTCGAGTGCGCGTTCTTACAAAATACTTGAAGGTTTGAGGGGAAACTGAGTGGCGCGTCCTGTGGCGTGCACTCCGTTGCTGAGCTTTTGCACGTGGTGTATCCGCTTTGATCAAAGCGGGAAGAGCTTCGATGTTCAGTGGTGGTGCTCACGTGGAAGCAACGTACACAGCTGGGAAGTCAACAGATGGCGCCGCCAGCGACCTCAATCTAAACAAAGAAAGCTGAGTTAATGGTTGCTCTCCTGCAACCTCGGCTTAGGTTCGGCATACGTGCCCAGCAGCATCAAGCAAATAGCCGTTTCCCCACTGCATCTGTTGCCCCTCTCTTTCCCTACCTCCTCCATTCGCCTCGTTCGTTGCCCTTCCCTTCTTTTAACGTTGATCCTCCGCCTGCGAAAACAACGCTGCACACCACTACCACGCTCGCCGCAGAACTCTTCCCGCCTCACCTCGCCATTTCCAGCAACCGTCTCCCTTTGTCCTTTTCTTTCCCCTTTACCTAACCCACTAAAGCAAGCATGTCCGCCAAGCCGCAGCCCGTCGCCGCCGCCAACTGGAAGTGCAACGGCAGCCGCGCCTCCATCGAGAAGCTGCTGGAGTGCTTCAACGGCCAGGAGATCACGCACGACGTGCAGTGCGTGGTGGCGCCCACCTTCGTGCACCTCCCGATCGTGCAGGCGAAGCTGAGCCACCCCAAGTACGTCATCAGCGCCCAGAACGCCATCTCCAAGAGCGGCGCCTTCACGGGTGAGGTGTCGATGCCGATCCTGAAGGACATGGGCATCAACTGGCTCATCATCGGCCACTCGGAGCGCCGCACGTACTACGGCGAGACGAACGAGATCGTGGCGCAGAAGGTGGCGGACGCCGTGAAGCAGGGCTTCATGGTGATTGCGTGCATCGGCGAGACGCTGCAGCAGCGCGAGGCGAACCAGACGGCGAAGGTGGTGCTGACGCAGACGGCCGCGATTGCGAAGATGGTGCCGAAGGAGGCGTGGGCCAACATCGTGCTGGCGTACGAGCCCGTGTGGGCCATCGGCACCGGCAAGGTCGCCACCCCTGAGCAGGCGCAGGAGGTTCACGCGATGCTGCGCCAGTGGGTGACGGAGAAGATCGGTGCGGATGTGGCTGCCAAGCTGCGCATCCTGTACGGCGGCTCCGTGAACGCGGCCAACGCGAAGGTGCTGTACGCGAAGCAGGACATCAACGGCTTCCTCGTCGGCGGTGCGTCCCTCAAGCCGGGGTTCCGCGACATCGTCAGCGCCACGCAGTAAGTGTTCAACGGACATTAACAAGAAATCTAGCGGAGAGGAGATGAGGTGTGTGCTTGCTTGTGTAGATGGCTCAGCGATGCTCATCACAGGGAATCCTTACTTTTGTTTCTCTCTGACCGTGGGTTTTGTGGATCAGCCCGAAACGTAGCACCCCCTCGTTTCGTTTCTCTCCCCTAGAATTATTTTTGTTCTCTTCTGTGCCCGTGGTCTTTGGGGGGCTGTGAGAGGTTCTCTGAACCTCCGCAGCAGCAGCAGCAACGACGGCAAAAGGGTCGTCTCCTCTGCTGGGACGGTAAGCTAAGCACGGTCAAAGTGGCAGCGGAGCTCGTCTTCCGTTACTTTTCTTCTTTTCTATGGTTGGCGTGTGGAGGGTTGTGAGAGCACTGCAAGCAGCGAAAAGGAAAACCTCTACAGTTTTTTTTTAGCATTTTGGAGGCGACGGGTGTTGAACCGGCGCTGCCTCTCCAGCGTATGTCTCAGGTATCTCTCTCGGTTCTTTGTACTTGTCGAGCTCTGTCCTCGTGTCCATTCCGCGATGGGTGAAGGTGACTCTTTCCGCGTGTGCTTCTTACGGTGTCCCACGTGCGCGTACGTGGCATTCCACTTTGATCCCCAGCTCTCAAAATCAAAACAAAAAGATAATGCTTTCATTTTTTCCTTTCTTGTATTTGTTATTTCTATTATAACCGTCGGTATCTCCAGTCGAAAGCTCTAGTGTTTAAAGGTGCACAACATACAAAATACTATTTATATAATCGGGCGAAAAAATCATTTTCTCCCGCTGTCTCGTTCTTGTGTTCTCTTTCCCTTGTTCTCCTTCTCTTCTTCTTCGGGAACGTCTCTGACGTTTTTTCCTTAGCGAACATGTTGAGCAACACGAGTGAAGGCAAACACCCCAGAGAAAAATCGTTGTTTTTGTATTTTTTAGAAGCTGCCGCGTTCCAGCAGTTTGGCAAATAGAAGTGGTGAGCAGCCGCACGCACATGTTGCCTTGCCAGCGCAGCCGTATGACAACGCGAACAGCACACGTGCACCAACGGATAACTACCCTAATAATGCCTGTAGCTTGGTTGATGCACGGAAGGCATCACCTGCTTGGTTTTTTCCTCTTACTTATTCTTTGTTTTTGTAAACCGCATAGGGAAGTTGACATGCGTCCTCTCTTCTCTTCACCTCTACTTTTTTCCTATCCTTCTCTTTAATCTCGTGTTGTGGTTTTCATTTCTTTTTCTGGTGATATACGCTGCAGATTTCCACATTAACAGAAGGCAGCGCGGTGCATCGCTCACAACCCCTTTTTTGCTCACTTCTACTGGGGCTTCTTTTTCTTTTTTACGTTTAACTCTGCGTGTCCGTTGCGCATCCTCACTCACGCAAATGCCGTCCGCTATCTCCATGACGCGCAAGCACCTGTTGCGCAGCTGCGGTCTCCGCTTCGGCTGTGTGCGTCGCCACGCTGTGCTCCTGAGTCGCCGAAGTACGTGTGCGCTGCGATCGACACCGCTCACCGCCTGTGCCGCGTCATCCTCCGCGTTCGCCCTCGTCACGGTCCACCGTTACTACCACTGGCCCTACCCCGACAACTTCGTACCGGACGGCGCTACCACCTCCGCTTTTCAATCCAGCCCGGTCCCCAGCGTGAGGGAGCGCATTGTGCGGGAGTACGCGCTGAGTCCCCTCTTTGGCCGGCGCACCCCGTGCTGTGTGCTGGGCTTCGCCGATGCCGCCTCGACCTTGGTAGAGTCGAAAAGCGAGCTGAGACGCTGGATTGCGCAGGCGTTCGGAAAAGCGGAGGCGGAGGTGGAGCTGGGTCCGCTGTGCCAAACAAAGGAGATGATGCTGCACCGCAGTGGCACGTACGAGTCGCCGCGGCTGGCGGACGGGGCGTGGAGCCGCCCCGATGCGGAGCAGCGACGTCTGGCTCGCTACGCGCGTCTGCCGGTACAGGCCCGAACTTTGGTGGAGGTGTACCTTCCCGGTGAGGAAGCACAGGGCGGAAATGCAGACTACAGTAGTAGCAACGGTGGTGCGGAGCAAGAGGCGAATACAGCTGGAGAGGACGCTGACCTCAGTGATGGTGCGGCGGAGGCCGAGGCTGCCATCCTCGCGCACGGGTGGTTTTTGCAGGAGCAGCTGTACAAGTACATGTCTTTCCGTAATGAAGCGAAGAAGCACGATCAGCAGCAGCACGAAGCGCAGGGGGCAAAGGACGAAGTAGAGGTGAGCATCGCAGCTCTCCATGACGAACTCGGTGTCATTTACTGTGAGGTGCCACCGCTGGATGAGAGCGGGTTTTTGTTTGATCAGCTGCACGGGAAGGAGATAGACGCGGACGTGGCGGAGAGGGTGGTGAATCGCTGGACACGGCGTGCTGCGCAGCAGCAGCAGCAGCAGCAGCAGCGGGAAGAGCAGGAGCAAAAGAAGCCTTCAGCCTAGGTGTATCTCACGAGCTTCTTGCGATGCGGAAGGAGGAGAGGGAAGGCAACAGGGTGAAACGGACCTGCGAGCTTCTTTACGAAGGCGCGCAGCACGGAGGTGTGTCGACACTCCGCGGTTGCCGTTTTCTCCTTCGTGTTGGTGTTGCTATGTGTGTCATCGTCACAGATCGTTTTTGGGGGGGAGAAGTGTAACGCACCGTAACACGGACGTAAAAGGGAAAGAATGCAGTCGTTGAACTGGCCAAACAAGCGTGCAGGAGTGTGCAGGAGTGTGCATGTGTGTGTGTGTGCCCCCACCATGGGTTATTCTTTTCCATGGGAAACTGTCCAAGGAGAAAGCAAGAGGGGAATTGCGCGACGATGCTTTTTCAAGGCACTCGCTAGAGCTGCAAACTCCAAGTCCTGAGATAAATATTTGTGAAGGTGAACGCGGAAGAATTTGCGTGCTGGCGCGCAGAGCCTTAATTCTGACTACATGTTCGCTCTCTCCTCCCGTTTTGCTCTCTCGTCAATTAGTGTATATATATTATTTTAGAACAAGGAAATTTGAATTTGTTGGTCTTCCGCAGCAACAACGTGATAAACAACGACGATAGGCATCTGCGTATTTGTTGTTGCTGTTTTTATATAGTTATCGATGACGTCGCCCCCACACATAATGCGACAGGCGTGTCTGCTTGTCCTCCTCACGTGTGTGCTGGTTCTTCTCACCAGCCACACCGGCGTCGACGCCTTTCGATTCACCCTCGTCCCAGGAAAAGTGAAGTGCTTCACCAACGATCAGCCCGAAGGCGGCCGCTACGAAATTCGCTATCGTATGATGCGCAGCCTCACGCCCTTCGTCTCCGTCGCGGTGACCTCGCGTGGGGGTCGTGTACTGATGGAGCACGAGGTGGCCAAGGCGGACGCGAAGGAGATAGTGACGCTGAACAAGAACGGGCTCATGTCCATTTGCTTCCACACGGCGGAGAAGGCGGCCGTGGCGGCGGTGTCGATGAACGTGTCGCTGAACATTGTCGATGCCGAGGATGCGGAGCTGACGCGCATGAAGCGGCAGCGCTACAGCACGAGCAGTCCGATTGCACTCGGGGCAGGGAAAGGGAGCGGGGCACTGCAGCAGATGCAGTACATCTTCAACACGATGATGGCGACACGCATGTCGTTTGTAGCCTTGACAAAGGCAGACGAGGATATCCAGTTCTCTCTCCGCGAGGCGGAGCGCTTTTCGTGGATCTTCGTCTACGTCTTTGTCGGCATCGGCGCCATCATCACGTTCGTCTCCTTTATGCGCCTGCGCTCCTTCATGAAGAAGAAAAAGATGCTCTAATGAAACTGTGTGTGTGTTTTTTTTTTTAGGTATCGAAACGACGGTGAGTGATTTCATGTGTAAAAAAGAAACCGCCGTTATTATCTTGTTTTCTCATTATGCGTAGAGCCTCCGAGTTTTGCGGCGTTGCTTACTGCATTGCTTTTTGCTTCTTCGCGACGTGGTGTGATCTTGATTGCTTTGGATTTCTTCTTGAATATGCTGTTCCACCATTCCTTGTGGCGTGTGTGTCTGCTCTGTTGGACCAGGCGTCTGCGCGATGTATAATGCGGAGAAGTATGAGGTTCGAAAGATACAACACGCTGTACTCATTGTTGCGGAACCCCTGTACGGTGGTTGTCGCCGTTGCTTCCCCTGACTCGCGCAGTCCTTTCAGAGGCGCAGCCTTGGGAGGTCTACCGCACGGGACTCCTCCAAACGCACGGACGGAACATTTACCGTGTCCATTATTCGTGGGCAACAGTAGACTTGATTCTATTATTATGTTTGTTTGTTTTTTTAGAAGCAATACAGCGCCTTTGTAACGACCATGTCGCCGCCCCCGCCCCCTCCCCCCTCCAGATTCCTCCTGGACGTATCGCCATCTCGTTTTGGGGGGCCTCTCTTTCTTCTTCCATGCGTAACCTTCTTCTCTTTCAATGCACACACACACACACACGCGCCGCTGCTTTGTGAACTAGAAAACCTATCGAAATAAACAGGGAAAAGGATCGAGTCTGTGCTTGTTGACAGACTCGCGACGCCTTGCGCCACGGTCATCACAAAACTGCCGTGCAAAGCTGCCTCTCTGTAGCCACACCCCACTTCTTCTTACCTTCGGAAGATAATTTCTGCCGCTGCTCGCATGAACGCGTGGTGGATCGTTCTGATCGTCGTAGCGGGCGTCGCCGTCTTGTACTTCGGCATCGGCATCGCGGTCCGCTACCACAGCGGCCTGCACCACTGCCCGGAGGTGCTGCCAAACTACCGCTTCTGGTGTGGCATGCTGTCTTGCCTCGCGTGTATCGCCACGTGCGGGCGGCGGCGAATTACATTTGATCGTGGCAATCACACGAATGGCGTGTCGATACTGCCGAGTCGTCCCGGTGCGGCGGCGTCAGCGCGTGGGGTGCAGTTCGAGCTGCTAGCGAGTGACGCGGACGAAGATTATGATATCAATAGGGCCATGCAACCGGCTGAGGTGATAGTGAAATACTAGGCGGAACATGTGCGACGGATTCCTCCTCGTCGTCGTCGTCTTTTTTTGTTGCTTCTACTGAGTCGTAACTGCCTCCTACCTTGCCCAGCGAGCCTTGGAAGACGACAAGAACCGTCACTCGGTCATTCCTCTTCTTCCTTTTTCATCTTTAGTTTTTTAGCTCTCGCGCAGCTATCGAGGAAGCGCACACACACACACACACACACGATCTGTAAGCGCAGCATTTCGCGTTGCTTGTTGAACTTTCCCACCTCGAACCCCCGGTGCTTTCTTCTCCTTTTACAATCCTCCTTCAGCTCTTCTCTTGTTGACACCTCTGATGCCGGCTTCCGTTATAAACTGTTTTTTTTTCTTTTGGTGAAGTCAATGTTGTCCTCTCTGCCCTAATTCATCTACTATACATATATATATATACTCGCTTTTAGCCGCAAGCTAGCGAAAAATGATAATGAAAATAATAAGCGCGTATGAGGCACCCTTCGCTCTCTCTCATACATACTATTACGGTTTGGCAAGGGGAAAAGGCGTACACACACACACACGCACACGTGCTAGCAACGATGGGTGCGTCATATGAAAGGGAAAGAAGAAAAGAAAGAGGAGGAGAAGCCCCTCCATTGTGCGCACTCGCAGGCCTGCGTATGCGGCGACTCAATCTGGTCCACCAAAAAAGTGGCTTTCGTCCCTTCTCCGGGTGCTTTTCTCTTCTCTTCTTTTGCCAGCGCCTCACAGGGCTGATTTCGCAGTTGTGCTCTCGCAACGCAAGAGCAAAAGTCCTTCTCTTACATTCTTTCCTTGCCTTCTATCTTCCGACAACAACAAAAACTAATTCCTTTGCCTACTGCAGTTGTTGCCGCTGTATTGAAAGCGGCGCATCGTTTTGTGCGTGTGTGTGTGTGTGTGTGTGTTTTGGATTGCTATTGTTTTTTGACAACCCCAAAGCGCTCCGCTTCTACGCGCTCCCTTGATTTTTTGTTTCTCCTACGGCCGGGTACCTTCAGCTTGAGATAGAATTAAAGCACTCAATTCGAACAGCACTTCATTCCTCTGTAGCATTCATGTAAGCGGATCTCTGCTCTGCTCTGCGCTTGACGCTTCCTCTAGATATTGCGTCCATAGAACAATACACCAAACGGTATCTACCAAACATAGAGTATACCTTCTTCGTTAACAATTTTTTGAGCTTGCCTTTCTCTCATTGGCAGTATTAATACGTCCCTCATAGACCGTAAAATGCCTCCAAAGGAAAAGCTTGTGGGAGGTGCAACGGCCGCCCACGCTGCGCCGACGTCTTCCTCTCCCGTTGAGAGTCATCTCCACAGTAGCACGGAAGCTGGGCTTCTTTTCTGGTTGAAGGCGGCAACAGAAGAGCCCGCTTCACCGACCACCGAGGATGCTCCAGCGACAGAGCCCGTGCCGCCGCAAGACGTCCAGCGTACCCTTTCCGACTCCGTCCCCTCTGCGGCGCATAAGTCGCCTCCGACAGAGGTCCATGCACGCCCCAATGAGACGGCCGTTGCATCAACGAACGCCCTGCCTTCACCGTCCTCTCGCGCACGACGACGTTTCGTTGTCTACGATGTAATGCCCCTCTTCGGTTCCCTCTTAGCCGGTCAGCTCGGCCCCGTCGTTGTGGATGTCCAACTGCAAGGACATACGAGGCTCCTGCAACACCCACAGCAGTTTGAGGCCACCCTGAGGGGCTACGAGAAACAAAGCACAGGGCCGCTGACGGAGGCGCTGGGCAACGTGCAGCCCTTCTTCCTCGTGTGCAACAGCGTGGCGGGCAACACGGGGGTCGCCCCAACCGACGCTGCCACCGCCGCTGCAGCTGGACCACCATCTCCTTCATCCTCCGCTGCGTTGCCGCCAGCGCCGGTGCTGTACACCATGGACCCGTCGAACCACTACCCAGTGGTGCCCCTGCTCGCGCAGCTGCTGCACTCCCCCAGCGTGGCGAAGGTTCTCCTGCACAGCCGACTGCTCTATCGGCTTCTCTTTCTCTTTCTCGGCACCGATCGCGTCGATATTCAGCGGGTGGTCGACCTGACAACCTGGTCGGAGCTGGGCCGACAGCTGCGCCCCTCGCTCGCCGCAATGCATCCGATACCGGTGGACGGCGTGGTGGAACTGGCAGACGTGCAGTCGTCGCTGCCCCATGAGGTGCGGCAGCTGTTAGAGGAAGAGACAGGTACGATGACCCAGCAGCGTAGGCCGTTGCGGCGGGGCTCGCCACACGTGGATGACGACGGCAGCGCTAATGCGGCGGATGCAGCATTGACAGAGGATGACAGCGAGGACGAGTCGGTCGCCTCTTCGGCTTATGAGGACCGCAGTGAACGCAACAGCAGCAGCACCACAAGCGGCGACGACAGCGAAGAGGACGGAAACGACGGCATCCCCGAAGAAGCGCACAGCAACTCAGATGCGGAAGGAAAGGCACACAACCACAGCGATAAGGAAGGCGAAGCCAGCGGCGAGGACGCGGTGGCGCTGCTGCACACCATCGTGCCCATCCCTCAACAGCCTCTTTTCTCTTCTGATGCCGCCGTCACGGGTGGCGGTGGTGCAAAGCGGCCACGACAAAAACCACTCAACGGGCACCATCGTCGTCAAGGCCGGCAGAGGCGTCGCCACCGCCTCGGCGGCTGTTCGACGGACGCAGCCGCGTTGGCGAGTGTGTATGGTGGGCTAAAGTGTCTAGCGTTGTTTTATGCGGAGGTACTCAGCGCGTACTTCGACAATGTGACGGGTGCAGCAGTGCCGTCTGTGCAAGCGAATGCGACCTCTGCCGCCTCTTCCTCCTCGTCCCCCGCCCCCTCGCTGCCCAGCCCGGCAGTGCGCTGCCGGCTCTCCCCGTCGGAGTGGTGTGTCCAGCGCACCTACGCCGCGTTTATGTGTGAGGCCATGACGTACCACGGCGTATTTGTCAACGATGCGGTGTTTCATGGCATGAACGCGATGTTGAATGCACAGCTGCAAGCCATCGAAGATCTGGCGGAGGGAGTGTTGGCGGCTTTCCTGGATCGGACGAGCAGCGGCAGTGCTGATCGGCGGACCGCGGCAACGACGTGCATGACCGCTGAGCACCTTCATCGGTGCATCGCAGGCGGCCCAGCAGCGACGTTGTTAACGGTGCATCCAAAGTTGGACGCTTCGCTGCTCCGCGCCCTTGCAGAAGAATCGGCTGTGCAGCAAGACGCCGAAGTTGCGACGCAGCTGCGGCTGGCGTGTCAGCTCGTCTGCATCTGGGTCGCCTTTCAAGAGCGCACTGAGGTGAAGCAGCGGATCACAGATATGTTCGGCAAGGTGGCCGACCGTGTGCAGGCTCGCGTGCTGGAGCACTCACAGGATGCCCCGTCGGGGGCTAACCACCTTCAGACACCGTCGTCGTGGTGTGAGATGTGCTTCTCGGTGCACCCCACCTGGACCTTGCACAACTCCTCCACCGGGCGCATTTTCTCGACCCTACCCAACGTGCAGAACCTCAGCAAGCAGCCGCAACTCACCACGTTTCCGGTGCAGGCGCTGCGTGCCACACCGGCCCACGGCAGCGAAACGTCTCCTCCTCCCCCCGGTGCCGCTGGTGTACCCTCGGTCGAGGACGTGCAGCGTTGGGCTCACCTCGCTGCCGTCGACACCCACGCCTCCGCTCTTCTGCTGCCCGAGCAGCCGCACTGGACACTGCGTCACCTCTACCGCGCCCCACCGGGCTGCGTGCTTGTTTCCTTCGACTTCAATCAACTGGAGCTGCGCGTCTTGGCCCAGCTCAGCGGTGATACAACTCTGCAGCAGCATCTTTCTTCGGATGTGGACGTCCTGACTCTCACGACGGCCAGCCTGCTGCGGCTGCCGACGGTGGATCGGGTTCAGCCGCACCAGCGTCAGGCGGTGAAGGTGGTTGTGTACGGGCTGCTGTACGGCATGGGGCCAAAGGCGATGGAGGAGCGAATTGGCAAACTCCCGCAAGAGTCGTCTAGCGACGCACGGGGGAATGCCAGTGGTGGTGGTGACGCTCACACGAATGGAGATACCACCGGCAGCGTCAGCCCCCTCACCGCACAGCAGCTCATTGCTCGCTTTCATCAGGTGTACCCGCGCATTGAGAGCTACCTGCGCGAGACGCGTCAAGACGGCCTGCACCTCTTCTCTGTTGACACCCTCTCTGGTCGTAAGTCGCTCACGTCCGCGACAGACGCGAATCGACGGAAGCAGCGGGCCGTGGCGCAGGCGATCCAGGGCGGTGCAGCGGACATCGTGCTGTGCGCCATGCGTGCGGTGCATCAACAGCGGCACTCTCTTCTACCCTACCTTCCCGCGGCGCCGTTTGCCTTGGTGATGACGATTCACGATGAGCTGATCTATGCGGTGCCTCGTGTGGCGGTAGACGAAGTGGCACCCACGGTGAAGCGCATTCTGGAAGATCAGGCGCGTGTGCTGCGGCTGGCGGTCCCGCTGCCGGTTTCCGTGCGTGTAGGCACGAACTTTGGCGCCTTGGAGGGGTATCACATGGACTAGAAAAAGGAAAGTCATCAGCGTACGTGAAGGGGGGGGGGGGCGACGCTGAGGATTTCTACACGATGGCAGATCAGTTAGAATGGTGTGCCTTCTCACCACCACCACCGCTCTCCGCAGCCTTTTTTCTTTCATGCTCTTCTCTCTTTTCATTGTGTACCTGTACGTGCGTTTCTCTGCCTCTGTTTTCCTCACCGAGGCGGGCAGAGGAAGAGGGAGGCGAATGCCGCTGTCAACTCCGTGTGCGTTTCTTTTCCTCTTCTTCTTCCTTTTTGCTTCGGTGTATCACCACGACATACATAGACATGCATTAGCTTCCGTAAAAAAGAGAAGCGCAAAACCCCTCTTCTCATGCGTGAGTCGCGTCAAGCGGGGAGAAACCCACTACTTGTACAGGACGCGGTGTGTTGCACGCGCCGTGCAAAGTGCCAATTTTTGAATAAACCTTTTTGTTCTCTCCCTTTACGTACAGTTCTCTCTCCGGGGCGGGGCCCGATTGGGTGGAGGTTTCCGCCTCGCATGCCTTTTGTTGGCCGAACGTCTTTCTTTCGTTTAACTCCTCTCTTCTCTTTAAAACACGTATTTATTTTGGGGCGAAAGTGCTGTACACACACACACGACGCGGTTGCTGTGGAAGCGTGTCTGTGCGTACATACATCATACGCACCAACCGATCCGTTCAACCAAGGAGATTGCGGATCGGTCGCCGCGAATCCCCCGTTCAGTCCCCACCCACCCCCTTTTGTCTTGTCCACGAGGATGTTCACCTTCAACGCCTTCGGCGGCGCCGCACCGCCTGTGAAACCAATCAGTGACGGTGGTGTCCTTGGCGCACCTGCACTACCTGTGTACTCTAGTCATAGTGACGTCAACGCTGTTCCTCCTCCGCCCGTCTTTGGGGGTGCGGGTCTGCGGCACATCAGTCATCATGGCACCGCAGTCCCTTTAGCGGCAACACCCGTCTTTGGTGGTGCGGGGAGTGGTGGTGGGAATGCGTTCACCGCACGTTCAGCCGGTATCCTTTACAGCTCTGGAGCAGCAGCAGGCGCAGAGGCAACCGGGGCGCCTTCAACGCTTTCTTCAGGCGAAGGAGTGCCAGCACCACCACCACCGGTGTACTCAGCGGCTGTCCCGGCGGCGGCTGTGCCTGTGTTTGGTGGCGGCCGCTCGTTTGGATCTGTGCCGTCTTTCACTGCGTACACCAACAATAACAACCGCCATAATAGCAGCAGTGATGCGAATCGTCAGGGCGGTGTCTTGGGGGGAAACGGCGCCCTCCCGATGCCCCAAAATCCACCCACAACGAGCCAACCAGGACCATCCGACGGAAATCCGAATAGCAGCTCAGTGTTTGGCAGCGCAGCCCCTCGTCTCAACTCCAGCATCATCGTCTCATCGACCTCCACTGATGCGTCGATGCCACCGCCCCCGCACCTCAAGTTTGACTTCAGCGCGCCGTCTAGCACCTCCGTTGGTCACGCGGCTACCTCCTTCACGGCGCACCCAGGAAACGCACTGGGAGCCGCACACAGTGGCAGCGTGCTGCTCACGGACAGCACACGAACGAATGCTGCCGTGAAAAGCAGCGGCCACAGCACGCCAGGTCCGGTGCTGGCGAGTGCTTTTTCAGGCGAGGGCAACGCCGCTACGGCACCACCGCCGTTTTCTTCTTCTGCCTCCTTCTCTCCCCCATTGTCCTCTTTCGCCCTCTCATCGCATTCGCTTCCGCTTGTGGTAGCGGTGGAGAAGAGCGTCGGTCGTGGTGGATACGACAGCGGTACCGGCGACGGGGCCGGCGGAGGAGCCACACCGGCGTTCAGCAGCTCCACCAGCTCCTTCAGCGCTCCCTTCGGTCGGACAGCGAAGCCGGCGGCACTGACAGGCGATGCGAAGGGGCAGGCAGAGCCCTCATCCCTCGCCGCAGTGCTGCCGTCGAGGGCTCCATTCGCCACACCAACGCCACCTTCTCAATTAAGCAGTGGCTTCCCTACCGCCGCCACCAAGACCACGCCTCTTCCCATAAACACCAGCGATACGGGAAGTGGCATCTTGGGTAGCGTTACGCCTTCAGGGACAGCGCCGCCCACGACAGCTTTTGGCGCCACAGTCATCCCCACCTCGCCGCAACCGTCAGCGTCGTCGTCCGCTACCTTTCGTGCTGCCGCAACAGCAGCACGGCCACCACAGGTGCCATCGCCCGCCTTCTCAGCAGACAACGCACCACCCGTGGGGAAAAGATCGTCAGCGTTCGTTCCAGAAACCGGCGACGCCAAACCAAACACGGGCACGACGAGTGCTTTTGCCGCCTTTGCGGGAGCGGCGTCCGCAACGAGCTCAGTCCCTGCGAAGTCCGCATTTGGTTCGTCCAGTGTCGCACCTGCGCCATCACCGCAGGCCTTTCACACCGCTCCTCCCGCCACAGGCGCCTCCGACGGGCACCATCGCCCTGCCGGTGGGTCTGCGTTTGCGGCTGCCGCTTCGTCGTCGTCGCCGTCGTTCAGCGGGCTGGGTGGTCGTGGCGGTGCTGGGGCTAGTGGGGATGGGCGTGGCGATTACCGTGGCCGTGGACGGGGAGGTGGACATGGACGCGACAGGCACGACCGGCGACGAGACCGGTCGCCGTCGCCGTCGAGAACCACAGAAGAAGGACGCTTTCACGCAGACAGTCGTGGGGCTCCCCCGCCTACCTTCTCCGCACAAAGCTCTCACTTTAGCATCCCAGCTCCTCGTCACGTTCAACAGCAGCAGCAGCAGCAGCAGATGCAGATGCAGCCAACAGCAGTTTCACGGCTGGAGAAGCTCACGCTGCCCTCTCTGCCCTCCGATGAAAAGCAGTGGTCGCTGGCCGCCCGCGTCTGCAAATCTTTTCTGCTTCAGGTCGCCTCCCCTGCGGCCACGACGATGTCAGCGACCTCTGCGGGTCGCGAGACGGGCGCGGCGGAGGCGCTCGAGCAGGCCTTTTTCGGCGTTGCAGGCCGCGAAGGCGTCACTGGCGACTTCGGCACGTCTGCAGGGGAGATGTTGGCGGTGTGGCAGACGCAGGTGCGGCCGATGCTGACCAATGCAACGGCGCCCGGCAGCGCGCCGCTTCCCTTCCCCGGCGAGATGTGGGTGGCTCTCTTCGCCCTCGGCGCCTATTTAAACGTCATCCTCTCCACCCTCGCCTCGCCAGACAACTCGTCGCGGACGTCCACACGCGCGGACCTCGCTGTCTACAAGGCCGGCCTGCGCGACCACCCAGTGGAAGCGCTGACCGACGCCTGCCACTACGCGAACGAGATGAGTGAACTCTTGCAGACGATCTTTCAGCGCGGCGGTGAGGCGGCGGCCCCGCCGTACAGCGTCCTCCCGGTGGTGCTGCGGCGGGTGCGCACCGTCTTCGACGCGGCGAACGCGCGTGGTGTGGCGACGGTGCAGTCGAATTGGAGTGCCGTCACGTCGAAGCTTTTCGCGGTGCTGAACCGACGCGTGAAGTCGGCCACGGTGCAGGTCCTTCCCAGCACCAACGGTGCAACGGACAAGCCGCCCCGCTGGCTCCTCACCTTTGACTCGACGGAGAAGGAAAGCCTCCTGCACAGCTTCGCCTACCTCGTGAGTGAGATGATTGCCGTGGATGCGCCGATGAACGAAGATGTGGAGCTGTTCATGGCGGCCTTTCACGAGTGTCTGCCGTCGGCGCTGGCGGAGCGGTGCATGCTGTACTACCGTCGTGCCTGTGCCTTGCTGCGGCAGCCGCTGGGTATGCGACAGATGGAGGAGGCGGCAAAGCTGCTAGCGCGGGCGCTCGCCGTGTACCCGCCAGATGCCCCACCGAACAACAGGCGTGTGCTAGAAGTGAAGCTGCTCACCGCAGAGCTCGCGTTGGGGCGCCTTCCCTCCGACAAAGACCGCATCGCGCTGGACGTGCCGCAGTTGGTTGACGTGGTGAACGCGCTGAAGACGTCACGGCTGGACTTGCTGGACGCAGCACTGAAGATGCACGGCCGTTTCTTCGTTCAGATCGGTGTGCAAAACGCGCTGATGCTGGCACGACAGCGTGTGGCGCTGTTGATGGTGGTCAAATTCTACGTAACGCACGGGTGTGAGAACCGACTACGTGTGACGGACATGGTGCGTTACCACCGCCTCCCCTACTCCGGAGCGGAGGCGGGGATGGTGTGGCTGCTGCCGCTGTTGGTGGGAAAGGACATGAATGGGGTACTGGATCACGACTACCTGATTCTGAGTGGCAAGGCGCCGTTTGACGCGTATCCACGCGAGTTGTTGGCCGCTGCCGCAGGGCTTCTTTGATGGGGATTGGGACAGGCAACGTGTCCCCCTTCCTCTTTGCGGGTGATGTGAGTGTGCCTTTCTTTTCGTGCCGCGGTTGCCGTCGTTTTGAGAGCGATGGAGTGAAGGAGTTCAACAGAACGAATAATAATAAAAGAGAACCGGGAAATACGAGTCGGAGGAGCGAAGACAAAAGGGCTCGGGCTTAAACCGTCCCGAATCGTGTGATAATGGTGATAAGGGACGGTTGCAGCTTCTCGGCGCTTTTTTTTTGGCGAGGTGTTTGCATGCGGAAGTGTTTTATTCATTGTTGTGTAGTCCTTAGCCATCGGCTATAGTGGGACCTGTTGCTCTCGTGCGAATACCATGAACTTGCAGAAGGGGGTTTTCGCCTTCAGTGGGTTTGTGTGCAAATTCAAATCCTCGTGTGTGCTTCTTATTATTATTTTACCTCCCACGCTCCGCTTTTCTTCTCTCTCCTTCCACCTTCAGCACACGCAGCCGTGGCATACACCCTTCAGCTGCGCCAGTCATAGAACTTCACAGCACATACACGCATATATACACACACGCTGCAACGGCGGTAGATCGAGAATAACAGCTGTCCTTTTTTCCCCTGTTTTTGTTTGTTTGTCGGCACACGTCACGCCGTTGGCGGCCTTCTGCTCCCTCACGCAGAACTACGTCGTTCTCTCTTTGGCTTCTTTGGGCACAGCACAACGTCGTTGCGCTTCCTTATTATTATATTATACTATTATTATAGAAGTCACGAAACAACGTAATACCCCCTAGAAGCGAAGATGCAGTCGGATCTTGGTGTGGTGCAGGTCACCAACTTCCACGGCAGCGGCACCATCACCGCCGATGGCTACGGGGGCGGCGGCAGCGTTGATGGCGACAGCGAAGTCGGAACTGATATTCGGCTCCTCGCGAAGGAGTTCATCACGCAGTTCCGCATTCATCACGCCTTCCTGTATATGGACATGTTGCGCAAGAACCTCTCGGCGGGCCTGCATTACGTGGAGCTGCAGCTGTCACACCTGCAGCAATTCAGCGGCGTCCTCTTCGGCGCCGTGCAGCACAACCCGACTCGCGCTCTGCCCTTGATGGAGCACGCCGTCTGGGAACTCGCGCAGGAGCGAAAGTTGTTTCCGTCCTACTCGCGCGAAACCACCATTCAAGTGCAGCTCTTCTGGGCGGTGCCGCCGATGGCGCTGCGCAGCTTGGCGCAGGCCACCGTCGCCCAGCTTGTCTGTGTGAGCGGGATTGTCGTAAAGTCCAGCTCGACCCACGCCCGGTGTGTGCGGGCTGCCATTCAGTGCACGAGCTGCCGTAGCAAGGCGTACATCAGTGGTGGCCGTTCCATCGACCTGCCGCCGCAGTGCATGGAAAACGGCGGACGAGGCGGCGGCGGCGGTGGTGGCGCCGCAACTGGTAGTGGTGGAATGAGCAGTGGTGCATCCACGGGTAAATGCCGGCCAAATCCCTACGTGCTGCTGCCCATGGAGTGCGAGTACGAGGATCAGCAAATTATTAAGCTGCAGGAGTTGCCGGAGGACGTGCCGACCGGTGAGCTGCCGCGGCACTTAACGGTGGTGGTCGACCGCTACCTCGTCGACCGTGTCAGCCCGGGTTCGCGCGTGCAGCTCGTCGGCGTCGTGTCCGTGCAGGAGAAGCGGGGTGGGTTCGACAACACGCGTGGCGGCGGCAAAGGCCGTGCAGCTGCCGGACTGCGTGCGCAGTACCTCCGCTGTGTCGGCTTGATGTTCCACAGCACGCAGGACGCCAGCTGTGCCGTGGTGAGCGTGAACCAAAACTTCTCCTCGCGGGTGCGCTCCCGCTCGACCATGACCTGGCAGCCAGAAGAAGAGGCGTCCTTCAAGGCGTTTGCGAAGAAGGGCAACGTGTTTGCGAAGCTGTCCGCCAGCATCGACCCCGCCATTTTCGGCTTAGAAGACCAAAAGAAATCCATTGTGTGCCTGCTCTTTGGTGGCACTCGCAAGCGAAACGGCAGCAACTTTCTGCGCGGCGACATGAACGTTCTGTTCATCGGCGACCCGTCGACGGCGAAGTCACAGCTGCTGAAGTTCGTGGAGAAGGTGGCCCCAATTGGGATTTACACCTCTGGCAAAGGCAGCAGTGCCGCCGGTCTCACCGCGTCCGTCATCTCGAACGGCAACGGGGACTTTGTGCTGGAGGCGGGCTCGATGGTGCTGGCGGACGGCGGCGTCGTCTGCATTGACGAGTTCGATAAGATGCGCGATCAGGACCAGGTCGCCATCCACGAGGCGATGGAGCAGCAGACCATCTCCATCGCCAAGGCGAACTTAACGACGATGCTGAACAGTCGCACCTCGGTGCTCGCGGCCGCCAACCCCACGTTGGGCAGCTACGACCCGCTGCGCTCGAACGAGGACCAGATGGACTTCCAGAGCTCGATCTTGTCTCGCTTCGACCTTATCTTTAAAGTGATCGACCCTCGCAACCCGGAGCTGGATCAGCGACTGGCGCACCACGTCATTGGGCTGCACAAGAGCGCCAACGGTAACAGGAAAGGCGGTGCTGCTGGTCGGGGTGCGACCGCCGCCTCTCCCGCCGCGTCGTGGACGGCGCACGGCAGCGTGGACCTCGTGGAGCGTGGCTTCTTCACGAAGTACATCTCTTACGCGCGTGCCACCTGCCGCCCCATCATCTCCGAGGAGGCGATGAAGGTGCTGCTTGACTTCTACGTGCAGGTGCGCCGCGATGCGCATCAGCGCACGTTGGAGGCCATTGGAGCGATGGGCAGCAATGGCAACAACGGTGGTGGTGGTGGTGGTGGGTCGAGTAGTGGTAAAACACCGATTATTCAAATCACCGCCCGCCAGCTCGAGAGCTTGGTTCGCATCACCGAGTCGCTCGCCCGCATGCGACTCGATGTCCTGGCTAGCCGCAGTGACGCCGAGGAGGCGATCAAGCTCTTCAAGATCGCCACCGTCGACGCCATCAAAAGCGGGGTGGCGGACCAGACGCTAACGGAGGCGCAGAGTGAGTTGGTGCTGCGAGTGGAGGAAGCCATGCGTCGACGCGTCGCGATTGGCGCGACGGTGGAGCATCACCGTCTTTTATCAGAGCTGGCCCGCATGGGTTTTGACGCGAAGCTGGTGGAGCGTGCGTTGTACGCGATGGTGAAGCGCGAGGAGCTGGAGTGGCGGAAGCAGCGCACTCTCCTGCACCGCGTGCGATGAGGAAGGGGAGGAAGAAGGAGAGGGATGGACAGCGGAGCAGCCGGATGTGCGTACCAGCCGAGCATCTTTGCATAAGTCTCTCCTCCCCCCTCCCCGGCACTGCACACGCTGCGTTGAGTCGATGGTTTCTTCCAGCTGTGATTTCTCATCACTCGTCTATACATTTTTCCTCCTTCTTTCTAGACTGCATAGACAGACAATGAAGGACAGCAAAATGCACCTCGCAAAGCACTCGTGTGTGTTTTTCGTAAACGAACAAAGGACTTGCAGAGCCGCGTGCAGGGCTGCGGGGGTCTCTCTCAGCGCTCGCACAAAGGCGTTGTTGTTGTTGCTGCTTATGCCTTTGGCACGTGGATGTGGGCTTTAACGGTTTTCTTGCTCTCCATGCTGCTTTGTGGCGGTTTCTACCGTGGCACGATCGTCTTCCACCGTCTTCTTATCTCGCCTTCTGTTTATCTTCGCTTCATATTAGGATAGAGTTCGATGCAACGATGCAGATGTCACACCAAACGGTGACTCCGCCGCCAGCAAGCGACGATGGCTCTCGCAGCAGCAGTAGCAATACCGCCACCGTGGAGGCGCCACCCCCAGCGAAGAAGCCAAGGGCAGAGGCAGGTCCTCACACCAAGCACACACCAACACCGCTCTCCTCTCCGCTAACCCTCTCGCCAGACGCCATGCCCACGAGTAATGCGCTGCTCACGGCGCGGCTCAAAAGGGAGATAAAGAAAATCTGGGCGGCTGAGCGCTCTGCCTCGGCTTCCGCTACTTCCTTGACTGACACCGTGAGAAACAGCAGTGGTAACATTGCCTCGCTTATTCCACCCTTCAAGGTCGGCACCACAGAAATGTATCGTCGCTTCCCTCAAGCCTACGACCTCCTCATGCACCACCACAACTGCAGTGCGCTGCAGACGGTACTGTTGCGCGACATCATCGGCCGCATCGAGTCCGCAGCTGCACGCGCCGTCTCGACAGAGGAGAACGCGCAACCGCAGCCGCCGTGGATACGCGTTGCTGATTTCGGCTGCGGCACCGGTCGCATTGAGGCGATGGCGGCGCAGCACCGAGCCGTGCAAGCGATCTACGCCTACGATAACGAGGTAGCCATGTTGCAGCAGTGTCTTCTGAATACGGTGCGTAGCGCTGCGCGGTCGCAACACTATCGCGGTGTATCCTTGAGCCCTGCCGCGACGACCATCCCCTCGCCTTCGTCGTCCTCTTCCGCCCCCCTGCCCTCTATTGAGATTTGTGCGGAGGACAGTGGTAGGTGTGACACGGCGACGACGGCGAAGGAAGGCGCCGTCGGGCGTGACACGCCAGCGATGCTGCAGCTGTGTGTGCGGCCCGTTCCTTTTCAAGCCATTCAAGACGGCTTTCTCGCCGCGACGCACCACCCACGCTGTTCGTTGATGGTCTGCGCGTGGTCGTTGTCCTATGTCATGCGCATGCAGTGGGGCGAGGATCACTGGCACGCCGCGGTGGATGCCGTGGTGGAGGCGATGATACATCGTTTAGACACCCGCGCTTCCGATGCCGCCATCGTCATCGTGGAAACACTTGGGAACGGGTCAGCGGAGCCGACGCGCCAGAACACCTACACGCAACGGCTGGAAGACCACTTTGGTTTCACGCGGACGTGGGTGCGCACGGACTACGAGTTTGCGACGAAGGCGGATGCCGAGCGCATGGTGCGCTTCTTCTTCGGTGGAAAGATGCTGTCGAGGCTGACGATGGATCCCGATGGTGTGAAGTGGCGTTTGATGGAGTGCACTGGCATCTGGACGCTGTGGAAGACAAGGCAGCAATGACGTGGGGGCTCGCCATCATCAGCATGTGCGTTGAACGCTGCATGAATGCACGTTGTCGCAGTAAACGTCAAAGTAAAGCAAAAGAGAACAGGGAAGAAAAGCGCTGATCTTCACCCCTTCTTTTGCCACTTTTCACTTCGGGGACTACAGCGGCGATCTAAACAGACAAAAGCTAAGCAGTGTACTAAAATCCAAAGAGAGAGGTAACGGTTGATGTTGGTTTTCCTTTCGATGCGCAAACGGCGCCAAAATTTTTTATGCTCTCATATTGTTGTTGATGGTGTTGCTCGTCCACAGCCATCTTTGAAGCCGCACAACCGCTGCAGTTGGACCATCGTTGTTGTTGTGTCTGCTTTTGCTGCTCCGCCTTTCGACGGAACCTGTGCGCTTCCTCCTTCCTACACCTCCGCCGCTCGTGCCCTCTCGCGCTCATTTTTCTTTCCACTCAAGGCCCAAAACACACGCTTCATTCCACATTAGAAGTGGTGTGATTCTCTCTTACCTCTCCGCATCAGCGCCAGATGAGTTCTGCTTCGTGCATCTCGCCGCGTTCCACCTCTTTGCTGTTTCTCTTCTCTTTTTCCTCTCCTTAGCGATGAAGCTTTTGCATTCGAAATCCACGGCAGAGCGAATCCTGGCCGTGAGTGCCTGCCCGTGCGCTAACCTCTTTGGCCTCGTCACCTCCAGCGCCGTCACCGTCTACCGCTCCACCACTCTCACCACCGTATTTACCTTCTCCCTCACGCCATTCCAACCGGCCGATACGGGCGGCGCAACTTCGGTTGGCGCGGTACATGCGACTCGTCAGGCAGAGCACTACCGCTGTTGCTGGTCGCCGTCAGGTCGTCTCTTCACGGTGGCGCTGCCATCCGGCATCCTCTTAGTATTTGACGTCGAGGGCGGCAACTTAGCGAGAGTCCTCACCACCTCCAGCACACGCGCCTCTCCGTCACCCTCCATCCCCGCCGCAGCCGCCGCGTCGCCTTTCTCGCCAGCCGCCTCCCCCACGGCTTTTCCAGCCGCCGTCCCGTCGGTCATCACCTCCCTCCCTCCTGACCGCCCAGTGCTGGCAATGACGTGGTGTGCCGTGCCTTCCTTGTCGTCTGCCCAGCTGTCAGCCATGGCGACGGCGGTGCAAACGCGCTGCCTGCCGGTGCGCCTGGGTGTGACGGCGGCGTTGTTCGATGAGGCGATGCAGGGCGTTGGGTCGGGTACGGCAACAGCCGCAGGAAGCGGTGGGGATGGCACTGCGGCACCTCTCAACCTGGACGCGAGCCACACGAGCAAAGCGGACAGAGCGGGGCTACGCGCAGAGGAACCGAGTGCGACTTCAGCCTTCGTCTCGCTGCTGACGGTGCTGGGCAGCGACGGTGTTCTGCGCTTCGTTGTGGGCGGCCTTTGCGAAGTCTACGCCACGCAGCTCGCACTGCCTTCTCCTTTGGTGAGCTGTGGGTCGTCCTGGGAAGACGTGACGGTGTTCGATCTTCAGTGGCGGCAGTGTGCGGTGGGCCCAGGCGCTGCAGTTCAAGACGGCGGATACGAAGGTAGTGGGAGCTCCTCTAAAAAAGAAACGTACTCCTCACGTGTTGCTGCGTTGGTCTCCTTCGGCGACACAGCCGTCGATCCTGTGCGCCACGCCGTGGGGCAGCACCATCGTCTCTACTTAACCGTCTGCGGCTCGACGGCAGCCCCAACGCTCGATGCGCACGATGGCGGAAAGACTCCGTTGTCGCCGCAGCCGCAGCCGCCGCTGCTGCCCTCCCACGTGATGTGGGAAGCAAATCTGCAAGATCGCCTGACGGCACTGGCGATGCCTCGATGGCTGGCCATCTGTCACGTGCGGGAGTACGCCAGCATCGCACAGGAGACCTACGAGAAGGTCGTGCATGCGTGGAGCCGTGTGCTCCGGGGACAGGTGCTTGCCCACCTCGGTCTCCCTGCTGCAGCGCCGCTGCTGTCGGCCGCGGTTGTCGCGCAGCTGACAGACCCCGACCCGATCGCTCTCTACAAGTACGCCAAGCAGACGCTGATGCGGGCGGCCTTGGTGGAGGACCTGGAGGCGCTGGCAAAGACGTTTCACACAGCTTCTTACGAGGTCACGCACGTGTGCTACCGCTGCTGTGAGGCGGCCATGGCCTGCGCCGTGTACACACGCGGTGACGTCGAGGAGGGCGACAACGACGACGATGCCGCCGCTGCATCCCTCTGTGATGCAAACGAAGAGGCGTCGGCCTCACATCCCGCGACGGCGACGTCTTCGCCAAGTCTTGTCTCGCTGCTGGGCGCCCTGCGTCGTCAGTACGAAGCGTTCTTGCGGCGCGCCGCCAACGAAGGTGAGTGTGCGCGGGATCTGGCGTTGTGGGTGATGCAGCAGTCGATCCACTGGGAGAGCGGCACGCATTTTTTTATGGGTGGTGGAACCAACACCGACAACAACATCGCTGCCGCTGCATACGGCGAGGAGGATCGCCGCGATGCCTCGCCGTCGCCGGTGCTGCCGCCACCACCGCAGCTGCAGCAGCAGCCCGTGCTGATCGATGAGGTCCCTGTGAGCGCGACACGGCAGCCGGCACTGTACAGCTTTCTTATCGAAATCATGACGTCGGCGGCTTCGAACAGGACTGATTTCACTTATGCAAGCGGTAACGGTAGCTCGCACGTTGCAGAAGCAGGCGATCAGGCCGAAGCCGGTGGAAATGAAAAGGCCGCGCGCCTCTATCAGCAACTCATCGCCCGCGCTGAGCAGCGAATCGAACGCTTTGGCTTCCGCGCGTTATCCGCCGCTACAGCACAGGCAGCACGTTTATCATCCACCTTGGGCTGCAGCGTGATTACATACGACGACGACGCGAAAGAAACCGCTGCTTCTGACGCAGGCAGGCGGCTGCTGTGCTGCGTGATGGAGGAAACATCCGATGGTGTACCAGACGGCTCGGCAGCTGCCTCAGAGACGGATGTTTCCCACGATGACAGCTCAGAAGGCAGTGACGTAGGGCAGCATCACGAAGAATACGAGGGGGTTGACAGGGTAGGCGACGAGGCTTTGTTTTCTTCTTCGTACGACAGCGACGACGATAACAACGCCTTTATCCTTCAGCGCACCGCAGCGACTCCCTGTGTGACGTCTCAATCAGCGAAGCTCTACACGCTGTGCTCGTCGATCACCGTACCAAACGGCTTCATTGAAACAATGCATCTCTCCTCCTACGCGCTGCGTTCAGCAGATACCGGCACCGACGGCGTTTGCAGGGGAACGGAGCAGGACGAGCAGCAGATACCGGCCACGGAGACGACAGCGGCCCCCTGTGCACTCGCGCAGCTGAACACAGCCGATGTGGGCGTCGCATCGATGGAGAAGCACCTCAAAGCGGATTTCACAAAGGATAAGAGTAACTCGCTCTGCAGCAGCTGGTATGGCTTTCTCGAGAAGGATCGCCACGTGATTGTGTGCCAACCCGCCGCCGTGTTTGTGCGAAGCGAACCGGGAAGCGTGAAGGCGGTCAAGTCCAACGCCCCTTTCTTCGTCGCGGTGGTGCAGGACGATGGAGAGGTAGTTGTTGCAGACGAAAGGGAAGAAGAAGACGAAGGGGAGGCCACCAGCAGCAACGAGGACGTCGCCTCCAGCAACGATGCTGCCAGCGCACAGAAGAGCTTGGCTTCTCGGGTGGCGCTGTGCCAAGTAACGGGCATGGAGGGCGTTCCTCTGCGGGTGAGCATCAGCCGTGCACGTAGCTTCTGCGTGATTGTCGGTGTGGCGAAGTACGTCGTGGTGTCCTTATACGATGACGACTATTAAAAGCAGGTTTCTTCCTCATTTTCTCGTTGCATAGATAGAAAGATCCATCGATTGCCGCAGTAGAAGTGATCGACGGAAAAGGTGCGAGATATTCAGGTGGTGTTTTTGTTCGGTTACTTGGGTGCTGAGGAAAGCGAAAAGAAGACAAGATGTTGTTGTTGTTGTTGTACCGCACTGCAATTGAGCTGTGCGCATCGCACCCGCCTTTTACCGTAGCGTGATGTGTCGCACCTCTCATTCGCTGTATGTGTGTGTTGAAACCACTGGATGTGTTGCAGCTCTCGGGCACGCATTTCTGTTTGCCACAAATCATACGCTCTCTCCCCCTCCCCTCCCCTATTCCGTTTTTGTCGCCATCATTTTGATCGCAGCTCACAGCTGACGTAGTTTCATATCCGCAGCCGTCCCGCGTCTCAGGTTATTTCTTCTTCACACACACATATACATGCATGTACGTTGTTGTTGTTGATCTGTGATTGAGCACGTCATCGTAGAATACCACTCGTACGATCTTTTATTCTTGTTGTTTCTCTTTCCCTCCTCCTTTACCACAACGGTTATTCGTTTTATTCGTTAACAACAATGTCGTCGTGGATGGAGAAGTACAGCGTGCACAAGATGCTCAACACCACGCTGGGGGCCGCGCAGGCCGCGTGGGGATGGGCCCAGGAGCGTCTGTGGCCCATCTACTCCGCCGCGATCGTTCTCTCCCTCTTCCAGATGATCGCCATCGCCTCGGAGAAGCAAATTATGGCGGACCACTACTTCGGCGACGTCGACGGCAGCTTCGACACCAAGAAGGAGGAGTTAGTCACGGACGCGAAGAAGCTGTTCAACGAGGAGGTGACGGTGGCGGTGAAGGAACACGTGTGGCAGCTGCCCCCTGCAGCTTTCCGTCGCGAGTACAACAGCCGTCTGGGCAGCGCGTGAAAAGGGAATGAGGCAGACTTTCTTTTTTCTTCTGAGGTGGTGGAGGATTGGCGACAGAGTGCGTGAGGTCTCCTTTGTGGGTTGAAAACCGCAGTTGCCGGTGTGATGCATTGCTCTTTCTCGGTATGCCACTTTGGCCCGAGCCCTTTTGTTTTCTCCGTGTATTTGCGTGTGTGTGTGTGTGTGGAGCACAGGAGCTGTGGTGGTGGTGCATCGTGTTGCGTGAGCACCAACGTTGTCGTCTCAAGCGGTTTGGCGGTCTTTTTTGTTCTCACCGATTGTGTATGATAATAATAGTTGATAAATGAGCGAAGCAGAGCGTATATATCTTATTTAAAAAAAACGAGGTCAAAAGTGATAGCTGCCACAGACTACCTGTATGTATGTATGCAGCGCTGCTGTTGCGTCGGTTTGTTTCCGACCAGGAAGATTTGCGGGGATGTTGGAACTCGACAAAGGGGTTTTACTCGTCGCCACGAAGGCAGTAGATATCAGCAATCGATACGATGTTATGTGAGTTTTTTTTTCTTCTTCCATCCTTCACGTAGTGTGGCGTGGTGTACTTCATGGAGATTTACTTTCTTAATTGGAAGGGAAGTTGAGGGACAGCGTTGTGTCTCCATTGGCTCTTTCTTCGGTTTTTCGGGGTTGTACGTCTTTCTCTTCTCCATTCTTCTTCTTTTTCAAATCCATGCACCACGTCGTTCGTGTGTGCCGACACAATATGTATTCGCTTTCGATGTTTACATTACGTCCAGTGTAGAACACCAACCGAGAAGTATTCTCCCTCCTCCCTCTCCTGCTCGGTGGTTGAAGATGTCGTCGCGTTACTCGACTGTTCCCCAGTCACCCATCGACCCCTTCATCCAGTCCCCGATGACTGCCGACGAAGACTACGGCGTCGCTAGCCAAGATCGGGTCTTTGAAGAGCTCCTTGATGCGGAGGTGGCCGTGAACTTGGAAAAACTGCGCGAGGCAGCCCGCATGGGCATCCCGCCTGCCTACCGCGGCGTGGTCTACCGCTACCTGCTGGGCGTCGCCTTCACCGACAAGTCGAGCGAGATGACGATGGAGGAGCTGCAGGACAAAGACTTCCAGCTGCTGCGGGGCGCCTACACGCGCATCTGGGGCGGCGCGGACGAGGACGACGATCGCGGTGACGCGGGAGGTGGCGCTGACATAGGCGGCGGACGAGGTACGAGCAGCAAGGTCGCTGCGACGAACGCGCTGAAGACACTCTTGGCCTTCTCTACCTCTTCCACTGCGTCGGCGGTTGGGGCGACAAACCTCAGTGGTCCACTGCAGACCCGCCTAAGCAGCGACGACGCGGATTGCAGCCGCTGCCCTTTACACATGCCTTTTACCTATCGCAGCTCCTCCGCCGTCTTGTCCCACACACCCTCCGCCACCTTAGCGGCGTGGGAGGAGGCGCTGGCGGCTCTCCGCCACGCTGTGCCGTACAATCACGATGCGCGGCAGCGAGCGAAGATCGAGTCGGCGGTCGCCGCCCTGCAAGTCATGTACAGCGCGGTCTCGATCGACCACGTCCAGCTGCTCGTCCTCTTTGCTCGCCAGCTCGACCTCATCTCGAGCACTGCCCGCGACACCTTCTTCACCGTCAACGCGCTCTATCAAGTCTTGACGCGGGAGCGAAACATCCTGCACGGTGAACGGGCGCTGCAGCTTCACTGTGCAAACTTTCTCATGCTCTTTCGAGCCACGCTGCCCCCCTTGTACGAGCACTTCCTTGCAGAGGGCGTGACGACGTGGGAGTGGGTGCCGAGTCTGTTGACGAGCTTCTTTGCGAGTCGCATGCACCCCGATGACGTCTGTGCGCTGTGGGACTACTACTTAGCGGACAAGAGTGAGCACCAGGCGATGGGTCTGCACCCCTACGCGTGCCTCGCAACGCTGTCTGCCCTGACGGAGTTGTTGATTGAGGCGGAAAAGACGGAGCTGCTGTACTGCTTAGAGCACCTCCCGCGTATCGACACGGCGGCCATCATGCGGAAGGCGGTGCTGATTCGAGAGTCGGTGTACTCAAAAGGGCTGTTGGCGTGAAGGGTGTCTGTGTGGATTTAAAAGAAAAGAAAAAAGCAAGGAGGCCAACTGTTGCTGCTGATACGGCGCCGGGGCAGTTGTGCTTATCGTGCCGGTCGTTTCCCTGCTTCCTCAGTGTCTCTGTACTGACTGCTATGTGGGTTATGGTTAAGTCAAGTGCCAAAGGAAGAAAAGGAAAAGGAAGGTCACAGGTTCAGGCGTTACCTAACGTCTGGTTTTCTTTGTCCACTCGTTGTTGCCTGCGAATCAGCTTATGAGGGGCTGTAACATTGTGACATAGGGGAATGGGTGCAACGGAAGAAACCCCTTACTGTTTGTATTATTACTATTGTGGAACTACACGGCGCCATCGCACCTCTCCTTTTCCCTCTCCCCCCATCCCGTCGCGTAAAAGTACTCCTACTTGGGGTAGCGCAGACAAAGAGAGACGCTGCTTCCCTTCTTGTATTTTCTTTTTTTCACATACACCGGAAAGTGCGTTCATCTGCGTCAAGAGAGCTGCTCCATATTTTTAATTACTTTTATTCCTATTACTATTGCCTCTGACGCATAACCACATCGTTAGAACCTCGTGCACGTACAGGTGTGTGAAGCGCTGCGGCCAGCGATCTGTGCCACTCCTCCGATACACAACTCCTATATGTTTTGTTTTGTTGGAGTACGTATGACACTGCGCGGAAAAGGCTCAAGACGAAGGAGAATGCCTGTTGCACTTCCTCGGTTTCTTTAGATTCTCTTGCATTTAAAATACTAGATTATACAGTTAGAATTATTTGTTGCTGCTGCTGTTGACCCTCTCACCAACTCTGCTGCCGCCGGACTCCCATGTTGAACCCACCGGCGTACCGGGCCGCACTGCTCGACCAACTCACATCAGCAGCCGAAGCGCCGTCTCAATCAGAAGACAGCAGCGCGAGCCACGGCGAAGAAGACGAAAAACGAACCGACGTCAACAGCGTTGCTCGCGGTGCCCCGTCTTCGAAACTGCGATTTCCTCGAGTCACACCCCTTGTGCGCGACGATGCCACCCAAGACACGCGCATGAGTGGGTATCGTGCCGATGAAGGGCAACCAGTGGCGCACACTCTTGTAGCTGCGCACGCACCACAGCAGCGGAGCGAAGACCGGCCCTACACCGTCGGATATGGTAGCCTTGTGGAGCGCGAGAAGGACCGGTCTCTTATTCTGGATTTCATTGACAACTGCATACGCTCTGGTGTGCCCGAGGAAACCATCGCGGAGCAGGTGCAGTTCATGGTAGCCTCCATGAAGGAGTCTCTCGCCCTGCACGCCGCCCTGCACGCGCAGCGGCACAAGGAGCGCATACGCGAGTACGAGCTGGGTGCGTTGACTAACATGCTCGAGCGACAGCAACTTCAACTTCAACAGCAGCAACAGCTACCAGCGCCAAGCACCCAGTATGAATACCCGCTAGCATCACCTCCCGTGTCGCTGCAGCTGTCCCCGCCGCCTCCGCTCGTGTCTCGGCGCCCATTCTTAGACTCTTCTCCTCATCCTTCCTATCCTGCGTCGACGAGTCGCGCCTCGCCGCAGCGCAGAGATCCGTCCCCGCCGCGTGACGACTCGTCGCTGTCGCGGGCCGGCATGCGCCGTGGCAGCGCAGGCAGCTCTTCCGCGCTGCCCTCACCCTTGCCCATTTCCACGTGGCGTCCGCCTGCACCAGCCAGCAACGAGGAAAATATCCGGCCTGCTGTGCAGCCGACATCAGTTCAACGACGAGCGCACAAGGCGGAGGAGGAAAGGAGAGGGAGAAGAAGTCTGAAAGATGCCATGAGCTCTCACGCGTCTTCGCGCCGCTCTAGTATTCGCAGCTCCTCCTCCACGACTGCGAGGACGCACGCCGCCCACCACCACCGCGGTCACCACGCGCTCTGTGATGTGTGTCTTCGCAACGCAACGGAGACGATGGCGGCAGCAGAAGGCGCGGCGGAGAGAACATCGCCCGTTGCCTCCGCCAAGGCACCACGAAAGAACGCAAGTACGTCGAGCAGGACAGCACGCACACCCGCGCGTCGGTCTTCTCCCACGGCGTCCCGACAGCGGTATCAACCACAGAGGCATTACATGAAGCCGACACACGCCAGCCTCGTGCGGCGCGCCTCTCCGTCATCGTCCCCGGTACAAGTAGAGCAAACACCCCTGACATCACACGCACCATCGCGGATGACCTCACCCGCTGCTCGACCGCTGCGAAAGGCTCATGGGACGCCACTACGTAAACTGGTGGTTCGATCCACCTACAGCAGTCGCCTTCGTGCAGCCGCCTGCCGTCCGTCAAACTCCTCGGCGGAGGCGAGCGCAAGCGACGTATCGGCCGTCGACGAAGAAGAGCACCGTCACGACGACGACGTCGAAGGTGAAGCGAGCCATCGCGGTGACTTCTGCAGTGACGTTGACGAAGTGGACGGCCGCAGAAGCGACCTGCGCGTTCGTGTTGAGAGCCCAAAAGTGGTGCCAAGACACGAAGCGCGACAACAGGTCGACGTGTGGGCCAGGCAAGACACGAAAAGCGGCCACAAAATGGCTGCCCTCGACTTGTATTCCACCGACTCGCCCTCCGCTTTAACTCGGCCTCGTGCAGCAGCAGCAGCAGCAGCAGTCACGCAAATTGGTGGTTCGGTTAGTGCTCGCCAGACGGCTCCGTTGACCTCCTTTCCTCAGCCTTCTCAAACGTGGAGGCCCTCCATCGATCCTGAGCCACCGAGGTCTTTCAGCGCTGTAGGGAGCTCAGGAGATGCCGCACCGCAGCAACGACACAGCAGCAGCTTCATGAATGCCACCACTTTGCAGTGGGAGCAGAAGTCGCCGTCGTCACCACCGCCCGCCTCCGAGACCCAAACGTCAGAGGAGCCCACGCAACGGCATGCGCAGGAGAGCAGCCATGATGAAGCCTCTCGCCGACCTCGCAGGGACCCACCGGTGCATCCACCGTCGTCAGCTGCGTCCTCCTCCGGCGCGTCCACCACCGCCCAGTCACGACAAAAGTTATTCACAGACAACAAAGCTGCTCTCTCGGGCGCACGCACCGCTCCGAATGACGACGTCTCTCCTGCGCTGACGTCTCGCACCTCCGTTGTGGTGGTGGACAGCGACATCGACGGCGATGCTGGCAAGGCGGTGTGTGTGACGAGTCCTGCGCTGCAACTTTTCTTGGAGAGGAGTCAGCGGAAGGTGCGAGAGACGGAGAGGGTGCTGGCCCGCACACCAAGCCCTGCTTCGGGGCGACTGAGTCCGTCGCGCACCTCCACCATCCACCTCTCCCCGCAGCCCCAGTGGCATCCGCAACCGCCGCAACCACAACACCGCTCTTTTCAGGAGCTAGTGAGCAGCTCCCACGCCTCATCGTCCTTATCACCTCGTCATCGAGATGCGCGGAGCTCGCTGTGGTCCGATCGGTCACTGGACGCTGTTCGGGGGAAGCAGCAGCAGCGTTTGCAAGAGCTGCGCAATCGACTTCGGGACTACGGCACGCCGGGTGGGCACGACGTGAGGGAAGCCAACGCAGTGAAGCGACACGACGAGACCACCTTTGCTTCTTCTGTGGCGTCGTCTGCAGCACCGTCGCAGGACCCGCATCTACGGTTTCAAGTGCACGGTGTGGCGCCTCTCTCCACCTCGCCGGAGAACTCGCCGCTGGTTCAGATCTCGCCCACTTCATCGGATGAGGACAAGGATGAGCTGTAACGTCTTGCAGTACAAATACAGAAAGGGGAGAAAAAGGCGCGAGAGAGACAGCGCTCCATTTGAAGGCAAAAGACGCGCTTAAATGCGTCCCATTCGTTTTGGGTTTCTATTTTTCCTCTGCGTGGGCGAACCTCGCAGGAAGCGACTGAGAACTTCTCTCAACTTCTCGTTTATCAGCGCTGCGTGTTGTTTTCATTTGTTGTTGTTGCTGTCAGCACTCCGTCCAGATACGCATTGCAGCGCCTCTCCACCGTGCTTACTCTCACTCCTTCTACGCCTTCTCGATGTCTCCTTCCTCATCCTTGTAAGTAAAGACAGCTGCGACACAGACGACGGGCACTCATAGACGAGTAACTAGAACGGCGAACGCGCGCTGAAGAAGGGCGCCGTTTTCTACCTACGCAGCTACCACAACACAGCATTTGCAAAGTAAAAAAGAGAAAAAATATATTAGAACCAACATCAACGAAGAGCTTTCACTTCCCATTAGATTGAGACACCACATAGATCATGTCCAACACAGAAATTGCCTTCTTTGTGTTCCCTACGGGTGTTGGGGAGGAAGACGTGCGTGTCCGCGGAGAAGTTCCGGTTCTGCCCACCGCCGTCGCCGACACCGCATCGACGTTGTCCACCGCTGTCGACGCAGTCCCGATGACCTCTCCGCCGCCGCCTGAACTGCTGCCTTTAGAGCTGCGCGCAAGGCACGTTCGCTTCGAAAGCGTGCCGTCTCCTACCACCCTCAATGGAGCAGCTGCATCCAGTCCGCAGGGTCACCACACGGCGGTCAACGGGGCGGTGATTTCGTTGACTTCCTCCTCGTCTGCAGCTGCTGCAACGACCGCCACCACCGCTACTGTCAGTGCCACATCCGCGGCGCCATCCACTGAGCTGACGATCCGCATGCACTACATGGCCGCGAGCTACCTGAGCGAGTTGCAGCGAGGAGCTGCCCTGGCGAGGCGCTTGTCGTCTTCATCTTTTACAGTATCTTCATCGGGCAGCTTACTTTCTTCTCTTGGTGGCTATGTGCAGCTTGCGGGCGGACAGCGTTGTTACTATGTCTGCCCCATTGAGGACGGTCGTTATCTCGCCGCAGCCTGTCTTCCTTTTGGTGTCTGGCACCAACTTGGCGGCGGCGACGGCGCGGCTTACACGGACTTCCTCGTTCGCACCGCACTGACCGGCACAGCACTCTCACCGAGTGCATTCCGGAAGGGGAGCACGGCGGAGATGGTGTGCTACGCGTCACTGCACACGCGGCTCGCCAGCAACCCCCAACTGGTACAGCAGAGCATGGCCGCGCGTGTGAAGCGTATCGCACACGTTAGCAAAGCAGTGGCCTTCCATCCGCACCGCTATGCAGCTCGTGTGGCCGCCCTCCACCGCCTGTGCCGCGAGGGTGTTTCATCGTTGCGGACACACCCGCGACTGGCGCAGCGAGTAGAGGAGCTCATGCGAGCTGCCACAGGCCCCACGAGCACCGCTTCGCTGCGTGGCGTGATGCCGACCATGGGGCTGACCAAATCGGAGCATCGATACGTGCTGGCTGCGTCGTCGTTGTGGTACCGCGGCCACCCACTTTACACGAGCCTGACAGCCTCCGGTGCGCAGTTGCGCTCGGCTGCCTTATCGGTGCTGCTCGAGGAGTTGGAGAAACTGAGCTGCACAGGAGAGGACGTATCCTATCAGGGGTCGGACAGCACCCCTGCGAGCGTGACAGCGCAGTGCTTCTGTGTCGGGTGGAGTGGACACAACGCTTCATCAGCCCGCCCAACGGCAAGTGGGTACGTCAGCCAACCCACGCGGACCGGCCCAGCACCATCACCATCACGCCGCACAGAACACGCAGCCACCGCGGCGCAGCCGTGTGTCGTGTCGATGGCCTTCACCTCGTCCGCCGGTTGGACCGTCGCGTTGTTGCTGCAACCGATGCGCACGCCCTATCTCGGCACTCCCCTGTCGACCATCTTCACCGGTGTGCAGACTCTTGTGACGGACACCTTCGCGGACGACGGCTTCGTCCGCTTCGTGCGGGAGGCGACGGCGGCGCTGCGCAGCACGTGGCGGCGACCGGTTCACCTTCTCTCTCCGCTCGCCGCGCAGCTCGAGACGGCTGTGATGGCCATTCGGGTCGGGCAGCGTCCGCTAGGTGCCGTTGCGGCGCCCGATAAAGTGCTCTACTTCCTGGACGTTGCAGCAGCGGCAGCGGCTCAGCTTGCGTCGAAGGCGACGTCATCGTCTTCACCCTTCTCCCGGTGCGCCTCTCCGTTCGCAGCGCTGCGCTTGACAAGCAAACAGAATAAGATGGACAAGCAGCGCAAGGCGTCGTTCATCGCCTCCTACGCGGCGGCGCAGCGAAGTCGCAGTCTCGGCGACACAGACGACTGCCCCCCTTACGCGACGATGCCCACAAACACGTCGGATACTAAGAACAATCAAAGTACCAGCGGATGCTTTCCACGCTGTGTGGAGGCGGTCGTGCAGGCTGCCGCGCGTTATGTGCACCTCGCCGCTCAAATACAAAGGTGCAGCCAACGCCAGGGGCGAGGAGTTCGGCCGACCCTGCCCTCTCACGGTGCAGCGCCACCACTCCTGCTGCAGCATCAACGACGTTCGCAGGCAGTGTTTTCTGTTGTAGCGGAGAAGGACACGGTGATACTCGTAAAGGCAGTGCCGTCCTGCGGCGGAGGCGGCACCAGTGGTGTTCTCTTACCGTTCAGTAAAGCGCAGCGCTCGGTACTGTATGTAGTGGTGGAGCTGGAGAAGAAGAAGATGCCTGCGTCGGCTCACGATGAGTTACGCGCCTTTGCCTCGTGGGTCCTTGCACGGTGTCTGTGAGGTTTCCTAAAAGAAGGAGAGCGTGTGTACGAGACGTGCGCGAGCGGCAGCTGACGTGAGAGAGACGATGACTGGGCGTAGAAAGAACTGCACACATACATTGATAGACGGAGAGGGAGGGGAGGAGACACGCAGCGTTCTCCTTCCCTGCGGAGTCGCGTTATTGATCACCCTCTCATTCTAAAGAAAGAACACATATCTACATATATGTAAGAAGGCGTTGGCAGGAGCGCGGACGGCAGATCGGAACCCCAGTAACAAAGGGGGAAGGGTACTCTACGCGACGTGCACACAAACCCTCACGTTGCCCCTGGCGCCGCCTTTTTCGTTCTCTGTTCCCCTCAACGGCGGAGTTATCATTCGGCGTTAGAAGAAAAAAAAAAAATAAAGAGAGTTGAATGCACACAGCGACTTCCTCCTCTGCCGTTCCGTATAATCGGGGAGTGAGTGAGGTGTTCTTTAACAGGAGTCGTTTTCCAATACTCTATGGAACTATTTTTCCTTCTCTTTCTCCTTTCTTCTCTCTCCCGTGTTGTGACACGCACCTGTGTGTGTGTGTCTCTCTCTCTTTCCTCTTTGCGATCTTCACAAAGTCTCGTCTGTCTCTTTGGTTCGCGAAAGACGAGAAGCCAAGCGGGGCGCTTCGTGCACGTCGGCCTTTCACCACGAACTACGATACGTAGGTGCAAAAACATAAACCAAAAGAAAACGATTTTTTTTGTCTGTTCCTTAAACCTTCCCTCCCCCACGTACTGCGCGGATAAACTCCGAAGACTGCCTGCAATTCAAAGCATCGTCTTGTGCTGTTCTTTCGTTTCGCATGTTGAACTTTTTTTTGGTTCCTCACTGCATTTTTATGTTATTGGTAAACTTCTTTTTCTTATACACCTTGCGCGAGGTAGTTGCTGATATATATATTACTCCTCTCCTCCCTCTTCCTCCTTATTGTGTTGCTTAACTTCGTGCGGTAATAATTTGCTGCTGTTGTTTGTTGTTGAGGTGCCGCCTTGTCGTAGAAGCTGTTGTTTACCTCGAACGCAGTAGTACCATTCTTCTGTTTTGGTTCTTGTTTTCATACATATATATATATACAGGGTCGCTTGTTTGCCCTCCAAACTGATCTTTCGTGGGTTTTTGAAGTGTGCCGTTGATCTGCTGATCGGCTCCTTCTTGTATCATATTATTTCTCTCTTCAGCCTCGCTTGCTCGACGAACCATCTGCAATAGATTTGAAAATAAAACACAGATTAGCACTCCGAATAGAAACTGACGCCTTGCCGCACTCCATGTTCGCCTCCAGTCCACCGTCCTCGGCGTGGCGGAACCACGTCCAGGATCAAGAGGAGGATCTCGTGCGGGAACTGATGGAGGCCGACGACGTCGACGCCGTGCTGGCACGCATGGAGGGTGACCATTTTCGCCACCTTTCTCCCGTAATGCGAAAGCTGAGCTCCTTCGATGGGCCGAAGCAGCAACAACCGCCTCCATCACCTTCTGCGCAAGCAAGTCTCGCTCAATCGTCAACAGCATCGACGCGAGCGGGCCAGCGACACCCACCTCCGCCACCGCCGCAGGAGGGGCCCGATGCCCGCCCGTACAGTGGTGGGAGAAGAGGCTCTGACAACGCAGAGAGCCGCGACGGAAAAGGCGCGACGTCGTCCCTCGGCCATCAACCGTCTTACGGACGCTACCCCTCATCGTACCACCCGCCCTCCGCATCGTCCTCCACCTATCGAGGCGGTCCCTACGGCAGTGACGCTCCTGCAGCCACTGGTGACGTCGGGGACCACTCACCGGCCGCCCGTCCACCACCACCACTACCGCCAACGAACAGAGACTACGACCCCCTGCGTGCGTATCGACGACCAGCCACAGACGCAGTCGATGCAGCACCCGCACGACCTCGCGAAGCTATTGACTCACAAACAGAGTCACGCTACAGCGCCACAATGGACTCGTGGCTCAAGCCGCGCCGCCAGCTACCGCTAGACATCACCGCTGACAGCCCCGCCAGCACGACACAGCGCACCGATCCCTTTGCCGCGACGCGCCTGCCGACCTACGCCGCGCTGGAGACGGCGCCGCTCGTGCCAGAGGGGAACGTACCGCCGCCACCGCCAACGCCCGGCAGTCCGTGGACCTCGAGTGGCGGTCGCTACCACGGCGGCAACAACAACGGCGATCCTCAGCGGGCGCCGCGCGTTACCACGACGACGACGACGGCCCTCGCCCCTCCCCGTCCTTCCGGCTCGCGAGGCAGGACGGATGAGTTGGGGGAGCTGGAAAACGCCTCGCAGTCGCGCATCGCGCGCCAGCTGCAGCTGCTGCGAAACTACCGCGAGCTCGCCGAGCTCTGCTCCGCCACAAAAGACCCGAGCGTCGATTTATTCCGCTCCCTGCCTTCCGAGGAGCTGGCCCGGATGCAGGTCGGGCAACTACAGGGCCTGCCCCAGCGAGAGCAAAGCCCCATCACGGTGAACAACAACTACTACTTCGACAACTCAGCCAGTCGTCGTGGCAGTGGAGGTGGGGGAGGAGGCCGTAGCAGCCGCGAGTCCCCGCGTAGGAGCGGTCGGGGTCGCATCAACAGCGTCGACACCGTTGGTGCGCTCAGCAAAACGGGTGCCGCACCTAGAAGAGGCGGCAACAACTCCCCCTCCGGCTCAGAGCCGCTCACGGTGGACAGCCGGCCCGGCCTCACAAGCCACCAGCCCTCCGGCGCATCCTCCTCGCAGCCGCTTCGGCCGCCACTGCTGCCGAGTCCGCGCTACGGCCCCTTGCAGAGTCCGCAACCGTCTTCCGCACCCGACTCACCGGTGGCAACGCCTCCGCTGTCGCAGCGTGGTACTGGTGGGGGCTCCCCTGCGGGACCGCCGCCACCGCCGCTGCTCGCGCCGCCGTCACCCAGTCGCTCCTACCACGCCCGCAGCCACCGCAGCCGGCACTACGACGGCCACTACACCCCCACCGCGACGACCGAAGAGGCCGGGTCGAGCTACGAGGAGGACGAAGAAGAGGAAGAGGACTACGCCGGTGACTTCATAGACAACGACGACGGGCCGGACGGGGGGGAGGACGAGGACGACGCGACGGCGCCACGCCCGCCGCCGCCGCGCATTATTGAGCGGGAGCAGCACCGTCGCTTCCCGAACAACAACGGTAATGGCGACTACTCCACGACGAACGCCCAGCCGCCGCTCTCGCCCACGTCGCAGCAGCAGCAGCAATCACAGCTGCCAAACTCACAACATCAACCACTACTTCCGCAGCAACAGCAGCAGCAGCAGCACGGGAGCTACCCCAGCGATTACACATCGAACCCGTCTAGAATGAACGGAAGCGAGACGTTTGCCGGCGTAGATGGAAACAGCTTTCCTCCCCATGTGCGCAGCGGGTCCAATGTGATGCCGCCCGGTGCGTCGCCCAGCAACATGGGCGGCGTCGCGGGCAGTGACGCAGGGCGGCGCAGTGTGTCGAGCGCGATCAACGTGCTTTCGGGTGATAACGAACTGCGGGCTAACGCGCAGCTCAGCGCGAGTGGGATGGTGGACAGCCGTCGTGGATCGCTGTCGCAGCCGCCTCAGCAGACACAGCAACAGCGACACATCACTGCCTACAACGGAAACAACTTCGTCCCGTTGGCGCCCTTCGCACGCAATCAGCAGCAGCAGCAGCAGCATCCACTGCGGCGCAGTCTGTCCGCGGGGTCGAGCCCGTTAAATCGCCAGCGCGACGGTGACGCTTACACCGACCCCGGCATCACCGCCTTTTCACATCTGAACCCTCTGCGTGACCCGCGCCGCGACACCATGCCGAGCGCGGTGAACCGCAGCGGCGGACGGCGCGGCGGCAACTCCACCCCCGAGAAGATGTTCAGTGCCACCAGCAACAGCAGCAGCCGTGGCCGCTTTGGGAGTCAGCACCCTACAGGCAAAGGGAAGAGCAGCAGAAGCAACAACAAAGGCAACAGCAATACCCTCCGCCCGGGCAACCGCCGCGACGGCAAAGGCCGCGACCACGACCGCGACGATCGGCGCAGCGATGAGAACAGCGACTACATGGATGACGACGTCGGTCTTGGCAGCAACGACCGCGACTCTAGCATGAGTGGGGACGACACGCCAGGAAACCCACAGCTGCAGACGCACAACCCGCGCTCATCCACAATGCGCAAGAAGAGTCGGCAGCAGCAGCAGCAGCAGCAGCAGCAGCAACGACGGCAGAGTCAGCGCGGCAACAACGTTAACGCACGCCCAGGCCGGACGCCAGCGAACGCGTCTGGCGGACGTGGACCGCAGCGAGACGGGTGGGACGACGACGGCACCGTGCACACCCCGCGTACGCGGCGTCCGGCCACACGCCAGAAGGCCGGCAGCCGGAACCCCCGTGCGTACCGTCAGCAGAACCCGTCGCCGACGTCGTCGCAGCAGCAGCGGCATGGACGGCACGATCGCGGCAGGAAAGAGCCCTCATCGCCGTTCTACGATGACGACGGTGCGGAGCTGAACTCCGCCTCCACCTACTCGTACAGCTACGCCACCAGCTCCGACATCAATGACTACATCGCGGGCAGCTACTACAGTCCCATCAAGGGCATTCCAAGCGAGCGAGGACGCGGCATGCCCAACAATATTTATCCTGGAGGTGGTCGTTCCCCGATGCGCGGGCGTGGGCGGGGCAACGCGTACGCTGCGAACAGCCCCTACCGCACGACCCCGCAGCGACGACCAGGCGCTAACCCGGCCGGCGGAAGCAATCTTCCGTACAGCAACAACAACAGCCCTCTACAAGGTCGTGGTCGTGGCGGGGCCCGCGGCGTCGGACGTGGTCGGGGAGGGCTCATCAATCCTAACGTCCTCAACAGCAACGGCGCAAACGTCGCAGCGGGCGGGGCGCCGTACCCGTTCTACAGCAGCGCCGTCCCTATTGGCAGGGGACGTGGGGCGCCGGTGGTCATCGGCGGCCTGCAGTCCGCCAACCGACGCGCGCCACCGCCGCAGGGCGGAGGCCCTTACAATAATAGCAACAGCAACATCCCCAACAGCGACGGTGCCCAAACTCCGCGCAGAACGGGAGCAGATCCTGCCATGGCACCGGCAGCATCAGCGCCAAGTGGCTTGGTGCATCTTCCAAACGGACTTGCAGTGCCGGCAAACTCGCCGGCAGGACGGCAGTACCGGCAGATGCAGCAACAAGCACAGCAAGCACAACAGCCACAACCGTTTGGCTATCCCCCAGCCAGTGGCCTTTATCCGGCAGGAGCGGGGATCACGAACCGACCGCCGCAGCAGCCGCAGATGTCGGCCGCAACATCGCCCAGTCGTGCCGGCCGCGCCGCCTCTCCGTCCATCGTGCCGAGCAACATCAACGCGGGTCGCTCTACGAGTCCTGGCGCGGGGTCTGCCGTGCGCGTCCACCCCGGGCTGCTCTACGGCTCGCTGCTCCCCAAGGCACGGCCCAAGACGGCCCTTGTGGTGGAGGACGACGACCGCGGCCGGGAGCGCAGCGTCGATCCTCACGGTGACGCAACGCACGAGCCGTTTCTCGAGCCCGGAAGCGTGTGCCCAGTGCAGCCTGTCGTCCCCACCGCTGCGCCGCCCCGCACGGTGTTCAAACCGTCGCCGATGGATACGTTCCTGCTGACGGGTGCGATCAGCGGCGCGACGGCGGACGGCGTGCAGCCACTGGCGTGGAAGTCGGGCGGCGCGGGCTGTGTGGTCGGCCGCTTCGGTCACCTCCCACACGCGCCCACCGCGAAGCTGTCGTCGCACTATAAAACACCAAATGCTCAGCCGTTGCAGAGCGGTGCGGCGAGCTCGGTAGGGGGAGGTGCTGGCTTCTTCCCAAGTAATGTGCCACCGCAGCAGCAGCAGCAGCACTTCAATCCAGCCCGTCAGCCGGCCGCAGCCCGGAAGGCATCTGCGTACTCTCTCCCTAGTGCGATCTCGTCGCAGGCACAGCAGCGCGCCACAGCAGGGACGAACAGCTCCCAGCAGCGGTATGTCCCCCTGCAAGAGCCGCTGGAGCCGGCTCGTGGGTCGAGTGGAGTGAATTACGACACCGCTCGCTCTCCTCGCGTGGTGGACCCGTACACGCCGCGTGGTAGAGCGGCGGCGGAACGAAGCGCAAATGTGCAGCGCTTCGGCATTGCACCCGTCCAGAACTAAATGAAATTAAAAAAGGGAAAGTCGGACCCACTCCGGGGATGTGAGTTTCAACGGTGTTTGTTGTGCGCTGATCCCTTCTCCTCCCTTCCTCTGTGCTTACGAAACACAATGATGCATGCCGTTTTTTTTTTCTTCTTCCTCTTGCTGCTTTGGTGGTGATTTCTTTTCCACGGTTTGCTGTTCTTCTTCTCGTGGTTGCTTGCTGCGGGTGATCTCGTCGCTCATGAAGCGGCTTGACGCAGTCGTTGCTGCACCCAATCGGTTTTTCTCTTTAGCTTTTTGCTTCCTCGTGCGCACATACACTGCGTTAGTTATTTCTTTTTCACCGTACTACTACTACCATTTACACCTCATTGTTTTCTTCTTTTGCTTAGTCATTGCCTTCTTTTACCCATACCGACACAAAACGTGTGTGGTACCTGAGAGGTAGATTCGCCGGAAATCAAAATGTGGGAGACTTTTGCTGTTGTAGTTGTCGTCCTTCTTTGCGAATCTGCCGGTCGGTGTGCTTTCTTTTCTTGTTGGCGTTAGAGGCGGTTTTGTGTGAGTTTTTTTCCCCTTTTCTTCCTAGACATTCTGAGTTCTCTTTACCTTGCTCGCGCGTTGTCTCTGTGAGGACGTTTTCATGGAGCGTACACGGCTGTGCGTCTTCGCTTTCTCCGTTGCCGGTTTGCCCATCTTTCTTCCTCTTCTGCTTCTCTTCTCCCCTCCCTCCTCTCTCTCTCGTGCGGTTGCGAGGGGGAGGAGGGAGACCGGATATATCTTGTGGTGGTAGTGGTGGTTGCTTTGCTTTGCTTTTGTTGTCCAAGCAAGCCATCGACGTCGTCAACGTGCATGCACCGAAAACAACGCGGAGAAGCAAGTCTCATTCACGGATAAGCAACAACCAAAAAATAACACCCACCTTCTGTTGTCGCAATGAAACAGTTTTTAGTGACTGCTGTGCCGCCAAACTCCAGCGCTCTTGCACCATCGACCATCGGTTCTGATAACTTGCACCTTTCGAACGAAGGATGTGTGTGAGTGCGCGCGCGTTAAGTACACAAGCGGAAATAGAAGGGAGCCAAACGCTGCAGACTTTCCTCTCTCGGCGTTTCTTCTTCCTCCTATGCAGAGTAACGTAAAAACCACATATATCTATATATATACCTGTATGATTCATCCTTAGCTATTGCCTGCCGACTCCACCGTACGCCCCTTTTTGGGCATCTTCCCTCTCCCTCTCACCACCGCAAACTCTGTCGGGTCATGCAGTCATTATCGTTGTCTTGCACCCGCCTGCTGCAGTGGTACACATAGATTCATTTTCTCTTATTGCAACTCGGTGTTTTTTTTTTTCCAACTATTGTTATTATTCTTGTTTCATGTCCTCGGGGCAACCATCGGATGGTGTGTCGTCTCGTCTGTGACACCCTCATCCCCCCCCCCCATTCTTTCCTACTTACTCGTCACATAGACTTCACTGCGCACACAAGAAATGTCTGTCCTTCACTTTTCCACCGATAGTCAAGGCGACGTGCCAGCCCACTCTCCATCGCAGCAACAGCCGCGCAGTGAGCTGTGGGCCGACAAGTATAAGCCGCGCTCCATCGCAGAAATGTGCTACCCCGTCTGCGCAAACAAACTCAAAGCCTGGCTAGAGAACTTCACCGCAGTCGGCAGCCCAGGCGATGACCCAAAGAAGCCACACGGCGTGCTGCTGTCCGGGTCACCTGGGGTCGGCAAGACGACCACCGTCTACGTCGTCGCTCGCGAGCTTGGCCGGACCGTCGTGGAGTACAATGCCAGCGACTTCCGCAGCCGCAAGTCACTCCGCGAGAACGTATCGGACCTAACCGGCAACCGCGCCTTCTCCGCGCAGGCCACGTCGTACACGAACGTGGTGCTGCTGATGGACGAGGTGGACGGCTGCGACATTGGCGGCGTCGGGGAGGTGATCGAGATGCTCAAGACGACCCGCATTCCCATTATCTGCACCTGCAACGATCGCTGGCATCCAAAGCTGCGATCGCTGCTGAACTACGTGGAGGACATGCGCTTCAGTCACCCCCCGTGCAACATCGTGGCGAACTACCTCTGCGACCGCGTCCTCGCCCGCGAGGGCATCTCGCTTTCCAAACCGCTGCTGCAGGACATCATCAAGAAATCGGGCAGCGATATACGCAATATGCTGAACAACCTGCAGCTGTGGTGTCTTAATCGAACGTCGCTGGAGCAGCGGCAGCTGGCGGAGTGCGCCGCGCAGGCCACCAAAGACGGCGACGCCGGACTCTTCGACTCCGCCGAGTACTTCCTGCTACAAGGCACGTCGCGCGGGGAGCGACACAGCATTGCGGAGATGCAATCCTGCTACTACAACTCCGACCTCATCGACCTGTTCGTGCAGGAGAACTATCTGCACTTTAACCCGGCGCCGGTGGACGGCCGAGATTGGATGGGTGCCGTCGCGCAGGCCGCCAGCGCCATCTCCCGTGCCGATGCGGCGCAACGCATTATGTACTACGAGCAGAACTGGTCCGTCTCACGCTTTCACGTGCTGTCGTCGAGCATCGCGCCGTGCGTGTATACACGCGGCAAGTACGAGACCTTCCTCACGGGTCAGCAGAAGTTCTTCGACCTGCAACGACCAGTGAAGTTTCCGCAGCTGCTCGGCCACAACTCCACGGCGGGCAAGAACCGTCGACTGGCGCAGTGCGTAGCGATGCAGGCCTCCCACCCCACCCACGGCATCTCCGGCAACCAAGAGGACGTCGTTGCGGATTACATGCCACACGGCTGGGAGCGCCCGTTAGCCGCCCCGCTGGCCGAGAACGAAAAGGAAGGCATCGCCGCGGTGATTGCCTTCATGGATCAGTACAATTTAATGCGCGATGACTGGGACGTGGTGCAGACGCTAACGCACTTTAAGCGCATGGAGACGCCGAGCGCGGTGCCGCCGGTGAACATCGCCACGGCGGTGAAGGCGGCCTTCACGCGGGAGTTTAATCGAACCCACCGCTTTGACAGCTTCGCGAAGAGCACGCTGAAGCGCACGGACAAAGGCGACGCCGCCAACGCAGGCGGGGAGGAGAACGGCGATGCGGAGGAAGGGAGCCAAAATGATGCGGGCAGCGGGAAGGCGAAGCGTGGAAAGGTCATCGCGGACGGCGTCACGGCCGTCACCATGACGGGTGTTGGCGCGGCAAAGCCGAAGGCGGCGGCGCGCAAACCCCGAGCGAAAAAAAGTGCCGCCGCAGCAGCAGCGAATGGCAGCAACGGCGGTGATGCAGACGCGAAGCCCGCGAGGAAGAAGGCGGCGGCCACATCTGCGCGTAAGCCGGCGAAGGCGGCGGCGGCGAAAAAGAAGAAGCGCGGACGTGTCTCTTCTTCATCGGAGAGCGAGACAGAGATCTCCTCGGGCAGCAGCAGCAGCAGCAGTGAATCTTCGGACAGTGATTGACCCTCTCCCTCTCTCCGTGAGTGAATTCGGGCGTGCAGGCACAGCGCTGAAAAGTGCCAGGTAGCGGGTTGCTGCTGTGTCTTCGGTTTGCGTAGTGATTGGCTGTTATCCTTTGATGTGTGTGTCTGTGTGTCTATGGTAGGAGGGCTGGTGTGGTCGGTCGTCTCCACTCCGTAATGCACACCTCACCTTTCAGTTTTGTTTTTGCCGGCTCAGCTTCCCCACGCTGCACGTGATCCACCTCCTGAATGGGCGGAGCTCATTGCTCCTCTTCTGTGTTCATACGCGGTGGTTTTGAACGACAGCCGCTCTTGTAACGCAAGGCGGCAACAACAAGAACCACACAATACAAAGGACGAAAGAACGCTTCCGCTGCGAATGACGGAGCGAGTCTCCATCGTGCTCGTTTTCTTCTTCTACAAATGGACGCCAGCTCTCGTGATTTCGCTCTCCCCTCCTCTCCTTTGCCTTCCCCCCCCCCCCTCCCCCTTTCCAGCGCCTCTGATATCTGCCGATTCTTGCTGACTTTCGCACAGGCTTGTATTAGATTACCACACAACCAACGAACCTTGCCCGCAACGACGCACAGCACGGAGGGAAACGATGAGGCAGATCCGCGGCTGCCGCAACGGCACCGCCACAACACCGTTTTGCAAAGTTGACACCCACCACTTCCCCCTCTACTCTCACCCAATGTTCCGTGCAGCCATACACAACTCGGAGGCCCTGCGCAGTGCCCTTGACGCGCAGGTGGCGCAGGTGGACCAGGCAGCGCTGGACGCCGCGGTGGAAAACATGGTAGAAGAACTTCTTCAACAGCAGGCAGCCGCGAAGGAAGGAGGACCTGAGGATGAGAACGGAAACGCGTGCCCCGTCGCGTCGGAGGAACAGCTGCTGGCACTCTTAGCCGGTGTCTCGCGAGCACCCGCGGCGTCGGCGTCATCGCAGGCGGCGGCATCCGCGCTGCCTACGTCAACGAACGAACAGCCCTTCGCCTCCTCCTTTCTCGTCGGAGAACCAGCGCCGCCATCGTCGACCGCTATCTTCGCTTCGTCTACCGGTCTGCAGCTTCGCCCCTTGCCGCCTTCTACGCGTCGCCGCCTTATGTTCTCATCACCGCCTCGCGGAGTCGATGCACTGCCGACCGACAGCAGCGATCACGTGCGAGTCGTCTCCGTCGGCACGCTCCAGCACGCCGCTGTGACGGGCACCGGGAGAGGGACGCCAACCGGCGCACCGTCCACGGCAGAGTCCCGCGGTACACCGTTCGCCTCACTCATACCACTCGGGCACGCACCTTCCCAACGCGACGCAAAACCCGTGCTGTCCCTGTCACCCTTCGCGGTGCTCTCCCCCGCTGACTCGGCGCAGCCTCCGGCGACGTCGCCGCCGCTGTCGACGAGCAACGCCGACGCACCGACCATCTCTTTTCACCCGTCGTCGAAACCTGCGACGGACGGCGTCAGCAGTGTGGCGGCGGCGCCGACACGCATGCAGCGCAGGCCCGCGCGGAAGGTCAACCTTTACTCCCTCCTTCCTCTGTCCTCCGTCAGCAGCAATGGTGATCCCAACGGCGGAGGAGGTGGTGGTGAGATCGCCCGTGGCAGCCGGTCGCACAGCATCACATTCGCTGAAATGGACCGTCGGCCGGGCATCGGCACCGGCCCTCTGGCGCAGCAGTCCGTGGACAGCGCCCGCCTGCACACCGTGTCGGACTCCATCTTCTCGTCAATGGACGTGCTGATGGACGGCAATAGCTGCTGCGTGCGACGGCGTCGGCGGGTGCCGGGTGCAGGCCCCCTGCGTGGTCCATCCAGCACGACGGCATGCTCCCTCAACAATGCCACGCCCTGCACGCTCACCTCCTCCACGCCCCCGATGAGTCGCACCGTGCCGCTATCAGCGCCCATCCCGCGGCCGCCACCACGCACCGCGGCGGAGGCGAAGACACGACGCATTGTGGACGCACAGCGGCGTCGACAGCAGCAGCGGGCGTCTGCTATCTTGGACGCAACTGCTGCCGCAGAATCGGCAGGTCCGACGGTGGCTACGACGAACGCAAGCAAGCAGTCCTCCAGTGTGTCTTCCTTCCCCAGTCGTGGCCTCGCCGTGACGGCAATAGGCAACGCAGAGGGCCGCAGCATTTCCCTGCCACCGCTGTCCACCATACGGGATGTGTCCAGCAAGTCTCTCCTTGCGCACGCGGTTAGCTCGGTCCATTGTTACAACAAGACATTCCGGTGACGACGGTGCTGCGCCGAAAGGAAGCTCATCCAAGAGACGGTAATGGCGGCAAGCGTCGAAGCGACTTCTGTAAGCCGCCTTTTTCTCTTCTCATTCCTCATGCAGCACCGTGTTGATCCGCATACGTGTCCCTTGTGTGTGTTTCTTGCTGACTCCCCCCGCGACCTGCAGAGCCGTGGATTCATACCTTCGTCGCTTTCAGTTCAACCATCGATGTAAAAAATAATTTTGGCGCTGTAAAGCGCGGCGTCAACGTCTCCTTCTTTTTCTTCATGTTCTGAAAATAAAATACATATCCCTATTGTTTTTATCCCCTGTGTGCCTTGTTGGAGCTCGAAATGGAAGATTTCTTGTACACCACCCCAGCTTGCCCTCTCTCACTTCTCACGCAGGACGGAACAACACGACAACCCTCCTGCCATTCCAACGCACCTGCTTTGTTGGTGGGTGGGTCGGCTGCCCTTCTCCTTCTCTCTCTGCCTCCCCCGCAGACGGCGAGTGTCGTGCATTGACGACAGCACCTGCGGCTCGTATCTAGTTATTAAATAGATGGGCCTTGTTGTTGTCTCACGTCTTGCGGAACGAACCTAAACTGTCCTCTCTCCTCTCTTCTTCTCTTCTCTTTCTTCTCGTGTTCACAACTACAAGAAAAAATCGTTGGCAGCCAACCGAGCCGGGCGACACAAACACCGGGAAGTGCATTTCACACTTCTTCCTCGTCGTCTTCTTCCCCGTAGCCAACTATGTGCGCTGCAACGGCGAAGAAGAGAAAAGGCCTCTCGCTTGAGGAGAAGGTGGTGCTCGTGGAGCGATGGATCACCGCGCACCCGCAGCCCTACACGATGAAGGAGCTGCAGCAACTCATCCCGAAACAGACGCCCGTCATCTACCAAAGCGTGGAGGAGTGCGTGCTGCTGCTCGTTTCCGAAAACCGAGTTCAACAAGACCGCGTGGGCGTCAGCACGCTGTTTTGGAAGTTTCCCCTGACCGAAGCGCAGAAGCTGAAGCCTTCTACTGGAAAGCACGGAGGGAGTGGCGGCCCTCTGACGTACGCGGAACTGCTGCGGCGCCTCACGTGCGGTGAAGGGGCGCTCTCTTCAGATGCGGTAGAACGCGCGTGCGCCGTCGTGGCCCCTCGACAGCTGCGAGAGTGGCACACAGCGCTGCAGGCAGAGCATGCGAAAGTCGACGCCTTCTTGGCAACAGAGCACGCGCGTGTTGGCTTCACAGAGGAGGGACCTCTTCAAAGTGAGCTCGCACATCGCAGGGACTGGGCAGCGCAGCGAACACGACTGCTCGCGCAGCAGAAAGCGATGTCCACGTTTCAGAGCCTGCCAGACCTGCTCCGACGGCTTGCCGAGGCCTCCGCGGTGGCGATGGAGGCCGCAAACCGGTGGACGGACAACTACTACTTGGCTGAGATGGAGCTGGTGTCGAAGACTGGACAGTCGCAGCGTGACGTGCGGGCAGCGCTGCAAGTTCCACCCGATATGGACTTCCTTTCTGATGAGGAGGACGAAGAAGCGGGGGAGGTGATAGAGTTCAAGGCTGGCGTGAACAGCAGCACGTTGCCGTACATCGGTGAGGTTCACGCCAAGGGAACGCAGAGCTGGGCTCCATCGACAGCAGCACTGCCAGCGGTTGCGGCGGAAGACAGCAGAGCGCAACCGCCACCAATCGCAACGCAAGCTGCGCCGTCCCCTGCACCCGCGAAGGCTGAAGCTACCCCCGTGAACGCTGCCTCAGTGGTCGATGTGGAGACGGCCGACAATGTACGTGATGGCACGTCTGCGGGTGACATTCACGCTGGCGCGGCCGACCTGCCCGCCTGGGACACAAATGCAGCGTCGGTTGAGCACGCAGAGGAGGAGGAGGCGCCAGCAAAAGAAACAGGGAGAACGTCAAAGCCCGCACCAAAGCGGCGCACTACGCGGAAGCGCGCACGTTGAAGATCCCGCCTGCGTCACCTGCGAGTACACATAGAACGGTGTATACGAATCTTTCCGTTTTCTTTTTAGCTGGCTACTGCTATGTTATTGAATTTTTTTCTGCTGCATTGTTTGCTTTTCTTTCCTCCTCTTCCTCTTACTAACTTTACATCTTTGCAGATTAAAAACTGTGGATTGGTGATACCCGCCGCGCCCAACTCTGTCCGCGACGCGATGCTCCTGGCTGAAGACAACGCAGTGCAATTCACCGCGCTCTTCACACGGTATGAAATGTTTTTTTTAATATTAGTATTCTATTTGTCCTTTACTTCTTATGCGTCCTTTCTCTCTTTTCTCATCCCTGGTGTGTGTGTGTGTGTGTGTGTGTGTGTGTGTGAAACCCTCCTGCTCTGCGGCCAAGGCAGCAAACACATGCCTTCTACTTCATTTTATTCTTCTTAAGCATTTCTTTTCTTTGGTTTTGATTTTTTCCTTTAAGAAGAGCACTCATAACCTCTTCCATTGTTGACGTGCCAACGAACCATTACGGCTCGGGAAAACACACAAGAAACACCGTTTCACCGGCCTTCCCTCCCCCTTCTCTCTCTCTGAGCACCTCTTCATTTGTTTCTGTTGTTGTTATCCACGCACCACGCCCAACCAACAACAACAACCAATGTTCAGCTTCGTGTGCGAGTACTTCAAGGCTGCCTCGCCAGTGCCGCTCGCCCTCAGTGCCACCTCCCCCGCCGCGCGCCGTGCGGTCGAGCGATCGTCGCGCGGGTACGTCGTACAAGGTCTCCGCCTCCACCACGAGGAGTTCCGCAAGGACGAAGAAGTATCCTGCCATCGCCGCCCAACTCGCACCGTGTGCATCCACGCAGAGTCAATTCCATTGACATTTTTCCACGCTCTCTGGTGGATTCGGAAGGACGGCGCGCACGTGCCGGTTGTGTTCCGCGCAGCTCGTCTCACCGGCAGCCTCTATTACGGCGTCAACCTTCCTCCCGCGACGGATGCTGTGGCTCCTGCGGATGCCACCGTTGCGAGTGTGCTTTCGATGCACGACCCTGCCGTTGCATCGCTGGTACGGCGCACTGTTTCCCTCTTCGTTGGCGGGAGCCGTCTGCGGGCGGTGCAGCTGAACCCATCGGCGGTGACCGAGTTGGAGCGCATCGACGTCTCGAATTGCCGCTGCCTCACGTCCCTGCAGTGGAGCCGTGCAGAGGCGGCGGCAGACGGCGCAGAAGACAGCGGCAGCAACAGCGCCGAGCAGCTTCACCACCTTCGAATTCTGAAGGCGTCCTTCAGCGGGTTGGTCGTCTTCCCCGCCCCAACATTGGCGGCATGGGCGCCGGCTCTGACGACGGCGCTCCTCTCTGGCTGCCGTGCGCTGAGCCGGGAGCAGGTGAATAACCTGCTGGACGACTGCCTGGAGCTGCGGGTGGCTCGCCTGGACTCCACGAAGCTGTCGAGCATCGACTCCTTCGCTTTGACCTGCCCGCGCCTGTCGGAGCTGAACGTGTCGAACTGCGCGGACCTGCAAGACGTGTCCGCCCTCGCTGCGCTGTCGTCGCTGCGCGTGCTGGACCTGCACGGCAACGCCAGCCTCGCCTCGCTGGACGGCGTGGGCGGCGGCGGCCCCCTGCGCCGGCTCGATATTTCGCACTGCAAGCGGATCTCGACACTGCGGCCGCTGGAGGGCCGCCTGACAAAATTGGAGCGCTTCAACGCCTCCCACTGCTCGGGACTGCTGGACACGCAGCTGGGCGCCCTGCGGACGAGTCTGCTGCTGGAGGAGGTGAAGGTGAACCAGTGCCCCTCCTTGCGAGACTTTTCGGCGCTGTCGCACCACGCCAATCTGACGGTCGTGGAGGCCGCCGACACCGCCATCGCAGGCGTCGATTTCCTCCGCTCCTGCACGGCGCTGGAACGGCTGTCCGTGGCGGGGTGTGCCAACCTGACGGACCTCACCGCCCTGCGTGGACTGTACAGGTTGGTCAGCGTGGATGCGTGCCACTCCGGCGTGACGCGGATGGCGGAGCTCTTGGACACGTGCTCTGCGCTGCGTGTGGTGCTCGTGCGGGACTGTGAGCTGGATACGGAGAGCACAGACCGGCTGGAGGCGTGTGCGCCACGTATTGCCTCTACGCACCGCGCCGTGAACAGCGGCAACAGCGCGCCAGTGACCGCGACAGCGTAAGAGCGCGCTTGTCTTTTCAAACTGGAAAAGAAAAGGATGCGCGTGAGAAACGCACTACCATTGTGTGTGAGTGTGTGGCTGTGTCTGCCACAGAAAAATTCTTGTTTCTCCTGTTTGTTTCTCGCTTTTGATGTTTCTCCTCCTGTGTTTCTGAAAAGCAAAGAACAAGTAGCCTACCAACTTCTTCAAGTAAGAGATTAGAGGAAAGAGGAACCCAAAAGGAACATATATATTGTTGACTTCTTAGTGTCGGAGGGCGCCATGAGGACGTAAACACAATCAGCTCTCCTCTTCTCTTGTTATAATTTCTAATTGTTGTGGTTTTGTTTTTTTTCTCTGTCGCAGTTGTGGCTGAAGTGAGGAAAGGAGAAAACCAGAAGAAACGAAAAGCGGCGGCGCAGCTCTTTTTTATCCTCCTTCTTCTTTCGGCTTTCCTCCTCGTTGTTGGTGTTGTCGTCGTCCTCTGCGGAGTACAGTCCTGGCGAACCTCTGCAGAGACACCCGTCGTGTCGTTAACGGCGTATGTATCTTGACTTCATCGCCTTCTTTCCTCTAGCTGACTCATTTGCGATTAAAGCCTGCATCTTGTAAAGCGGCCTTCTTTTGACAAAACACTCTATTAAGAGATGAAAAAAGGCGGCGGTACGGCATTGCAGGTCGGCACACCTGCGAAATATATATTTCATGCGGGCTGTGCCGACACTGCGCCGTGCAGCACCCTCTGCTGTGCCTAGCGTTTGTGTGCTCTTGTATATCTTGCTTTCTCTTTTTAGTGGTAAAGTTGAGTTCTGCGGGGAATAAGAACCGCAGAGAAATGGAGAAAAGGAAACAGGTGACATATAAATATATATGCGTGTGTGTGTGTGTGTGTGTCATTTCTCAGGCAGTCTTTCAGGTACTCGAACCCTCACGAAGATGTTCTTGACAACTGCGCACTCGCCGCCTCTGTCGGCAGAATATCTCCACAGGTCCTTTCCCCATGTTTGTATGAGTGGGTGAGTGTGTTTCTATGATCGCTGGATATATATGTTTTTTAAGTTGAAGTCCTTCCAAGGCCACTCTGTTGCTTCTCTCGCTCTTCAATTGTTGTTGGTGTATTCCAGGTAGCGCATTTTGAAACGTCGCTGTTTTAACTATTATTTTTATTACTGTTGTACACTCCAGACACGACGATTTCGCCGCCTACCGTGTTAACTCGCTCTTTTCGGTAAATGCAAAACCAATCGATTCAAATTCTCAGAAGTGTACTTTTGACAATAATGTGTGGAGAGAGAGAGAGAGAGAGACATTTTTAGCCGATGCACCTGTGAGGGCACACGAAGGCACAGCGAGTCCCATCCCCGCCGCCTCTTTCTTTCTTTCCCACCTGTGCCGGTTGCATTGCGTTATCACAGAAGCTTTCAAATGAGAAGGCGAGGAGGAAGACATTCAATAGCTTGAAGGATACATACTTTATTTTTCTTGTTCTCCTACTAATCTGCCCTACACTGTCGTCAAGGTGTTTCTACCATGTTTTTCCCTATTCTGATTTTCATGTTTAGCAAAACAACATTGTCTTACGTTTTATTTCTCCCTTCTGTTATTTTCTGTTATTACTGGGACAACTCCGTGCGTTATGTGGAACTGTCAGCAGTCTGGAAAAATGAACAACCGGCAGTACGAAATACGACGTGTCAAAAGAATCTGCGCTGACAGAAACTGAGGCGCGGTGTTATCCCCTGCCTCTGACACAGTGCTCTTCTCTTGTAGTTGCTGTTTGCATAAAGAGAAAGTGAGGTCTTCTCTGTTGAGGTCGCTGCCGCCTTGCCGACTGTGCATGGAACGTAAAGCAGCGTACTTTTAGAAAGCACAGATGAACTATTGGGCTAGCTCATCAAAATCATGAAGAGCAGAACGGATATCTGTGTGTGTGTGTGTTGTTGTTGTTGCTATTTTCCTGTAGGCCTAATGCACATGTTTTGCTCCCATTTTTCTCCACTGTTCGCCTCTTCTTTCTCTTCCATTATACCTTTTGTTTTTTCTTTAGCCCATTTGGAAAAGGTAAGAGCACTTCCACAGCACGTGTGATTGAGAGGGAGGGACTTCGTACAAATATCGAAGACCGCATTAGGCGTCGCCGTGCAGCTGTCTACCGGCGCGCCAGTGCAGATTACTGCTGTCCTCTTAACAACATATATTTCTTTTTCCCCTTAGAGGGGTTGTGGTTTGCTGCGCATTTGGAGCTGTGTAGGTTTTTATGATCCCCAACCACTATTCTCTCTCTCTTCTATTGTTTGTATGTTTGTTTCTGCTATACCTACGCACTCACGCGCTTATTTTGCTCCCATAACCTTCTCTTACTTCATTCGGCTCCCTCTCATTTATTCATTCCCCCCCCCCCCACTCGGCGCGGGCGCACGCTCGTTGCTCGCCGCCACCAGTTTATCCGTAATACAAGAAAGAATCATCAAATTACACTACGCTTTTTTTTCTCTCCCCTGATCATTGACAACAGAGGCGGTGCGCGCTCTGCGTTCACATCCAACCCACATACGTTCGTGTAATGTCCGGGTCATCGTTAGCGCTGTCTCCTGTCACGGAGCAGCGCATTCTCGCTGCGGCGGAGGTGCTGCGCGTTTCCCCCGACACTTTTCTGCGGCGCCTCCTCTCCCAGCACTACAACACCCTCGGCGGACTGCCGCTCGATCTGCTGCGGTACGTCTTCACCTTCCTCGACTACTCCACCATTTCGGGTCTCGTCGCACGGGTGTCGAGGTTCTGGCAGGACTGCGTGGTCGAGTCGCCGCAGAACGTTCTCTCCCGCCTGCGCCAAATCCATGGCATTCACCTCCTCGACCCCGTGCACGGTTTGTTCTACTTCCCGCGTGCGCTAAAGCGCGTTGTCTTCGATGCGAAGGGTGGCGGTGCCGGTGGGGCGGCGGGCCGACTTCGGTCTGGCGCGGATCAGCGCCGCGCCATGTCCACCACACCTGCCGCTCTGCACAGCAACTCGCAGGCAGTTCCGGCCTCGTCTTTCTTGACGGTGGACATCCGCACACAGAACACCAAAACGCTGCCGTGGAGCTACGTGCAGATGACGGTGCGACGCGCGATTGAGCGGGAGCGGGCGCTGTTCGGGGCGGTGCGCACGCCTGGCCTTCAGCGCCCCGAGGACCCGGCCTGGACCCAAGCCGCGACGGTCACCTACGATCGGCACCTCTACATGTTTGGTGGGGAGACGTACGAAGGGGTGGTGTTGGACCGCGCGTACGAGTACGACCCCATGGAGAAGCACTGGACGGTGTTGCCGGACCTGAACGAGAAGCGCGCTGCGGCGAGTGCGGTGGCTTTTCGTGGACGCATTTTTGTCTTTGGCGGCTACAACGAAGAGGGGGAGGTGCTGGACACGTATGAGGTGCTGGACGTGCCGACGCGGTCGTGGGCGTCGCGGCACTACCCGCCCTCCTGGTTGTATACCACCTCCCCTCACGCACGCACGTCCACCACGGCGGCAGCTACTGCGACTACAACGTCCGCACCCAACACCGCTGCTTCCTTCCGCTCCATCTCGAGCGTGGTGGCCGAAACATCGGGCGCTGCGTCGGGGCAGTACCGGATGCCGGAGAAAATCTGTGGCACCGCGACGACGGTGTACGGCGACGTCATCATCTTCGCGGGTGGTCATCAAAGCTGCATCGCACCCGATCAAACAGCTGTGAGCTACTCCGCCATGAATAGCGCCTCCACCACACCGATGCACAGCGTGGGTGGCCCATTTAGTGGTGGTGGTGGTGGTGGTGGTGCGGGGAACCGAAGCGTCACCGGCACGTCCTTGTCTGGGTTACCTGGCATTGTCAATGCGGGTGATGAAGCCTCGGCGCAGTCTGCACACGGAAGAGACAGCATTATCTCTCATCCCACGGATAGCGGCATTGTCAGAGATGATTTATTGTCGGTGACGGCGAGTATGCCTGCGCTGGCCGGTGTCGACAGCCTCACCTCTCCCCCCACCGCTGGTGCCAATAATAATAATAGTATTATCAACAGTGCTGCTGGTGGTGGTGGTAACACTAACACGAGTGCTGGTGCACGCACCAACTCCCCTCCTGGGCTGCCGCGCGTCAACTCCATCGCCTTCGACGGCCCCGCCACGGCAGAGACGCTCGTGTGGGTTTTCTCGCCCATCACCGGTCAGTGGTGGATGGACGCCCCGCGACTGCCCTCGCCGCGCGCGTTCGGCGCACTGACGACGCTGGAGCTGCCGATCGTCGGCTCTTGTTTGTGCTACTTTGGCGGGTGTGCCAAAGCAGACGCCCCGGAGACGGCGATGTTTTACATTCCGCTGGGCGATGCGCAGGCCACGCGCCTGCACGACGCACGCCCCGATGACGAGGACGCGGGTGATGGCACGGATGGTCCTGCACATGCAGCGCTGAAAGAGAGCACGAACGACGACGACGACGGCGGAGGCCAATCATGTATGACACAGTCACCCGACACGGCCAGCTTCCTTCATGCCGCGCAGGACCGCTGGCGGTCGTCGCTGCGAGACGCACCGCCCCTCCCGTCGCCACAGCAGACAACAGAAAAGGGAGACGGTAAAGGAGAGGACGCCGCTGCTGCCGCAGATGTAGCCAACGTCCCGCTGATCACCGAGCCCTCGCGTGCGTCTGCCGTCGACATGATCACCCGCTGCTTCCGCGATCTCGCAGAGCTGCCCTGGCAGCGGTACGTGCGGGTGCCCATTGGTGGTGCCTTTACCTCGGTGGCCGTCATTGGACACCCGCACGCCCGCACCGTCGTGCTCACGGGCTTCTACCCGATGGCGAACATCGGCTTTTGCAAGGTCGACTCCCTCCTACCGACGGATGCCCTCGCACCGCTATTGGGTGCGCTGTCACCGCCGCCGCCGCCGGGCGCTGTCCAGGCAGAAAATGACGGAGCCGCGACACTGCAAAGCCCGCACACTCCGCCACTTGAACACGCTGATCCCTCCCCCACCAGCCTGCGCGACGCCCCTCACAGGTCCCCTCCACCGCCACGACTGGACGTGTCCCTGCAGGACGAGGCTGCCGCAGCCGCAAACCACTCTCAGCAGGAGCGGGAGTGGAGTCATCACCAACGGCAGGAGGTGCGCGAGATGGTGCGCTCGGCCGCCCGCGCCGCGACGCTGCGGCACCCACGCAACCCGCAGAGGGCGGGCGAGGAGCGGAAGTGGAGCCTCGCACCGGTGCCGGAGGTGCGGGTGCGCAACCCGACGGGACCCGTGCTAACGCGTGTGTCGTGGAAGGTGCAGTCCCTCAACGCGAAGGTCATCGTCGGCATCGAGTAGCGCAGAACCAGCAGCAGCAAGGGAAAAGAGAAGGGGAATGTATGCGGGGGTGTAGCTGTGGATCCATGCTTTACATGCCTGCTCGCAATAGCTCATTTTTCTTGTTCTCTTTCTCCCTCTTCTTCCCCAAATTTTTGCCGTGCAGCGAAATGATAAGGGACTACCTTTACTGCTGCCTACGTAGAAACTGGGGACAGCAGTGTGGGACTCTGCGAAGGCGCAGTAGAGTCCGTGTGGCAAAGGTACCGCGCCCAGCCCAGCCCGGATGCCCCAGCAGCATTGAGAGAAAGGATGGAGGGGGCTGACTTGGACCTTTGGATGTGAGGAGACCCATCTGAAGAGTCCTGAGAACGGAAGATGTTTTGCTGAACGTGGAGTCGTTCGGGAACCCCCCCCCCTCCTCGACTGATTCATCGCCCTTTTCGTAGTTGGTCAGCAACGTTGTTGTTGTTTTATTTTCCCTTTTCTCTCTCCTCACCATTTCCCTGAGTACCCGCCTCACTCTCCTACCTCTCCCTCTCTGCAATCCAACTCGATACGCTTCACAAGAGCCCAATTTGAGCGACGCCCACCACATCAGCAAAAGTCCTGTGTTTTCGTGTCCCACTGTACACACACACACACACACACACACACGCCGGAGGAACGATCTCGAACGGGCAGCAGGCAAGCATCGACGTCACCGAAGTAAGGTTGTGTGTTTTCTTTTCTTTTCTCCTTTACGTCAACTCCACAGCCTTTACTCGCCACACGCGAATATTTGAAATTTTTAAAAGCAACGGTAATCATGTCCACCACCGTCAAGGAGGCCATCGCGCGCTTCGAGGAGGCCGAGTACCGCCGCCGCCTCGTCAATGTGCCGGAGGCAGAGCAGGAGAACGTGCCGCGTGTGGTGGCGGCGCAGGAGTCTAAAGTGCTCCTCATCGGTCTCCTGCCGCCCATCGTGAAGATGGACAAGGAAATCACGACGCTGAAGGAGTGCGAGCACCTTGGCCTCAGCACCAACGCCATTGAGAAGATCGGACCCGGTCTGAAGGAGCTGAAGAGCCTGAAGGTGCTCTCGCTGGGCCGCAACAACATCCGCAAGCTAGAGCAGCTCGACTTGCCGCAGCTGGAGCAGCTGTGGATCTCCTACAACAAAATTGATAAGCTGACCGGGCTGGACAAGCTCAAGAATCTTAAGGTGCTGTATATGAGCAACAACCTCATCAATAGCTGGACCGAGATTGACCGCCTAGGGAACCAGTGTCCCGAGCTCACAGACGTGCTCTTCCTCAACAATCCGTTGTGCAGCGGTGCCGCCAGCAATCAGGAGTACCGCTACATGATGCTGCAGCGTCTGCCGAAGCTGACGCGACTCGACGGCGTGCCCGTCGACCCAGATGAGAAGGAGGAGGCAGACCGTCGCCGCTAAGGTCGACGAACGCGCCGGCATTCAAGAAGGAGAAAGGTGGAAAAGAGGATCCGACGCGGCGTCGCACCTCGCACACGCCACTTCTCCTCGCCTTGTATTCCTCCCGCTCTTTCTTGGCCGGTTACGATGCGCTCTGAAGCAAGGGTATTTTTGCACGCGTGTCGCGTGTAGTACCGGAGCAAAGTGTGTGTGTGTTTTTCCCTATCTTTTCCGTATGTACAGCCAACTAGAAAGGTGTTGATGTGAAGCACTGCAGTGATTTCCGTTAAAAATATATATATCAAAGAAAAACGGAGAATTGGGGAATTGTCAACCATGGAGTCACGCTCCTATATGTAAGCGTGATGTCCACAGGGGGGAAGGGGAGGAGAGCGGAGAGACACGCGCAGGCAGTTGCTGTTGTTTTCCAAGGGAAAGAAGTGTCCTTGTACCACGAAATCTATGTCTGTGTGTGCGTGCGTGTGTGTGTGTTGGAAGTCGTGTGCGAAGACCGCGGAACAGCAGTAGTAGCTGCAACTCCCTGGGCCTATTGCCCATGGCTAGCCTGTAGCATATTTTCTGTTTCCGTCGCTGGAGTGGATTTGCGAATTTCATTTCAACTTTCTTGTTTGTTTGTCTTTCCTTTCATCTGCGCTCTTCCTGAAAACCCGCATCCGTTCTGTATTCACGCACGCACGCAAACGAGCGTCAGCGGTTCAAAAAAACAAGCTACATCACAATAGGTGATTGACTTTACACAGGCCTCTTCTGCCTTTTGCATGGTTTCGCCGTCACATGTCGTCCTCCCTTACTTCCTCTCCGTGTGGCTGGAACGCGGTCGTAAACCTCTCGGATGCTGACTTTACCTCCCGCGTCGACTTCATCGATGCGTACGTGCTCCCTACGTTTAGTGAAGTCGCACCCACGGCGGCGTTAGTTTCACCGTGGCTTTTGTCGTATCCGCCTCCTCTCCCGCCCTACCCGACTACCGCAAACTCGGATCTGCAGCGCGACCCCACCCACACAACCGCTTGTGCGTCCGCCGCGTCACCCCACGCTCGCGTGGAAACGGTTCCGCTCGCCTGGCGGTGCCCGACTTGCGGCAGCGTGGAGGTCGAGCAGCTCTACTGGCGGCGTCCCTCCGCACCGCGGTGCTGTCGCACAGCGCACAACGTGTCCACCACAGCCACTCGTGCACTGCTGGCACGCAAGTTGCAGCTTCAGGGACTCTCAGCAGCGATGAAGGCCAAACTGGAGCGTCACCGGCGTCGGCGCGAGCGTCGCGAAGAGATGCGCTGGCGCTCGTTGCACGTGAGCACGCGCTGTCGACAGTGCTTTCTGTGCCCTCGATGCGGTGGTCACGGCGGCAGCGAACCGTGCGAGACGCAACGTGACGCAGAGGAAGCGCGTGTTACCTCTCCAAACAACAACCCAAACAGAGGCGCGTCGTGTTGTCGGCCCTCCTATCGAAATGACCGTCGCGACAGCGGCGACGGTGGAGCATTAGCGCCAGCATCATCGGTGTCAGCGCTTGACATTCGGTTAACAAACGACATGCGCTACTTCGCCGTGTGCCCGTGCTGCGAGTGGCACAGCTACCAAGCCTTCCCCTCCATGGAGCAGCTGATTTCCTACCTAGACAGCGTCATGGGGGAAGACAAGACGGAGGTAATGCGAGACCGGCGCAATTCACAGCGCAGCGCCAACAGTGCCCTGCGTAGTCGTCTGCATGAGATCCTCTGCCCGAACGACGCTGCTGGCGATGTCGGAGAGGAGCTCCTCTGTCTTCTTCCTCACGAACCACCAAAGATGTCGCTCTCCCACGCGGCGTGGGAGACGTACACGAAGCTGACATCTGGCAGGCAGCGGCGTACATCGCCGAACTCACCACGCGGCGACGCGACCCCTCGGCAGCGGCACAAAGAAGGTGAGAAGAAATCAATAAACACAACAGCAGCAGCAGGCGACGAGGAGGGGGAGGACGCAGTGGACCTCGTGGCGGGCCTCCACCCTGCCGTGGCGCTGGAGGTGCTACGAGAACGTGAAGCGGTGCATCGCGCAAAGGTGCCACTCGACAAACAAGCGGTTTGTGCTCCTCCAGGCGCTGTGCAGGTGGCGCGAGTGTGGGACTTGGCGCAGGAGGCGTGGGCCTTCTTCGGCGGTGCAGACCAACCCGACACGATCGAGGCGGCGCCCTCCTTGTCCGTACACCCTCCGGGATCATCGGAGGTGGACTTTATTGCGCGCACCCAGCAGTCCGTCATGGGCCTTTGTGCCGAGGCGGTGGACACACGTCAGCTTACGCTGCATGAGTGGATGCAGCGCTACCAGCCAGCAGCGGTCGTGGCGCAGCAGCGCAAAGCAGCAGCAGCAGCTACGGCGACGTCCTCTCCTACTCGCCACGCAATACTCCGCACCAATGGCAGCTCCCCCTCCGCCCTCGCCGCGCTGTTCTCGACGCTGCCCGGCCGCACACCAGCTAAAATACGTGCGACAACCATAGAGCCGGCCTTCGCTACACCGACGCCGACTAGCAACGTCATTCTCAGTGGCAGCACCCCCGCTGCCACACCCACCGTGTCCGCCCTCTACCACACACCCACCTCCGCCTACCTGCAGTCGCTGCTGCAGCGGGAGCACGACCGCCCCTTGGGCCTGCCTGCCTACTGCGTTCCACGCGGACGAAAGGAACTGCTAACAGGACTCGCATGGCGGCTTCCCTCGCGGCAACGCGAAAGCGGTGGCGAAGCGGCAGATGATGATGATGGTGCTGACGTGCATTGCCACCGTGTCCCTTGTACGCGTGTGGTGCTTTTGGACCGTCCAGCGCTGTCCGAAAGCGAGGTGCAGCTGGTCTACGCGCACTGGTCGGTGCTGCTGGAGAAGGCAGCGGAGCGGCAACGGCAGCTGTCCACCCAGGAGATGACAACGGCTGCCGGCGGAGACGGAGGCAGCGACTCGGAGGCGGACGAAGACAACGTGGACGGCCTCCTCGCGACGAGTCACAACGATGCATCGAGTGAGGTGATAAGAAATAGTGGAGCGGAGACGTCCTCCGTCCCTCCCTCTCACGTCGCCCTCTCAGCGGCAACAACCTTCACTTCTCCTTCTCCGCCTCCCTCTCAAAAGGTGTCAGCAAACAAAAAGAAGACGACAACGCTGCCGCTGCCGCTTTTCCTGGATGGCACCGGCTACGCAGCAACTTCGGCGTTGCCGTGTTGGCAGTACGTAGGAAGTACCCGCACCGGAAGCCATGGAAAGGCATATTTAGAGTGGCGCTTCCGTCTCGTAAACCTCAACTTGCAGCACGACCTTTACGTGACAACGCTGGCGGTGAGTGATGTCTCCGTGCGTAGAGGTCTGCAGACGGCAAGCAGCGACGAGGGAGTCGACAGCAGCGGCGGCGCTTCTTCTTGTGAGCTACTTTTGAGCTCTGTAGGAGCACCAACGGTGCAGCTGCCTGCGTCTTTGCAGCCTCGATGCTCCCCAGAAGAGCGGGCGGTACTGGAAGAGATACGGGCATCGGTCGCCAGTCGAACCACGGAGACGGCAATGGGTGAAGACGCTGCCAGAGCCAATGCCGCCGTCCCGTGGGAGGCTGCAGCGGTCCTCGCGCCATCTCCTTCACCGCAGCTGAGTGCCGGGGGGGTTGCTCAGTTGCCGGAACTTCAGGTCACACTCAGAGCGCGAGCAGAAGGGCTGGAAAGTAAGACACGTGATAGCGCCGTTTATGTGGCGTTGGCTATGGAAGTGCTGACGCCGCTGCCGGATGTCTCCACGCTGAACCCTGTAGGGAACGCCGTAGCATCTGTCAAGGGAGTTCCTCCTTGCGTGTGTCAGTATTACTCCCTCAAATGCGGAGTGACTGTGTTGCTTACCTCAACGTAGCAGGCGTCAGTGTGCACTGAACGTGTAGGTGGAGTTTACGCTATCACAAATCACCGCGTGGAACCTCTACCCACAAAGCGAGGGAGAAGAAAAGCGGAAGTAAACGAAATTGTCGCTAACAAAACAGAGAAAAAAGAGGCCTAGTGTGGGTCCACCCACCCACCCCACCCTCCCCATCCTCGTAGTGGAGTATATCGAAAACGACCACATGCCGCTCATGGTGTTGTTCCTGTGTGGTTCAACACCCGTTTTCTTTTGTTACTATTACGGTTCTTGCCTGCGCGGCTTCTTCCATTCCGCCCAATGCGCTGCGGGCTGCTGACTCTCGTGAAATTGTCTTTGTTCTCCGAATGCGTTCTTCGTTGCTGTTGTTTTCTCTTTCCAGTTTGGGCCATTTTCTGGTCATCCGCACTCCGCCTTCTACATAAACTCCCACACGCGATTGAGTTGGCTGGAAACGAAGGAAGCTGGCACAGACGCCTCGTGCGGCTTTCTCACTTGTTTTTGAAGAGGGGGGAGTAGCAGTTGTTTGTCTCCTACACACACGTGAAGAGGTTTTCTCCGTGTGTGTGTGTGTGTGTGCGTGCGTGCGTGCGTGCGTTAAATCCACCTTTCTTAACGAGTAAGCGCTAATACATCACGTCCACGAAGGAGACATTTAACGTAGGAAAAATAGCCTAAGCCTCCTGCCTTTGCAGTATGTGACAGCTAGGTAGGTTGAGCACCAACTGTTCTAACGTAGCGACGGTTTATCATGGCGAGCGACAACGAAGTCTTCTTCATTGACTCGTCCGCCAGCGAGGAGGACGAAAGCAACGATGCTGTGTTTGGCGACGTGAGGCCGCACAGTCGTGCCAGCGACAGCAGCGCCGGCGAGGCAAAGAGCCCTGCCTACCGCCCCCTTCGCTCGTCCCCAACCATGGAGGACGTTCTCTTCAACTTGGCGCCACCTCGACGTCGCCCGCCGACCTCAACGCCCGCCGTTGCACAGCAGCAAAACGGCGCCGATGCGCATCCTGGGACGACGCCGGAAGGCGACACAGCAGCGGCTTCGTGTGCAAACGACGCGCATAAACAACAGAAGCAGCCGCAGGCAACGGGGGCTGACTTTCCCCACGCTGGTGGTTCGCCCTGCGCGATGCCGGTACAGCGGCTCACTCCGCCACCGCGCTCCCTCGCAGAGTTACGCGCCATGACCTCCGCCGACGTCCGCGAGGAGCTGGAGACCTTTTTTGTGTCCAAGGAGGCTTCTGCCAAGCGCTTTAAAGCGGTAGAAGGCGAGATGTTGACCAACACGGATGAAGAAGGCACACCGCAGCCGTCATCGTCGCCTTCCTCCCCAACGACTGGTACTGTTACTGCTGCCGCGCTACTCGCACGCGATCGCTGTCGTCGTCTCGTCAACATCAGCAACTGGGACAGTGCCGTTCACGGGTACTCTCAATGGGACGTCTTGCTGCCGTCTGCGCTGCTGCCGGATGTATCGACCGCCACCCCAACAGAGGCTGCAGCAGCAGTACCGTCGCCAACATTGAAGAAAGCTCCCTCATCTGCGGTTTCACACAAGCTCACATTGCGCCCGCATCAAATTGAAGGCATCCGCTTTCTCTGGAGTATTCTGGCGGAGGGGCCCGTTGGTCAGGTCCCCGCCGTGGGCTGCATCCTGGCCCACACCATGGGCCTCGGCAAGACGGGGCAGGTAGTCATCTTTTTGCATCTCTTCATGGCGGCCTTCCAGCGACGCGAGGAGAGCCGCGGCACCGCGCACACGTCCACCGCACACCGCCCGCGCGTATTGATTGTCGTTCCGAAATCAACGCAGTCGGGGTGGAAGCGCGAGTTTTACACGTGGTCCCGCAGCTTCCCCGAGGAGTACCGCCTTCACCCACTCGTCATCGAAGAGGGGCTTCGGCCACGTCAGCGGGTCGACGTGTTTCGCCAGTGGCGGCGCGATGGCGGAGTGCTGCTAATCGGCTACAAGGCGCTAGTCCGTCTCGTGCAGCTGGTGGAAGAAGACAGCGTGTGGGTGCAGAAGCACGAACGCGAGTTGAACCCGCTACACGCCTCTCCCGCAGTTGCTTCTTCATCTTCTGCGTTGCACAGAGAGGACGACGAAGAGCACACGGCGGCGGTAGCACGCGAGCGGCACCGTCTCGACTTGCGAGAGCGTCGCAGCGATGAGGGCGGCAAGGCCTGCGGTGGCGACGCGGACCCCTTCACCGAGCTCGTGGTGTGTGACGAGGCCCATAGGCTCAAGTCGGTCCACCTGCACGTCGTGCAAGCCCTGCGGGAGCTGCACCCGTTGCGGCGCATGCTGCTCACCGGCACCCCGTTGCAGAACCACTTGCATGAGTATTGGGCGATGATGGACTTCTGCGTGCACAAGTACTTCAGTCGCCGTCGTTTTCGTGAGTACTTTATTCAGCCCATCGAATCTTCGGCCACAACGCGTGCCTCAGAGAAGGAGGTGGACCTGGCGCGGAAGAAAACCTTCACGCTTATCAACGAGGTGCGGCACTTTGTGCAGCGCGTGGACGGCACCCCGCTCCGCAACGAGCTCCCGCCGCTGCACGAGTACGTCGTGGTGCTGCCGCCGTCACAGCTGCAGAAGGAGCTGTACCTTCGCTTCATCCAAATCGTACAGCACGACGGCAGCCAGAAGCTGCAGTTCCTGCCGGCGGTTTCCTACTCGGGGAAGATCGCTGCTCACCCGCAATTGCTCTTTCAGATGCGCGACCAACACGCGGAAGGGAACCGCGACCGCAACTCCACCGCAAGAGGGGGAGGTCGTACCACCTCGGTTAGAAAGCGTGTCAGCGACTACTGGGAGTTGGAGCAGAAGAGCCGTCGGAGCGCCTCGGCAGTGGATTCGCGACAGCACCAGCAGCAGCACTGTTTGTCAGCGCAATTGCCTGCTAAACGAAGGCGGTTGTCGGCGGACGTGCGTGAGGACGCCGACGAGGTACAGGACGGCGAGAGCGGCAGTGATGACGCCACCTCTAGTGCGGAGAACGCAGAAGCGGTGGTAATCTCCGATTCCGAAAGCAGTGCTAGCGACAGCAGTGGAAAGCGCAGCGAAGCGGTCAAGGCAGAGGAAGACGAAGAGTTTACACGGGTGACGCAGCACTCCTTCTCTGCTGAGTACCCCGCGCCACTCACCTATGACGAGCTGTGCATCCCGCCGTCGCCGACCTACGTGCCGCGGCTAGGAGATGGCGTCAAACTGCACGCCGCGATGAAGCTGATTGCGGCGGCGATGGCGCAAGGCGAACGCGTTCTGCTCTTCAGTCTCTCCACGCAGCTTCTGACATTCTTTGAGTTTATGATCGCCAAAGTGAATGTGGAGTGGTGCGGGAAGCCGGGTGCGTCGGCGCTCGACTCGCAGTCCACGCTGCTTACACGTCCTATTCGGTATTGCCGTCTCGACGGCAGCCACACCGCGGTCCAACGTGCGGCCATGCTGGACCAGTTCGATCGCGTCGATGGACCAGACTTGTTTCTACTCAGCATGAAGGCTGGTGGGGTGGGGGTCACCATCACAGCCGCTACTCGCGTCATCCTCGTCGACACCAGCTTCAACCCTGCCGACGATCAACAGGCCATCGGCCGAGCCTACCGTTATGGGCAGACCCGTCCCGTCTTCGTGTACCGCCTCATGTGCTACCCCACACTCGAGTACAGCATCTTCGCCCAAAAGCTGGCGAAGGAGTGGCTCTTCAAGACGGTGGTGGAGGAGTCCTCCGTGAAGCGAGACGGGCTCTCGGGCATGCACCTGAAGGAGCTCTTTTCTCTCCTCACGCGAGCGGCGAAGGTGCTGGAGAAGCCGCCGACTGCCACCCGCACACAGATGCAGGCCACCCAGGAGGTCCTCCAGGACGACCCTCTGCTGAGCGTGGTGCGGTGCGACCTCCTCTACGCCCAGCGCTACGAGATGTTTCTCGAGCAAGACCGCAACGACCAGTACGGGGCGGCCGAGGAAGAGTTCTACAGGGAATACCGCCGCAGCCGCCTTCTTAACGCAGCAGACGACGAGGACGCGGCGCGGCGGCAGGCGGCCGATGTGCTGCGGCGACGCCAGCAGCGGGTGGACGAAGCTGCCCAACTGCATTCGCAGACGAAGACGCTCACTAGCATGGTAGACGACCTTATTCGGTCGAGGGCGGGGACGGACCCGCACTTGGCGCGTCTACTCGCCGCGATGGGTTTGCGGGTGGATCCGGCAAGTGGGCAGGTGCAAACCCGCGGCACCCCTCCTTCCTCCGGTGGTGGTCCGTTCGGCGGCACGGGCGAGCGAGGTCCTGCGCCGCCGCTGGAGCACCACGATGACCGCTTTGCGCCGTCGCCGGTGCTTCTGGTTGGCGCAACGAACCCCACGGTGATTGCAGCCAGCGCACCGGCCGGCGGGCCGTCTTCGCCCTCGCCGCACGCGCACAACTCCCGCCAGACAGCCGTGCTGCTCCTAGACTCCGACGATGACGGCAACTCGCTGTTGGCGCCTCCTGGTGAAGTCAGAAACGGGGAAAAGCGGCAACAGCAGCAAGGCGGTACAGCGACATATGTGCGCAGTCCCGTGAACGCTGCGGAGCAGATAGCTGCCTCGCTTGCCAACCAGCCGTATGCTCGCTATCGTCCAGGGGGGTCGCCGTCGCGGGCGGTGGACATCGACAGCGAGGCTTCCCAATGAAAAGGCATGTGGGTGTATGTGTGTTTTTCTACTTCCTATTCGCTTTCACATCAGCATACGTGCAAACAGTACTGGAGAGTTGAGGAGGGCCAACAAGGGAGAAAACGTCGGAGTGATCGTCATTGCGCCTCTCACGGGCCGTTTTCGTACTTCTCCCGGCATGAAGCACTTCCTTCGACCGCTAAAATACAACAGCACGTGACGCTGCCAAACGCATTCGGTCCCTCTGAGATGGCAGAAAACGTGGCCCTGGAAGGAGGCTATTGTGTCTCTCGCTTCCGCTGCTGTCCTTCTCTTCTCGTGGAGCGCAGAACGATGTGTAACGCAGTAGAGACGGGGAATAGAGAAAGACGGCTCTGTCATCAGAAGTGAAATCATCTTTCCTCCTTTTTCGAATTGTTTTTTTATTATTATTGTTGTTTACCATTCTTGCCTTCATCACCACGTACACCAAGGTTGACGTGTCTTCCCATTAGCGGAGAACCACACCTCTGTGAACACAAATACATTCACACACACACAAACAGACCGCAGCAGCACCGCGGCAGGAAGCCATGGCGCACCTTATCGCCCCGCCATCCTCCGTGCAGCCCATGACGAAGGAGGACGTCGCCGTCGTGCAGGCGGAGAAGCGCGTCGACGCCGCCACACGGGAACAGCTTGTCAGCGTCTACGGGGACTCGCGCGATCCGCACGGGCGGCCGATCGACCTTACCCGGCCACCGCATCGCAACTGGCGATGCCCCTCGTGCGGGAAGGTGAGCACAGACCTCCGACACGTGTGTGGTTTTTGTCTTCAACCGGAGCCGGGTTACACCAGTCAACGCTGCGCCAACCGCAAAGGTGAGACCGCAAACGACGCACGACGCACGGCGGCAACAACAGCCACGGCGACAGCGGTGCAACGCGCCGGAACGAGCAGCGACGCCGGTGTGCAGTTCCTTCAAATTTCTTCCACGAAGCGCACCTACCGAGTTTTCACTGAGCCGCACCTGCCTACCGCTGCGTCACGCTCCACGGCGGCACGGGGTGCTACAAAGGCAGCGGATATGCGAGATGCGATGAAGGTGGAGGAGGGAGACGAGGATGAGGAGGACGGTGTGTGGGATGATGAGCCAGGCTGTGGCGAGGGACAGCCCTGCCGGCCCGGCGATGGTGGTGGACGTGACAGTGACGAAGAAGCGGCAGCGGCAGCGGGAGGAGGTGGTGGTGCTGCGCCGACGGCGAAGGTGCAGCGGCGGGCACCGAAGGAGGAAAAAGTAGATGGCGGCTTCACGCACTTCGTGTCGATCCCTGTCGGCAAGCTGCCCGCCATCACCGCCAATGCTACACGGGTGCTGGAGGACCTGCGGAGCTTCGTGGGTGCCGAAGCGTCTCCAGACCACGCGGAAAGCGCCGGAGCAGGCGCCGAGGACACGGGCGACGTAGCGGCCCCCTCCGCCTCTTCCTCGAAGACCGCTGCGACGCCCGACCTGGTCACGAGCACGCCGCAGCTGCACATGACGCTGCTCATGCTCTCACTGCCCAGCCGCGAAGACGTAGAGTTTGCAAAGGAGCTCCTGCAAGGGCCTTTTGCTGCTGCTTGGGCCGCCGTCAAAGAGAAGGCCGTCGCTGCTCTCAAGAACAAGAGCAGCAACAGTAGTAGCAGCAATGTCCCCACCCTGTTGCTCAGCGGTGACGCGTCCTTAGCCCCTGCCCATCGTCACCCTCTCATTCGCCTCGGCGGTGGCCTGCAAGTGATGAAGGCTGGCGAAGACAACGAGCTGTACCAGCCACAGAAAGCCAGCGTGGTGTACATGGGCATCGACGACCCCGCTGCCCTCGCTACGGTGCAGCAGCTTCAGCGTGTCCTGCACGACAGCTTTGCGGAGCTCATTCAGGATCTCGCCGAGGCAGCGCGCGCGCGACGGGTGTTGCACGTCACCATCATGAACAAGAAGTGGCGGCAGGTGCGCGGCGCACGGCGTCCGTTCGATGCGCGGCCAATTCTGGACGTCTTCCAAGAAGCGTGCATCGGTGCGGGCGACGACGGCACGCAGCTGTTCGAGATACCGGAACTGGAGCTGTGCGCGAGGCGAAGGCACGATGATGAGACCGGCACCTACTTTGCGGAGGCGGTGGTGAAAATTTGATCTGACGTACTGAGGGGGAGGGAGGAGAGGAGGGGACTGCCTCGCTCACCCAAAGCTCCCTCTCTTTCTCTCTCTCTCTGCCTTCTGCGATTACTAGTCTTTGACTTCACTATGTACCCATGGTGTTTCCACCCACACAAGAGAAAATTGCTGCCCTGTGGACGCGTTGCGCTTGTTCCTCTGCGGTCGGCTGACTTGCAGTAGCGGTACAACGTAGAAAAGCGTTTGTTTTCTAAGGCTCTTTGGATGCATTTATCGGTGCTTAGTCTGAAGAAGAGATTGCTGGCCGAGTCGCAGCGAGACCTGGATTACTTGATGATGGATGTTGTGACTTATTCATGTGTGTCTTCTGCTTTTTTCTTTCTCGCGCCACGTTTTGTTTGACGTACTCTGGCAAACACACTTGCACATGCATAAACATATATTTATGTGCCACTTGCAAAAAGCACTGCTATCACACCATCTTGGTGTTCGTGTTTGCGGCTGCGCTATTCACCACACGCAGAAGGCACGTCAACTGGCAGAACGACAGTCGATCACTGCCGTGCACAAACGCGCACACTCGACGCATCCTCCGCGATAACCCCTATTCCGTTTGATCAAAGGTGACGGCGAAGGTAGTTAGACTTGTTTGTTTGTTTCTTTCTTTCTGTTGTTTGTTCAAGTCCCACGTCAGCGCATTCATTCGCCTCAGCCCTGCTCTATCAATTCGGCGCTGATTTGTCGAGCAAATTATCGTGGTGCGTTTGAACTTCTCCTTTGGGTTCTTCTTCTCTCTTTGCTTCGTTTGCTTCTTCTTGCACGCGTGTTTGTCCGCGTGAGTGTTTGTGTGTACTACTTATAATTAGTGAAGAGAAGAATGTTTCCCGGGGGCTATCTCCCCGACTACGGCACACCACGTGGGCGCCGGACCACAGCAGTGCCAGCACCAACAGCCATCAGCCCTGCTTCACCCCGATCCGCAAACCCAACCACCGGCAATGCGAATTTGCCGAACGCGAGCGACGTGGTCTCCGTGGCCGCCCTTCCGCACTCCCCCGCGGCAGCGACCGACGGTCACATCTTCGCGCCTGCCGGGAGAGTGGACACAAAGTTCGCGCTGCCGCCGGCTCTCATAACGTGTCTCGTGCGGCACATCGACAGCCAGCACAACGTCCTCGCGACACCAGCCATCGTGGAGAAGTGTCTGCGTGACCTGCAACTGCGGCTCATGCCGTGGGTGCCGGTGGAGCGTGTGTTCGGTTCGACGATGCGCGCTACGGTACCCGTTGGGGCCTCCACGACGTCGGCCTCGGCGTGCCAAGCACACAAGCCAGGCGACATCAGGCCACTTTCGTCTTCCTCCCCCGCGGCCGGTCGCTCATCGCTGCCAAACGGTGCCGTCGTCCCTGGCGGCGATCCCGCAGCTCCACCCCTGCCATCGACCCCACACGCCGGCTCCTACCTGGCCGGCAGCCACGTGCACCTGCAGCTGGCGAAGACGACGGACAACTCCGTTGCGACCGCAGATGGGGCGTCGGTGCTGCACCTCCTCTTTTACGCCGTGGACGAGCCGGAGTCACGGCCCTCGCACCTCGGCCACGTTGTGCAGGAGTGGCAGGAGGCGCTGAAGGCAAAAGGCGAGGAGCACGACTGTATGGTGCTGCTGGTGCACGGCGACTTGGTGGCCGCGTCGGAGGCGGCAGCGCGGATGGCGGAGGAAGCGCAGCACGTCGGTGGTGATGGTCCGCAGGCCGCGGGCTCGGTGTCCACCGCACGCACCGCGGCCTCAGCATCTCCGCCGCCCGCACCTCCGTCCTCCACTCGTCCTGCGGTGCTGCAAGACAAAGTCGACGCCGCGGCGGCCCAGCTGCGCAAGTACTACAAGGAACTGCACGACCTGAAACTCTCACCGCAGCAGGTCTCGGCCTACATGCCAAACGAGACGCCGATGCGTGTTGTGGAGCGGCTTCGGCCCGCCGTCATCGCGCGTGGGGGCCGGCTGCGGCAGTCACTGCAGATCGCTGCAGCACGGAAGCGGCAGTTTCCGCAGGACCCGAGCACGAAGCCAAAACCCTTCTCCGGCTTATCCTCTCCGCCAACTGCTGGGGCAACGCCTACGTTGTCTCCGGCAAACAACCCGATCTCCTCCTCCTCCCCACCCGCATCCTCTCCTCAGCCAACGAGCAGTCCGCAGCGAACGGTATCACCTGCAGCAGCTGCAGCAGCAACGTCTCCTTCGGCCGCGCGTCATGCAGCCCCGCCGTCGTCGTCCTCCGATGCGAACGCGCGGTACTTCAACGTGCAGGCGCTGTGGCGAACGGGCTACGATTTGGTGGTGCATTACCTTCAGTACGGATTTGTCTTCGATGCTCGCGAGGCCTTGGAGCACCTTTACCTGGAGTACTACAACAACTCCGATGACTACATGTTTCTCCGCACACCGGTGGCGACCTTGGAGCGGCTGGGACGCGTGCCGAACCTGTTCGACTCCCACGGACACGGAGGGTGGGAGGTGGGGCGGACGGGCTACCCGAAGGCTCTGGAGCCGGGCTCGGAGTTGCTAGAGGGTCTGCTGCTCTTGGCCTCGGCGGAGATAACGTGTTCGCTGCTGCTCGGTGAGGCAGCGACAGCACTGCGGCGATACAACACCTTTGTGCAGGTCACGCGCGAGAAGTTCGAGGAGTGGAACACATCGGAGGCGCAGACGAAGTCGCAGGCGACGCCGTCATCTGCATCATCAGACAAAGCAGCCAACGCAGCTCCGACATCACCGCAAAGGCAGCAGCATCAGCAGGCGATTGAAGCGACGTCAGGCGTCACCTCCTCCACGTACCAACAGTTTTTCCTCTTGCAGTGTTATTTGTCAGGTCTGCGGATGTGGTGGCCGACGTCAGGTCTGTGCCGGCCGCGGAAGGCCATCTCGTCACGCACCTCTCCAGCCCCTGCACCCACGGCTGCCGCAGCCGACGAACCGCAAAGCAGCGCGGGTAAGGAGAAGCAACTGCACGGAGACAGCGCAGCAACCGTGCCGAGTCAGCGCACCCCGAGGGCGAGCTCCACGTTCTCCCCACTCCGCCTTCCACCGTTGGAAATGGCCTCCCCACCTGACACCGTCAAACAAGCAGCTCTGCCAGCGCCGGAGGATGGCGCCGACATGGACGGTTCGGTGGCGGTGGCGCTGAGCACCTCGCCTTTGCTCCTGCCGAACTCAGAAGATCCGGCAGCGGCGTTGGGGATCGCGGCCCCGCTGTCCTCACCCAACTTCACCACGACGTACGTTACCTCCACCGCCTCCCCTCCCCTGCCCGGTGCGCCGGAGGAAGACGGCGGCGGCGGCGGCGTGCGCTATTCCATAACGAACCCTTCTTTTGCTGCGCCGGGTGGGACGCCGATGTCAGCGCAGTCGTCACGCCGAGTAAGCTCCTTCGCCGGGCGCGCGGAGTTCATCAGCGCGGATCGGCAAGGGGGCGGAGCAACGACAACAACTCCTCTTCTCGCCCCCGCCTCTGCTTCATCGAACGGCGTGAGGAGTGGGGAGCGCTGCAACTCAAGCGAAGAGGGGTATAACGCAGCGCAGCTGCCCCTCGGCGGAGAGGACGAGGAGGACGATTCGGTTCGTTTCGAGTTGAACTACCTAACGGCTGGCAGTGAGGATACGGTGCAGGTGTCCGCCGGGTACTTGGTCGAGCTGGCCATCTCCACCGGGCTCGTGGCACCTTCCATGGAGCCCGCCGAGCTCAGCGGCACCGCCGAGGCGATCCGCGAAGCAACGGAGGGCACCAATGCGGGGCTGGTTCGCGAGTTGCAGCAGCGGCAACGTCAGCTGCGACGCAGCTGTGCGGAGGCGGCCAGTCTTCTGGAGCGCGCACGAGACTCCCTGGCGGCGGTGGCGCACGATCTCGGGTACAGCCCTTTCCGCCGCTTCATGAATGCACTGAGCTTCGATGATGAGGGGACGGGGGAAATGTATCGTGATAAGGAGCGGCGCGCGTCACCTGCAGCGCCAGCCGCCACCGTCACCGCTGTGGCGACTAGCACAGCGTTTTCCAACATTGAAGAGTTGTCGTCGCCCGCGCAGGCGCTGCGGCTGTGGCGCACTCTCACCGCGATGGCCGCCTTGGCGCTGCACATCAGCGATCAGCGCCGCCGCGAGTTCCACCTCTACTCACGACTTGCCGTGACCTTCTTGTCTGATCACCCCACCGTGACGGCGAACATCGTGGCGGACCGCCTCCTGCCTTACGTGAAGACACTCGGTTGGCGTCACGTTGAGCTATTCGTCCGACGTCTTTACGTGGAGGCGCGCGAGCAGCTGATGCGGCGAGTGGGTCTCTTTGACGCTCTTATGCGCACCTCCGCCCCCACACAAGGTGACCTCGGCCACAACAAGAACGGCAGCAGCGCGGCCGCGACGTGGGAAGAGGTTCACAAGGTGGATTCCACGGTATGGCTGCGCATCTTCCGCACCGGCTGGGCCTACGCGTTGTATAGGGAGTGCATTCTGGTGCTTATCCGCAGCGGCGTAGAAGACCCACAGGACTCGGCGGCATCACTCTTGTTAGCCGACGGTGACACCACAGGCACGCAGCAGCAGCAGCAGCAGCAACAGCAGCAATACAGTAGGCGTCCTCCCGCTTCGCTGAGTGGGTCGGCGTCCTCGCCGTTTGGCATGACGAGCGAGGAAGGCGCCGTCGGCTCGCTCGGCACGCGTCTCTTCGCGTACCGCCCCAAGGAGCAGTGGTGGCGGGAGCTGATTCGGGTCGATGCGCTCGTCATGAGCACCTTCTACGCGAATGAGCCACCAGAGTACCCGATGGACCACCCCATGTCCCCGCTGATGGTGCGGCTGGAGAGGCAGCGCTCGCCAGCTGCGGTCACCACCGATGATGGCGCGATGCCCTTCTCCAATCTCGCTGCCGGGGCGCTCGTGGCGGACGTGGACGAGATGGTGCGAGTGTCTTTGATCATGACGAGCGCGGTGAACCCGTTGGTGGGGCCGGACGGCGGGCTGCACCTGCGGGTCACGTCCCCCAACACACACACGTCGCGGTCAGCCCAAACCGTGCGGCTGCAGCTCACGTTGGAGTCGCGGAAGGACTGGGCGGATGAGGAGGAGCCGACGCATGTGGTGCACCTGCACGACTGCGCGGAAGCCGCCTACGACGAGGTCAACCATCAGCTGCGCGCCGTCTTTCTCTTCCCCGTCTGCCACGCAGGGGTCTACTGTGTGCGTCGCATCCGGCTGTGCAACGGCAAGACGTGGCTGGTGCGCTACCCGCAGTACGGCAGCAGCACCGGCGGCAGCAAGGGTCGCCGCGGCTGTCATCGTGGCCTCCCCATGCTGTTTTCACGGGGAGGTGGTATTCCAGCCTCGCACGCGTCAGCGTCACCGGCGTCTTTTCAGCCCGTCACGCGTGCCCCGGTGCTGCGTGTGCCCGAGCCACGCAGCAGCGTTCACCTTCGTCTTACGCTGCCGAGCGAGGCGCACTGCTTCGCGGACAGCGTCGACTACGCCACCTTGGAGGTGGACTTGGAGGATCCGCTGCCGCTCACTCTGTCCTCCGGCGGGGGGCAGCCCTCCTCCGCCGGCGCCTTCAGCAAGAGCACCGACAAGACTGGGATTGAGACGGCGACTGCAGTGGGGGGTCGAGGAGAGAACGACGACAGCGCCGACGAAGGGGCGGAGTGCTCGTGCTTTTACGAGGCCAGCCCGGGGAACCTTCTGCTACCGCTTTCTGTCACCGCGGCAGGTGCCAGCGGTCGGCACTCGCGCGAGCCCGGGACGTCGATCGGTGAGGACGTGATGGAGTTGGGGTCGCAGCAGCGGCTGGCGTCGGTGTCGCCGGGGTATCGTGCGCTGCTTCTCAACGACGGCGCCGGTGTTGCGGAAAGCGTGGTCGGTCTCGCGGACGGTTTGCGCTCCCGGGGCGGTGCGCCGCTGGTGGCGGCGGTGGTGCTGGGCACGCCCAGTTTGTATCGCCAGAGAGGAACATCGAGCAGCGCAGGACCCGCCGTGGAGCCTTCGCGGACCGGCCCCGATGCCTCTCTGACGCAACTCTTAGCGTCGCGCAGCCCGGACATGGGAGCGGCCTCGGTGGGTGGCGGGTTGATGGAGGGCGGTGGCGCTGCGTCGCACCGTGGACACGCAAGTCTGCATCCCTGCCGCAATCCGCATCGTTCACCGTCGCACCGCGCGACACCCGCCGACGGACACCACTCCTCTTCCGCCCGCTCCTCGAGCCACCACCCGCTCTGCGCCTCGCCTCCGCTGGCGGCAGCGGGTCCGCCGCGGACCAGCAACAACAGCGACGGTAACCTTCGCTACAAGTCTGCTTTCAAACCGTTGCGGGTTGGCAACACCACAGAAAACAATACGACTGCGGCTGCAACGGCAGCAGAGACGGTGGGCGTGAAAGACGGCGCGCTGCCGTCGCCCGGAAGCAACAACAGCGCCAGAATCCTCCCCCCAGCCGATCGTCCGCGGTCGAAGTCTGCGCATCACGCAGCGCACTTCCACCAGCGTACCCCACATCGCCTACCTCACCACCCTCGATCCCTCGCCGCCTCAGAGCCGAGCGCACACGACGGCGGTGGCGTGGGTGCGGAGGATGGATTTGCGCGCAAATCGAGGCATTCGTTTGCGGACGCCGCAGGATACCTCGTTGGGCTCGGTGGTGCCATCAACACCGCCGCTGTGAGGCTCTCGTCGTCGCTGCAGGCTGTCGATGCAGATAGACTCCAGCTTCTTTTAAAGCACCCTGTCAAGACGCACAAGGCAGGAGAGAAGACAGCATCGCCGACGCCGTCTGCGAAAGGCTTTTCATCGTCGTCGTCGACGTCTGCCGCTGCCGCCGCCGCGGTGGCGTACACATCCGTGCCGATCCACTTGGGTGTCTACCTCAACTCCATTCCTCCCCCCGAGCTCCAAACGCACGCCCCGAGCACCCTCTCGCCCCCGGAGGCGACGCGGGCGACAGAGCTGGCGGACACGCTGGGCCCGCTGCTGCAGGCGGTGGCCAACAACAGTGCGACCGCGTCGATGGACCGGCTGCGCGAGAGCGTCATTCGCCTGCTCCCCTCCCACAGTGTCCTTCAAGCGACCAGTTCAAGCGTACGCACCAGCCCTGTCACCGTCGCAGGCGCAGGGGACGACAAGGCTGGGGTCGCGCGAATTCTCGTTTCGCAGATGCGCCTGCGGGTGCCGCTGTTGCCGCTCCTTGTTACGCCAGCCGCTACTGCGCCGGTGAAGTCGGCGGAAGAGGCGACGAGAGATCTAAACCCCCCTCACGGCAACAACAGCTCCAGCAACATACCGGCGCCCCCGTCCTCCCCCTCTTCCTCCTCCAGCGCGGAGGTAGCGAAGCAGGCGCGCATCACGTTTACCTGCATGCGTGGTCGCGAGCCGTCCACGACCAGCCTCAGCACAGTGATACCGTTTCAACTCGCTATCAGCTGCGACTACGCGTTTAAGCACTTCCAAGGTCGCGTCTATTGCCTAGTGCGCATGAAAAACCTGCTGAAGACCACCTCGTTGTGGATGCGCGGGGCGGTGCTGACGGTGTTGGACCCCGAGCCGTCCTACGAGATCGTACGGGTGTGCGACGTCTACGAGCAGCTGCTGGCGACGGAGTGGAAGCCACAGGAGGAGCTGAGCATCCTGTACGAGCTCGACCTCATCGCGTCCTTTCACCCTGTCCAGCCCGAGTGTGCGCATCAGGTGCAAATGAAGGTGTTCTACTCCAGCTGGGTGAAGAGTTTTCTGGCGATGCCGGCCGAGGACCGCTTGGTGCTGCGGCCGGAGACGTTGCCGTCGACGGAGGCAACCGCGGAGAGCGTCGAGCTGATCCACGGGGAGGAGGAAGGCAACGGGCACGCCTCTTCCGCGCCGACCACGGCTCTCCCGCTGCGGCGCAGCTCCACGGAAAGGGATCCGGACGACTTTCTCTGTGCGCTGAAGAGCGAGCCGAACGGCGAGGACAACAACGACCCGCTCTCCGCCAGGACACCCGCCCCGGGTGGCAACGCTGCGGGGTCGAGCCTGGCCACCACCCTGGCGCACACCGCGGCTGGAGCGCAGGGCGGGCACCGCGTGTCCACCACCGTGACGTCTGGTTTCAGCGACCACAGTGAAGGGAGTGTCACGCACTCCGCCACGCAAGTCGCCCACTCCAGCCCCACCAACTTTTCGCCGAAGAGCGAGGACGGCGCGGACACGAGCAGTCGCAGTCGCAGCAGCGGTACCACCTCTGGCGCGGTTCACTTTAACGTGCTGATCCTGCGCCAACTCGAGGAAACGTGTAACAGCGTTGTGGGCCCCGTCGCCACATTCCATTCGAAGCACCTGTGCGTCTTCAACATCGTCATGTACGCCGAGTCGCCGTGGACGATGCGGTTTGGTGCGGCGACGAATTACGTGGCGCGAGCGCCGACCCCTCCGCTCTCTCGGACAGCGAGCACCATCAGCAAGGAGAGTTGGGGCGGCTCGCCGCTTCGCTCGTCAGCTCAGCCCGCCCGTATGGCGCACCCGCATCACCACCGCCCTCCCTCGATCTTCTCCAGTGCACCAACGGGGGCGGCGGCGGGGGGATTCAGCGGAAACTACACAGGCACGAACAACCCGACGACGGCAGACACCGACTCCTTCTTTGGCAACGCGATAGTCGACCAGCCCGCTGACTTCGTCTTTGTCGCGGGGGAGCCGGTGCGCTTCTGTGTGCGGTTGCAGCCCCTAGCCCAGAACTGGCCGGAGGACGCGAATATGGAGGAGACGTTCTTCATTCGCCTCACCTACAATCCGGAGGAGTGGATGGTGATCGGTAAGCAGCGCGACCGGCGGACGCTCTCCCTGATGGAGGAGGTCACGGTGTACTTCAACGCCGTCCCGCTGCTGCCGCGGAACGCAGCGGACGTGAACGCCGACACGCAGCGATTCCCGCGCAGCAACGCCGTGGACGAAGACGAGCAAGACGAGGAAGGGGGGGAGGGCAACGCGTCGCTGTTGTTTGTAGAGGAAGGTGAGAAAGGCGGCGGCGCCACCGGCGCAGCGCCGTCATCGCGGCATCTCGCCGGACACGCAGTGCGGGACGAAGGCATTTTGCAGACGCCGACGGTGGAAATGTTTTGGGAGCGTAAGAAGTCCGCGGCCGGCACGACAGCGACCGACGACGCATCGACAGCAGCACACCACCGCTTTGATTCTCAAACTCCGGCGGCGGCGGCACCCTCCGCGTACGAGGACGCAGTAATGGGCGAGGCGGTGCTGATCGATGTCGTGCAGTTCCGTACCTGGGTGCGTGTACGCAAACACAGCCATTAGCGGCGCTGACCTTTTTTTTTAAGGATATCAGTTACTCTACGCTCTTTGTTTTCTTCATCAGGAACAGTCACAAAAAGCTGTGTGTGGCAGCTCAATTCACGGAAAACGAAAAAAGAAAATGGAGGTTATCGCTGCATTCTGATCCCGCGACCGAAAGGAAAAGGCGAAGATGGACAGCGGTTGCAAAGCACTGACGCCAGCACGATGTCAAATAGTCTGACACAGATGAGCCCGTTATGTCCCTATTATTATTATTGTTTTCCAGTTAGCGGAAGTCCATGTTAACAAGTTATTAAAATACGACGGTTGGTTTATGAATAGGAACGCCCTCGTCTCACCCTTTTCTCTTCTTGGGTGTTTTTTTTTCTTCTTCGATCGCAGCACCGCCGAATGCGTGTTTTCGTGACCGAGGTTTTTCTTTCTTCATTTTTCCGAGTATTTCGCAGCGTTTAGCTCTACTTCCATTCTTCATCTGTAGCTGTTTGAACTTCGTATCTGGCACAGCGCCAACGCCGTCCGTGCGCCAGACACTCCGTCACACACACACACACTCACGCACACACGCACACACACACACACACACACACACATCCAATTAGGAAGAAAACGAATTATTTTCTCTTTTCTTTGCCGCTTTTCTCCAGGGGCCTTTAGCATCTTTTGTTTTAGTTTTTTGCGGACTACTCCGCATTCGTTTCTCTCACAAACAGGTTTTTCTACTCTACGCTTCTTGATTTTACAGGTGGACTGCTTTGATCGACTCCCGTCGCACAACGGTGACAGCGAGAAGGAAAAAAAGAAAGGGGGTTGTATTTCACAAAGCGAGACCTCCCTTGTTCTCCCAAGCGCGGGCTTTCAAGACAGCTTTGTTTGTCTGTGTGTATATATATGTGGCAGCATGTTCTGGTGCAGTCGAGTGCTCCGATACCTCGTCCACTCCCCTCGTGGCGTCAACTTTAGCCTATCTGCCGATGACGCGGTAAGCCGAATTCGCGACAAGTACGGACGGCGGTGGTTTGGCGCGCGCCTGGACTATCTTGACCTGGAGCATCCATCGAAGGAGTTTCTCCCCTTCTACCTTTGCAGCGGTCGCATTCATGCCACATTCGTCGGCAACATCACCTACTCCACCAACCAGATGAGCGTCGACGGCAAAAGCACCAGCTCCTCCACTCGACGAGTCTCCACCGCCTTGCAGACACTGGAGAGCGTTTTTGAGGAGAACAAGACGCAGATCTACGCGGGGTACAAGTACAACATCGCCCACGTGCACTCCGCCCTGCGCAGCGATGAGATGTCCTACACGCTGCAGAAGATGTACAAGGTCGACACCGCAGGCGCCACCATTAACCTCTTCGAGCAGTCTACCTCGTCGATGATCAAGTTTGTCGAGATGGAGACGCGGCGGCAGGCGGAGGCGACGGCGCAGTCGATGGTGCGCTCCTTCCACCCTGATGCGCAGTCCATCACGATTGCCTTTAAAGAATTCACCTTCCACATCGACGAGGTCACCCCAACCTTCGTCCCGTGCTACGTGGTGAAGGCGAATTACGACGAGGAGCGCTACACACTCTACGTCTCCGGCGTTAACGGCCAGGTGGGCGGCCCGTACTTGCTGAACTCACTGTTTCTTGCGCGAACGACGGCCCTCGCCGTGGTGGCCGCCACCCTGTTCGTTGTACCCAACAAGATCGCTGCCTTTGTGTACGGCTCCGTCATCTCGGTTGCGGCCTACTACGCCGCCTTCTACACCGCGAAGTGGTACCCGGCGATGCGCCGCAACTGGAACCGGCACCAGCGGCAGAAGCTGCGCACGGAGAACCTGGGCACGGACCACGGCGGCTACCGCCCCAGCACCACCTCGCGACACATCCAGCAGGAGTACCGCACGTCGTCCTACTGGGACTCGCACCCTTTCCAGCAGAGGAAATGGAAGACCGCACACGCGGCCGGGACCGACACGGGCAGCGCACGCGCATCGTCTGCGTCATCCGCATCCTCGTCCTCACACCCGGTGGCGGACCCGTTGGGTTACTACCGCATTCTGGAGCTCCGCGGCGACGAGTCGGTGAACGAAATTCGCAGTGCGTATCGTCGCATTGTGCTCAAGCAGCACCCCGACGTGGGCGGCTCTGAGGAGGCGATGACGAAGGTGAACGAGGCGTACCGCGTGTTGCGCGACCCAAAGCGGCGAGACGCGTACGATCGCCAGTTAGCGTGAACGCCATGGACGCAGAGTAGTTTCTTTTTCTTGCTGTTGATGCGGTGCGTGTCGTGATAGTTGATGCGGACGCCTGCTGATGGAGGCACACACGCACACTGAAGAACTGAGTACTTCTGAAGAAAACGGGCAAAGCACGATGACTTTTGGCTAAATTGTTAAAGGCTGCACCGCCTGGAAATCACACTGAAGAAGAGGAAAAAAGAAAAGAAAGGGAAGAACTGAGAGCGTGTGATGTGCATCTCCCACAACGGCTGTTTCCGCTGCTGTCGCCTCATTCCAATGTGTGGAACGAATTTGCTCTGACACGGCAACGCAATGAGAGCGCGTTTGTGGGTGTGTGTGTTCTTTACCGCGCTGGTGGTGGCGCTCTCGTCCTTTCCTCGCACAATCGTTGGTCTTGACTTCTTCCGCCAGCCCACCTCTTTCCACTCGCATCGAAACCAACTTCCGCTTCGTCTTGCCGCTAATTCATTCTTTTTCTTTTAGTTTCTCGCTCCGCCTTTTAGCCTCGCCTCGCGCTACTACTTCATAGCCATCAATAAATCTATTTAAAATAAAAGAAGAAGAAACAGAAAGCGACTCATTAACCATCTTTCTTCTGTGTGACATCGCGTGATCATCGCACAGTATCATTGAATACCTACTGTTTTGTTCGGTTGCTTTCTTTCTTCGTTTGTTCTCGCGCGCGATTTCTCGCCATAACCGTCTCGTTCTCATTTCTATTTTTATATTTTTTCAGAAGGTATCGTTCGCACTCAACCTCTGCATTCGTGTCCTCACGCGCGCCATATCACCTCCCGTGAAAATACATCCCCCTTATTGTAGGTCACACTACTCTCGCCACGGCTCTCCTTCTGGTATGTACAGCCCTAGCCGAGAAACCTAAGCCAAACTTTTTTTTCTAAGACGATTGTCGCCTCAGTTTTCATAAAGGAGAAGTTGAATAAGAAAAAAGACTCTCCTCCTCGATACATAACAACACAAGCACACAACCTCTTTAAGACTCCTTCGCCCGAGGCCATCTACCACTTTCATCATAGCCCTCGTCCTCGATCCATTCTCTTGCCTCATCTCGTCTTCTCAGTGTTTGCTTTCCCCCCCCCCTTCTTCCTTTTCAGAGTCGCGCCAATGGAAGCGTTGCTCAAGCACTGTTTATACCCCCTGAAGGAGGAGTTGCAGATCACCTGGGACGCCATCCGCAGCACTCGTTTCAGCGTGGGACTCGTCTTCGCGATCATCTGCGTTCTCGATGTCATCGTTGGCAACGTGATTCTGCTGATCGCCATCAACTTCTGGATTCAATCCTTCCCGACGGAGAACGCGGAGCACAACTCGAGTCAGATCGCCATCCAGGTCGTCTCCCTCTCCTTCCTCGTTCTCTTCTTTTCACTTTCCGCCGCGGTATTCACGATCTTTTACGGCGCTCTGCCGCTGTTGCACATCCTGATCGACACCAACCGTGTCGGCGGACCCTTGTACCGCTTCTTCCTCCTCTTCTGCTCGGGGCTGACGAACGGTGTCAGCAGTCTGCTCGGCGTGTACGCCATGACGTACACCCCAGAGTTCATTCAGGCTGTGCTGATGTGCTGCATTCCTTTCTTCGCGCAGGCGTGGACCGTCATGTTCATTCCGATTGAGCGAAAGCGCAACTACCTGTCCATGTTCTTCATCGGCGCCTTTATCCTCTTCGTGGCCGGCGTTCTCCTGTCCAGTCTCGGTGCCTTTTTGCACCCCTCAGCGACCGCCGGCGTGGCCTCGTGGGCGTGGGCGCTGCTGTACCTTGCCAGCTCCGTCATTTTCGGCTTGTGGTGCGTCGTGCAGCGCCTGTACCTCGACGCCGTGATGCTCAAGGAGACCACAGAGGAGGAGGAGTCGTACGTCGACGGTGCCCACTGCAGTGTGAAGGGAGGTCAGGCGAACGCCTTGAGCACGCAGCAGCCGCGCCGTGAGACGGACCACAACGTGGTGGTGGAGACCCAGCCGTCGACCGAGCCGGCGCGTGCGGGTCGCGAGGACAGCAGCGTGCCCGAGGACTCTACGAACGGCAATGCGGTCAAGAAGGACGGCGTCACAGGCGCCAACGTGGACTCGCCGTACGGGGAGGAGGAGGCGCGTGACTCCGACGTCGATGAGGAGGAGGTGCGGCTAACGGCGGATGAGGAGCAGTTGGTGAAGCGGGAGTGGGCCAACCGGTCGGTGGACAGCAACGCAGCCAAGATGGTTCTTCTGCTGGTCGGTTTGATGTTCCAACTCATTGTGTCATTTGTGCTCTTTCCCGTGGACGCCATTCCGTGGTTTGGCACGTCCGATTCCGCGCAGCACGCCTGGGATGGCTTCCGCTCCTCCGTCGACTTCATCTTCGCCTCGTGGGATAACATTCGCTACGGCCTGCTCTTCTCCCTCGGCTACGCCATGAGCTTCATCGGCTGCACGTACCTGAACGAACACAGCCCAACGCTGGCCTCCGTGGTGCTGCAACTCGCGGGCCCGATCACGTCCCTTGTCATTATCATCATTCCGCAGTGGAACGTGTACAAGAGCAGCAACAGCGTCGGCCAGCAGGTTGGTGGTGTGATGCTGCTGCTGGCGGCGGCCCTGCTCTACCACCTGTGGGAGCAGCAGTCCATGCGCCGGCTGGCGGCGAAGATCGAGGAAGTGCATCGCCGTCGTCAGCAGCAGCAGCAGCAGCAGCAACAGCAGCAACAGCAGCAGCAGCTGCAAGGCTCCGGTCAGATTCGCGAGGATTTTGTGGAAGCTCAGTGATCGCACTCACGCCAAAAAAAGACAAGAAATTAAACACATGATGGTGAATCGACTACGGATTCAACTACATGGAGCGCGTGTTTTTCTTAGTCGCTGTTTTCAACGGTGAGTCTGTGTGCGTGTGTGTGTGTGTGAGCGGGTACGTTGACGCGTGCATGAACCTCAATCACCACCCTTGTTTTGTTACTGTTTCTTTTGCAATACACGTGCTTATTCTCCCTTCTCGATTGTTGGTCAGGTAAGAAGAAGAGCACACACGCGGACACACATTTAATTCTTTTTTCTTTCTTTCTTCTTTCAAGGTGAACAAAGGGTAGACAATACCAGCATTTTTTGGTAGTTCTCTGTTCCGCATCCAGGTCACCTCGTGCCGTCTAAAGGAAGACACGCACTTGACGGACGTTGCCGCCTCAGTTGTTTCTTTTTCTTTTTTTTTGCTATTTTCTCTCCTTTCTTTGTGTGGCATTTTTTGTGCGTCTTCTCTTCCTGGCCACTCTCTCTCTCTCTCTCTCGCTCTCGCTGTTTTGATTTGTTTTCGATTTTCCTTTGTCTGTTTCAAGTTCAATTTATCAGCGAGTGCAGACGTGTCTGTCTGCGGCTTATTTTTGTCTTCGCCTGACCCCCCAACGCCTGCGTCGCGAACACGAAGAGGGAAAAGAAGAAAAAACTCAAAATTCTGTTTTCTTTTCTTTCCCCTTTATCTCTAACCTCTCTCTTCTCTCATTTTTTTGAGAGCTTGCGCCAGGAAAAAAATCGCCGGGAGATGAATCGAAAGCTTCATGTTGCACTACTATCCCTTTCTCTTCTCTCCTCTCCAGTCGACCTCTCTCCAGGAAAGGCTGTTTTCTTTTTTCCCACCGTCCCGCCCCTTTTCCAACCCCACGAGGTGGACATGCAGACGATCTGAGTCTGCAAGAAACTCCCTTTCGTAAAGTTCTCATTGGTTCAAAAACAAATATATAAAAAGAAAATAACGCCGTCTACCCTTAAAGGAAAATGAAAACGATACAGGGATGTAGCGACACTGTTTTGCACTTTATGGATCTTTCTCCTTTCTTCTTCCTTCCTTCCTGATCTGAGAGTGGTCGACTAGAGTTTTTCTTGCTTTTCTCTTTCTTTCTTATCGTGAATACGTGCTTGTCGGCGTTGGTGTTGTAGCAGCGGAGCGAGAACCTTTCGTGCATCTTCGTTTGTGCTCCTCCTCCTCCTCCTCCTCCTCCCTTCGTTGCGTCTTTTGTCAGCGTAGGTGTCTTTCCTCTTTGTTTTGATGTTTTCTCTCACGCGCGTGTGGCGGCGGAAGGCGGGGGCGTCTGCGGGAAAAAAGGAAACAACAAAAACGCTGATATATTCTTTTCCTTTTTAACATAACGCAACAACGCACGCTGCGGGAAATATCATCGCAAATGTGTGCTTTGCAGGTCTTTGGGGGTTTCTGTTTTGTACTTTCTTGAGACGGTGGCGCGTTTATTCGGATTGCTTATATATTTATATATATAATAAAGTCTATATGCAGTGTGTGGGGGGTGTCACAAGGGATTTGGGGCGATGAAGAAGCACACTGGAACACCGTCTTTTTGGTGATGGTGGGTCTTTGTCACTGCAGCATCCACCTACTCCTCAGCTTGTGGACTCTCTTATCACTGTGAGATTAAGTCGGACGAAGAACGCTTGCTGAACGATCAAAGTAAACGAAGCAAGCCAACAAAAAAAAAGGCAAACCTAGCAAATTCGAAAGGAGCAGCGCCACTGCAACGGGACAATTCCCTCTGTAATACCTAACTCATGGAGCCACAAACACACACACACACACATTGAATTCAAAAGTAGAAGTAAAGTATTTATATAAGTCTACTTAAGTTGATGATTCTTTATTGGTCTGTTTTTTCTTTCTGTTTCTGTAAGCTACGTATTTTTATTTATTTTTCCGAACTCTCCCCTTTTTAATGAGTGGGAAAAGCAAACAGCGAAAGAACTATGAACTCCATTGATTCTTTTCCGCGGTTTCGGTGAGCTCCCTGCAGCCGTCTCGTGGGGCTCTCTGGAAATGCAGCTTCCCTTCACACTGGCACGTCGCCGCCGGTGCCATCGTTGTTGTTGTTTTTCGGTTGCACGCCTAAACACGCACACGCGCACGGCTGTCCAGCGCGGCTGACGCCCGTCTCCACCCGCTGCGTTGTCCCGGTTTTTTCTTCTTCTCTCTCCCCGACCGAAGCGGTGTGGAGGAAAAGAGAAGACAGCGCAACGGATAAAGCGTCAACAAGGAAAAGCGATTATTCATCACGTGTGACGTCTCACAACGCTCTCCACTCGTGTGATCTTCCTGCGTCCTCCCTTTCTCTTTCTCTCCTCTTCTGTTGTTTTTATCTGTTCCCCAACTCTCTCGTACTTTCTCTTCCGTGTGGATATAGAGAGATACTGATATATAAATATATATATATATATATATATATATATGTACTCATTAGCACGCACCTTCCTTCTCAGAATAGAAAACAGCACGTTCAGGTCCAGATCTACATGTACGCGCCCTTGACCACAAGTGATGGCGTGCATGAGGCGTACAAGCGCACCCGGGACGGCGACCCCAACTCGACCTCCTCTTCAACCGAGCGTGCAGCAGCGTCCATTCACGAACAGGCGCAGCACTTCATTTCCCAGCTGGAACTGGGCGAGGTCCTCGAGCGCGATCGCGACACGACAGAGGGCATGATGACGGGTGCAGACGACTCCGCGCAGTGGGCCTACGGGGGCGACTACTTCTTTCGCCCACACGGCGACGAGCACAGTGACGACAAGGCCGCGTTGCGTGGCGCTCCGGGGTCTGCGGAACAGCAGCATCGCGCGGGTGACGACGCGCAGCTGGACAAGAGTCGCAAGGTGGTGGTGAACCCCACAATGGTCCCGCCCGCCTTCTTCACATCCGGAAACGACTTCTCACCCAGCACGGCTGCGCACGCGAAACCAGAGCATGGCGACAACGAAGCAGGAGGCAAGGATGAAGAGGAGAAAGGTCCAAGGGGGCCGTCGCGCTTCTTACACGCGGTGCTGCGTACGTCTGACATGGACATCATCGTGCCGGTTGTCAGCAACGCCTGCCCGCTCGCGGTGAGCGCGACGAAAGGCAGCGCGGCGCTGTCCGAGTTGAAGCGGTTGATGGACCGCGAGCGCACCAACCGAGAAGTGATGGACACCTCCAAATCGAACCTCGCGCAGCTTTTGCGAAAAGATGCCTTTGGCAGAGTGGCACAGAACGGGGAAGCGCTGACGACGGCGGAGGGGAGTCTGCAGCAGCAGCAACAGCAGTCGTCGGGTCTGAGGTCGCTGGAAGAAGCGCAACAAGATGAAGAAGAGGAGGCGGCGTACTTGAAGAGGCAGCTGCGATTAGAACAGGAACGGCTGGAGGAGGCGCGACGGCGCAGCGACGGTCAAGCTTCCTCATCGTCACAGCAATCCAGTCGCTCGAATAATAAAGTGAAGGATCAGGCTGCCTTGAAGGATGTCGGCGAAGGCGTGACACCGGATAGTCGTCGTCAGCGCAAAGAAGAGCAGCAGACTCGCATCGCGGAGCGCAAGAGACGTTTAGCCAGCCTGACCAGCGACATGCGCGAGTTGAAGCGGCGCGACGACATGCGACGTCAGAAGGAGTCCCTCCCCATCTTCCGCTGCAAGGACGAGCTTCTGCGCTACATTGGAGAGAACGCCGTGACAGTGGTGGTGGGCGAAACCGGCAGCGGCAAAACGACGCAGCTGGTGCAGTATCTGCATCACCGTGGCTACGCGCGACACGGCAAGATCATCGGCTGCACGCAGCCCCGTCGACTCGCCGCGATCGGCGTGGCGCGGCGTGTGAGTGACGAGATGGGGTGCGCGCTGGGCACCACGGTTGGCTACTCCATCCACCTCGACGACACGACCAGCGCCGACACCGAGGTGAAGTTCATGACGGACGGCGTGCTACTGCGCGAAACGGTGAGTGACCCGTCACTGGAGAAGTACAGTGTGATGGTGCTCGATGAGGCGCACGAGCGCTCCGTTGACACGGATGTGTTGATGGGAGTGCTGAAGCTGGCGCTGCGTCGCCGCGGCGATCTGAAGCTGATCGTCACGTCCGCCACCATGGACATACAAAAGTTCTCGATGTTTTTCGGTCATGCGCCGTGCTACGAGATTCCCGGCCAGACCTTCCCGGTGCAGCTTCAGTACAGCCCGTCGCCGGTGGTCGACTACGTGGCGGAGGCGGTGTTTCGTGTGTGTCAACTGCACCTGCAGATGCCGATGGAGGGCAAGCACGACATCCTTGTTTTCATGACTGGCAGAGAGGACGTGTACGGGACGTGTGAGTTGATCCGGCGCCGACTCGCGGAACTCAGTCCGCAGCACCTGGACACCCTTCTCATCCTCCCGTGCCTGTCCGAGGCGTCTTCATCTGCTGCGACCATCACCACCAGTGGCGACGTCGGCGTGCTGGACCCGACGCCAGCTGGGCAGCGGAAGGTTGTGGTGGCCACTAACGTCGCCGAGACCTCGCTAACGATTGACGGCGTGCGCTACGTGGTGGACTGCGGCTTCATGAAGACGAACGTCTACCGCCCCTCCATCGGTATGAACACGCTGCAGCGCTACCCTATCTCGCAGGCGCAAGCCGGTCAGCGCAAAGGTCGCGCCGGCCGCACCACCGAGGGCGTCTGCTACCGCCTCTACACCGAGGAACAGTACGCGCAGGAGATGCTGGTGAACAGCGTGCCGGAGATTCAGCGCAGCAGCGTCGACAGTGTGGTGCTGCTACTGAAGAGCATCGGCATCCGCCGCCTGCGCGATTTTGACTTCATGGACGCCCCGCCTGTCGCGAATGTGCGGAACAGCATGTTTCACCTGTGGGTCTTGGGATTTCTGGATGACGAGGGGGCGATCACGGCACAGGGGCAGCAGGCGCTGGAGTTCCCCATTTCGCCCGCGCTAGCGAAGCTGCTCCTGGCGAGCACCGAGCAGGGCTGTGCGGTGGAGATGGCCCGTGTGGTGTCGATGATCTCCGCAGACCCGAAGAACCTGTTTGAGCTGCCCAAGGGTCGTGAGAAGGCCGCCCATCAGCACCACAGCCGCTTCTACTCCAACGACTCTGACCACCTGACGCTGCTGCACGTCTTCACGCAGTACCTCGAGCACGGTCGATCGCGACAGTGGGCGCAGGATCACTTCCTCCACGCCCCGACGCTGGCGAGGGCGTACGATGTGCTGGTACAGCTGATGGAGCGGGTGCGGAAGCTGCACCTCCCGCTGCAGTCGTGCGGCCCAGGGGAGCTAGACAAGGTGCGCTATTGCATCGCGACGGCGTTCGCCTTGCAGGCGGCGCAACGCTCGGATCGGCGGTGGACCGACTACCGCCCGCTGCTGAATGCTGGGGTGACGTGCGCCGTCCACCCCGCCTCGGCCATTCACGCCCGCAGTGAAATGCCACCCTACCTCGTCTACAACGATCTCTTGCTGACGCAGAAGGAGTACCTGGTGATGGTGACCGCCGTGGAGCCGGAGTGGCTGGTGGAGGCCTCGCACGGCATCTACGAAATGCGGCATTCATCGTCGTCGTCTACAGCGACGAAGAGCACGTCGGTCGTCCCCGCAGGTGTCACAACAGCCAACGACGAAGTCAAAGTTGCACCTCCAAGGGCTTTATCTTCCTCGGCGGCCACCGTTGCACCGGCAGCAACGTTAGCCACCACGAGCAGCCGCACCGCTGCGAGTCTCTCTGCTCCTCGTGCGGCCGCTGCCGTGAAGAAGCCAGCTTTTGGAATGCTTTCCTCAAAGCGGCGGCCCAACATCTAACGCAAGGTCGCCGTTTATTTTTTACTGGTGGGGAAACGAGGTGGGGAGACCACTGAAATTTCTGGTAGGCGCTTTGCCGAGATGAAGGACAACGAGGCAGTCTGGTGCTGCTGAGACAGAGGTGCCACGGACAGCCAGGAGGAAGCAAAGCTTTCATTACATTGTCGATGATTTATTTTACTTTCCGCGGCTCCTCGTTGTTCGCAAGCAGTTCACTCGTTGTGCAAGGGGGTTTTTTTTTAAGGCTAAAGATTCAGTACTTACTCGTTAAGGCGGCTCTTTCTCCCAATAGCGCGTACCGCGCCTTCTTGATCATCGACTTGCGGGTAAAAGTTGCAAATACTCCGTGCAGCAACGCAGGCCTTTCAATGGAAATGCGGGCGTTTTTGTTTAATATGAAACCTAGCTTTTTGCTTTCGCACAATCCCTTTTTTCTCCTCTATCCCGGTGTCCCCAGCGGCGTTGCCTCTCTTCTCCGTCTCATCGGCGTTGCAACACCGCATGGTGGCCACTGCCGACGCTTTCCATACACAAACCGGGCGTGTCTCTTTGTTGTTTGTGTTTGCCTGCCATTTCTGACTTGAGTGTGTGTACATCTAGAAAGTCCATTATAAGCTCTTACATTGACTCTCTCATAGCAGTAAAAAAGGGGGAAGCAAGAAGGAGGAACGAAAAGGTTCCTACTACGGTTCGGGCTAGTTCGTCGCCTCGCTGCTTTCTGTGTTTGGGGATACCGTCAACACACACCCCAGCAGAAGTACAGCTGCGTAGAAGCGTACGATGACATAGCGGCTTCAATTCACTGGAGAACAAAAAAACCCTGCTGACACACCTATATATATATATATATATATGAGTATTTTTCTTAGTTTGCTTACAAAGCGGAATCACGAGAACGCTGCATTTCGTTGTTGTTTTGGTGCACTTCCTTCTTTATCATTAGTATTGTTATTACTGCCTTATCTTTGATTTCTACGTGTCGTGGGGGTTCACTACACGTACTGGTCGCTGACCGCGCTTAACTCTATATGGGGGTGTTCCACTACGCGCTGTTGGTCCTGCCTCTCGCCGCCTCCCTTTCCATTTCCTTCATTGAACGAACGCTGGAATTTTCGCGTTATCTTCTTTTCGTAAATACATCGCTCTTTGCCCTCAATTGTTTGTGGAACCTCGCGGACGTGGCAACGAGCGTTACGGTCTTCCTGCTCGTCTGCTTCTGCTCCGCGCCGTTCTGTGTGGTGTGTGTGGTGTACCTTGCCGTGAACTGGGACTTGCTTGTTCACCTGGCGCGTCTGTTGTGTGTGAGTGAGCCGCAGAACCCCATTGACCTCGCCGTGACGGAGGTCCCGCTGCAGCCCATGAATCTTTTCCGTGGCATTCAGCACTACTTCTCCGCGAATGAGGCAAACTTGACGGAGCTGCTGGACACGCGGGTGTACGTGTGGAACATTCCGGCCGGAAGCACGACTCTGACGGACCGCACCCTGCGCGTCGGCCGCACCACCACCCGCTCCATCGCCGCCACCTGCGCCCACCTCGACGAGGCAGAGGCCGATCACTACATCGTCTTCAACTTCTCCCCATTGATGATGGAGCTGGTCGACGGCTGCCACCGCGGGCAGGTGCTCGACTTTTCGAAGCAGTCGGTGGAGAACTTCGGTCTGATAATGGAGGTGTGCTTCACCATACGCAAGTGGATCAGCGCCGGCGACTTCGAGGCTGCCCTGCACAGCCCTTCCGCCGCGTCCCCAACGACGAAGCACAGCGGGGTGGCCGGGGCACCAGGCCGTTCCCACACCCACTGCGCCGTCCTCGCCTTCCTGGAAGAGACCCCTGCCATTACCCACCCCAACTATGCGGCGATGATGGCGGCCTGTTACTTGATCTTTTCCGGCTTCCCCACCTACGGCGGCAGCGGAACGCTGGAGTTTGTGGAGAAGGAAATTGGTGTGGCTCGCAGCGTCTACCACGCCCTGTCGCAGGTGAGCTACATCAACTACTTCCAGCTGCTCTTTGAGATTCCCGAGGTGCCGAACAAGAAGCGGCTTACCCTCACCCGCGTCTCGCTGCACAACATGAGCGCCCTCTTTCAGAAGAAGCTGGGCTTGCAGCTGGAGAATGGGGAAGGGCAGCCGCCGAAGCTGTTCAGCGACCCCGAGGCGTGGAGTCTGGGTGACGCGGAGACGCTGGAGATGTACCTCGACGTCAACGAGAGCGTCTTTGGGGACTTTGTCTTGAACGTCTTCCAGTACGATGTGCTGCCCCTGCCCGCCGACTTTGACGAAGCGAGTCTGCAGGGGCCGTTCGGCACCACAGGCGCCATACAAGGTGGTGGTGGTGGTGGGGGGGTCCTCTCCTCCGCCGGCGGTGTAGACGCCTCTTCCTCCGCCTCTTTTGCGCAGTCGCTGTCGTCGCCTTCCTTTGACCACGGCGCTTCCCCCGCGTTGAACCGCTTTGTGATTGGCAACGCACGCTCGAAGAAGATGGTGCAGAAGAGGCGGCTGTTCCGTCTCGCCTTTAGCACCATCTTCATTGCCCAGTGCGTGCACCGCGTGCGTGTGCAGGACATGGACTACGCCGGCGCCAACGCCTTGTTGGACGACTTTTACGTGCAGCTGCACTTTGCCGAGTGTGAACCGGCTGAGAAGGACATGGAGTACATTGAGCAGATCAGCCAACGGGTCGAGCAGTCGCCGCAGCGGCAGATGATCAACTCCCGGCGCGACCCACGCGACCTCCTCGGGCTGACGCGTGCCGGTGGTCCGTACTCCTCCAGCCGCTACCGCGACGCCAACCCCGAGGCGTACGGCGGAGGTGTGTACTACCGCAGCGACGGCACGCGACAAGGCGGTCGGGAGAGCATGGACCGCCGCTGGCAGGAGCCGTCGATGCCGCTGACCGGCGCAACGATGTTGTACTTCCCCACCTCGCTGAACATGGTCGGCGAGGACGAGCGCCGCTTTGACGAGGAGGACGATGTGGCGGAGGCGGAACCGGAGTTGGTGCGGGTGCAGCCGCGTCCGGGGGCGACGACAGCGCGGCTCCGGCAGCCCACGCCGGAGCGGATGTATGGTGGCGGCGTCCCCATCTACGATGATACGGCAGAGAAGAAGAGCCCGTTGAAGGAAGCTGCGGCGTCTGCAGCACCGCCGCACGCGCCCCCTTCACCACCGCCACCTCCTCCTGTGTCGAGTGCCACCCCGCTCAAACATGCTGACCCGATGCTGGGGGAGTCTCCTCCACCTCGAATGCCACCACCACCACCACCGCCGCCGAGTGGACTGCCGCCCCCTCCTCCGCCTCCCGGCAAACTCCCTCCTCCACCTCCTCCCTCCGCTCCGCCTACGGGGCAGCAGCCACCACCACCACCACCACCACCACCGGGTAAGCTCCCCCCTCCTGCACCACCAGCAGGACTGCCGCCGCCGCCGCCACCGCCGTCGTCATCCTCTTCGAACAAGCTGCCTCCACCGGCGCCGCCATCGGGTGTGCCGCCTCCGCCGCCGCCGGGTGGCCCGGGCGCACCACCACTGCCTCCTCCACCAGCAGCAGCGGCAGCAGTCGCGACGGTGAAGCCGAAGCCGGTGTACACGGGCCCTCGTCTCAAGACTTTCTTTTGGAAGAAAATCACCAAGCCGAGCGGCATCTGGGCCGTATCGGACAGTGACGTGGTGCGACGCGCCGTTGTGGACGAGTCCTTCGTGCGGCAGCTCTTCGAGGTGAAGGCGGTCACCCAGACCAGCTTGGCAGATGCGTCGGCGAAGAAGGCGGAGCAGGAGCGGCGCAACGAGCTCCGCAGCAACGTCCTCACGGGTCAGCGTCTGCAGAACATTGGGATTGCGTTGAAACGCGTGCAGGTGCCGGTGGAGGACCTGTGCACCGCGCTCATCGGGTGCGATGCCACGGTGCTGCCGGTTGAGCGGCGCGAGATCCTCTCGGCTGCCCTTCCCACCCCTGAAGATGTGGCAGCGCTGGCGATAGAGAAGAAGGCGGGCCGGGTGCTGTGGTCGGATGTGGAAACGTACCTGTTCACGATGGCGACGACCGTGAAGGATGTGCGGGAGCGCTTGCACCTGTGGACGGCGGCGGAGGAGCTGCCGGAGTCAATACGCTCTGCTGCTAGTCTGCTGTCGTCCGTCGAGGCCGCCGTGCGGGTCATCACCCAACGCAGCGGCCGTTTTGCGCGCATGATGCGTGCCATCTTAGCCTTTGGCAACTACCTGAACCGCGGCACTCCCCACGCCGACGCGGAGGGCTTCCGGCTGGAGAACCTGAACCAGCTGAATTTCGTGAAGAGCGCGGATGGCAAGACAACGGTGCTGATGGCGTTGGTGATCTCCCTGCTCGAGGCGGACGAGAAGCAGCACCTGTTGCCGAAAGGCGGTGATGATGATGATCCGAAACGAGAAACGAGTCGACCTCCTCCTCCATCATCCACCAGCGAGAACGTGCCTGACCCCGACGTGAAAGACGTGCTGCGCTTCGTCGAGGATGTCAGCTGCATTCGCGCTGTCTCGGCCAGTCCGTTGCAGGACATGGGCCAGCAGGTCACCCAGCTCAACTTCACTCTCCAGCGCATGCGGCGTGTCGTGGAGGAGGCGAAGGACGTGAAGGCGTGGTACGAGAAGCGGCTGCCCTCCGTCAACCCTGCCGAGTCGAAGGACGCGTTGCCTGCGTTGCTGGCGACGGCGGTGGAGCGCGACCTGACCACTGTCGGGCAACTCGCCCTCAAGTACCAGCAACTGCGTGAGGACGTGTCCGCGATGCTGGCCTCCTACGGCGAGGACCCAAACGGCGATGAGACAATTGTGTGGGGGTACGTACTGCAGTTCAGCAAAGATGTGCAGCAGTGTGTGGAGAAGGTGACGTCGTCGAAGCTGACGAAGCGGCGGCTGATGGGCGCGCCAGCCGATGAGAAGTCGGCGAAGGACGGAGCGGAAACGACGGGGCAAGGTAGCGCGAAGGCGTCTTCCGCCTCTGCGACAACCGGCTCAGGTGGACTCCGTCGAGCGCGTCTGCCGAAGCTCGTCGATGACGGGGAAGATGACTGAGAGTGCGTGGGCGAATTTGCGGCTCAGAAGGCGGAGGAATCAAAAGGATGAAGAAGAAGGAAAAAGACCTTTACCATCGTTTCTCATTACAACTCGAACAAGAAAGGAGAAGACGAAGCAGAAAGGCATTTTAGGGGAGAAGAAAGGCGTTCTTTTCTTTCTTCAGTACTACGTGAAATTGAAAGGCGCGCAGGTTGTGTGAAGGATGCTGAGGGGGAGAGAGGAGGACGCGACGCCGTACAGAAATGCTCGCCTCTCTTTTTTCTTTTCATGACTGTTTTTTGTCTTCTCTGCATGTGTGTGTGTGTGTCTGTGCCGGTACTCGCAAACGCGCTCTTCACCCATATCGATATCTCTTCTTCTCCCTCCTCCGTTGTTTTCCTCTGCCACATCTGAAATAATTTTTCTTGTACCTCCCTCTGCTCCCAGGAACGGCTGCTCAACAAGAGGTGCGCAAAGGTGAGAAGAGACAACGTGCACGCACGTAGATGGGAATACGCTTCTCTGCTCGCCGTCCTTAGCCGTTATTAGTGTTTTGTAGTACCTTCATTATCGTTTTTCTCTTTCGACGGTGTTCAGCGTCACGATGCCTCCCCGTGCAGCGCGCGCGCCCAAGAAGGACTCCGTGGCGGTGGCGGTCAGGCGAAACTTGATCACCGCACCCGTCACCCGAGCAAGCAAGAAGGCCACGGCTGCGTCAACGCGCACGACGGCCGCAACACCGAAGCCAAATGCCTCTCGCTCGCGAGTCTCCAGACGAAAGCAGGGTATTGTCCCTCAAAAGGCCCCCGAGTGGCAACAGCAGGCATTAAAGACTGCCGCCGCCGACGCCAAACGTCAAGGAAAGAACAGTCGTACCAGCGGTGACAGATCCGACACAGGGACCAAAAAAGGCGCTGCGAATAAGGCCAAGAAAGGCAAAAACGAAGGTGAAGGTGAAGAAGAGGAAGATGCGTCAGAGCCCGCCGCTTGCTCGGACGGGGACGACACCGCGAACGCCGCCGCCGAAGAGGGGAGTGAGGCGAGTGCCGGAAACGCACGAGGGCGTAAAACAACGAGAGCTGCCGCTGCAGCGAAGCGGCCACGGACGTCTGCCGCAACGGACAGTGAGGCGCCGGGCAAGCGCGCAAAACGGCCGAAGGTGGAGACGCTGCTGTGTCCGCGGTGCAAGCTGCGCATGGATCAGTGGCCGTTTTGTGGGTTGTCCGGCGAACCGCACGTGGTACCGGAGGAGTCGGTGGAGACAGCGTCAGAGTCTGCCGTTGCCTCCCCAACGACGGTGGAGTGAAGAGGAGTGCTGTCTCGGAGGCATGTGTGTTTTTAAACGCACACTGATGACCGGCCCTGATGATGCCGGTCATATTGCAGTTTAAAGGCAGCTGCTCACGGCGATGTTGCTATTTTGGGGGCGAGAGACAGTACAAGGGAGGCTTCGATGTCGCGCCACGTCAGTCGTGTGGCGGGCCGCGCTGATTCCGTCTTGAAACTTTCCTTCTACTCCCCTTTCATTAGGCCGATCCCCCTCCACCCTCTCCTCAATTCGTTATCACAATTATTACTGCAAACCTCTTTTTTTTTTCATTCCTCGGCGTACCAATGCACAGCTCTTTTGCTTTCCTAATATTGTTGCTGTTACTACTCTACGTATCATAAATACTCTGGCGGGGCTCCACCGTTTTTGTTGAGCGTAATACCCCCGTCCGCATCATAACTGCTTCTTTTCCGTATTCTTGTGGCCACCATTGTAAGAGAGCACATACACTTCAAAGAAAAAAGAGAAAAAAACGAAGCAACTACCTCTGGCGACAACAGCAGGGAAGGAGACGCGCTCACCGGGATTGTTCCTCCTCCATCGCGAGTACTTCTTTTCCTTTTCCAGCGGTGACACGTTTGCAGCTCGTTGTTTCGTGTGCACCAAAAAGGCCGTCGATGGACAATCTCTGGTGAGAGTTCCTCTCGCAGTTAAGAATGATACGCGGTGGGCCGGCAAGCGGCGGAGTTGCGGTGCGACATCTTCGACTTACAAAACAAAATTTGCAAGCGAACGTCTTTCCTTCTCCCCTTCTTTCTCTATCTCTGTGTGTGTGTGTGTGTTCACCAAGCACGTTTAATTGCCGCTAGTGTTGGGTTTGTATTCGGAGCGCACGCCAGCCGCGTCGCGCCAAAACAAAATCAGACAAAAATCAAGAGCCGATTGTCTACGAAGCTCGCTTGGTAGAGAGACGCGGATTATTTGCTTTTTGTGTTTCGGTTTTTTCATGATCCACTGCTGTTGGAGTGAACGGGCTTCCCACATTAACTAACGCGCCTCCCGCTGTGTGCGCGTGCTTTTGCTCTTTGATTTTCACGGAGAGTACGCGGAGCGCTTCCCGGCTAGCTCCCTCCTCTCATCATTTCAATCTATTCAAATTATCGTGCGTCACGGTCCCGATGATGGTGCCTCCGGTGGTAGGGGTGCAGCATGACCAAACCACGTCCACGACGATCGCTGCAGAGGTCGGTGGCCCCACCACCTCCACTTCTACAACAGCCGCACCAGCGACGTGGACGATGGACGCAGCGATGATGTGGGTGGTGGCCGCCTTCTACCTCGCCGTGATGGCAACTGCAGCGACCTACTTTGTGAAGCGGTGGCGCCGGCGTGCCTACGGCCCTGGCTCGGCTGCCGGTGCTCGCAGCGGCACGGGTGGGCGGGAGGAGCGAGCGGCCCTGACCGGCGGTGGTAGTGGTGGTGCGGGCTCCGACGGCGCAGGCGGAGAGGCCGGCTTTCTCGCTACGATAGGGTCGATTATTGACCGCGTCATGAACCGTGCCGCGCTGGACGGCGCCGCCGCCTTCAAGGGCAGTGGCCGCCACCGCAGCAGCAGCCCGGGCCACCGGTACAAACCCGGTGCAGGCCACGCCTTGTTGCGTAGGATCGCTCCCTTTCTGCCCGGTGCACAAGGGCGAGCGGCCGCGGCGAGGCGGAATAAGGAAAAGGATGAAGCGGCAGAGGAGGCGGTGGAGGTGGAGGCGGGCAACGCTGGTGGGGGTGTGCGGTCGGATGCGAGTCCCACACGGAACGTCGCGGCCGTTGCTTCTCCTCTTAACGGTGGTGTGGGCGAGGGGGGCCCTGTGCCGCCGGGCGGGATGCCCGCCACGATGACCGCACGAGATCTAGGACACTAGGAAGGAAAAGAGAAGTAGATGTTCTCTCTTCCTTTCTCTCTCTCCTGTCCTCTATCAAAAGCTTTCCCTACCAATATAAGAATACTGTTTTGCGTCTTTTCGTTGTCATTGCTTCTTCTTCTGCCGCAATTGGCGGTGGATTGTTTCCTCGTCTCGGGAGAGAAGACGACCTCCACCTTTCCTTTCGTTGCGGTGCCCGTGTGCGGTTTTCGAAAAGACATACTTTTAGCTCTGAGACGGGAACAGGTTGTTGACATGTGGCATCGAGTTCGCCATGTACACAACCGAAAATAAAAACTAAAGGACCTACGTCCGCGTACGTGCGCATTCAAGATCGCGCCTACACAAGTTTTCTGGCGGTCTTGTCTAATCGCGCAGCGTCACTCCCGAAGCCGCTCGTCAGTGGGCTGCTTCACACTGGGAAAAAAACGCCCCTCTTCCATTTTCTATATCCTTTCCTCCTCCTCCTCCACTTTTTCTTTTTACCTTCCGAGAGCCGCATAGCTCGCAGTATTTCTTGTTTACTATTTCTGTTCTTCAGTGATTCACGTATTGTTTCCTCTCATCTTTCTGCAACGATGACGGAGACCGTTGCCAAAGCCGGTTTTCTGGAGACACCCTTCTCCCCTCACCCACACTCCGCAAATGGCGCCCGCCTGTCATCCGGCTCTCTCATCTCCACCGGGACCGGTGCGGCGAAGCCTTCGGTGGCTGCCCCGGCGTCTCGCAAGCCCGCTCACAGCGCCTCCTTCGTCTCCGCGGCGGGCGACGCGGACCCTTACGCCCTCCTCTGCTCGAACCCGGCCCACGCCCCTCCGTCGCTGGCTCAGCGCACACACGGAACGGAGGCGCTCTTCCAGTACTACGCCCAGCGCGGCTACAAGGAGCTGCTGATGGAGTCGAACAGCGCGGACGCCAGCAAGGCAGTGCAAATGTGCCTTGCAGGTAAAGCCGACTCGAACGTGGAGGCCGCGGCGCTAAGCGCTGGCGGGCCCATGGCAGAGAAGCACCTGTCCGGTAAACGAAGGCAGCCACAGCCGAAGCACATACAGGCGATTGATCGCTGCCTTGCCGCTCCACCGACCGGCACGCCGGCGCCTCTTCGACTTCCTCGGGCGCAGGACAAGCACTCCTCTTACCTCTCCCAGCAGGCAGATGAGGAGCGCGCACAGGCGCAGGCACAGCGCCGCGCACATCTGCATCAGCCGCCCACGGAGTCAGCCTACGTCGGCCGCTTCTACCCTGCTGGGGTCGATGTGCTGCCGCACGTCAACGCATTGCGTCTGACCGGCAGTACGAAGAAGGCGACAAATACTTCTGCCAACGGCAGCCCCGTCGCTCGCTCCCCCTCCCCGGTCCTCAGTCAAAGCGCTTCTCTTGTCGGTGCCACTGCGCGCGGTCCGGCGCCGCCACTGTCCCCCAGCGGTGGCGTATGGTCATCCGGCTCGGCAAAGCTGGAGGTGACTGCACCACCCGACGGTACACCGACGACTGCAGCCCCGCCGTGCACACCAGAGGAGGTTGTGGCGCAGACGACGCAGCAGCGCGATGGGTTGCACCTGTTGGTGCAGCAGATTGATGAGGCCTTCGTGGCCGCCTACCGCCTGCGCCACCCCGACGCGGCGAGGCGCCAGAGGGAGCGCGAGTCCGCCGCGGCGGCTCGTCTCTCCTCCCAAGCCGCCGCACAGCTCCTGGCGGACGGGCCAAAGAAGCGCAAGTCTACTGCCGCCAAGCGGGGAGACAGCGCGAAGAAGAAACGGAAGTCCACTGCGCTTGCCACCGCAACGCCTGCCGCAGTGGAAGGCAGCTTCCCGGCAAACCTGTCGCTCTTTCGCTCGTCGTTGCTGCTGTTGAGCAACGAAGACGGTGCCGTGACGCTGGACCAGCTGTGTACGATGGCCGCTGACGTGCCTTTCAACGTCCCTGTTGTCTCCGTTGTGGGAGGAGGCGCCGCCGCCGTTGCGTCCGGCAGCGCCGTCCAGCGGCTCTTCCGCGTGCTGAACGCAAACACGCGGGCTCCAAACGCGGTAGATGCGGCGGACCTGCTGCTCGCCGTCGCCTCCGCCGCCACCGCTGGCGGACTCCCGGGGCGGCAGCCGGGCGTACCCAGCGACAACTCTGCCTCCCACGCCCCAGCGTCGATATCGGGCGGTGGTGGCGGCACCGCGGCCGCACGGGCGAGCAACAGCAACGCGACGACCGGCAGCAACAAAGGGCGGACGTTGGGAACCAGCGTGGTGAGCGGTGGGGCCGCCGCCTCTGGGGGGTCCATAAGCGGCACGCACCGCAACTCTACCCAGAGCTTCGCGCGAGGGATCGGCACCCCGACCAGCGCCGTACCGCACCCCCAGCCGTCGTCCGTCTCCTTTGCGAGCAACGCACACAGCTCCAAGATTCACCCGGCCGGCGCGAGTGGGGCGTGGAAGGACGCCGCCAGCCCCGTCGGCTTCCCTGGCAAGCAGCAGAACGCCAGCCCACCCGAGCTGAAAGACAGCCGCAAGTGCGTCCTTGTCCTAGAGCTGCTGGACGCCCTCGACGCCCTGCTCAACAGCGCCGAGACAAAGCAGATTGTGCGGTGGGAGTGCTTCATGGTGCTGGCGGCGGAGGGCCACGGCTACATTCACAAGTCCCAGCTCGTCTTTCTGCGACGGCATGCCTACCGCGACGGGTCCGTGTCAGAGGCAAGCGCGGCTGTCACGGCCAGCATGGTTCGCGCCCTCGAGGATGCCTTCAGCGTCGTCGCCGCCGAGGAGGAGGCAGCGTTCTTGAAGGCGAATAGGAAGGGACGTAAGGGCGCTGCGGCACGAGCGAGCGTGGGCGCCCATCAGAAGTCGGCCATCCCGCTGCATCTGATGCGCAAGTCGCACATGGACTTCGAGCTTTTCTGCCGGTTTTTCGATGCGCTGCCGCAAATGTCGGCCGCCTTTGCGCATGTGTGGCTCCCACTGCTCATAAGCGGCGCGCGGAGGCCACTGACCCCGTCTACGGTATCCGAGGAGGAGGAGGAGGGTGGGCCCCTCTCTGGTGGCAAGACTACTGCGGTAGAAGATGCGGTGTTAGGGGATGGAGAAGCTGGGAGGCGAAAGGGCGCAGAAGGGTTAGACAGCGTCCAGGACGCGAGTTTCCCTAAGATGAGCGGGGGCGGCGCCGAGGCGGTGGCTCGTTCGTTGTCGAAGCCCATCAGCGCCCCGGGTGTGGGTGGGGAGGACGATGAGGGCTTTCCGTTAGAGTTGCTGGGCGACACGCCCTCCGTCCGTCAGGCGGCCATCCAGCGGATGCTGACGAAGCGGTTGGAGCAGCTGCAAGAGGCGTGTGATGCGTTGGAAAAGGAAAAGCTGCAGGCTGAGGCCGCCGCAGCGGCAACTGAGGCGTTTGGCAGCCCGGAGATCGCAGCAACACCTTAATTTGCAGTAGTACGGGTGGTATGCCGCCCTCGATGTACACGAGATGTTTGTGTGTCTGTAGTTTTATTTGTTTTTCACCTCTCCCTGAACCCGCAGCGCTGATCTAAAGAAAAAAAACTGAAGCGAGAGATTTTTCCTTTTCTCACTTTCATCTGGGCGTTTAACAGGGGACAAGAATGTACAACACGATAAAGAAGAGCTGTTCAAGTACACTCGTGAGTCTTCTTTTCTCTTTCAACGCGACACGTGCAACCCGCCATGTCTCATTGTATCGTTACCACCGTGGTCTTCAAAGGGTTTTTATTCCTTCTCTCTGTTGTTAGTTTTTTTTTTTTCAGTTTAGATATGCAGACAACTGCGCAGACGTGGTGCTATGTGCCGCTTTCTGTTTCCTTATTTGGTCACCACGTAGAGCTCGCTTGTACGTATGCGCCGCTACTATATGTTCTCCTTTGTACCTCGCTTCGTTTTCTTCTTGATGTAAACCACCAACTTTGTCCTTCTCTCCGCGACGTGCGTTGCGCATGCTCGTATGCATTCTTAGATGTACATCCACGTGGCAGTGGAACAATTTCCAGAGTGAAAAGCAGCTTTTAAAAGGTATGGAAAAGAACGAAAAAGAGAACTATGTGATTCGTGCGCTGACATGAATGCGTGCTCACGGGTGTGGTCTGCTCTTTTTACCTTTTTCTTCAGTGTTGTTCAGCTGTAGTCGTTTTACCTCGATGGGACCTTCGTCCGCTCATCATGCATGGCGATGTGAATGCTTTAGTGGTAGAACTACACAATGCCGCGGGCGCGTACTTTTCCAGCTGCGCGGTTGCACGTACTTCTTTCCATTGTTCTTCCTCTGCTTCGCCTTTTTGCATCTACTTACGCAGTCTCTCTTCCCGTAAAAGGACCGGTGAAAGAGAAAGGAACTTCGCAGCCGGCACGTTTGCCGCTCTCCGTGTATATATACATATATATATACACTGTTTACTTATGATACAACCTAGACGCCTTTTTTGTTGTTTTTTCTGATTGTCGCTTTCTATGCCTTAAAATAGAAACGTCAGCTTTCTCCTAGGATATGCCTTTCTATCAAGACAGTGTTTTTGGCCCATCCGAGCACTCGCAGCTACAGCAACCGTCCTCCGCCGCGTCGTCGCCGGTGCAAGATCGGCGGTCGCCTCCGCAAATGCAAGGCAACGACAACTCGGCCAAGCGGCCCTTCCGCATGCCGCGTGAGGTGTTGTCCCCCGCCTCCTCGCCCATCCCTAACAGTCCCACCTATCACTCGTACCGTGACGACGATGATGTCGGTGGAAAAAAAGGCCGAGAAATGGAGGCCGGTGTGGGCAATGGCAACGCAGTAGCCGATGAGCCTGTGTTCGACGATGACGTGGATGACCGCCCCACTCATCGAGGCCAACGAAGAGACACGGAGAGTGGACGAAAGGGGCGAAGTACGGCAGGCCGACGACGAGGGCACCAGTCCGCGGAAAAGTACCTGAGCCTGCCGCGTGATGCAGCGGTGTATGACGAACAGGAGTCAGAGCGGCGTGACGGGCCTATTCGAAATGAACAACGGCAGCGCCGCCGTGAAGACGGGCTCGTCACGTCGCGGCCGCGTGCGTCACCACGCAAAGGCAGACCGTTGACTGCAGCGCCGTCCTACTCACCTGCTGGCCGCCGAGCAGCTGACGCAGCGGAAGACGAGGGCACGGCGAGTGACGAGGAAGAGGAAAACGATCGTCCAGCGCGGAGACCGCGACATCCGTCACGTCAGCATGCACCTCCGCCTTCATCGGAGTCCCGCAACAGCTCCTCGCATTCCGCCTCTTCTGCCGAGTCCGCACCACACCGGCGGCGTGATGGCGCCAACCCAAGGCGCTCGAAGGTCACGACGGGCAGCGATCACGAAGACGGAGAAGACGACGACCGCGTGCTGAAGCGACGCTACAGCACAACACACGCCCACTCCAGCGCCGCACACGCAAAACCCTCACCTTCTCGCAAGGGGCGTCGGGGGCGTTCTCCGACCTCGCAGCCGCCTCCACCGCCGCCGGCCCCGCCGCTGTACTGCGATCAGTGCGGCTACCCCCTTCCAGAGGAGATGGAGGCGTACCTGCAGGAGACATCAACGTACGAGTCCGTGCCGCGGCCACACTGTCCTGCGTGTGGCAGCCGCCTCCGCTTGTCGTTGCCGGACAACGCTGAGCGGGAGGGAGAGGAAGAAGAGGAAGGGGAGGACAATGGTAGCCGCAGCAGACGCACACCACGGCCAGCCGCCACAGCGGCCGCATCGCGGGTGCAGCCCCGTCGCTCCCCTGCGAAAAACCACGAAGAGGAGGTGAACCTCTACAGCGATCCAGAGGGCACAGAAGACTCGAACGACGTCGCCACTGCAGGGCGGCAGCAACAGCAACAGCAGCCAGGCGGCGTGTCCCTCAAAGCACACGCCGCCCCTTCCCAGCAGGGGCCGGTGTTGATTCCCAAATCGCCGTACCTGACGTTAGAGTTTATGCCGCGGAGTCTCGCCGCCGCCACCGTAAAAAAGCCAAAGGACCCGTGGCGACAAGGTCGTGCTTCGTCAGCGGAGGAGGACGCCGGCATCCCCTGGGCCACACCCGGCTGCGATGCCTGCAGCTGGCAGTGCGAAGTTGCCATGGCGGGAGTGTGTTGCTGCTGTGCCATGCCCTGCGTGCTGTTCCGCGAGCGTCAGCGGCTGCTCTTCCACGAAATCGAAAGCCGCTATATTTGCTGCGCAGGCGCCTTTCCGTGCTGCGTGCCGCCGGCGGCGCTGCGGCCGGAGCTGTACTACACGGTGAGAACGGACTATCTGGGTGCTCCGGCGCGTGCCTCTCAGCGACCTCAATTCTGGGGAGATGCCGTCGAGGTGTCACGGGAGAGCGCGAACGAGGGCGGTGAGAAGGACCTCTGTGACGCACAGGGACGGCGCCCCTCCGCCTCTCAGCCGGCCGCGCGTGTCGCTGCCTTTCGCTCCGCGACGGGCATCGCGTCGCCTGCCTCTCTCGTGAACCCACGCACGGGATTGCCTTTGGAGGGCTGTTATCGCAACATTCCTGTTAGTCGCGTGAAACATGCCCTGTCGAACAAGACTGCGGACTTCACCGGCGACTACGGCTGCTGCGACTGCGTAACGTGCGAGAACCACACGTGTGTGTGGGACTGCGGTCGTGGGTGCTGTCTGTCCTGCACGCACCCCACCGCGCACTGTCTGGCCTTTCCTCTGTGTTGTCTGTGCTGCGAGCTGGCCTGCTGTATGCCGTGCGCCTTGTGGGCGAATCGACTGCTCATTCGCCAGCACTACAACTTAGCTTCCGACCCGGGCATCGACGGTGGGGCCGCGTGCTGCTACTCGTGCTGCTTAACATGCTGCACGTGTGAAGCGGCCTCCGTCGTCTCACAGCACTACTCGGTGTCGCAGCAGCAGGAACACACCTCTCGCGTCCGGTCAACAGCGAAGCCGGCGGGGTATCCTCCGGCACTCTCCTGCTGGTCGCAGCTCGCGTCGAGTGTGGCGGCGTGCCTGGCGGCTGTGTGTTGTCTCTGCCCGTGCGCTGCTTGCAGTTTAGCGCAGCAGCGGGATCAAATGAAGCGGCTGGGCTTCCCGCTGGTGGTGGAGGTGCCACCCGAGATGGAGATGATGTGAAAAGGCGGTGCTTGGCTACCGTTTAGCCTGTGTGCGCTGTGGAGAAGGGAGGAAGTGCCACCCGCTCTCCCGTTCGTGAAGGGTCGTTTCTTCCTCTCTTTCTTTCATTGTACTTGTACGCCTCTGTAGAAGTAGCATTTGTGTTTCCTTCCTCCTCCTCCTCTTGGGTTTTTTTTAGTGCCTTTGTCTGCGCTGTTCCTCAGCATACACACACGCATAGACACGCACACACGCCAATCATAAGAGAGCCCAACTGAGAGCAGCAGCAGCAGCAGCAGCAGCAATGGATTCCCAACGCGCAAACCGCAGCAGAGCAACGAAGGGAGTCGTCGTTGTTCACGGAGGTGAGCAGCGCAGGAGGCGGCGCGTTTCTACGGGTGACGGTGCCTCCTCGAAAGCAAATCTCCTTCCTTCATTCTGTCGAGTTGCTTTGCCACACCTGTCGATGTGCACCTGCGAGCAACTTCCCCCTGCCTATGCTGTTCTCCTTTGTTTTCTGCCGTACCTTCTCTCTTTCTTACTTTTTGAGGGAGACTTTACGGTGTTTTCGCATCACCAGCCGGTGGCCTGTAAAGACAACGGGACTTAGGTGAGCACACCTCTGCATCTCGAACGCTGCCCCGCCGTGCTCCCCGGTCCGCGGAGTTCACGGTGCAACACACAGCATTGTTTTCGTTTCCCTTGTTTTTTGCATTACAGCTAGAAATAGATTCCCGCACTCCGGACTTGAGATAGACGGCGGCGAAGAGCGAGATCAATAGAATAGAAAAGGAAAAAAATAGCTGCTCAAGCACACACACTCCCCACCGTATGTCCGGCTCCTCGTCAGGGCTGTCTCAAGGGTCGTCCCCACCGATCGAGGAGGCGACCACGCTCGATGACGTCGTCGCACCCCCCAGCGTCGCCAGCACAGCATGTCGACACGGCGCCGCAAGAGGCGACAGTCAGTATCGACTCCGCAGCCGATCCCCACGCTTCTCTTCTTCTTCTAGAGGCACGTCATCGCCCCCACAGCCTGCCTTGGCACAGCACGTACGACATGTGAACGCCTCGGACGTCACACGCTCCTCTCAGCATCGTCGTCAGCGGCCAACACGGCGTGCGGCGTCGGCGGAAGGCTGGCGTCGTCGTCTGCACAGCACCTTAGCGACCGCCGAGGCAGAGACGGCCCGTGTCGCGCGTGACTTTTCCCTTGACATGTACCGAGAACTGCATCAGCGCAAGTTTGCCTCCCTGCATGAGGAGCTGGACTTTCTGCGCAGGGACTTCGTAGCGTCGCGACGGACGCTGGCGCTGCTGCACGAGGACAACGTCCGTCTCGAGCGCGAACTGATCTCCCGTGCGCGGGAGGTGGCAGAACTGCACGAAAAAGTCGAGCAAGCCTATAGAGAAGCAGATGAAGGTACTCAGCGGCCAACATCATCGTCGTTGCGATCCAGCCGGCAGACCAGCCTCACTTACAGGAACAGGAGTGATAGCGCACGGCAGCGTCAGCGAGACGCGTACGATGCACCCGTGTTGGGGGTTGCCACGACTATTGAGAAGGAGGAGGCGGTGGAGCAGCGCGCTGCAGTGTCCGCGGATGCCGCCGTTGAAGGCGCCAATAGCACGAAGGAAGAGACCGAAGAGAAGGACGCGTTCTCGCTGGAGCATCCATACAGCACGAGAAATATCTCCTCTAGTTCCGCGTTGGCGCGTTCGGCAACTGCACTGTGGTCAAACCCGTCCCGAAAGACGCACACCCCTCTCGCCCTTTACGCCAAAGCCATGGGAACGAAGAAACTGTCTAACGCATCTGCCGGCGAGGACGGCGTCGACCTGCAGGAGCTCATTCGCGATCTGCGCGCCAACCTCGCGCGGCGCGACACGTCGCTGAACGAGGCGCAGATGGAGCTCGCTGCGCTGCAGCACGACCAACAAGGTCTCCGCACGGCAGTGTCAGACGCCCAGGCAGAACTGCTACAGGCAAAGCAGCAGCGCGACCAGCTACAACATGAGGTGACCTCTCTAGAAGAAAAAAAGGGGGCACTCGAAAAAGAACTCGAAACATGTCGAAGTCAGATGCAGCAACTGATGAAGGAAAAGGACAGTCTGCAGAGCCGTCTGACCACCGCAGAGCTTCTCTACGAGCACACCGGTGCAAGAGATGAAGGAGGCGCCGGCGCGTTCGCGGCAGACGTTGATGCAGCGCAGGGAGAAGAGGGCGCTTCGTTGTCTCCCCCCTCCTCTTCGGGTCGATATTTGAGAGACCAGCTGCAGCTTTATCGCTCAAAGTGGCAAGCCGCAGAGGACGAGAATGACCACCTAAACAAGCGTCTCTCACAACTGCAGCGACAACTCGTCAGCCGAGGCATCGACACCGCAGCTGCCACGACCTCTGATTTGGCAAGTCCTGCAACAGCAGCAGAAGGCACTATGAACGACCCAACTTGTCTCGAAGTCGCCGCGCAGCAACGTGCAGAACACGGTTTAGAGCTCGAGGTGCTCCGGCGACAGCATCAAGAGCAGTTGCAGCTGCACGCAGAGGAAATACAGCGTCTGCAGCGTCGACTGGACCGGGCACAGGAAAACGCATCCTTTCACGAGGATCAGCTCCGCCAGCAGCGTCAGGACGACACCCGCCAGCACCGCAGTGAAGTGCAGGTGCTGCAGACGCAGCTGCGAACGGCGCAAGGAGAGCTTGTGAAGGCGCAGCAGGATCGTGAGCATTTGGCGCGACAGCTGCGCCGCTCGACAGAGCAGGAGACGACGTTGGAGGTGCTGCGTGGTCAGGTCAACCAACTCAAGCAGCGCCTGGGTGAAGTCGGCGCGGAGCTCGCACAGGTGCGGGGAAGAGAAAAAGAAATGAGTCTGAACATTCAGCGCGAGCGCATGGCTCGAGCCAAGGCCGAGCACGACGTCGAGACCACGCAAGACGCCCTCACACGAGAGCAAAAGGAAGCGCACTACCTTCAGGAGGAGGTAAAGCTGCTGCGGGAACAGCTAGGCGTGGAAGAGGCCTCCGTTACACCCCACGAAGGCACACACAGAGTGTCGAGCCCTTTCGCGGCCGACGCGGTGGGCGAGAGCGCGCGTCGGCCTTACGTGAAAGCCAGCGTCGACGGCGGTGATGCAGCGGCGCTGGCGTCAGAGCTGAAGGGCTACGTGAGTTTAATGCGCGTCAACACTTCCCTGCAGCGTCGCATCGAGGAGCTGGAGTCACAGGTGGCCACGCGGACGTCCCAGCCACAGGGTGAACCGCCAAAGAGTGCACCTTCACCTGCTCCCCCTGCTGTGCTTGCATCCACCACGGTCGAGCTGGAGCAGCGGAGTGAAATTGTGCGACTGAATGCAGCGCTGGCGACGGCGCTGCAAAGTCAGCGTGAGCTGCTGTCCAGCTGCGCAGAAACGGAGAAGGACCGGCGGTTGCTGGCGGAGGACAACGTCACCCTCGCCAGCGGTGTCGAGCTGCTAGAGAAGCAGCTGCGGAAACTGCGAGCAGCGGTGGTGGCCGACCGAGCACACAGTCGTCGCCGTGAGACGTCGGAACAGAGGAAGCGACACCTCTCCAAGCAGCACTCCACAGACGACAAGGGAAAAGAGAAGAAAGCACCGGCACAACAACACGCGGATTTGCCTGTGTCGCCCTGGTACACTCTTCCATCGCCTACGGAAGAAAGTCGTCTTCGGCAGCGCTTGCAGGCCGCGCGGGCGCAAGATCAGATCGTGCTGCACGATGCGTTGCTCAAGACGCACCCCGCTCCCTCGCCGTCGCGCCCTCTTGGCGTTCACTCGCATCGAATTGCGAGCGACATGCGCCTGCACAACTTGTGTTGCCGTTGGTGCCACCCTTCTACCACTTCACCACAGCCTGGATTCTGCTGTCAGCCGCACGACGTGGACCCACCGCCCTCTTCGATCCCGTCTCTCACCGGATCCTGCTGTCACACGGCAGAACGCGCTCACGATGGCGCTTCTCCTGCGTCTCTCTCTGCGAAGGAGGCGACAACGACCTCTTCTGCTCCTTCTGGTCCGAAAGACACACACGCAACAACAGGGAATGCCGCAGCAACTCTAACAGCCCTTGCCGTCGTATCGGTATCCGGTCCAGCCTCAGCAGCTCAGCCGCCGTGCGCCGCACCGTCGACGCCCCCGCACAGCCCCCGCCGCCAGATTCACGGCAGTGTGCTTCCGCCCGTCTATTACCCCCCTCTCGTTCTAAAAGGTCCTGCCTGAATGAGAAGACAGAAACATATATACGTACTTCTTTTTTTTTCGCTGTTGTTGTACTCATTGCTCTGGCTCGCTGCTCTCGTCTGTCGCTCCCTCTCTCAATGGATCTCTGGTCTGTCCAGCATCACTCGAGAGATAAAACAACAAGAAGGCAAACGAATTTCAAATTCATTTTTTCTGCTGTGAACACAGATCAGCGCTCTGCAAGGCGTGGTCGCGTGGGTTTACGCCGCACTCCGTAGTGACTTTGCTGTACAGATGACCACGTAGAGTATTGCTTTAGCAAATCTCTTCTCCTCTCCGTTCTCTTTTCTACCGTTTGTGCTCCTCTCACTTTGATGTCATCGGCGAAGTCTTCGTGAGCAAATGATGCATGTTAACCTTCTCCGCCGCGTTGGCGCACGCAGCGTTGCCACCGAGTCTGCCATAGGCGCTCGGATGAGAGCCTTCTCGTATTCGACGTCGCGCGTCTCCATGCGGTGTGCAGCAACCTCCTCCGCCTCGCTCAGCTACCCCCTCTCCCACGCTCGCCGCCACTTCTGGAACCCCTTCGCGTCCTTCACCAAAAACGATCCGCCCGCGCTCGACCCAGCAGAGCAGCGCAACGCGGACCAGCACGCCAAGATCGTCACGGAGGCCCACCGCGACGCCGACAAGCAAAATGAACTTTTGCTGGGCGCCTGCTTAGACTTGTTGGAGATGTGCGGCGGCAGCGCAGCTGGCGCGCCCCCGTCGGACAAGTTAGATGAGACTGCCCGGGACAGCATCTGGACCTTGGTCGACGTCATGCTGCACGACCACCGCCGTACGCTGGCGGAGCAGTTTGACCTCGTCTACGCCGCCCTCTGCCTCCCGGCCGCGCAGGAGTGCCGGGACGTGCAGCGCTGCCTCCTCGTGGTTCTGCACACCGTTCTCCCTGAGGCCCTCTACCGCGTGTTTGAGAGCGTGAACCTGTACGTCGTGAACGACGATGCGCAGTCGCAGGAGCAGCGTGAGGCCCTTCTACGCTTCGTACACGCCATGCTGGGGGATCTGCGTGCGCCGCCAAATTTGGAAGATGAGGAGGTGTTGGCGGTGTACTTCGACGATGTCACGGCGATGTTCCCGGCGCTCGCGGCGTGCCCTGCCTGGGGAGAATTGGAAAAGGACGCCTCGGTCATTGCCCTCCGGGCGAAGCTGTTCGCATTGCTGGGTCGTCTGTGCGCTGAGTTTGACAAGGATAAATCGGGCAAAGTGAAGCTGGACGATCTGCGCTCCACAGCGCGGCGGGTGCTGGGGGAGGAGCAGGCGACGCAGCTGCTGGAAGGTGCGCGGCCGGATAAGAATGGCAAGATTGCCTACCCGCAGCTAGCGGCGTTGCTGACGCGTCCGCCGCCGAAGCGCGAGGTGAAAAGTCATAAATGAGCGTGTTCATCTTGCAAAAGATCCTGTGAGCGGTTGAGTGTGGAAGAGCACAGCAGAAGTCGCTTATACCTGAGAACTCGCGCCATGCACATAAGCTGTACGATTTGTGTGGCACTGTACAACGTCGACGACGAGGGCCGGTGAAGAGAGCAACGCCACCGTGACGGTGCACACGTGTGGCGCTGTCGCTATAAACGGGGAATAAAAGTTCCTCTCCCGTTTTATTCGTTGTCTTTTCTTAAATGAACTGCTGTGATTTGCGCAAGCGTGAAAGTAGAAAAAAGAAACGGAAGAATTCGAGCGTTTAACATGCCAACAACACAAATCGCAGTGGGGGATTGACACGGCAATTCATTCTTGCTGGCGCAACTAGGGAACAATACGATGGCGTTTCTTCTGGTTATCGCTCTATTTAATGAGTGTGTATCAAAACCGAGACCGTATGCACTATATGAGCGCCCCCGCGCGATCGTCAGCCAGAACGTGTCGCACTCATAGCCATGCCTTTTAACCTCCTGTCGTGGTTTTTCTCATTCCTTCTTCGTTGGGGCTGCACTCGTGTGAACTTTCATTTAAGTATCTGAGGAACGGATTGTAGCTCCGATCCTTTTTCTTTCATCATTCCGACGTGTGTGTGCGTGTGTGTGTCTAACAGATAGTAAGGAAAAGCACCATACCGAGATTTCGTTTGTGGTGGTTGTAAGGGTTGCGGACGCGACGTCAGTTTTCATCACCGCGTCCAAACTCCATATAGACAATTGGGCTCTTTGCCTTGTGTCGCAGAAGACTCTCTCACCCACGTAAATTAACCTTCTACAGCCACTGCAGTCCCTGACGCAGAGCGCTCATCCGCTGGAGAGAAGAAAAAAGGTAGGTCTCAACGACATCGTCTTCCTATTCGTTTTGCAGTTCAAATCGCATGTCAGGTGAACATATATATATATATATATATATATATATATATATATACTTGATATCTTCTTTGTTGTCCCTTTCCGTTTGTCAATTGGCGCTGCGAAGCTACTGATCTTCTCTACGGATGCGCCGCAGTACCCTGCAAAGAGCGCTCCAGCCAGCGCTTTGTAGCGTGCTCAGCGGAGACTGCCCAGACTTCTTGCCGCTTTCGCGACCAACTCCCCATCCGGAAAGGCCGCCGCACAGCGCCGCATCGACCGCCGGTGTCACCTCCTGCACACTTGCCTTCAGCTCCTCAGCTGTGCGGATCGTCAGTAGCACGTGCAACGTACTTGCTCACCGAAATGCATGCCTTCTAACCACTGCGCGGTGGCAGACGGCGCCGAGCATAGAGACCAACGCAGCCGCCACAGCGAAGGGTTTATCACGAAAACACAGCGCCGAGGACGGCACGCATGGCGTTGATGGCGATGACGCGGACGCGCTGCCACCTTCCGCAACATCTTCTTCTTCCCCATCTAGCAAAACCACCACAACGAAGACGGTGAGAACACCCAGAGCCTCGGCGAGGAAGGTGTCCGCCAAGTCGGCCACGGGACGAAGAACAACCGCAACGGACGTCGAAGCCGCGACTGGCAAGACGCACGACGCTGCTTTTGACCTCGTCGGTGCATTGCAGAAGGTAATGAAGCCGGTTAGCCTGCGGCCAGGCGTTGAGGCAGCGAGAGGCTACAAAGCCAGGATGCGGATGGGAGCCGCCCAACGGACGAAGGAAAGCGAGGACGCCGCCGTCGACCTCGAGCACCCGTGGCGTAGTACCGCGGCGAGTGGGGGCAACGACGGGATCGCCTTCTCCGACTCGGTCGCCGAGTTGTTTGTGTTGGATGAAGAAAAGCACGACGCGGCGTCGGATGACGTACCTGCAGAAGCGGACGAGAACGACGTCGACGGCGCCCCCGCAGCACCAAGCCCTTCCTCGCCCTCTCCCTCTTTTTCTTCGACTCCCCTCCAGAATAATAACGAGGAGTACGCGGGAGCAGGAAGCGCCGCGCAAATAGACGATACCCTCATGGACGACCCCTTCCACGTTCCCAGCGTGGACGACGATGCACTGTCCCGCGACGGCGGCGCGGCTGCTTCCTCTTCCGCTTCTGTCATTGGCCGCCTTGGTGCATCAGAGGCAGCCGCCAACCAGAGTCCCATCAACGAAGCCGTTCTCGCCGCCGTCGACCTGCTCTGCGACGATCTCTTCCACTGCAAGACAGACGTGCTGGAGTTGTTTACCCGCACCCGCGGCGGCCGCGCGGGGAGTAAAGCGGAGATGGTGTTGCAGCTGGTGGAGCGGGCGCACAAGGAGGCGCACGGCGAAAACAAGGACCTCTCTCTCACCCGCCAGGTCTTGGGCGACGTCTTCGATGACACGGTGCGCACGAGCGGTGTGCGATCCACGTGGACGAACAAGTCCCTCGAGGCCTCGCACGTGGAAATGGCGTGTGAGCGGCACCTCGCCTTTCAGATGATGGCGAACTCGAAGAAGACGTTCATGGTGCGGAACAACGTCGCCGAGGCGTCGCGGGTGCTGCGCAAGCTGACCCGCCTTTTTCAGGAAGAGCAGGAGTACCTCTCGGTGGTGGCGGTGGGCGGCGTCTTTCGCAATTACCGTGCGGAGGCAGACGAACTAGTGCGGTCGATGCCCGTTGCCGAGCTCGTGAGCCCGTTTGCCAGCTTTCTCGTCTCGTACGTACGGTTCGGCTCCAGTGAAACGCTCGTGAGCCGCGAGAACGTCAACAACTGCCTGACGCAGCTGGAACTCTTCCAGCCCACCATACAAGAAATGGACGACATCGCGACTCTGCAGCGCTTGATGGAACTGCTAGACCCGGCGGTGCGCGCGATCGAGTTGGAGAACGCCTCGCTGGAGCCAGGGAAGAAGGCGCGGTATTCGTACCACTACCCGCAGGCTATCGTCGCCACGGCGCGGGCCTTCAGTGAGGAGTCGCACACGCGGTGGAGCACCAGCGCCGCCCCGGACTGGGTGCACGACCTCGCCCGGCTCTTCTGCAATTGGGAGACCATCGTCCGCACCGACCTGCCGCGCTTCGAGGACGTGCCGCGCTACTTCTTCGACTGCATCCTGGCCGGCGTCGTGGACTACTACGTGCTGCAGCGCGTGTACGGCGACGCTGCCCGTCCTGTCGACGTACCGCAGTGGATTCGGCTGTCGTTGAAGGCGGCGCTGACGGAGCACCTGACCAACGAAGAAAACGTGGACGGTGCACTGGCAGATCTGCTCTCCTACGTGCAGGCCGGCAGTGTGGGGCAGGCCAAAACGGTGCAGGGCGAATTCTTCCAGATGGTGCTCTCGCAGATGCAGGGTGCCTTTCAGGATCTTCAGGAAGAGCGGTCCGCTCTCCATGACGAGCGGGTCGCCGTCATCTTGAAGAGCGTCTGCGAGACCGCCTCCCACTGCACCCGCTCCCACGGTCTCTTCTCCCTTCTCGTCCGCATCACTGAGGATGTTCACTTCCACCTGCGCTTCCAGCGTGTGTTCAAGAAACTCAATGGGAGCGATCGCATGACGATTCGCACCAAATCTGGCATCAAAATGGAGAAGACGCTCACCTATTTTGAGGCGGAGTACAACATAACTCCTCTCTCCACCAAAGCGGTCGGCTTCCTCGTCGTGCAGCTGCTGTATCTTTCCCTCCGCGGTGATGGCAGCAGGCGTCCAGTGCTGGAGCGTTTCGCCAGCGTCGCCGGCCCGGCGATGTTGGATGTGGTGGGGCTGACGGAGACGAAGGCGCTCAGCGTGCGCGACCTCCGCATCGCCTTCCCGCCTCAGCTCTCCTACAACTCGTGGCTGAATGAGTCCGACACACGGGAGAAGTCCGTCTACAACGTGCTGCCCTCCGTCGCGGTGAAGGGGTCGACAAATCAGGCGATGATCATCTCGCAGGCGCCGATGATGAAGGCCCTCGACGCCATCTCGCGTGTGCCGTGGCGCATCAACAAGTACATGCTGCACGTTCAGGAGGCCATCGTGCGGGAGGGCTTTGGCTTCGGCAAAATCCGTCCCGGCTTCTACCCGCTGCATTACTACTCCATGAGCGACGGCAGCATTCGCTACCCGTCCGATCGGCGGCGCAGCTCGGGCTTCGACGGGGCGGAGCACGAACTAGACGATGGCGATGCCGACAGCAGCGGAAGCAGCGACACAGTCTTCAACATCCAGCAGCGTCGCCAGATGCAGCTCCAGATGAACATGGATTGGAAAGAGCTCAGCGAGCTGCGCAGCAGCCGCACCCACTACTTACAGGCGCTGCGCCAGGCGCGGTCGATTCTGCAGTTCTCGCACATTTACTTCCCTAACAGCATGGATTTTCGGGGTCGCATGTACCCCCTGCCCGGCCGGCTGAATCACACCGGCTCCGACCCGTTTCGGGGGTTGCTAGAGTACGCGGAGCCGAAGCCGCTCGGCAGCGTCGGCCTGTACTGGCTCAAGGTTCACCTCGCCAACAAGATGGGCATGAGTAAGCTCTCCTTCGACGAGCGGGTGCACTACGTGGATGAGCACATGGAGGACGTCGTGCAGAGCGCGGAAAGTCCGCTGCAGGGCGACCGGTGGTGGCAGGAAGCGAGCGAGCCGCTGCAGTGCCTGATGGCGTGTAAGGAGGTGGCGAACGCGATGAAGTGTTCGCAGGGGCCCGAGAAGTTCCTCTCCCGTCTGCCGGTCGCTGTGGATGGCAGCTACAACGGTTTGCAGCACTACTCAGCGATTGGCCGCGACGCCTTCGGTGCCGCGCTGGTCAACCTCGTCCCGAGTGAGCGCCCGGCCGACGCCTACACCGGTATTTTAAAGGAAATGCTCAAGTCGATTGTCGCGGACGCCGCGCGGGACCACCAGGTAGCGCAGCGCTGCCTCGGCACCGGCAAGGGCCAGGACAAGGACCACATCAAGCGAAAGACGATTAAGCGGCCGATCATGACGCAGGTGTACGGCGTGACCGCCTTCGGCATGTCGGAGCAGATCTTCGACGAGCTGCAGAAGCAGAACAAGAGCCACGGCCTGTGGACGCACACGGACATGAAGGAGATGGCGGCCTACCTGCGCGACAAGGTGCTCGAATCGCTCGGTGTCACGTTTCGCGAGACGCAGAACTGCCGTCGCTGGATCAGCGAGGTGGTGCAGCTTATTTGGAAGGTGCAGCCGCCCGAGCTGCGCAACGCGCTGTGCTGGACCACGCCGCTTGGCCTCGTGGTCCGCCAGCCATACAAGGTGCGCAACGAGTGTTCTCTCTTCACCACGAGCGGCTACGCGCGGATTCCCGGGGACTCGATTGCACCGGCGAGCCGCAAGCAGCTGACGGCAATAGCGCCCAATCTCATCCACTCTCTCGATGCCACCCACCTGGCCATGACGGCGCTTGAAATGCAGCACCAAGGGCTCTCCATGATGGCCGTGCACGATTCATACTGGACCTACGCCTGCGATCTGCCGAAGTTGTCGCAGGTGTTGCGGGAGCAGTTCGTGAACTTGTACTCCAAGTACGACCCTTTGTGGGAGCTGAAGGAGCAATGGGAGGAGACGTACTTCATGGATCTGCGTCGGCACGGCGTGAAGCTGCCAGAACCACCAAAGCGAGGGGATCTGGATCTCAACTTAGTGCTGAAATCGCCGTACTTCTTTTCGTAGAACTCTCTTCTCTTTTTATCTTTCAGCCTCGTTCTCCCGCTTTCATTGTCGTGTATGTGCGGGAGAGGGGAAAAATATATATATATACGAAGGCGAAAGATGCAGAGAACGGGAGGTGTGAGGAGGAGTGCGTTTGTTTCTTTGTTTGTTCGTTCATCATCTACCTTTCTCATGGCTGTGTGTATTTCTGTTGTCGGTTTGTCGTTGATGTTGTTTTTACGCTGTGTATTTCGCAGCATCTTCACATTTTCTTTTCGGGAGGCACAAGAGTCTCTGCTCTGTTGCACTCCAACGCTTCTTGGTGTATATATATATATGTGTGTGTGTGATCACTCTTGTTCGTGTTCTTGTCGGTGTTGTTGTTTTTGTTTTTCACCTCCATAAAGTACTTCAGCTCCGCTTACCGGGGCGCTGTATAATTACTACTTGTTAGACTGTTTCGTTTCTATTTTTTTCTTTCCTGGTTTTCGACTCTTAAATGGGATGTTTGCCGTTCCGCAGACCTGCTCTTGATAATTCACACGACAGGAGCCGCTTTGCGTCAGAAGCGAACGCTCGGCAGCTGCCACGAATCGGTGCGATGGAATGCGCTCTTTAAGAGAAAAGAAGGGGAGACTCTAACACGGACTTCCTTTGCCGATACCTGAGTGCCATCGATTGAACTACGTTGGTTGTTTGCTGGGGCTGTCCCATGTGAAGAAAGATGTCCTGTCCTCTCTCTCTTCCTCGTGTTCATACTGCCACCTCTGCAGCATCTTACTTGTGTCTTCCATCCCCATTCTCCTTCATCTGCTCGGTCCGCACCATCGAAGGCACGGAATGGCGAACGTGTGACTTTTACTATTGCTCATTGTCTAGATCCCCCCCCCCTCTTTCATAGACGTGCGTGTGCGTGAATTACTCAGCGCGTTCTTCTTGCCTGCCCTTAATCGCGCTCTCCTTTCATCAATGCAGTCAACTCCTTCGCCGCTGTCCACGTCAAAGGTGACGGCGCAGCGCAGTGTAGCACAGCGCAAATTCACTACACCTGTCAAGCGAAGCGGCATCACACGACTCTCCACGCCTCACGTTACGCAACCGATACCTGCGGCTTATACGCTCATGGAGAATGCCACCTCACCTACACCACCACCGTCAGTTTCCGCGGCTGACTCTGTCGGAGGGCTTCGCTCCATAGCAACGAGAGACACCCTCTCCACCGCACTTGTCTCTTCATTTCCCGCTGCACCAGGAAAAGAAGAGGAGCTGCGCAGCGGTCCATTGCAAATACGCGAAAACAGCAACGGTGTGGGCAACAGCGAAGGCGGCGTCGCTGCCCTGTCACACCCCTCAGACGGTTCCCTCTGGAGGCACCGCGTTGCCGCCGTGTGTCAGCGCCTGGAGCAAACAATGCAGGAGACGGAGCTCACTCTGATGCACGTCGCACCCATCAACGAGACCGCCTTCTTTTCCAAGAGCCACCATCCCATTCTAGAGGAAGACTCGCGCGGCCGCTGCGTACCCACGCCGAAACAGACGCTGGAGGCGGTGCAGCGGTACCGTAGTGGGTGCATGTCGGCGCTGACGGAGCTGCACGCCATTCAGCGCCACGTCTCAGCCCCCTCCACACGCACACACTCTGCCGAAGTGCCACAGCTGCAGCGAAACTACCGTCTCTTAGAAGCACGTCTGTCCGAGGCGCTTGGAGTGCAGGCGGCGTACATGAAGGAGGTGGCTACGCAGCAGCGTCAGCGCGAGCGAGATGGCGTCGTAGGCGAATACATGTGGACGACGCGTCTGCTCGTGGAGCAGGAAGCTGCGGAGCGGGTGCACCTGGGGAAGCTCTACGACTACGTCACCTCGACAGCCCCTCTGCAATTACAAAACAACCATCGTGACAGAGGTGACAAAGAGCTGCGAAAGGACAGCACATCCGCAAACCCTCCTCCGACTTCGTCAGGATTCCGCACGCCAACACGCACGCGACGACCGCCGCAAGGCGATGGGGCAGTGCTACGCCTCACGGCAGAAAAGGAGGCGCTTCTACTCGAACTGCAGCAACAGAGCAGCCGCACCGAAACCCTGTTGCAGGCCCAGATGCGTGATCTGCAGGCAGCGCATGCGCGTGCCTTAGCCCAAATGGTGGCCCGCCACGAGGCCGAGAGGAGTGTCTGGGAGACACGATCCCACGAGACGGAGAAGCTAGTACAAGAACTGCAGCAGGAATGTGCATGCCAGCAAGGTGAGCTCCGTCGCTGTCACGACCAGCGTCGTGAAGCGCAGCAGTACGCCACCATCACCCATGATGGACTACAACAACAGCTGAAGGACACAACAAAGAAGATGTGGCAGCTGCAGCTGGCCAACGACCACCTCGACGCCAAGGCGAGGGTGCTGCAGCGGGAGTTGGAGGAACTGCGAGTGGGTCGGTCACCAATCCAGGCGCGACCAACAACGCCGTCACGCCCACCACCATCAGAGTCTTTAGCATCGCTATCCGAAAACGATGCACTCCACCGAAAGGAGGAGCGTCCGCGTGCGACGAAGCCGACACCAGCAGCATGCTTGATCGGCGTGCCGGCGGCGGCGCGTATGACACAGGCAACGAAGACAGCTACGTCGGTGCCTCGCATATCGCGCCTACCAGACCCGCCGTTGCGTCGTACGACGGACGATGTTCGTCACGGTGATCCGCTGCGCCGCAGTAACCACGAAGACGGGAATAGGAAGGCCGCGCGAGACAATACGATGGCAGAGGAGGCGGAGGAGGGGACGGTGGACCCTTCTGTGTGGCTCGCCTACGATGCGCGCAGCCTCGTCTCCGGCACCACGCCAACCAGAAGCGACGGGCGGCGCTACGCGTGGGGTGAAGTCCGTCGCGCTTCACTTCCGTCTTTCCCGGTGTCAAACATCCCTTTCGCCCAGCGATCTTCCGCCGTTGGCGACGCCGCAGAGGCGGATTTTTCTTACATGAGCGAGGACCCCACCGGGTACGCGTCCACCGAGGTGCACTCGCACATGAGCGCAATGACGGCAGCAGCAGCAGCAGCAGCAACGGGCGACGAGAGTCAAGGGAGCGGCGTTCGCTATTCTCCTCTGCCTCTGTCGCATACGGCTTCCGCGCAGCGGCAGCTCTCGCTGGAGCGCACGCCCGTTGTCGTGCCACCGCAGCGCGTCCCCCACAGCTCTCACGACGAATCCTTCATCAACACCGCAACACACGACGTGGAGGTGGACACGGACGATGACGACAACGAACCAATCTCTTCCTACGAGGAAGAAGAAAATGAAGGAGAAGAGGGAAGAGTATCACCTCCTAGACAGGCGTCACACCCCGCGCAGAAGCTTCGCAGGCAGCAGCCCCCACAGTTCTCGTCCTCCGGTGAAGCGGACATTGAAGAAAGAGGAGGAGGAAGAGGAGTACCGTTTACGCGCTCTCGGTCGTCGCCGCACATGGCGCCGCTCGCAGCATCCACTCCGCCCAGCTCACGCAGTCGCGCCAATTCTGACGTGGGAGAGGGGGGAGAGGCGGACGACGTGTGTCCCCCACTGACAGCGCCGCACGGCGCGGTGGGGAACACCTCCCAGGGCGGCCGCAGCTCCAAAGGCAGCGAGACGGCAGCGGAAGAGGAAGACAGCAGCACCGTCCTGCCGCCATCGTCCTCGCGGGCATGGCTAGAAAACGCCCGCCGCGAAGTTCTTCAGCACATGGCGGCGCTCGAGAGCGAGGTGCAGGAGGTCACCGCCCGGCACGACGCGGCACAGCGGCAGCGCAGGCGGGAGCGGGACATCATCCGTGTCAACGCAACGTCCTTGCACACCAGCCCGGTCGCAAAGAAGCACGGCGGAGACGAGGAAGACGGCAGCGGTAATGCGAGCGATGTGGATTGCGCTCTTGAGCAGCTGCATATCGCACAGCAAGAGGACGACGACGAACTCGCGCAGTACTATGCTGAGGTGAACCACAAAAGAGGAGAGCTGGAGCGGTGTCTGCGAGTGGTGGGAGAAAGACTGGCGCCGCACTGACGCCACCCAACGTCGCGAGAACCCGCAGAGCCGCGCCGTTTTCGTTTCTCTCTCTCGCTCTCCCTCTCTGTTCACGTCTCCTCGTAGAGGAAGGAGTCAACAAAGACGCACTCGGAAAAGAAGTGAAAAGCGATGTTTACCGAGAAGCGACCTGCCCAGTCAAAATTGCTGGGGAGGCGCAACGGTGGTCACAAGACCTGCCTGATTTTATGAGATGGCCGATTGGGTTTAACAACTCCAGTGAAATTGCCGTTCTCGAATGCTACATCGCCAACATTGGTGGCGCAGCTGTGTATGAGGCAAATGCTCTGTTAGCATTACACGCTCCATCCTTTTCATCGCTTCAGTGTCCTCCTTGACCACGCCACTAACGGCGGCGCACTCTTCCTCACGTTGTCGCCCCCCCTCCCCTTTTTCCTGATGATGATGTTTTCGCTGATATTTTTCCACGTGGTTCTACTCGAAGGCATCATCATTTTCCAGCGCCTGTATTCGCTGATAGTAATAAAATAATTAGGAGCGTCAACGTACTTTTTTCTCTTCGTTTTTTGCTGTTGCTGCTATTTGCGAGGCGTATTAGAAAGCAATGGCCTCTGCAGACTCACCAACGTCGATGCAGCTGCTTATCGCCCATCAATACATGCACGGCCCCGGGGCCCCACCGAACATTAGCGGTTCGAGTGACCGGCGCCCACGGCGCTTGTGCTCTGCTGACCTGTCCTCGCACGGACGTAGCGGGGGCGAATACAGCCCCTACCTGTACTCCTCCGTAAATGAGGTCACGCATCAGCTACCACCGACGTTGGGCACACACTACGGCGAGGCGCCCTACTACCGAGGCAACAACGAGTTCGATCGCCAGCTGCGGCGAGAGGTCTCCCTCGCCGCTCACGACCGTTCTCGACCGCCGCAAAGTGCACCTCCGACTCATCCGTCCTCAGCGAGGTTTGCGGCCTCTGCCCGTGCACCCACCTCGCAAAACAAAACTGCGTCCCGCATCTCCTTCACCTCGGCTAACGGACCCAGTAAGAAGGACGCCGTACGTACCGGCAGCGCTCCCCCACCTTCTCGCTCAGCCCTTTCTCCCAGCGTCACGTGGCGTCGACCATCACAAGAGTCGCTGCCCTCCCTCTCGTCGGCTTCAAATGCGCACGCGATTGTGCCGGAAGCAGCGCTGGTGCCGTGTCTGCGGCTCACCGTGAAGCAAAACGGTTTTGTGGTACGAGATGAGCTAGGGACGGATAAGCACATGCGCTTTCATCGATACCTGATCAACACCGTGTCGTGAAACATCAAAAAAAGAAAACAAAGCAGAAATCGCCTCTCTTCCACTCCGACTGGGGCTTCTGATTTTCATTCTTTCTTTCTCCTTTGAATTTATCTCACCGTTTAGACATGAACCCTTTATGTATGCCTATTCATGCATCTCATCCGGAGCTCCCACTACCTTGTCGGCGTCGTGGTATATGCGTGGGTCACCCCCTGAAGAGGGCGACGGATGCTGCACCCTGTATGTAATCCTTTCTCACCAGTGAGTCACCTTTACACCTGTGAAACCACAAAGACAGAACAAACGAGTACGGCCAATTTTTCTGGAAGGACAGGTAAACCGTCGCTGTCGCCTTGCCGTCTGCTCGCGTGCTTTTTCTTCCAGCACTGCAACCTTATTTCCGTGCCTCAGATGCAGTTTCGATGTGAGACCTCTTCGACCGACACGCCCACCCCGAGAGACAATCTCTCTCGCCAGCGTTATCGCTCTGCGGCAAACAAAACAATCACCTCTTCTTTCTCTTCTCCTGTAAATCGGAATTACTCCTTTCTTTTTCCTGGCATTCAAACTTGCAGGAGATATCACGCGCAGGTTTAACTACATCCTTTTGCACCGACACGACAGTGTGGGTTCTCTCGCCTTCCTCCTCCCTGCGTTCATGTAGCGACCATCAGCAATGACAATGGCCAGTGTGTACCTCCTCGACGTGAGTTATTCCACGTCGCCCTCCCTGCACTCCAGTGGGGACGCACCGCACCCTTCCCACGGTACATTGCCCCTGTCGTGGTGGTGCGCAGGCGAGCTGGCGCAGTGGAGTTCAACGGTGGCTCTCCATGACGCGTGGGCCGCGGCGTCGCGGCGGAGCCTCCCTTCTCCAGTTCGTCGTACTGCCACCGCCAACGCCTGTGATCGCTCATCCTACATCTCCTTCAACAGCGATGATGATGGTGGTGATCACAGTGACGCATCTTTAGTGGGTAGAGGCGTTGAAGCAGCATCGACCTCGCCTCTCTACCATTTCTGCTCCTTTCCGTCTGCGGTGTCCATTCAAAACAAGTACTTCAGCACCACACTGAGCCTCATCACCGGCTATGCGGCACCGGCGTTGAAATTGTGCTCCCTTCCCACATCGATCCAGCACGATATCACCGCCGCGCTCGCACAGGCGATGCACCCCACCTCTTCCGAGGGTGTGCAGCGCAGCTACGGAGGGGTGTTGTTGGTGGAGGTGCGGCAAGACCCTGCAGAGGTGCCGTGGCATGTGTTGTCGCGCCATGACGGGTGCCTCTTCCGTGTCGTGATGGTGTTTCTGGAGGACTTCGACGGTGTGGAGGAGGTCGGACTAACAGCGATGACATGCGAGACCGCCGCAGCCGCTCCATCGTCGCTTCCCGAGGGCCTCAAAGGGGGTCGAAAGGGCGGTGAGAAGAGAAGCGCAGGCGTTGATGTGCGCAGCCCGTCCGCGGCACAGAGAGAACGTTGGCGGTACTTTGCGGTGGAGAACGGGTATGAATGCGTTTTCCACTCCTCCGTTGCAGCTCCCCACGCGGACGCGGCGGCGCTGATGGAGGTCGTGACGCCGGTGGCGGGACGCCGTGGTCTGCTCGAGACCCCTTTGCACGGCTCCAACCGCCTTTACCAGCTTCTCTGCAACACCCTGTGGCCCGCTGGTGTGCGTCGCAACCGCGGCGAAACAGAAGGGAGCTCGATGGACACCCATCAGACGGCACCACAGAAACCGGATTCGGCTTGCAGGAATGCGTTTGTTGTTGTAGGCAACAGTGCACACGCGATGGAGAGTCTTTTCGAAGAGGCCGCAGCGCCAGACCGAGCGCGGACGCGGCGGCAGCAGCGCTTCTTTACGAGGTTTGTCAGGACGCATGCAGGCGGCGATGGCGGTGGCGGTGATACAAATTTCACCTCCGCAAAACACAGCGCCTCTTCGACATCCACGGCGACCACGAACAGTCCGGCTTGCGGCCCTCCTGGCACAAGCGATGGTGCATCGCACGCTGCACTCGTGCTGGTGAACAAGTATTACGCCGCGGTGGTGCAGCCGCAGCTGCTGCAGACTGCTTTCTTCAGTGTCTCGATGCAGGACATGCTGGAGCGTTACTGGGAGCAGCACTTCACCGTCGACGACTCTCCTCAGCGGTTGTGCGCTGATGCCCCCGCCATGGTGCTGTGGCCACCCAGCCCCTCACTGTCCTCCGTCCATGCGGCCCAACAGGCGGACACGAGTGGAGATGCGCTGCTGCTGGATGGACGGAGCGCCTACCCATCTCTCGAGTCGATTCTCGATGCGTTGAGGCGCCGTGGAGCGAGTGAGATCGTTGTCGTCACCCCCGTGCACGCCGCCTTCTACGCGCCGAGGGGGCAGAGGCAGGCACCTCTTTCGTTGAACGCGTACGAGCTGAACGTGTGTGCAGAACGCACCGTCGAGGTGGTCGACCTCAACGCGCTGCACAATGCAGCGGACATCGTTGAAGGCGCACCGCCCACCCCAGTCCTCCTCGACGAAGACGACGTGTGCGCCACGCGCGCCGTGGATCGACTGGCAGAAATTCTGCATTGTGTTCAGTGGGATCGCAGCTATCCCCTCTCCTCCGAACGGCCCAACAACACGAGGAAAAGCCCTGCTGCAGGGGGTACGCAGCAAAGAGACTCCTCATCGAATTCCTGCTTGCTGCTTGCCTACGGCCTGGACGCTTTTCAAGAAGAAGCGTGGATGTGCGACGTAGTACACGCGCTGCGGTCGACGCACGGGCCCGGTACCGAGCCGATAGCGCCGCTGTCGTCCGACAGGCACTACCTCGTGGCCGCCGCACCCTCCATTGCAACCGCGTTGGAAGCTGCACCGCCTTCATCGGCCAACACGCACGTACCGTCGTGCGCCATCACGCTCACCAACGCGTACTTTACAACCCAAGTGCAACTGCATTTAGTCGGAGGTCTTTGGGCGCACTTCCGCGCTGTCTCGACGGCAGACGCGTGCCTTTCGCACATCGCACCCCGACCTTCTCTGCGGCCAGATTGGCAGACGTCCTACGACGGCTACGTCGTTTTGGCAAGCCTGCACGCGTTACACAAGGCAGCGTCCAACGCCTCCAGCGCGCCGCGTGCATCCGCTGCGACGTCGGCAGAGCTGCACCATGTGCTTCCTGTCATGGTGCAGAAAGCGATGGAGTGGTGGTCGACGCAGCGGACGAGTGACGCAGCGAGGTGTGCGGACGAATCGGCCGACACGCCGCTGGTGGCGATTTACGTGCCTGACGTGGCCGTCTCCAACGCACGGGGGACCGCATTGGTGGACGAATACCTCCGCGCCATCGTCAAGGCAGCACACACCAGCGACAGCGAAAACGGAGAGAACGAGGAACAGGAAGAAGACTTCTTTATGCCAATTGAAGTCATCCTTGCTGCTGAGACGTGCAGCAACGTGGCGACGACGACGGATGCGTGGGACGACACGTCCGTGGACGGGCTGCTGCGTATTCGAGAGGCCTTTGATCAGCAGCTGTGGCCGCATCGTGCACCAGCCCCTCCAAAAAGTGATATTTCGGACATGAAAGCAGCCGCCGTCGCGGGTGGAAAGCTGTCCGGTGGAGCGGAAGGTGTGAATGCGGAGAACGTATGCGTCCCTCTACCAACGAGCGCAGCGGCACCATCGAGAGGAGTTGGCAGCTCCTCTTATTCTTCATCATCTTCTGTTCCCCCTGCACGTGCGGCCACGCGAGACACAATGTGGATCGCCCCAGCTGTTGGATGCACGCTTCCTCCGGGCTTCCTCGTTGATCCGGAGACGTTGAGAAGCGTTGCCCTTCAATCGGTCGTCAAGACCACCGCCCCTGCGCAGAGCACGACGCACGGCGCTTTGACGTCATCGAGGCACGCAGCAACGCCGGCTGAAGCAGCTTCTCCGGGCGCAATTCACACAGCAAGCACACACGATGCGGCGACTCTGTCGTCGACCAGCGATGGAACAGGAACTCGAAACATTCCACGGCCGCCTCCCCCGCCCCTTCCTCATTCGGTGACGGAGGAAGAATTGATGGCGTGGATGGAGAAGATGAAGAGGTACGGCCATCGTCTGGGCGAGACGCAGCGAAAAGAGCAAGCCGCGACGCTGGCGCTTGCATTGGAGAACTTGCTTTGATATATATTTTTTTCTTGAAGTCAAAACAAAAGAAGGCTGAACGGCTTCCTCATGGGAAGCACTTCCCTTTTCGGGAACAAAGCTCTATACCTCCATCAAATACACTAGCCTCCTAGCGGCCACGCAGGAAGCAAAAGCAAACGGCGCATTGACAGTGGTGGAATTATATATGGGCAACAGTAAAGTCTTGTCAACGCGCAAGTGTACGCGTGCACCAAGCACAACGGATCAGTATGAATGATATGGCTCTTGTCCTCTCTTTCACCGTCACGCCTCTTCCTCCTGCACGTATGATCACTCTTCAACGGTGAGGTGCTGTAGTTGCGTATCACAGCAGTGTGCTCAGTGTAGGACACACACACACACTCGTTGGTATTAGCTGTGCACCTATCACACCCTTTGTGTGGGCATCGGTGTCACCTGTCCTCACCTGGGCGTAGCAGGCAAAGAAAGGAAATAGAACAACTAACTTTTATTATTGTTTCCATTATGCGGAACGGACCACAAAACGGCTACGGCGGGCAAGGCGGCAGAAGCAACAGCAGCGGCGGTCGCCGCAACGACTACAACGGTGCCCGCCCCTTCGCCGTCCGCACGCGCACCCGCTCGTGGGAGCGCAAGCCCGGCGCCAAACCGAAGAAGGCCATCACGGCAGAAGAGCGCGCCACACAGCCCATCAATCACGTCGTCCCGTTAGATATCTCCTTTGGCAACTTTGAGTTCCAAGAGATGAAAAGCCTCGGCAAGCGCGGTGGGGGCGTGCGGGAACTCTCCTCCCTCCTCCGACAGGCGCGGCGCAAGGCGTCCAACTACGCTGAAATGCTGCACACACACGAGGGGGCCGAAGCGCGGAGCGGTGAGCTCATCTCGGCCGCGATGCAGCGCGCAGCGGGTCTGAAGGTGAAGGACGATGCGCAGCGCATCACCAGGGCACTCGCGAAGCGCCGTAGCAAGAAGCGCCAGTCGGCGAAGCGGTGGGCAAAACGCATAAAAGGACTGGAGGACTCCGTGGAAAACATCGTGAAGGATCGATCCATTCAAAAGCAGACGATGCGAGCGCGTAAGGACGCCAAGGTGCGTGCGAAGGAGAAGAAGCGTGGTGTCGCTCCCGGCAGTGGCGGTAAAAGTGGTAAGGGTGGTGACAAGGGTGGGAAGGGAGGCAAGACAGGCTTTGGAGGCAAGAAGTCCTCAAAGAAGCAAGCTGCCGCCGGGGGTAAGCACAAGAAGGGCGGTAAAGGTGGCGGTAGGAAAGGGCGTTCGTAGTCGTCATTTTCCTCTGCTCTTTTTTGTCTTGTTAGTACATAATGTCGATTAAGCGGGGGCGTCCCCGCCTGCTCACATAAGTGCGTTGTCTCAATCCAAATGCATGAATAAATACATCAGGGCACTTCTTCTTTAGACATGGGAGAGTCACAAGGTACGGGGGGGGGGTCCTGCTGAGGTGAAATCTATGCACCGCGAAGTGTATTGAAGAGCCCTCGTGTGAAATGCTGATCTCTCTTCTCTATAAAACAAAAAAGCCCCTACAGCGCCTCACTCGACTTGCAGAGTGGCCTTGAAGGCTATTTGATAGTTTTTTTTTTTTCGGACACTGTAGTAACGTTTGAAGCTGACCCACTCGCCGTGTTGTTTTGATTCTTTTCAGCGGTGCGGCGCTTCTTTTCCTCACCTCCTTCACCTTTTGCGTCTCTCTCTCTCTCTCCCTCACCACACGTCTCACCGTCTTTTGTCTTCTTTCTTGTCTACTTTTTGGGTATGCGATGTACGAACCGTGTGCAGCCGTCTCTTCCGCTCCCCTGCGTACTCACGCATCGCTATACACCACTATACTATTATTATTATTATTACTGTTGCTGTTTTGTTTTTAAAAACAAGTCAGCTATTTACTTCACAGAGTTTTCTATTTCTGCCGAATCGCCAGACCATCGCTTCTTCTTCTTTTCCTGTCTTCAAACAGACCTCTACACATACCTTGTGCCTTACCTGACGGCTTTTGATACTCGCCCAGTCTCCCGCTTGTCATTGCCTCCACAGGTTTAGTGAGGTGTGGAAGAGAGGGAAAAGAGCAAAACTAAAAATGCTCCAACGCATGAACACTCGCGTCGGCGCCAACGCGCTCGCCTCTGCGCTGCGCCTGCAGCAGCGCAAGTTTGCCTCCGCCGGTCTCTTCTCTTTTGCCGCAACCGGGCGCTGCAAGTTGCCGTACGGCACCCGCTTTCCCCTCTCTACAACGGCCGCAGCTGCAGCTGCCTCTGCCTCTGCGTCGACCTTTGCCGTACAGAACGCCGTGCGCAGCTACACCACCGCCACCCGTCCGCAGCTGATGCGAGTGCGCGGCAACGACGATGTGCAGAACATGAACAGTCCGATGAACTGGTCTGGCAGCGGCGGTAGCCAGGCGGATAGCTTAACCCCGTACGTACGCCAGCACCTCGCCCGCGTCTACACGCTGCTCGGCTCCGCCTGTCTGACGGCGGGTCTGGGCAGCTTCCTGATGGTGGCGACTCCCCTCGGACGCGCCATCCCCTATTGGTTTCCCATGCTCGGTGGGTTTGTGCCGCTGCTGTGGCTGTCCTTCGCGCCTCCGGCCAACCCCTCGTTAAAGCTCGGCCTCTTCTTTTCCTTTGCCTTGTTGGAGGGCATGGGACTCGCCCCGCTGGTGCTCATGACCTCCATGAAAGGCGTCCTCACCACCTCCATCCTCCTAACCGCGGCGGTCTTCGGCGGCTTTAGTGCGGCCGCCTACCTCGCCCCCCGCGCCTCCATGGTCGCCTGGCAGGGCCCGCTGTTCGGCGCGCTGATCGGCATGGTGGCCATCTCCGTCCTCAACATTTTCTACCCGACCGCCATCGCCCATTCGATTATCCTGTACGGCGGCCTCGCGCTTTTCTCGATTATGGTGGCGGCGGATACGCAGGCGATGATTGAGCGGGCACGCTGCGGGGCCGGCGATCACGTGCAAGATGCGCTGCAGATGTTCCTGAACGTCATCAACATCTTCGTCCGCATTGCGCAGATCATGGGCAGCATGGACCGGTAAAGGAGCGACCTCCACGGAGAGAAGTGGTGCGAGGTGGAAAAGGAGGAGGCAAAAGAATGTAGTGCCTTGTAGGAAGGGACGCAAGTTGTGATGTGACGTGTGCGCGCGTGTGTGTGCGTCCGTTGTTGTGCGGTACAGCCGAAGGACTTCGTTGGCATATGTTTTGCTTTTAAAGGATTCTTCGTATGAAAGCGTTCTTATTCGCGGCTTTTTCAGTTGCCGGGTTGGGTGGTTCCCCTATTGCTATTTTGATGTTGCTGTGGCAGTGGTGGTGGTACGCGTGTGATGAACGGGGTCTTTTCTAGTATTATTATTATTATTCCGGAGCTGGTAACTCACACATGAGTCGGATCGCTTTCGTTCTCTCGTTGTTTTCGTGATGTGTCTCGCGTGTAACGGCGTCAAATGAGGGACGTACTTCTTGGTGGGCATCTGCGGAAGGCGGGCGCATTCGCGCATACATTTTTGCGAGGTGTAGGATGGCGAATAGTGCACTTATACCACGAACATCTTTATTCATTAAGGTTGTGGTTGCGAGGGGGTTTTCTTAGTTCGCTTCTTCTTTCTTGTTCTTTCCTTTTATTATCTTTTATTATTATCCGGCCTTTAAGTCGCTATGGGAACGCTGTGACGGACAGAGGAGGCTCTTTTGCACGTGGGCCGTGACGGGCGCTTTAACAGCGGAAGAGTCGGTTGGAACAAAAGAGGGGGGCTGAATCGGCGCCGCGTGAAACGACGAGGTGCCATCAGTGATTCTGAAATGCATAAAAGCTGCGCTTAGACCGAAACTGCAGCGGGTGCTGTTGGCTCGCTCGCTTTCTCCTCTTGTCGGTCACCTCTCCAACGAGGTGCGCCGATCGTTGCGATCCGCTGCGCTGTTCGATGCGCATCTCCGTTCACAGCCGTTTTTGTCTTTCCCTATATCTTAGCTATTCCCTATCGCCTAACTATTTTTACGTATTTGCCGATCTCACCCACGTGAAGGCCTCCCCACTCCCCGCGATCCACTCGGAGGTAGAGCTGGCGTCGGAAAGCACAAAAACAGAAAACGAGATACGCATCCTATTACGACTGCTCTACATAAATATGGAATGGGCCGATGACGTGGCAAACCGCCCGCGCCGCGCAAACGCCGGCAGTCGCCTGCAAGAGCTTCTCCAAAACGGTCTCGACGAGGAAGACGAAAAGGACCTGCAGAGATGGGACAACAGCTCCTCCGACACCAGCTTCACCCTCGGCAGCGACGAGGAGACGATCGACGAGGTGGACAGCGACTTCGACGCGGAGGAGGTGGCCGGAGTCCTGGAGGGCGAGGCGGTGGAGACGGAGGCCACGGTCCGCCGCGCTGAGCGTCAAGAGCGGCAGCGCGAGCGCAAGAGGCGGCTGCAGCGGACACAGAACTTCTCCAAGGCCGCCGCGCACACGCACGCCCTTCAGAAGAAGCTGCAGGAGCGTCAAAAGGACGCGACCGAGCGCCAGAGACGTCGCAAGCGGGAGCGTGACGGCAGCAACGACTCTTCCTCGTCGCTTTCCACATCCACGTCCTCCGAGGATGACAGCACGAGCGGCGGGGATGGTGAAAAGAGTGAAGTACCAGACTTGCGCCAGCAGGTTCGTCATCGCCCTGCGCCGACCATCTCGTGTGCGCGGCGACTGGCGGAAGCGCACGACCGCGCTGCGGCTCACCGTGCCGCGCAGGCTGCCCTGGCAGAGCAGGGCGGTGGTGGCGGTGGAGACGAAGGCCCCGGGGACGCCGCTGCGATGCTGAACACACACCGAGGACTGAACGTGGGCAGAACACGTCACAGACCGCGGCGAAATGCGGGGCGGTTCGGAGAAACCGTCCTGAATGGCGGAGTCGCTGGTCGTGCCTCGCCGTCCATGCCAGTCTTTGTCTCCCCACGTATTGCTCTCTACCATAGTGTACCGCAGCGCATTCGGTACTGCAGCGGTGTGTCGGTGCTGGCGATGTACAAGGTGCCTTCGATTCTCTCCTTCTCTGAGCGTCTACCCGCTGTCTTTCTGACGCAATCGCAGAAACCGTGAGAGTGACGGGGAGGGAAGTGTTGCAGCACAAAGAGACGGTGGTGCGTTGTCGTGAGGACTGATTTCCCGCGTTTCCATTTTCTTCTTTGCAAAGCATCTTTTTTTCAGGCTTGTTGCTGTACGCTACAACACAATGAAAACCACGTAGATGAGAGTTCATGCTTCTGCATCGCAAAAGCGCGTAGATAACTCGCTGTCTTTGTGTGATCCTCTCCAAGCACACCATCTGCACCGGGCCCTCGCAACATATATATAGGGCACTGTTTGCTCTACGGCGCTTGATGTGCTCCTTACTAGTTTGTACCTTCTTTCGTTCCCTCTCCCTCTCTATTCTTCGCTGTTTTCTTTGATTATGGGTCTTTGATTCGTCCGACGTTGCTCATTCATCTGTGTTGCTGAGAGAGAGAGAGCAACCTTGTCTTGTTTCCCGCCCTTTTACGAAAAACTCACTTAACAGTTAAAAACGCTTCCTTCTTTCTCTATCTATATATATCTCCTGATTCATCTACTCACAATGGAGGACGCAGTGCAGAACATCGTGAACCAGCAGCGTGAGACGGAGCGCGCCGTCTTGGGTGGGCAGAAGGTGCACATCCGTGTCCAGCAGCGTAAGGGAAAGAAGTTCGTGACGACCGTGCAGGGCCTCAATCAGCGCCTCAACTTCCGCCGCATCAACCGCGAATTTCAGCGCCGCTGGGGTTGCAACGGGACGGTGATCAACACCACGGACGCCGGGACGGTCATTCAGCTGCAGGGCAACTGGAGCGAGAACATCAAGCAATTCATCTTAGACGAGCACATGACGACGGAGATCAACCTCGAAATTCACTCTCTGTAAGGTGCTGTCATCTGAAGGTAGTGATGTTTTTTTTCTTTTGCTATTATTGTTTTTAACACATAGAAAAGACGTTTGTTCTGTTCTTTTCCTCTGTTTTTGTTGTTGTCTCGTGTCTCCTCCGCATACGTTAATGCCACGGTGCCTCCCTCTCTCTTCTTCTCACCCTCATCCTTGTCCTTTGCCACGTCCAAGCGTCACGGACAGTGGAGCGAAAACAGCACTAGTAGGAAAATGTGGCGAGGAGAGGCGGAAGGAGGCGGCTGATCGGCACTGAGAGGGGGAGGGAAAAGACTTCAACCTTATTGTTTTTGATTCGCTGTTGTGAGTGCTTACTTTTGTAATTCGATTGTCTGTTTTTTACTTCGGTTTAATGCCGATGACTTATATGCTAAAATGCATGCACGTGTGTGTGGGTGTGTGGAAGTATGTGTGTTGCGTGCGTGTGTCGCCGTGAAGAACAAAAGCAGTGGTGCAGTGAAAGAGGAGGGCGGCGAAAAGTGCGTTGTTAACTAGCTTTGAACTCCGTTCAGGTTCTAACCGACTTAAGCCAACAACGCAATAATAAGAATAAAAAACGGTGCGGGTAGGACGAAATTGTCGTCTCTCACGTGCCGCTTCGACTGCCTGCGAGAGAGAGAACAAGTAAACCGGACGACGGTGCCCACGTCGAATGCGAGTTTAGCACAGTCTCGTGAGCAGCGTCTTGAGCTGCTTTTAGGTGTCTGTGTGTGCGTGTGATTGAAACTTTGGAACGGTGGTGCGGTAAACGGTTTCTCGTGCCTCAAAGACGCCTTTTAAGGGGGAAGACGCACAAGATCGCAGCGTCGCTATTCGAGATGCGCTTTCCTTCTCCACCGAAACACGCTCTTTGCAAAGACGTGAACCTCATGAAAGTCAGTTGGCGACGGGGGCGCTCGTTAAACGTTTTTCCACGCTCCCTACATCCTTCCTTCTTCTTTATCTCTTCTTTCCTTTACACTGATGCCCCAAATGCAACCCCACTCCCCCCACCACCTCCTCCTCGCTGGATGTGCCTTGAAAGACCTCCTTGTTTTGTCTCTTCTTGCTTCGCTCGCTTTCTTTTCGTTTTTACTTCTTCTCCTTGTTGGCTGGGAAAACTGATGAAGTAGCCTTCTACTCGTTAGTGCCCTCGTACTTCGTTTTTCTTTCTTTCGCTGTTCTGTGTTTTTTTCCGTGGACCTCCGTGCGCATCCTCCACACATTCCTTTAGGTGCAAATCCCTACATATCCGTGTCTTTTCTCTCTCTCTCTTGTTTGTCATTTCCCAAGTCCTCTTCTACCGAGTGTCGCGCTCCCCCTCTCTCCCTTGCGACTCTTTGCTGGTGAGTTCGTGTAAGAGGCAGCTAGACACACTGAGTCACACAGATCGAACACGGACACGGAAGACAAAGGAAAGAAAGAAAGAAAAGAAAACTCGGTGATTTCTAAGGCTGTGATTTCTTCGTGTGGTTCGCGCGCTGCTCCTCGACTTCGATTGGAGTCGTAACAGCGAGACGCGAAGGAAGTGAAGAGTGGGAATTCGACGGAGCACGCAAACTTCCTCGTCGTTTTTTGCAGAAGTCGTTTTCTCGTCTTTTCGAAATCAGCCTTTTTAGGAAGAACACCGTTTGCGTGTGTGCGCGTGTGTGTGTGTGAAGTCCCGCCACCGGTTTTCAGTGGTCGTCTTTTGCAACGAAGAAAAGAAAAGCCTTCAACGTGTCCCCCGCAGAAGAGGGAAACGTCACCGAGGTCATTACCACTGCGCAGCGTCAGACCACATCCGTGCTGGGTAGCCCGTCTCGGCTCTTCTCTGAATTCAGAAAGAAAGAACGGTACGGAGCAGATTTAAAAATAAGAAAAAGGTCTCAAGATGCCGATCAACCCCGAATACATCGCTCTGCCGAAGAGCAAGGAGATGTTCGCGATTGCGTCGTGGCGCGACTCACCAGCCCCGAGTGCCGCCACACACCTCGTCATCTCTCCCAGTCCTCACCTCAACTCCCTCGATGCGCTGCGGGGCAGCAAAAACGGTACCTCCACCATGCCAGGCGTCTTCACGACGACGAACACGGCGGCGGGGGCCCTGTCGCCCGCACCGGTGCTGCCCGCCGCCGAGGACGCGGCGAAGGCGAAGGCAGACGTCCCGTCTCCCTTTCCCTCCCCGGCCACGGGGGGTAAGAAGAAGAAGCGGAAGTCCGCGGCGGTGGCGGGGGGTGCGACCGGGACACACCCCGACGACGTTGATGACTTCTTTGTGCACATCCTCCTCCCCGCGGGGGTGGCGGTGCAGACGTTGGAGTTTGAGCTGCAGGCCCAGGCGACGCCCCTCAAGATGATTGAGGTGGGGCTGCCCAAGGTGGTCTTTCCTCGCAAAGCAGGTGCCAACGCCTCCTCGGGGGCGGAGGGCAGCGCGTCGAACGTCAGCGCAGGTGCTCCTCCGCCATCGGGTGCAGCGACAGCGAAGCCAGGGATGGTGCTTTCTCCGTTCTGCACCCCGGCCGTGGTCCCGATAGGCAGCGAGAACGGACTACCGCCCATGAGTCTCCCGCCGGCCGATCTCCTTCCTGAGCCGGCGCTGGCGCGCATCAGCAGTGGGGCCGCGCACGGGGCTGCCGGTGCGACGACGGACCGGGCGCCGTCTCCCACCTCCCCACCCCCCGCCGTAACGTCAGCTGGAGGGACCCACCACGGTGGCGACTTCCAGGTCTCGTTGCTCTTCGCGGAGAAGGCGGAGGCGGAGAAGACGATGGCCTTCGTGCAGCGCCGCTGGCCGACGGCGGCCGTCTCGACCGCTTCGCGCAGCCGCAGTGTGCTGAACGCGACGTTGGTGCTGAAGGGGCTGCCCAACCAGGCGAAGACGGAGACTGTCCTGGCGGAGATACAGAAGTTGCCGCACCCCCCGTCCTACGTGCGCCTGCTGCGCAGCGAGCGTGGGGTCTTCAAAGGGGTCGTCTTTGTCAAGTACGCGAACTGTGAGGTGTCGGAGGAATGCAAATTGCGGCTGGAGCAGTTCGTGCTCGGCTCCCGCCCCCTCAAGGTGGAGTTTAAGAAGAAGAGCAGCGCCGCGTCAGCCGCCAGCGAGGCGGCGAGTGAGAACAAGCGGTCACTGCAGGAGCTGGTGCGCGACCTGCGGGTGAGCACTGAGTACGAAGGCTTTCACCTCGACCGCACCGAGGTGTCGAAGGAGGAGTTGAAGGTGCTGAAGCAGTTGTGTCAGTCGTACGGGCTGCACTTCGACATCAACGATCAGCGCGCTACCGTGCGGCGTGTGCTGGGCGCCAACGGCACGCTGAGCGAGAAGCCGTCACCGGCGCTACGGCCTCAGTCGGCGACACCCGTGTGGGTCCCCGCCACCCCGGCCCCTCTGCGACCAATGGACTTCAAGGGGATCAGTCATTGGAAGGACATTCGCAATCAGGCGAACACGCTCGGCATTGTCCGCCCCCTGGGTCCGGAGGACGGCAAGCCCGCCTTTTCGGCCGGGCGGGGACGTCCGCTGTAGCGCGTGCGGCAGCAGAGCGAAGCTGCAAGAGGGGAAGATCAGGGCTTGTGTGTGCTCCTTCCTCGATGGAGGAGTTGAGGAGAGCATTTTCTTTCTTTGAGCTCACTCAGCCGGGCATCTGGTAGCACCTTGAACCGTCCTTTATTTCTGCATCGGTGCGCGCTTGTCAAAGAGACGGGCATGAGGCAACGGTATGGAGTCTTACAGACCCGAACCTGGAAAAAAAGGGAAAAGGAAGAAAAAATCGATGAGATCAGCTGACGCGAAAAAGATGTGAGTGGAGTGCGTGCAAAGACCGAAGAGGAGAGGGAAAAAACGAAAAGATCAGCAGCCTTCGCTTTTTATTTTTTTCTTCGAGGAAACCCAGCACTTGTGGCTGTGGCAGGATCTACAGCAATGAGGCGTGAAGGAGAACGTGCGCTGAACCTACGGCGGTGGTTTCAGTAAAGCATCTCGCTTCCTCCCTCTATAAGTGCGTTACTGGTGGTGCACTATCCCCATTACTTACTCCCGCACTTTCATGCGTCCCGACGCCTCGCGCGTGTGTGTTTTTGTATTGTTGTTGTCGACGTCGTTTTTCTGCCCTCTTCGCCCCTTCTTTCTTTTCTCACTCGCGCTCTCCTCCTTTTTCTTAATAAGTAATGCCCGCCAAAAAAAAAGGGAAAAAATCTTTCTGGAAACCTGCCTGGGAAGGCAGGCGAGAGGAAGCATCCGAGGTGAATACATCATCAGGAAACGGCCTCTCGTGCTTTGACAGCAGCGACAGTGGTTGGTTCTTCTTCCTTGCGGGTCGATGCCTTTCCTGTAGCTGCCACTTCGCCCCTCGAGCTGCACCTTCGGGAGTGAAGAGACATTCTACCTGTGTTGTTTCTCATAAATCATGTTATTTCCTTTTTTTCTCTTTCCCCTCTTCCCTCGCACTCTTCGCTGTCTCGTCATTCTTAAAACAAAAATACATTTGCTTTACATTCGTCTTTCAAGAAGGGCGATACGTCGAGTGTTTCAGAGGGGGTTTTGTCCTTGATCGCTCCGCTGTTACGCAACGTCGCCTGCTCGCTGCTGCGAGTGGAAGAACGAAGGAAAGAAATTCAAAAGAGGCATCTCTAAGAAGTAGTGCGCTTCAGCGTGCGTTTCACATCCGTACTCCCCTGTCAAAAGTAAAGAGACTTACGAAAGTACGATTTGGCTTTCTTGTCTCTCTGTGTCCTGTTCTCGCTACGAATTTCTCAAGTAGTAGTAGTTCCTGTTGGCCTGCCTCCTCTAGGTTTGTATTTAGCCTCATCGCATGCCTCGTGGTCGTGGTAGAGGTCGTGGTCGAGGTCGTGGTCGTGGTCGGGGACGCGGTGGTGGTGGTCGTGCCACCTTGGCCACAGAGAGAAGCGCCTACGAAGTTGGGGACGCTCCCCTTCGTTCACCGAGCAGCCTCCCAGATAAAGGCACCGCTGCTGAGGCGGTCCTGTTCTCTCCCTCATCCAGGCGTGGACGTGGGCGGGGTGGGAACGTGCGAGGTGGGCGTGGTCGAGGTCGCGGCGGCCGCGGTGGCCGCGGTGGTCGTGGTCAGGCAGCGCCGCTCGCGCACTCCGCCTCGGAAGGCGCACTTCCGTCAGACGCCGCCACTTTTGTTTCGGCCACCACCACGGCGACGTCTTCGGACGTGCAGCAGCAGCAACAGCAGTCTCTAACGCCGTCGCCGCCCGTCGTGGTGGTGGTGCCGCAGGGTCGAATGATTACACGATCTCTCCTGCGCGTTGCCTCGTCGCTCTCGCTGGACGATCTTACGGACATCCAACGCCGACGATCTTCTCTCGTCGCAGGAGAAGAGCGCACGCGGGTCGGCGCTGCGGCAAAAGCGGCGGTGGCCGCCGCCACATCAGACAGCCCGCCCTCACCGTCGCTGAGGGGGCACCATCACCTCCTGTCTGCGTCCTCATCGACGTCCGTGACGCTTGGGTCGTGCTCGGACTCCCCCGCCATTGCCCCCGTTGCCGCCTCTGCTGCCTCGTGGTCCTCCTCAACCACCACTACCGCGGTTGCTGGCGGTGGCCCGTCCTCGTCCACGCAGCGCGTCATCGTCGGCGGCCTACTGCGGTGTGTCTGCAACGCGTTTCTTGTCTCTCCCAGCGAGACGCTGATGGAGTGTTCGCGGTGCCGCAACTGGTGCCACCCCGCCTGTGTCGGCGTCGACGTCGAGGACCTGCGCGTGTATCAGCGTCAGCGCAACTACATGTGTCCCTTCTGCGCCCCGCCCAGCAAAACCCCGCAGGTGGAGAGAGACACCGACGTGACTGCCCGCTACGTCGACGCCTTCCCTGCGGAGCCTTTACAGCAGCAGCAGCAGCAGCCACCTCCAACCTCCGTCACGACCCCGCTTGGCGAGACGATTCCCTTCGTGTGCAGTCCAAGCAGTCCAGGTCCGCCGCCGCTCTCCAACACCTTCACGGGCAGCGCAGGAACACCTCACAACGGCAGCCGTCGCAGTCCGCAGACACCCACCGCGTCGCCGATCATCGCTGGCGTGGCCACCGCCTCCCCCGCCTCTTCCGCCTTTCCCCTTGCGAGCCGTCAACCCCCCGCAACGCGGCAGCTGGCGCTGAAGCTGCGTGATGTGCCCGACGAACGCCCGCCGGCAGCCACTGCTCAAGGCCTCGAAGACCTGCTGCGGATACTGGAGCAAACCGCCGATGAGCTGGGTTACGGAGTCGTCCACCTGCCTGCGTACCAGCTCACAGATGTGCAGATGGACGAGTGCATGGGGTGTTGCACCGAGGCGATACGCGAGGCCACCTTCTCCGCCGAATACCCCGTCTACTGCCTAAAGGAGGTGCAGCAGCACCGCCACCCTTACGTGCAAGGCACGGCCCTGCAGTCCAAGGAGGATGGCATCATCTGCTCCTTTGTGCTGTCCAACGGCAAGGACTTGTACGGCAACATGAAGAGCACCATCACCCAGATGAAGAGCGCCCTGCAGCGCGGTTTCCTCAACCCGGCAGACGTGTCGACCTTCATGGCGCACTGCATGACCATCACGGACGTCTCCGACTTTGTGCACATCACCCTCAGCGCCACGCACACCAAATATCAGCGTAAAGGACTCGCTCGGCTGCTGATGGCGATGGAGCTGCTGAAGTGGGCGCTGCGTGGGCGCACTCGCGCCTTCTTAAACATGGCGATTGAGAAGCACCTCGTGGACGGCGACACACGCATCGAGTTTGCCTCCCCTGCGGCGTCGCGGCACCTATACGAGTCCTTTGGTTTTGTGGACGTCTTCCCCCGCTACGACCCCGTCACGAAGAAGGAGCGGTGGACGGCGAAGGAGGCGGACATGGGTCGGGTTATGGCCAACGTGAGCTTTGTGGAGGATGTGCAGCGCGTTGCGGCGGCGCTTCCTGCGAAGCACCACTCGCAGCGTCGTCACAACAGCGGCGGCAGCAGCAGTAGCATCGTCCGAAACGGCATGCACAACGCGGAGGACCTTAACAGCTCGGCAGGGACGGCTGCCCTCCGGCTGAAGATGCAGGCGAGTACGCAGGGGGGGGACAAGAACGAGGATGACACCTCGTCCTTTATCAATGCGGCGGGAGCGTCCTCTGCTCGAGCAAGTCTTCGCGCGCAGCCGACCGCCACGCCTGATCTCGCCTTTCCTGTCGACGGTAGCCGCACTTCGCTGAAGCGGCATCGCAGCGGTAGTCCCGTGAAAAACGCTGTCAGCTGAGGACGAGTCGGCACACTGGAACACGCGGAGAAGTTAAGCCAGCAGGATCGCAAGTGGTACCCCCGCGACGCTTGTTGGTGCTTCTTCCTTAACCGTAGGAGGCTTAGGAAGAACAAGAAAACTGAGAAGCGACTGCGCGACCGAGGCAGTGCAGGCAACTACGATGCAGGTATTTACAAGAGGAGAGAGAAGTTGCTGTTGAATGGGGTGTCTCCATTGCCGTTTTCTGCTTCTGCCGTTGTGCGTGCGTTGTGGTTTTTGTTTTCTTCTTGTTGTTGGTGTCACCCTGCGTGTGTGTGTCGCGACTGCGCTGGGCCCTGTGTTTGCTGTCGCCGGCGCGCCGCAGTTGGGCAGCGTTGACCTCTCTCTCTCTCTCTACCTTTTCTCCTGTCTTGTGTCTCTTGGGGATGCATCGTTTTTGTTTCCGTTGTGTTTTGTACATTTCAAGCGCTCAACCTCCTCTGCCGTCGGCACGATAGGGTACCCTTCGAAGCTCCCTCCCTCTGTGTGTGTGTGCCGATCACGCAGCGAAATGCACAGAGGCGTTAAAAAGGAAAAGAACCCCTCGCGTGTTGCTTCTTCCTCCGTCGCGTCCCCGCCATGGGCGCTTACGGCCGTTTCTCCTCCACACAGACCGCCTTCTTGTTGTATTTCTTCTCTTCTCTTCCTTCTTTATTTTCGGTGGCCTTTATGAAACGCACAGGAGAACAAAATCACTTTCACACACACACACACGCACACACGCGCGCGCGAGTATCGAGAGGGAAGGAAACATGCGTGCGACCGCTGCGCGCTGGAAGGCGAAGTCCTTGGTGCAGATGTTCCGCAAGCTGAAGTTAGCCGGCGCGCACCCCGACGTGCTGTGGGGCATCGACGCCCAAAAGGCGCAGCACAACGGCGAGGAAATGATCCGGCTGGAGACGCTCATGCACGAGCGGGTCAACCGGACCTTGGGCGCCTCGCCGTCGTCCGCCACGCGTGACAACTCCCCACAGACCTTTCTGTTCTGGTTACAGAAGGGTCAGGGCCTTTCCTCCGCCCAGAGTGCTCGCGCTCCACCGCGGGCGCCGTTAACGGCCGTCGAGTGCACCATCACTCCCTTTTCAGAGACTCGAATTGTGAAGCAGCAGCTGACGGGGCTGTTCACGGACGCGGGCATCTTCGAGGACTTCGAACTGGGCAGCGAGGGGGTGGAGATGAACCTCGAGTCCGTCCTGCGTCACGCCGATGCGCAGCAGAACGAGCACCTCGTCCAGTCCGGTTCGCTTTACATTCGCGGCGACAAGGCAGTCGAGAACCTCCGCCGCTTCGGGGTGCTGCTGGTCGTGGAGGAGGACGGCTTGAGCTACCTCGTGACGCTGCCGGAGACGCAGGCGGTGCAGCCAACCGGGGCAGGGCAGTACAGCTCTCACATAGGAGGAGGCGGCGGCGGCAGCACCGCACCCTATATGCCGGCCAAAACAATCATCGGCCCGAATGGGGAGATCGACCCGGAGGTGCAGGACTTCATGACGGAGCGCGGCCTCCGTCCGTTTGACCTCCGCATGGGCGGCGGACACGCCTCGGTGGAGCGCTTTGTGGCGGCGTTTGAGCGAATTGAGCGGATGTACGCCGTGCACCGCGGCCGCGCCTTCCGCCCCTCCGTCTGCATCGTGCTGAGCCTGCGCTCCCTTGACAACTTTGTGGCCCCTGACGGGTCCATTGTGCTCTCGGTGCAGCGCATGCCCAGCTGGGAGGAGTTCCTCTTGAGCCTCCCGCAGGATGTGTGGAAGGACTGCGTGCGGAAGCATCAAGAGTGGCGCGTTGGCACGGCGCCGAAGCTGCAGGAGCGCAAGCGGCAGCTGCTGCGCGTGGCGGATATGTTTCACTTCTTCCGTGTGACGACGGAGGCACCCATTGCGGGTCGCACGCAGTGGCAGGAGGACCTGATCGCCCGCCTGATGAAGGAAGAAACGATGATTCGACGCGCCGTGGCAAAGTACAACCTGAAATCGGACCTGCTGAAGAAGCGGGGGGAGCTGCGCATTGTGGAGCACCTTTACAGCGCTCTCCCCGGCTCCGCCATGGCGGCAGGGGAAGCAGGCAGGAAAGAAATCGGCTTCCATCTTGGTGGGGATGGGCGCCTCACCTTCAACTATTCAACCATGAACACGGGGCAGATGCTGCGCGTGTTGAAGGATAACCTGAAGCGGGTCGAGACCTTCCAGCAGCAGCACGACAACGCCATCACAGCGCTGGAGCTGGTCAGCCGGCACATCCCGGTGGACTTCAGCATCGATACGGAGTGGAAGCACCGGGCGGAGGGAAACTTGGTGCACTCGCTGGAGCGCTTCGTCCGCACCATCAAGCACAACGAGATCCAACTGGGCTCCTTCCTCAATTCCGTTTTCACCAGTGGCGTCACTGTGGGCTCGAATGCGGGGAAGGTGGGGGTGCCCGCCGAGATGCTGACGAAGAAGCGCATGGTGTGGGTGGTGTCGGACCGCTTCGACACGATGCCGAGCGGGGTAGTCTACATCCCCTACGATGTGGACTTCAACTCCATCAAGCGTCTTCTTCTTTCGCGCGGTTAAGTGCACGTTCGTGGACGAAAGCGAGTGGAAGAGAGAGAGAAGAGAGAGATGGGGCAGCGGCTACCAACGATGTTCCCAGTGCAGGTCAACGCTGGTGGTGATTGGGTACAGTTCGTTTGCGGAAAAACGGGATGGGGGGAGGAAGAGCGGTTGTCATTGAAGCGGCTGCGCTTGACTCCATGTTCGCGGAGGATGCCTTCAGTCGGTGTTGTTCGTCGTCACACGAAAGGGAAACTATTTTCACCTTGTTATCTGTGCTCACAGCCACCCTTTCTTTTTATCGCCTTCCTCCCCTTCCCTGTACTTCGTGATGTGTGTGGGCCACCGCCTCTTGTTTTGTTGTCGCTGTTCTTTTGTTCCTCCACGACGTAGGACAAGGGAGGACGGTGGGCGAAACAAGTCGAATGAAGGAGTGAGAGCGGTGCTAGCAATAGCCGAATTGCCTTCACGTTTGCACGAAGAGGAGGCACGTGGTTCGCTTTCAGCACAAGGGCATCGCAAGAAGCAAACACACATGTTTCACTGCCGCTCTTTGGCGGTTGGCAATGCGGGACTTTGAGGGAACGGGTCCGGTGTTTTACCTCTTCATCTTCTTCTGTTTTTGTTGCTCCATATGTTCATCATTGTAACCCTCCGCTCTCTCTTTTTCTTATTTTTTTTCCATACTTTTTCCCCCGACCCACCCACACGCACCTGGAAGGCGCATAGGCTTTCTCGCCTTCAGATAGTTCAAATATATATACATACACTGTTTATTTCCGCGTGACTCGACTCGCTTCTCACTGTCCTGGTGAAACCCCATATCGGCGCCCAACTCCTTTTCTTTTTTTACCTCTTCTGGTCGTGCTCGCGCGGTGAAGCTCAAGAAACGCACACGTCCTTTTTGATAGCTTCTTCATTTTCTTCTCGTTATCGTTCTCTCTTTGCAGTTCATCGAAAAACGCTCGACACACGCAACGCCGACGTCCATGGCCAGCTTCCTCTCCGTCGCTCCAGACAACGTCCTGGACTCCATTTTCATCTTCTGCGACTACGGCGAGCTCTTCGCCAGCAGCCACGTGTGCACCTCCTGGCGGCGTCGCACCGGCAACTCCATCATGTGGAGACGCGTCGCCCAAGAAGATTTGGATCGTGCTCGCGGTACCGAGTACCAAATTGTCGCTACACCGGTGCAGAAACGCGCCGGGCTGTCGTCGTCGTTCAACGTGGCCCACCTCTACACCGTGGAGGTGCGAACACGCCGATGTCAGCGCGAGCAACACGAGAGCGCAGCGTATGGTGATGGTGCGGGGCGACACGGCGGCGGGTACGCCTCCCACGGCTACAGCAACAGCAGCAACAGCAGCGGTGCCCGCACCGTGCCGTCCTACGCGCAAAACCTTCAAATGTACTCGTTTGGCGGAGGGTCAACCTCTGCCATCGCCGCCTCCGTTGAACGCGTCTACGGTGGCGGTGGCGGTGGTGGTGAGCTGGAGCGCAACCCGTCTTCCACATGTTTCGCGACGCTGGGCAGTACGGCGAAGGTGCGGCGGGTGTGCATGCGGTACCTCCAGCCCCTACGCTTCACCGCAGGTGACGCTGTTGCTGCTGCGCTGCTCCGCGCCTCTCGGAACGCAGCCCACGCCGTGGCGTCCTCCGTCGCGGAGGACTCGCACGACGACGCGGCGGAGGGAGAAAAGGCGTTGCCCCTGTGGGAGGACGGCTCGATTCTTCGCCGCGGCGTGCTGCTGTGTGACCCGCACGACCCGTGCACCTTCTGCTACTACGCCGCCACGCTGCGTCGTCCGTGGTGCACGGTGCTGATGGACCGCTTTGTGGTCGACGACGCCCTTCTCGTGGACTTCATCACGCACAACCGCGACGGCGACGGCGGTGGCAACAGCGAAGCAGCCACCTGTATTGATCTTGCTTTCCGAGTGGAGGAGCTGCCGGTAGTGCGCAACGACCCACGTGATCCCTCACACCTGGTCAAGCCTGCGCAGCCTGTGGGCATACGAATTGGCGTGATTGAAGAGTCCCAGCTGGACGCATACCGTCGCGGGCTGCAGCAGGTGGTCAGCAGCATGGCGTTCTACTCCCTTTCGGATGCGCAGAACGCCGACGACGAAAGCGCCACTTCCGCCAGTAAAGATTCCGACGACTTCTACGGGAATGACCACCGCGCCAACCCGACTCACAACACTACCGCCTCGCAGGACTACGCTTGGGGTGCGTTGGACGCCGGTCCTACTGGTCGAGGAATCGCCGGCGGTGGCGGTGTCTCATGGAGCTACACAGCCCGCGGTGGTCACACCCTGAGCGACGACGTCGACGATCCCAACTCGGCGGCCGCAGCCGAGGCAGAAGTCGCGGCGTGGCTGCAGGCGAGCGTGCGAGAAGCCACGCAGGCCTCACCGGATCACAGTGGGGCGGCGAAGACTTCCTACTCTCCCTCTGCATCGTCAAAGCCGCTGGAGTTTTGGGCACAGGCACCCGACACCCGCGCCCCGACGTCAACGCGGGCACCAACAGCGGCTCCGTACACGAGCCACAGCAGCGCCGCCCACAAGCGAAGCGCAGTGAGCGCGGCCGTGTCAAACGACGACGACGGCGGCGCCTTTGTGCTAGGCGATACTCCTGGTAGCTTTGGTTACGATACCGAGGGCGGCTACATCTCCGAGGCGAGCAGCTACCCTTTGGGTGCCCCGCTGCAGAAGGGGGACGTGGTGCATCTTCAATTTTTCCACGATGAAGACGTCATTGTGGTGACCCGCAACCGCGAGCGCTTGGGCACCCTTGTCGCCGATGCCTTCTCGGAGCGGCAGCGGTGGTGTGTAGCCGTATCACTGCAGAACTGCGGTGTGCGTTTCATTCCGCCCAGACTGAACTAACGCACGCCAGAGACAACGAGACGTGCGAATAGTTCTGTTGTGGTTTGTGCATTGCGCGAGTGCAGCTTCTTTTTTGTTGTTGTTAGGTCATCTCTGCGCTTTCCTCAGTTATCTGATGAGCGTGCTTGTGATGCTCGCTGCGTCTACGTACGATCTTTGCGGACACCAACAAAAACAAAATGCAAAGAAGCACCTGCATACACATCTATATATATCTATATATATATATATATATGTGTGTGTGTGTGTGTGTGTGCATTTAATGAATTGTTTTCTTTTAGCAGGCCTTGAAAACAAAAGTCAGCTTGCGATAGTCGTTGTGTATTTCTTCTCTTTTCCTTTCTTGTTGTCGAGCGTATTCAAAAAGAAAAGGTAACTTTTTTTGCTTGTCACTGTCGCTATCTTCCCCGTACTCCGACATCGATACAGCAGCATCAACCTCTGCTACACAAGCGGGGGAAAGCAAAGCGCTTCTTTTTTTCCACTTATCTCGGCTACGTAGCCTTCACACGCACAGCTCATTGCCTCACCTACCGCGTCTGTGTCCTTCGCCGATTATTTGTTGACTATCCTCGCCTCCACTGCGAGCGCAACGTCCTTCACCCAGTGCCGGCACCGATGCCTGCTGCCCAGCCCTCGCCGGATTGTCCTTCGTGACGCCTGCTGCTCCCCTCCCCCTCATCTCTCGTCTCTCTCTCATCGCTCCGCTCTCTCCCCACACCGTCTACCCCCTGCCCCCACCCCGCCGCAGTGTAAACGCCACCGCACCCACAAGCACGCTCCCTCACGCTCTGCCCGCCCGGACACCTCCACGCACTAAAGCATCTCCCCTAGTACCCACCCCCACCGCATCGCCGCATCGCCGCCCCGCCGCTCGACACGATGCCCGCCTGCCTGCCCTACTACACCGGCGTGATGGCCTTCACGCTGATCCACTTCGTCGCGTGGGCCTTCGCCTTCGTCGCCACGCCCACCGCGCAGTTCCAGGACCCCCACTCCCCGTCCGGCCACGGCTGCTACACCATGTGGGGCTACCGCAAGTTCTGCGGCGACGTGCCGTACGACCTGACGGGCAACGACGCCTTCGGCTGCAACCGCCGCACCAGCACCATGCACGCCGCCGCCGCCTTCGCCGTCATGGCGTCCGTCCTCGGCTTCATCGGCCTCGTCTTCGGCATCCTGCTCAACACGCAGATCAACCTGCCCCCCGTCATCGCCTTCTCGCTGGCCGCCGCCTGCATCCCGTGCACGCTCATCTCCTTCGCCTGCGTCGCCAGCGTGTACACCATGAGCATGTGCGACGGCACCAGCTACAAGGGCAAGTACCCCTACACCGCCGGCTTCGCGCTGATGGTTGCGTCGTGGGGCCTGGAGATCATCGCGGTGGTGCTGCTCGGCATCACGTCGTGGACGCGTCCGCCGAAGGAGGAGGAGGACAACGCCGCCAAGAACTGAGCGGAGCGCGAGTCGCAGTGCGCGTGTGTGCGCCAGCGTGCGAGATGGGACGGAGGGAGGAGGCGAGAGAGCGTCCGAGCGCGCTGTCGGGTCTCCCTCCTCCTCTCCCCTGTCCGCGGATGATTCATCCGACTCTGAATGACCGCTAACTATTTTGTTCCCCACCTAATGCTTCATTTCCCTGCGTATTTTCTCTTCTGTTTCACATATACATAAATATATACATATATATGTGTTTCGTTGTTTATTTGACCTCCGTGCAGCCGGTGCCCCTTCTCGTCAGCGACGTCTGCCGCGCTCGCTCTTGCCCTCTCCCATCGTTCGCCCGCGCGGCGCCAGCGTTCCACCGCACGCATCACCCCGTGACGTCCAGTGCCGGAGCGGAAGAAGAGCTGAGGACGTCCCCCTGTGCGAGCGTCACACTCCCACGCAGGTTCGAGGAAGAGAAGCGCCTGTTCTTTCGCTCGCGAGACGGGTGAGAGATGGGTTGGAGAGAGCAGGACAGTCGCCTGCATCAACGCGTCACCGCGTGCTTTGCCGTCGTGCAGTTGCGCTCTCGCCCTCTCCGGTGGTGTACCGCTGTGTTGGAGTGTTGTCCGTCGCCGCCGTCGAGTACCTCTGTGTTGTGGTTTTGAAGTTCTCTTTTCTGGTGCTTATCGTGGCGAACTCCCTAAAGCGATGAAGTCTCTCTGTGTTGTGTTCTCGATTGAGCTTCTCGTACGTTAACTTTCTCCAATTGTTTTGTATCGCCCGCACAGATTTATATAGCCATATAACATATATACGTGTGCTAGGAGGCGCGCGTGTGTGCCTGCATCGTCTTCGTTCTCTTTCTTTCCTTTCACACCGCAGGCACGCAGACACGCACGCACTCCCGCGCAGAGCACCGCTCTGGCATCAAACACGTTCCACGCCGCCCCCGTGCCATTAATGCTAACGCCCTTTCCCTTACGCTGTCGTGAGTTTTCCTTCTTTGTTTCGCGCGCCCCGAGGGAACATGGTAGACGTTTCACCTCGTCTGGTGTACATACTAATATGCCCTCATCTTGCGTATCGTTATTGTCTTCGCTCTTCGCGCGCCCCGTCGCGTTGGCGAGCACCCTATCTGCTACATGCTCTGCGCGGCAGCGAGCAAGCGGTGTTGCGTTGTGTTGTAGCGGTATCTGTGCCGGTGTGGCGGCCTCGTCGCTGCGACCCCGCGTATTCACCCAGTGCCGGCACCGATGCCTGCTGCCCAGCCCTCGCCGGATTGTCCTTCGTGACGCCTGCTGCTCCCCTCCCCCTCATCTCTCGTCTCTCTCTCATCGCTCCGCTCTCTCCCCACACCGTCTACCCCCTGCCCCCACCCCGCCGCAGTGTAAACGCCACCGCACCCACAAGCACGCTCCCTCACGCTCTGCCCGCCCGGACACCTCCACGCACTAAAGCATCTCCCCTAGTACCCACCCCCACCGCATCGCCGCATCGCCGCCCCGCCGCTCGACACGATGCCCGCCTGCCTGCCCTACTACACCGGCGTGATGGCCTTCACGCTGATCCACTTCGTCGCGTGGGCCTTCGCCTTCGTCGCCACGCCCACCGCGCAGTTCCAGGACCCCCACTCCCCGTCCGGCCACGGCTGCTACACCATGTGGGGCTACCGCAAGTTCTGCGGCGACGTGCCGTACGACCTGACGGGCAACGACGCCTTCGGCTGCAACCGCCGCACCAGCACCATGCACGCCGCCGCCGCCTTCGCCGTCATGGCGTCCGTCCTCGGCTTCATCGGCCTCGTCTTCGGCATCCTGCTCAACACGCAGATCAACCTGCCCCCCGTCATCGCCTTCTCGCTGGCCGCCGCCTGCATCCCGTGCACGCTCATCTCCTTCGCCTGCGTCGCCAGCGTGTACACCATGAGCATGTGCGACGGCACCAGCTACAAGGGCAAGTACCCCTACACCGCCGGCTTCGCGCTGATGGTTGCGTCGTGGGGCCTGGAGATCATCGCGGTGGTGCTGCTCGGCATCACGTCGTGGACGCGTCCGCCGAAGGAGGAGGAGGACAACGCCGCCAAGAACTGAGCGGAGCGCGAGTCGCAGTGCGCGTGTGTGCGCCAGCGTGCGAGATGGGACGGAGGGAGGAGGCGAGAGAGCGTCCGAGCGCGCTGTCGGGTCTCCCTCCTCCTCTCCCCTGTCCGCGGATGATTCATCCGACTCTGAATGACCGCTAACTATTTTGTTCCCCACCTAATGCTTCATTTCCCTGCGTATTTTCTCTTCTGTTTCACATATACATAAATATATACATATATATGTGTTTCGTTGTTTATTTGACCTCCGTGCAGCCGGTGCCCCTTCTCGTCAGCGACGTCTGCCGCGCTCGCTCTTGCCCTCTCCCATCGTTCGCCCGCGCGGCGCCAGCGTTCCACCGCACGCATCACCCCGTGACGTCCAGTGCCGGAGCGGAAGAAGAGCTGAGGACGTCCCCCTGTGCGAGCGTCACACTCCCACGCAGGTTCGAGGAAGAGAAGCGCCTGTTCTTTCGCTCGCGAGACGGGTGAGAGATGGGTTGGAGAGAGCAGGACAGTCGCCTGCATCAACGCGTCACCGCGTGCTTTGCCGTCGTGCAGTTGCGCTCTCGCCCTCTCCGGTGGTGTACCGCTGTGTTGGAGTGTTGTCCGTCGCCGCCGTCGAGTACCTCTGTGTTGTGGTTTTGAAGTTCTCTTTTCTGGTGCTTATCGTGGCGAACTCCCTAAAGCGATGAAGTCTCTCTGTGTTGTGTTCTCGATTGAGCTTCTCGTACGTTAACTTTCTCCAATTGTTTTGTATCGCCCGCACAGATTTATATAGCCATATAACATATATACGTGTGCTAGGAGGCGCGCGTGTGTGCCTGCATCGTCTTCGTTCTCTTTCTTTCCTTTCACACCGCAGGCACGCAGACACGCACGCACTCCCGCGCAGAGCACCGCTCTGGCATCAAACACGTTCCACGCCGCCCCCGTGCCATTAATGCTAACGCCCTTTCCCTTACGCTGTCGTGAGTTTTCCTTCTTTGTTTCGCGCGCCCCGAGGGAACATGGTAGACGTTTCACCTCGTCTGGTGTACATACTAATATGCCCTCATCTTGCGTATCGTTATTGTCTTCGCTCTTCGCGCGCCCCGTCGCGTTGGCGAGCACCCTATCTGCTACATGCTCTGCGCGGCAGCGAGCAAGCGGTGTTGCGTTGTGTTGTAGCGGTATCTGTGCCGGTGTGGCGGCCTCGTCGCTGCGACCCCGCGTATTCACCCAGTGCCGGCACCGATGCCTGCTGCCCAGCCCTCGCCGGATTGTCCTTCGTGACGCCTGCTGCTCCCCTCCCCCTCATCTCTCGTCTCTCTCTCATCGCTCCGCTCTCTCCCCACACCGTCTACCCCCTGCCCCCACCCCGCCGCAGTGTAAACGCCACCGCACCCACAAGCACGCTCCCTCACGCTCTGCCCGCCCGGACACCTCCACGCACTAAAGCATCTCCCCTAGTACCCACCCCCACCGCATCGCCGCATCGCCGCCCCGCCGCTCGACACGATGCCCGCCTGCCTGCCCTACTACACCGGCGTGATGGCCTTCACGCTGATCCACTTCGTCGCGTGGGCCTTCGCCTTCGTCGCCACGCCCACCGCGCAGTTCCAGGACCCCCACTCCCCGTCCGGCCACGGCTGCTACACCATGTGGGGCTACCGCAAGTTCTGCGGCGACGTGCCGTACGACCTGACGGGCAACGACGCCTTCGGCTGCAACCGCCGCACCAGCACCATGCACGCCGCCGCCGCCTTCGCCGTCATGGCGTCCGTCCTCGGCTTCATCGGCCTCGTCTTCGGCATCCTGCTCAACACGCAGATCAACCTGCCCCCCGTCATCGCCTTCTCGCTGGCCGCCGCCTGCATCCCGTGCACGCTCATCTCCTTCGCCTGCGTCGCCAGCGTGTACACCATGAGCATGTGCGACGGCACCAGCTACAAGGGCAAGTACCCCTACACCGCCGGCTTCGCGCTGATGGTTGCGTCGTGGGGCCTGGAGATCATCGCGGTGGTGCTGCTCGGCATCACGTCGTGGACGCGTCCGCCGAAGGAGGAGGAGGACAACGCCGCCAAGAACTGAGCGGAGCGCGAGTCGCAGTGCGCGTGTGTGCGCCAGCGTGCGAGATGGGACGGAGGGAGGAGGCGAGAGAGCGTCCGAGCGCGCTGTCGGGTCTCCCTCCTCCTCTCCCCTGTCCGCGGATGATTCATCCGACTCTGAATGACCGCTAACTATTTTGTTCCCCACCTAATGCTTCATTTCCCTGCGTATTTTCTCTTCTGTTTCACATATACATAAATATATACATATATATGTGTTTCGTTGTTTATTTGACCTCCGTGCAGCCGGTGCCCCTTCTCGTCAGCGACGTCTGCCGCGCTCGCTCTTGCCCTCTCCCATCGTTCGCCCGCGCGGCGCCAGCGTTCCACCGCACGCATCACCCCGTGACGTCCAGTGCCGGAGCGGAAGAAGAGCTGAGGACGTCCCCCTGTGCGAGCGTCACACTCCCACGCAGGTTCGAGGAAGAGAAGCGCCTGTTCTTTCGCTCGCGAGACGGGTGAGAGATGGGTTGGAGAGAGCAGGACAGTCGCCTGCATCAACGCGTCACCGCGTGCTTTGCCGTCGTGCAGTTGCGCTCTCGCCCTCTCCGGTGGTGTACCGCTGTGTTGGAGTGTTGTCCGTCGCCGCCGTCGAGTACCTCTGTGTTGTGGTTTTGAAGTTCTCTTTTCTGGTGCTTATCGTGGCGAACTCCCTAAAGCGATGAAGTCTCTCTGTGTTGTGTTCTCGATTGAGCTTCTCGTACGTTAACTTTCTCCAATTGTTTTGTATCGCCCGCACAGATTTATATAGCCATATAACATATATACGTGTGCTAGGAGGCGCGCGTGTGTGCCTGCATCGTCTTCGTTCTCTTTCTTTCCTTTCACACCGCAGGCACGCAGACACGCACGCACTCCCGCGCAGAGCACCGCTCTGGCATCAAACACGTTCCACGCCGCCCCCGTGCCATTAATGCTAACGCCCTTTCCCTTACGCTGTCGTGAGTTTTCCTTCTTTGTTTCGCGCGCCCCGAGGGAACATGGTAGACGTTTCACCTCGTCTGGTGTACATACTAATATGCCCTCATCTTGCGTATCGTTATTGTCTTCGCTCTTCGCGCGCCCCGTCGCGTTGGCGAGCACCCTATCTGCTACATGCTCTGCGCGGCAGCGAGCAAGCGGTGTTGCGTTGTGTTGTAGCGGTATCTGTGCCGGTGTGGCGGCCTCGTCGCTGCGACCCCGCGTATTCACCCAGTGCCGGCACCGATGCCTGCTGCCCAGCCCTCGCCGGATTGTCCTTCGTGACGCCTGCTGCTCCCCTCCCCCTCATCTCTCGTCTCTCTCTCATCGCTCCGCTCTCTCCCCACACCGTCTACCCCCTGCCCCCACCCCGCCGCAGTGTAAACGCCACCGCACCCACAAGCACGCTCCCTCACGCTCTGCCCGCCCGGACACCTCCACGCACTAAAGCATCTCCCCTAGTACCCACCCCCACCGCATCGCCGCATCGCCGCCCCGCCGCTCGACACGATGCCCGCCTGCCTGCCCTACTACACCGGCGTGATGGCCTTCACGCTGATCCACTTCGTCGCGTGGGCCTTCGCCTTCGTCGCCACGCCCACCGCGCAGTTCCAGGACCCCCACTCCCCGTCCGGCCACGGCTGCTACACCATGTGGGGCTACCGCAAGTTCTGCGGCGACGTGCCGTACGACCTGACGGGCAACGACGCCTTCGGCTGCAACCGCCGCACCAGCACCATGCACGCCGCCGCCGCCTTCGCCGTCATGGCGTCCGTCCTCGGCTTCATCGGCCTCGTCTTCGGCATCCTGCTCAACACGCAGATCAACCTGCCCCCCGTCATCGCCTTCTCGCTGGCCGCCGCCTGCATCCCGTGCACGCTCATCTCCTTCGCCTGCGTCGCCAGCGTGTACACCATGAGCATGTGCGACGGCACCAGCTACAAGGGCAAGTACCCCTACACCGCCGGCTTCGCGCTGATGGTTGCGTCGTGGGGCCTGGAGATCATCGCGGTGGTGCTGCTCGGCATCACGTCGTGGACGCGTCCGCCGAAGGAGGAGGAGGACAACGCCGCCAAGAACTGAGCGGAGCGCGAGTCGCAGTGCGCGTGTGTGCGCCAGCGTGCGAGATGGGACGGAGGGAGGAGGCGAGAGAGCGTCCGAGCGCGCTGTCGGGTCTCCCTCCTCCTCTCCCCTGTCCGCGGATGATTCATCCGACTCTGAATGACCGCTAACTATTTTGTTCCCCACCTAATGCTTCATTTCCCTGCGTATTTTCTCTTCTGTTTCACATATACATAAATATATACATATATATGTGTTTCGTTGTTTATTTGACCTCCGTGCAGCCGGTGCCCCTTCTCGTCAGCGACGTCTGCCGCGCTCGCTCTTGCCCTCTCCCATCGTTCGCCCGCGCGGCGCCAGCGTTCCACCGCACGCATCACCCCGTGACGTCCAGTGCCGGAGCGGAAGAAGAGCTGAGGACGTCCCCGTGTAAGTTGCGCTGCCTGCCAGCGGGAGCTTTCCGCGAGGTCCGTGTGCAGAAGCGAAGCGGTGGCGTGCGGGGAGTGCGGTGGAGATGAGGAGTACGCACCGAGGCTGGGCTGAGGATGTCCTCTCCGTAGGAGCATCGCGTGAAGAGATGAACAGGTGTGCTATGCAGCAGTGTCATGGCATCAGAAGGACTCGTGGAAAAGGAAGCACACCTGCATCTCGTTGTCGTAGCGCAGTGCTGATCATGTCTGCTTATACACAATTTCGGTTTTTCTTCTTCTTTCTTCATTAATAGCCTTTTTTCTTCTATGGATTGCTCCGTTTGTGTTGTTACTTTAGCTTTGTATAAAACGTGCGCAGTTTTTTTCATATTTTTCTTTTAGCCTCCTCCCACGACGCCAACAGAAAGGGACCGAGTGCAGCGCTGACTGAGGACCTAACTTTCCGTTGTTGTTGTTGTTGTTCTTGTTTTGTTTTTTATCTCTACTCACGAGCGCTGTGTCTTAGTTTGAAATACCTCCACTTCCACGTCGTAAGATTTGTGTGTGCGTGTGAGTGAATTCGAGATGAAAGAGAGAGAATATACACCTTTTTCTGTATTTTTATTTTATTTGTTACTTCTTTTTGTAATGCTGTTTTCACGGATATATATATATAAATTCCAGCTCCACCGCCGCTTTCACTGCCTCACACGCACAGCATCTTAGACGCGCAGAAAGATGACGTACCAAAGGACGGTGGCGCTGAGTATTTCCTGCACGTCTTGTTGGTTTTCAAGTACCTAAAACACTCTTGACGGAGAATATCTCTGTTTATATATTTTTTATTACCCGGATGCCATCGTTTTTCTTATTATGAACATTCCCCCATCTAGCTCATCGCTCGATTACCTCTTGTGATTGTTTGTTTGTTTGTTTGTGGAGGTGCAACAACAAAATGTGGCCGATGGTGTGGTGGCATGGTGAGAGGATTGAAAGAAGAAGGATTTAAAAAAAGAACGTGTCTCCGTTGATGCACATGGCATGGAACATTGCATTGCCGGAAGGGGGGTTGCGAAGATGGAACCACGTTGTAGTTCGACTCTTCCCCTTGAATATCACAATTTTTTTTTGATAGCTGCCTGCGTTACCAGAGCTTTTACGTTTGTTGGATGGGCAAATGGCTTATCCGATGCGCGTGGTGGCCCTCACATACGCACTGGAGGATGCCCACATGATGACCACACTCTCCTTCATCACTGACTCGCCCTCTCCTCTTCTCGTTATCTTCTCTTCTTTGTTCTTTGCTTTCTTTACTATCATTTGTTGTCGTCGTCATTTTAACACGACGTTATTCCTCGCCCCTTATCGGCGCTCTCTCTCTCTCCATCTCTTTGTTGCCGTGTCACGACTTCATATCTATGTGTCTAACGTACAGAGCATAACCGCCGTTTTTTTTTCTGCTGGCCGTCACACGCCGAGGTGTTTGCTTTTCTTCATCTCAGCGTGTTTGCGTCCGGGAAGCGTCATCAGAACACATCGACCAGTACGACGTCGTTTGCTTCTTATCTTCGCAGAACTCACGAACGTCACTTTTGTGGACTTATGTGTGTGTGTGTGTGTGTGTCTGGAGTACGTTGGATCCCTGAGCTCCTCTTTTGATTTCGTCTTCTCGCTGTCCACGTGTCATGGATGAGGTATCTCAGCTGTGCCCCTTCATGAATACGGTTTCGTTTGACGCTGGATATCTTGACGAATAGCTCACAAAGCTTTCTTCCTCTGAAGGCGCGCAATTTGCGCCGCTTAATCAGATATATATTTGATCCGCAATTGTGGGATGTTGTCTTTGTTGCTGCCGTTTCCGTTGACACTACACCTGGATAGGGCTTAACTTCTTCCTTTACTTTTACTGTGTGTGTGCGTGTCTACTGTTGCTACCCCTGCAGCTGAGTCGCACCAAGAAACCACGTAACATCGCGCACCGCTCCTCTTGAATTGGGTTTCCTCACCTCGTCCTTCTCATCTGAGTTTTTTCTCCTCTTTTCTTTTTGTCGGGCAAGCACCAGCACGCTCCAACGACGAACACTGTGCACTCTATTCTAATACAGCAGGCTCGCACATGCTTAACGGGCACGCGTAAATTTCCTTCTTCATTTCTTCCTGCTCCAACTGGTGTGCGTTTCGTTGTTGTCTTCGCTTTTGTGTGTTGGTCCATCCTCGGGTCCCAGCACGTGTGCTCAGCGGCATTCTGCCGATGACCCTTGTACCTGCACTTCTACTTTTATCGTACCAGAGTGAACGCTTTCGCGTAGCTGCCTCGCAAAGCAAGCGTTTTTCCCTTTCGATATCTCTTACTATTATTATTATTACTATTGTAAGGCGTTGTCCCTATCCCTCTCATTCTTAGTTCTTTTTCCCCGGACCGGTATCCTCCTTCCTTTTCTTTTTTAATGCGCATTTCATTGACTCGAGCTATTCGCACTATAAAGCATGCGACTCCTAACACGGTTTGTAGGCGCCATCGTCTTTGCCGTAATCGAAACGTGTGTCTTTGTGTTGGTCGTGGTGGCAACGCCACTCGAGCAGTTCGAGGAAAGATCCGTCGTGGGAACGGGCTGCTATACCCTCTTCGGCCACAAGCAGCGATGCCGCCAGCTGCACGTCACACGCACGGGAACTGCGGCGTTCCACTGTGCAGAGCGGCGGGACTACGTGATCGTCAGCGCCGTCTTTGCCGTCCTCTCCATCGCCGTGACGCTCGCAGCGATGGTGTTGGCAATTCTGATGGTGCTGCGCATCCCATGTGCGGTTCTCCTTCCTCTGGTGCTCTCGTGCATCGCTTCCGCAACGACGGTGGTGAGCTGGGCTTGTCTAGCCGTGGTGTACAATCGACAGATGTGTGTGCGGCGCAGTCCCTTCAAGCTTGCTGTTCAGTACGGCACTGGCTTTGGAATGATGGTGACGGCCGCGTGTTTGCAGCTCGTTGATCTAACGCTTCTCTGCGTGCTTGGCTTTGCGTGATCCTCCTGTTTGTTCTTCTGTTTTTGCGGGACGTAGAGTTTGTGTATGTGTGTGAGGGTGAAAAGGGAGGGCTGGAGGTAACACACGGAAGCAACTTCGCTCGCCGCTGTCGTGGGCGGCGAGTCACGCGGTGTTTTCGGATTCTCCTGCTAGTGGGCTCTCTGGTTAGGCTCTCCGCCATCAGAGATGCGGTGCACGCCGCGTCTGTGTGTGGGCGGGGGGGGGGGGTTCTTTTCCGTTGCTCATTTGTACTCCTCTTGCTACATGCGTATCTCAACTTTTGTTTTTTTTTTCTCAGAAGTAAGGCTGCAGCATTGCCCAAAGGGTTTTCCTTCGCCGAAGTTTCATTGGACTGTCTCGATGGGCAAATCGATTGAGACGTCTTCTACTCATTTTTATGTCACCTTTCTTTGTATATGTGGATGACTTCAGTGGTGCGTGTGTTGGTGGGTGGGTGTGCGATCGAAGTGGCTTTTTTTGATAATAACGGCTACGGACATCTCATCAGGGAGGTGCACGTGTGGCTACCACTCGGATGGCCGTGTCGGGTAGGCGCCATGGCAAACTTGTGAAGCTGCCTTCCCTTCTACTTTGGGACACACCTTCTCTGTATATATGTATATATATAGATAGATAGATAGATAGATAGATTTAATCATCATCCTGTTAATATGTTTTTCCTCAGAACTGCGCCTTGTTTGACGCTAGAAACACGGCATCTATCATTATCCGTCAGGTATATAAATAAGAGGAAAGGAATAAACTACTTCCTGTAAAGGCACGGCTGGCGTTTTCCGTTGCGTGCGCTCCGCACCTTTGGTGTTTAAAGGGGGTAGAAAGGGAACAGGGCCGCACTCGCTGCTGTTGCTGTTGTGTTATGCACGTTACACACACGAATGGAAAACAGCAAAAACACGTGCTTCATCGCTGCTCGCAACTCTGCTCTACATCTCACCCCGTACAATTCCTTTGTTGTTTGTTCTCCGTTTTTCTGTGTTGAATTCTCTCTTTACATCGGCTGCTCGTTGCGGTGTTCGCCGAATGAATGCCCCGTTTCTGTACGCTCCGCCGTCTAACGTGCAAACTCCTCCGCAGATTTAGATTTCACTCTTTCCTGCTTCTGCACGACGTAAGCGCCAAAGACTCCCCCGCACGTCGCTTCTCCATTCCACCGTAGCTCCTTCTTTTCTTCTGTTCTCTTCACCAAACAAAGTTCTCCTTCTTCCATTTTGCTTCGTTCATTTCTCCTTTTCACACACACGCAACAGACCGAGCAAAGGGCAAAGGGCAAAAAATGGGTCTTCTTCCACCGTTCGTTGGCGCTGTGATCTTCTGCGCCCTGCAGTTCACCGTCTTCCTCTTTGTCCTGGTGAGCACCCCCATTGACCAGCTCAAGTTCAAGGGATCGGACGCGTGCTGGACCTTCTTTGGGGCCAAGATCAAATGCAGCAATGCGAAGCGCAGCGCGACGGGCATCGAAGCCTTTGGCTGCGCACACCGCCGCAACAACATGAACGGCGGGGCGGCCTTCGCGATCTTCTCCATCTGTACCACACTGGCCGCTCTCGTCTTCGGCATCCTTATGCTTCTGCGCATCCCCTGCGCCGTCCTCATCCCTCTCATCCTCACGTGTCTGTCGGTGTTGACGATTCTCATCAGCTGGGCCTGCGTCGCGGGTGTGTACTCGGAGCGGATGTGCTCGACGTCCACCAGCAACGGAGTGAAGGCGTCCGCCTTTATGGACTACGGGGCCGGGTTTGGTTTGATGGTGACGGCGTGGTGCCTACAGATTATCAACGTCGTTGTTCTCGTCCTCGTCTCCTTCTTCTAATACACGCGCCGACCAACCCCTACACACAACCGGAAACAAGGAGGGGGGGCGAATTCTTCTCTTTCTCGAAGAGGGGTGGTGGTGGTGTTTTGCGAAGGGAACTCCTACTCGAAGGGGAGCTCGTTGCTGATCCGTACTTTGCTCTTCCTATTTTTGTTGTTGTTGTGTGTGTATGTGCGTGCGCCTCCATGCGTCTCCGTTTGTATTGCTTGTCCGACGACTGCCCCCGCTCTCGCATCTGTGGATGCACGCGCTAGTTTGATATATCGTCGTTTCTCTTCTTCGTTTCCCTGTCATGGTCGCCTCTTTTTTCTTTTGGTCTTCTCTTTTCCCCCTCTTGCCGTTCCCCCCCCCCCCACTTCGTCTCTTCTCTCCTCGTTGACCGTGTCACTCGGGAAGCTGACACGGCAGGAACCGCTAGTCACATGAAGGAAAAGAGAAGCAGTGAAGGTGTGTTATATCCTAGCTGCCGCGAATCGGGCGATTTGCTTCCTCGCCTGCTGCGACTGCCTCGTGCTCAGTTCATTCATTGATTGTTTCCTTCCTCACCAAGACTCATGCTGGAGCTAAAACGTGAGGACGTACGTTTGCGAGTGTGAGTGTCCGTCGGGGATTCCAAAATGTATACAAAGGGAGCACACGTGCTTTCCTGACCAAAGTGATGTGGGTATGCGTCTCCACCGTGTGCGTGTGGGCGCGTGTGTGCCGCGAATGGGTTGCATCGGCAAAGGTGAGGGAGATACGTATGCTTGTTGTATTGGAAGCGAGTGGTTCATGTGCCCCTTCCCGTTGAGCTTCACGGAACTGCAAAAGACGTGCTACGTACGTTAGGCCAACACGACAAGGAGGACTTGGTGTGGTTACCCTACGTGGGGTAGTAGTCAATATAGAGCGAGAGAGAGAGAAAAGGAGTTGAGAAGACGCTCGGGGTTGCAGCGCCGTGATGCCGAGAATCGCCAGAGAAGTGCATCTCCATTGTCCAGTAACTGCCAACCGAGTGCTTTTCTCTCTCTTCGTTTACCCCCCCCCCCCATTCTTGTCAATATGACTGTTTCTTTTTTTCCTTTTATTTTTATTTCTTGTGTGTTTGCGTGTGGTCCGCAAGCAGATCCGTGTTCTTTAACCCCCTTTTCCCAAAAATCGCTGCCTGTCTTACATTTACTTTGGCTTTTTTTTTTGCTCTGGCGTCTTCTTGTGAGCGATGTGTATGTGTCAAATACACGCGTCTTTTATTGTTGTTTAACCCCCCTTCGGTGTTGCGTGTGTGCACGTGCGTGTGTGTCTTCTTCCTATACAGCAACACACACGCACACACACATTCATTTGCCTTGATTCCGGTACTTTTATTTCTTCGTTGCTTCAAAAGAAAACAAAAAATTCATTTCGAACCCCGTTAAGCTGGAAACTTTCTCTTTTTAAAAAAGCGATAAAGGAAGAAGTGTGGGGGCGGTGACATTGTCAAAATGGAAACAAAAACATTAATGTATACGCTTCATCGAAACGGCAGTGTAACTTCATTTCTGCTGCTGTTGTTGTTGTTGTTTGCTTATTGAACCAGCGTAGAACTCTATTAACTATTTTTATTTATGTTTCTCTTCTCGCTGTCGCTGATGATTTGTTTTTTCTCCATCCCTCCACCCTCCTGGGTAGGAACACAGGAGAAGAAGGACTCAAAATAGAACGAACTCGGTTTAACGTTTCGTTTCGTGGGTCTTCGTCGTCATCGCGTAACGAGGCTGGATCCCTTTCGACCGTCTTCCACGTGAACAACAATGTACTTTAACACTTTTACTCCTCTTCTTTTTGTTTGTCTGTGTGCTTCGCTTTTTCTTTTTTCTTCTACTCCTTCTTTCCCTTGTCTCCCTATTCTTCTCTTACGCTATCCCCTCCTTTTCATTCTCTTCGGTGCTTCCGACTGCTTTATCCCTTCGGGTAATGTATCACTAAGCACTTCTCCGTTGTGTGCAGCGTTGGCCCTCGGCCACGACGGACCACATCACTCAGATGGCTGAGTCAACGGGTGCTGTTTTTTTTCGCAGAGGAATAGTGGCCGAGAAGTTGCCTCGGTAGACCACACCGAGTCGCTCCGGCACAAGGAGAAGAGGCAGAGAATAGGGGAAAAGGCTTTAAATATATAAATGCGTAGACACAAACACATTATTATACCCCTACAAGTGTATCTGTGATGCGCGACTTCGTCGTCAACCCACTAATATTAAAAAAAGGAGAAAAAAAGAAGCAACAGTGTTGGACACCCCACGGAAGGACTCTCTCTGCGAAGTTCTCTTCTTTGAGGGCAGCAACATTTTAACCGGCTCCGTGGTGAGCGCATGACAGGACGGTGTTTTTGTATTTGTTTTGATTTTTTTTTGACAAAAACGAACGTGATGTGTGCATGTTTGGGTTTCAGCGAGGAGCGCTCTCGACTGGCCACTCCATCAATTATTATGTTGACGAACCGTTTTTCTTTCCGCACTCGCGAGAGAGGGGAACGTACTGCGCCTCACCTTCCATCTTGTCGTGTCGATGCGGCCGCTAACGGCACATGCCTTCCTCGTGTTCACCTCTCTCTCTCTTAACTCTTCCCTACTCTCTCCCTTTACCGGTGCACTCGGGCCAACGACCATTTTCCCCCTCTCGTCACGCACTGCCTCTGCGACAACGCCACGCCACTATCACTTGCAGTTTCTTCTCCTTCCGCGACCAAGGCAAGCCTCCTCAGCTTACTTTACGCTATCCACTTTACTCGTGATCATTCACTAACCTACCGAAAACCCCGCCGCCCCGCCGCTCGACACGATGCCCGCCTGCCTGCCCTACTACACCGGCGTGATGGCCTTCACGCTGATCCACTTCGTCGCGTGGGCCTTCGCCTTCGTCGCCACGCCCACCGCGCAGTTCCAGGACCCCCACTCCCCGTCCGGCCACGGCTGCTACACCATGTGGGGCTACCGCAAGTTCTGCGGCGACGTGCCGTACGACCTGACGGGCAACGACGCCTTCGGCTGCAACCGCCGCACCAGCACCATGCACGCCGCCGCCGCCTTCGCCGTCATGGCGTCCGTCCTCGGCTTCATCGGCCTCGTCTTCGGCATCCTGCTCAACACGCAGATCAACCTGCCCCCCGTCATCGCCTTCTCGCTGGCCGCCGCCTGCATCCCGTGCACGCTCATCTCCTTCGCCTGCGTCGCCAGCGTGTACACCATGAGCATGTGCGACGGCACCAGCTACAAGGGCAAGTACCCCTACACCGCCGGCTTCGCGCTGATGGTTGCGTCGTGGGGCCTGGAGATCATCGCGGTGGTGCTGCTCGGCATCACGTCGTGGACGCGTCCGCCGAAGGAGGAGAAGATTACGACACCGCCAAGCACTGAGCGAAGCGCGAGCCGCAGTGCGCGTGTGTGCGCCAGCGTGCGGAAAACTCGCACATCCCTTTGCCGTGACTCGAACGAAAATGGTGCACGGAGTTAGCGCGTTTTCTGCATTAGCTTCACTCTGACCTGTGTTTGGCGTAACGACCGTGGCTGTGTGTACGGTGTGTTTTCTACCCTCCATTCAAGGAATGTTCTACCCGTATGCCGAACGCACGCCTCGACACGCGGCTTCGTTTCTCTTTCTTCGAGTGTGGGGGAGAGGGTGGGTGCTTTGCTGCCCTCACGCACGACAGCTTTTCACTGTCAAATTATTAATTAGGACAAAAAAATGTATACTCGCGTTCTCGCTGTGGAGCTGGTGACTTCTTCTTCCAGCCTTTTGCTGCTCAATAGAAGAAAGACCTGGAAAGAAAGCCGCGTGTGAGCTGCTATGAGGGAGCATTGGAAAGTGGATTGAAGCAGCCACCTCTCTCAGAAGGGACGAGGGTGATGATTATTTCAGTTTAACTCCTTCTTTTTTGCTGTGGGTGGTGTTTGTGTTGGCATACCTTTTATTCTGGGCAGGCGGTTTTGTTTTTCTTCTTGAGTCCCTCTCGTCGTTTCGTGCGTTGTGCACGTCTTGTACTTTGCTCTGTGGACACTAGAAAGCTTCCGAAGACACCCAAATCAGGGCTTCTTGAGTCCCTTTAACTGTTTTTTCTTCTCTTCTTGTTAGCTCGCTTGAAAGCCGATACATTAACAGTGTTTTTCTTTCTTCTTTACAACTGTTGTTCAATTCTATCTTCTAAACCCTTTTTTTCTTCTGTCGATTGGTGGTGATGACTGTGCTCAACATGAAGAACCACGACACACGATTTTATTTCACCAAAGTTTTTCATGCTTTGGACTCCTTTTACTGGTCTTTTTGTTCCTTCTTTTTCTTCCTTTCAAGAACAATGGCTCTTCTCTCTCGAAGACCGTGCATCTCCTCTGTTCTTGGCCTGATAGCGAGTGAAGCCGCGGCATACACAGGCAAATCTGGTTCGTACTCGTAAACCCGAAGTGATGCGTCGGGAGGTGTTTAATTCTCTTTTCTGATTTGTGCTGAGCCGCTTTGTTCTACGTCTTCAAGAGTGTTACGCTTCAATGAAAAAGTTCTCACGAGCCCTTCTCAAGTGGGCAAGAAGAAACAATAATGAAGAACACGCCACCTATGCTGCTAGGACCGGAGCGATTTCGGTAGCTGGCCGTGTTCTTCTGTCGTGCGGCGCTCTTCAATTGGCTGAGTGAAACACTCCTCTTCTTTTTTGTTGTTTGCTTCCCCCCGAGTGCTTCTCATAGCACAGAATGAAACTTCTCCTACTCTCTTCGATTCATCGGGCTCGCTGCATTAGCGAGCAGGGTTGAGACGTGTACGTCGACCTTTCTGCGCTGCAGACACTGCTCCTAGTCCCGCGCCATTTCCCACCTTCGTTCACCAATCCCCCTCCCATTCTTTCTCTCTCTCTCTTGCTTACCTCAGAAACCTTCTTGGCAGTGTGTGTTTTTCTTCGCTTCATTATCGCATTTGACCGCCTTGCATTTTAAGTGCTCTACTTCGATTCAAACTGATTGCATTCAGCCTCGCTTCCCTCTTGACATAAAAAATGTTGGCGTCTGCGTTGGATGCTCCGTCTATCCCCGGCGTTGATGTGGCCTGCAACGCATTGTACCTCTCCTTGATAGGGGAGGTGCCCGAAGCGTACTGCCCTCCTGGCTGCACCCTGCATGCCACCACGCAGGGCTCCATTTATGTCCTCGACCACGTACGCCGCATTGGTTACCCGCTGCAGCTGACACAAGCGGCAACGCCGGAGCCCACGCCGCAGGCGTCGTTGGAGGGCGAGGTGGCGTCTGCCGTGCCGGTGTCGGGGCACAAGCGCAGCCGTGAGAGTTCCCCGGTATCGCACACCTCTTCTTCGCTGCACCGTGGCTGGGATCGCCGTGGTGGCAGCCCCGACTCGTCGATGGACCCGACAGCGCGGCAAGACGACGACGACACCTCCCTCTCCTCCGCGGTGCAACGGTCGCCCAAGAGCTCCGGCATCAGTAACCGTCCGCAGTTCTGCCTCATTCCGCCTCGCCCGCGCTGGCTGCAGGACCTCTACCACGCCTTGCAACTCTCCTCCCACTGGCAGCACACGCCGAACATCCTCCTCTACTGCCATTACTGTCGCGTTTACTTCTCAGCGAAGCCGCGAGGGATATGGTATCACCTCTCGCAGACCCGCGGTCATCGTGTGCAGCGGCAGCGCATCCGCGGCTTCATGAACTCCGGCATTCATCTGCTGGACTCGGCAGAGAAGCGCCTGCTGTACGTCGCCACCCCGGAGCAGATCGGCAGTCTCCCGAAGAAGCTCTTTCAACACGCCGATCGCGTACAGAAGAACGAAGAAGTGCGGTTCGTGCCGGCGTGTGTGTGTTGGCGCAGTGTGATGAGCGCAGAGCAGCGAGAGCGTGTAGTGCGTGACGGGGCGGCGCACGCGGCGCAGTCCATCACACGGGAAGACTTGAATGACAACACGCCTACGTCTTTTGTGAATGAGTCGCCGCAGCTGGTCGGGTGGCGCTTCGTGATGGAGGGCTTGGACATCGTCCACTGTTTCTGCAGCAAGACGAACATGCGGCTGCGGGACTACCAGATACTCAATCATCACAAGAGCGACCAAAAGAAGGATTAGGCCATTCGCACAGCATTCCAGGCCTAATAAGCCTCTTCTTCTGTTGTTGGTGTTGTTGTTTGTGTCTGAGGGCGGCGTGTTGTGAGGCCAAGAACGCTGCCGCCCGTGAAACTGTGGAGATGCTTCGCACACGGAAGCACATACATACACGATTCTCGCTGCGCTCCTCCTTCGCGAGGGCAGCCACGCAGCACCCAGTTTAACTCGTGTGACGCAGTGAAAAGGAAAGGTTCGGTGAAGCCTTTTTGTAGTTGTGGTGGAGGGTTGTTTTTCGGCGTGATTTGCAGCTGGTTCGTCGTGCCTTCAGCAGGCAAGAAGCAATAATAATACTAAAGAATCGAGTTCAGTAGTAGAAGGAAAAAGAAGGATTTTTTTTATTGTTTTCTTGAATAAAAAGGAGAAGAGACGTTTGGGGGCACTTTCATATTATTATTATCATCATTATATGTATAGTACGGTGTTTTGCCTCGTATATTTCCTCTACTTCGCAGTTTCGAATTGCTCCGGGCTTTCTTGACCTGTGTGTGTGTGTGTGAATGAAGCTTCGGCTTTCTCTTCGCGTGTACTTCTTCGGCTCTCTCTCTCTCTCTCTGAGTCTTCTGCGGTTCAAAGAAGGAAAGCTTGAGTTGCCTGCCGCTCTCTCCCACCTCTCGTGTTTTCCTAAAATCACAACAAAAAGAAAAGAGTGTGTTTGACTCCGTGGCGCAGACACAACAAGAGAGGCGCGAAGCAGGCCATTGCTGTGCGGGACTGCACTACGACTCTTCTCGTAGGATGGATTACTACAGCTCGCAGGTTCGCAGGGAGGAAGCCAGCGCCCTCCGCGCTCGCCTCGCCTCCTTCGTTGAGCAACACGAACAGCAGCTCTTCGAGACGCAGCACCATTTCTGTCACCCGACGGATGCGACGCACTGGGACCGACAGCACGATGTCGTGACGGTGCAGCTGGGGGACACGGCAGCGCATCGCTCCATCGGTGCCCATGCTCACCAACCACGTCAACGGCGCCAGCTGCAGCAAACTTCCATGGCAGACCTCATCGGGGCTCCCATGATGGCGGCGGACCCGCTACTCTTTCGCGTGTGTGTCGCCCTCGCGGCGCTGAACGCGGAGATGCAGTCACTGGCAGACGAAGGCCGCCGCTGCTTTGCGCCCGCCCTCGCGCTGGTGGGCGATGAGGCCGAGAACTTCTATTCGCAACGTGCCGCAGCGGAGACGGCACGACGGCGCGAGGGGGATCGGGGCACCACCTCATCCTCCTCCCCCGCATCCCCACTCGGGAGCCGACAGACCGCAAAAGGCGCTGGGGCTGCGGCGGGGGCAGGAGCAGGAGGGGCACGAGGTGGTCAGAGCGGTACCCACGACACTATGAGTGGTGCAGGTGCGAATGCGGACGTCACCTCGCCGGAGGAGGAAGAGGCCCTGAGGGAAGAGCAGCTCCTCCGTCAGACCGGCAGTCTTTTGTCGCTCTTTCAGGACATGTGGTTGTGGCGGCAGCGGGTGCAGGAGGTGTGCGCGACGGTCGCGTGCCAATTTGCGTGCATCTACAATGACCAGTCGAGCATTAAAAACCGTGACGCTCTGCCTCTTCACGCGGTGCGGCTGACCTCGTGCTGGGACAGCCTCGGTGAGCTTCTGGGTGTGGTGGTGCTGGTGGACGAACTCCTCCAACAGAACAGCAGTCTGCACGATGGGGTGGAGGTGATGCAGCGCGTTCTCGCGCAGCAGGCGATGGACGCTGAGCAGGACGGCACGGTCGGCGGTGACGGCGACGAACTCCTTGGCCTGCTGCTGCACCGTCTTCAAGAGGACTTGCTGAGTCGTCCGATTATAGCTGCGGTGGTGGGGCAGTCGTTTGATCGCCTTTTGCGGGCGGCGGCCTCTCAAGGCGAAAGGAAAGGGTCCACAGCAGCAGCGGCAGGCAGAAATGCGGTGACGTCACGCGGCGTCTCCTCTTCCTCCTCCTCTCTGCCAGCCATGCTGCCGCCGCCCTTTCGTGAAAACAAAGGGTTGTGTGCGGAGTGGGCTGCTGTCTTGACAAGTCACTGCAACGACTTCGAAGCCGCCCTAACGTCGCCGAGAGGCACCGTGGAGAAGTCAGCGTTCGCTTCCATCTGCGGGCTCTCGCTGTTCTTTCGCTCGTTGTTCCTGTCGCCCTCCCCAAGCAGCAGCAGCAGCGGCGGCGGAAGCGGTGGCCCGACTCCGGTTGCGGTCACGGCGGTGACCAAGATGGCCCTGACAAAGCTGCAGATCCTTTGCAAGCAGGTCGTGTCCTGGCAGTCCACCCTCCCTCTCATTCCACTACAGGGCCTGTACGCGTTGTGTCCCCTCCTCTGGTGGCAGCGCCGCTTCCCTGCCGAGGTGGCCGCCGTCGTGGGCAAGACAAGCGTCGGCGCCCGCATTCAAGAGAGCGTCGTGACGGCCTGTCAAGGTGCAGGGACGCACTTCTCCGCCCGCATTTCGCAGTGGTCGGCGCAGGTGGATCGCTGGGCTGCGGTGGAGATGCAGACCGCCCTCCCCCTCGACCCTCCGCTGTGCCGCCAGTTTGTCCAGCGTCTCGTGCTGCTCATCCAGCAAGGCACGATGCTGGCCAGAACGATTCAAGGCGGTGTGATGGAGCTGCTCTTCTTGCACCACCACGCAGAGCGGCCGCTCGCGACGTCGATGGTGTGGGGGGTGTTGAAAGGGGTGTTGCTCCTCCAGCGCATCGCGGAGGCCTACCACAGCAAAATGGGGATTCTCGCCACCTCGCACGAAGCTCTCGCGCAGTCCATCGCCTACGCGTTGGAGAAGCACGTGCACAACATCTTCACCCGGGCGTGCGGCGAGGAGTCCAGTAAGGATGGTGCGGTGGCCCCGCCCGATCAGCCCATCGCCCTTCAGGCCGCGCTGCACCTTCTACGCAAGCCCCTCACCTCCGACACCCTCGCCTGTCTTGCGCTGATGCTGGACGTGGCCCTCAATCGCGAACAGCTGAACGCGAACACGGTGCCCACCACCGCCACCGAGCAAGAGAGAGACGAGGTCTTCATCGCAATGGTGCAGCTGCGAAACATTGTGGGTTATCAGCAGACGTTGCCGACCATCGCGCAGACTTCCTTCCTGTACTTCTTTCGCGAGACCCTGTACCCGCTGTTCTTCAGGTACTGCTACGAGCACACCCTCTCGGCGCCCTCGCTGCCCTTCGTTGTCGCCGCCTTGACGGACAGCCGCACCCTCGTCCTGTCTGCCCGACACGTCGCCAAGCCCGCCGAGACGCTCCTCGTTGACTACGCGAACTTTATCGGCGACTGCCTCGACCACGAAATAGTGCGGCCCCTCTGCGATGAAATTGAGAACCAGCTTCGGCTGCGCACGCACAACGTGGTGCTCGGCCAACCCTATCGCGTGCTGCGCCCCTCCGTCGGTCCGCCTGGCCGTGACCTGACGCGCTTCACGCTGCTGCCGCCTTTTCGCCTCTTTCACACGTGGCTGCACCTCGCCACGCAGGTCGAGCACTACCTGAGTGCGCAGTTCTATAACCTCAACGCGCTGACACCGAATGACTGGCGGACGTACGAGGAGATGCGCAACCTGGCTCGCCGCTCCTACCACTTGCACATCGCGGATGGGCACCTGCCGGGCTGCATATTAGACCAAGGGCTGGATGTGCTGGTGATCACGGAAAACATCCACCAGTTCATCGCCTACTACACCTACAACTTGAATGAGCAGGTGTTCTTGCAGCGGCCCTCGCTGACCGCATCGAAGCATCTGCACACCCTCAACACACGCCACATCGCCAACTCCATTCGCACGCACGGCACAGGTGTCATGAACACCGCGGTGAACTACGTCTACAAGTGCCTGTTGAAGAAGATGGCCGTCTTGTCTCGCTTTCTGCAGGACGACTACGTCCGCTCGCACCTGCTGAAAGACGCACGCATGGTTCGGCAGCGGAAGAAGGATCATCAACTCATCAAGTACCCGACAGAGCAGGCGGATCAGTTTATTCGAGAGATGGACCGCCTTGGGTTGGCGGCGGACGGTAGCTCTTTTCTGGAGAAGGCGCGGCAGTTGATTAGCGAAATGGGCAACGCCCTCGGCTTCATGCGAATGATGCGGAGCGGTGGGTTGAGGGCGGTGGCGGAGGGAGCGCGTTTTGTGCCGCTGCCCGTGCCAGAGACCGCCGCCGGTGCTGCTGCAGGAGGTGGAGGGGGAGATGTTGCCGGTTGCGCCTCGGCTGCGGTTCGCCTCGGTGACTACGTCGCACCTCTCACGCGGCCACCACCGTCACAAGACGAAGAAGGCGGCGGCGACGAGGAGGACGAGGCGGAGGACGGCTCAGATGTGGGGGACGGACGGAAAGAAACAGCGCAGCAGTTTTTGCGTCGCAGCACCGCCGCCGCGGTGGACAATTTGGACGACATCACCCACAGCATGCTCCAGCAGCTCTCGGACGGCTCCGAGTACTTCCCGCTGCTGCTCGACGCGATTGGACGGCGACTGCGCCGCTCGTCGCCGGAGCGCTACGCGCACCTCCACCTCCTGTACCTCCTCGTCCCCGCGCTGGCAAACCTGTACGTGGCCTACGCCATCCGGGAAAAGGAAAAGCTGCTGAAGAACCACAAGGACGGAGGCGTGTTCTCCGACGATGGCTTCGCGGTGGGCACGACCTTTCTGCTGGTCCTCTTTGGCGTCTACGAGGAGTTTGATGCCCTGCACTGGTTTGACAGCAAAAAGACGCAGCTTCGGCAAACGCTGGAGTCGGTGCACACGACCCTGTGCTCCGCCTCGGCGAGCGGCTCGACCGACTTTGACAACTTGCACCTGACCTCGTCCACCTTGCAGACGAACTTGAAGGAGTACACAGGGCTGGAAAACGCCTTCACCTCCAGCAGGCTGTTCTTCGGCGCGACGGCTTCGCCAGTGGGTAAAGACGATGACAAGGTGCAGGGGTCGCGACGGCGATCACCGTCTTCGTCCCTTCGGCGCAATCACTCACCTTCTAGGTCTAATGAGGAAGGAGCGAGAGAAGACGAGGACGAAGGTGTAAGTGACGTTGAAAACTAAACAGAAAAGAAAGGTCACTTCGTATCTGCGCAGACGTATTCCTTTTTATTAGTTTTTCTCTCGTGTCCTCTGCGCCTCACGCAGCGTTGCTGTGGTGCCGCGTGTGTGTGTGTGTGTGTTCGTTGTTGATTGTGGTGGTTTTTATCGAACGAGGTCAAGAATCCAAGCAGCACAAAAAGGACCTTATGGTATGTTGTCTTTAACGTTTCTTCTCAGTGAGCTACGTTGCACCGTCGGGAACTGCGCACGAGTCAAACAGAATAGCGACGAAGACAATACTGCCGGCTGCACCGCTCCCTGTGATGGCTCGTGGCTTCTTCCATCTTTTTCTTCTTGGCCCCCCCCCCCCCCCCGCCGCCTCCGCACTCTTCAAAGGTGTCTCTCCTTCACCTCTCTGTCGTTGTTCTTCCTCTTCTCTGCCTTGTTTCTATTTTTCAGCAATTTTGAATCGCACGTGATAACTGTGGTGCGTCCTTTTTGTCTTCTGTTGTTGCTGCCGGACGGTATCATCCAGCGTTGTTTGTGCCGTTGACTGCCTCTTAACACACACGATTGAAGTCAGTGCCGACGACCACCATAATATTAATTTACAGCGCTTGTGTCGTCTCGATTGTTCGCCTCATTTAAAATCGATGTTTCGCGCCAATAAGGCGTGGCTTGTCCTGACACCACGGCAGGCACTGCGTGTTCTTTCCCTCTCTCCCGCGGCAGATCTCACCCCCGCCTCCATTAAGAAGGCCTACATCCAGCAAACACTGCAGTGCCACCCCGACCTACACCCAAACGACCCGAATGCGAACGACAACTTCCGCAACCTGTCCGATGCGTTTCGCATTGCGCTGAAGACGTTGGAGCTGCAGCGAGGCGGCGGCGGCGCGTCCCGTGGGCAAAGAAACACAGACGGCCGAGGGGGTCTGTCCGACGACGACCTATACGACCCGCAAGCCGCGCTCGAGTCGCTGCGGCAGGCAATGTGGGCCTACCGCTCTCACCAGCAGCTGAGCGCCACCGCCGCCTCAGCCTCACCAGCCGGCACCGCCACACGCGCTTCTCCTCATCCTTCCCTCGACGCGACGCATGACGCGGCAGGAGGCGCCTTCGACACACCCACTTTGGAAGACGTCTCATCTGTCTGCCAGCGCGAGGCCGTGGCGATGCGGCGGGTGTACACCTTCTGCGCTGATCTGCCAGCGGTGTTGTGCGGCAGCCACTCTGCCGCCCTCTTCGAGGCCGTCGCCTTCTTCCACACGCGCTACGTCGAGTCCATGTCTGCGTGTGTCATGCGGTTTGCCCAGAATTTGCCGATCTTGGTCCGTCGTGTTGTGAAGAACCGCCGCAGGTACGTGAACAACAAGTCGACCGCGGTGGTCCAAGGCATCGGGACCGGCGCGCGACCGCTCAAGCGGCAGCGCATCGAGGACATGGCGATGAAGCCGCTCGTGCTCATGGGGGCCCTTATCTTTGACCTGCCGGAAGGCTCCGTTGAGAATTCGGCACGAGACGATGGCTCGCAGACGAGCGGGAGACTTGACAAAAGTAGTCCTAACAGCAGCAGCACGTGCGGCGTGTCGCAGCCGTCCGACATCCGAGTCACCAGCGAGTTGAAGTGTGTCGTGTACCCTGCCGACAGCATCGTCGACATCACGGCGAAGCTTGGGAAGTGGGAGGCGGCCAGCTTTGAGCGGCTCAAAGTTGAGCTCGCCATCGTGGATGTCAACCGCCTCCTTTCCGGGCTGCTCGGTCTGCAGGAGGAAGAGGCGCCCACCCAGTCCAGCTCGCACCTGTCGGTGATGCCGCACCTGGCGGAGACACGCGCGGCAACGGAGATGGTACTTCGTACGCTGCAGAGAATTGCCACGGATCTGTGCTACCACTTCGACCCCGACCTCGATGCCACGGTCACCGAAGATGTAATAGCGGCGCTCCGCCTGCACGACACACCCGACACGCGGTCCAGCCAGCAAGACGACGCCGCGGCGGCGCTGCTGGAGCTGCCGGAGTTGGTGGCCCAGTGTCGCCGACTTGCCGCGCTGGCCCGCCCGACCATGCGCGGCAGCACCATTCTCACGTGGAGGTCGGAGGAGACGGAAGAGCTGGTGCAGGACGCAGCTGAGCTCGCGGAGGCGGCGACCGTAGCGGGAGATGAGAAAGAGAAGCAACAGCAACAGGACCAGCGAGGAGGAAAGAAGATGAATGACTTCCCCAAGTTTTCGGTTGGCCGTCACCCGACGTGCTCCACCGCCGAGACCCTCTTCTTCTCCGTCTCGGTGGTGCTCACCAAGGATCTACGCGCCTTCCTCCTCCGTCTACGGGGCGCCCTGAAGCAGACGATCCAAGCCACCAACGAGTCGAAGGGTGTTCTCTTTGAACTTCTCCCGCTGCGGGAGGCAACCCTCAAGGAGGAGTACATCGCGCTCCCCGTGACAGCAGCGGACGCAGGCGCCGACAGCGCCGATTCGCCGTATCGCTACCGCGGACCCATTCACTGCTTCCCGCGTGTGCGCAACATGGAAACGAAGCGGGAGTACGAGCTTTGGAAGCATCTGTACGCGCATCGCGAGTACATCGCCCAGCACGCCTCCACAATGAACCCCATCAACGTCTTCTACGAATGCTTCCCGTACGACCCAGAGTCGCCGGAGTGCCACCCACCGGCTGCGGGCGCGCCCGCCAACGTTCTCGCTGGATGGGTGAGCGGCGGCGCCGACGGCTGCGACAACGTCGTCATCACGGCGCAGCAGCTGGACGATCCGGTGCACTTCAAGGAGTGGTTGGAGGAGGTGGTTGCGCAGTCGTCGCTGAACCGCGAGGCGGAGGAAGTCCTTGCGAGGGCCGGCGTTGGCTACGTCAGCCGCGACCCGGCACTGCCACTCGCCAACTTTCTCTCCTTCGCAAAGGTGTACGTGCAATCTCTAGCGGTGCGTGGCGTGCTGGAGCGGCGGGGCGGCAGCACGTCTGCCACCGGCGGCACGGTGACACCAGACGACATCGGCTTGAGCATCACAGTGTCGCCCTCCCGCTGCGACGTCCGCGATGGCGGTCGTCTCTTCCTTCCGTGGTACGTGGACCCGTCCATCCTGCTGGCCCTCCTTGGCGAGCACACGTCGCAGCACCAGCTGCACGACTAGGCAAAACCTCCTACGCTGCGCCGTGAAAGTGGGAAATACTGACCGGCTAATACCGCCAACGTTGTTCACATACTGTTCTGCATTCGTTAAACTCTAAGGAAAAGACAAACCCCTGCGAGGCCCCCGTAACGCCACGGCGCCTCGCCCCCTTCGCCCACCGCCGCCCCCGCTGCCGGGGTGGGTTTTCCCCTCCGCCCCCCCCCCCCCCCCCCCCCCCCCCCCCACCCGCGCGGCGGCCCCCCGCCTGGGGATCACCGCACTACCCCTCACCCCGAGGAACCAGGCGACCGCCGAAGCAAAAGGATCCGCGACCCCAACAACAGCAAAAACAACGAGCAACACCAAAGACATGAAACATTTCCGAGAAACAACAGGAGCCCCTGCAGTTCGAAACGGCAAAAAGTCCCTTCACACAGCAACTACTTCGAATCCCGAGAAAGAAAAACAAGGAAAAAAAGAACAATAAAACTCAAAAACTTCACGATTTGCTACCAGTGCTGTTTCATCCAAGGAAGAATCCCTCCATTTTCGCACCCGGCCGGTACAGAGAAAAGGAGTGAGAAAAGAAAAGCATACTTGAATAAAAATTATAAAAAGGTAAATTAGTTACAAGAAAAACTCCCTATTTCGACGCCAACACGGGTCCCATGTGGAGCTGGTGCTCCGGAAAGGCTTTCCGAAGAGAAGGTCTCCTTTTCATTTTGACTCGAGCCGATGAGGACAGACAGCGGAAACAAGCTAGACAGGTTAACTGAAAGGAAAAGAAAATAGCCTCCTGCCAGCTTTTTACGGGAGCCTTCCCCGGCTGCCTTTTTCAGAACCCATTTAGCTGGTACCGAAGAGAAGAAAGAATGAGGAGAGTAAAACAGTAAAAGAGAACCGTTTTGGGTTTTCTGAGGTGCAAAATATTAATAATAGGTAATAGCCTCTTTAGCCGGTTGTATTGTAGGCATCCTTTAGAGTCGTTCGTGACTTGTTTTCTCGTCCAAAAAGAAGAACAAAAAGGATAAACTTATGGACCACTTTTCACGGAAAGGATGCGTGAAGGTGCTTCAGCCAAGCTTTCTTTGGAAGGAACCTATTCTACTGAGGGGAAAAATCTGAATTATTGCGAGGGCTTTTCTACGCGAAGTGCAGTGTCATCGAGCGCCTTTGTCGATACGGCTCTATTCTTGATAGTGACTAAGGCCGTTGTGTTGTTGACCTTTATACGAAGGTTCGACCCTGCGGGAATCCATCGCAGCCAGTGATCCACCGCGAGAACCACGGTGTTCCCCTCCAGCGCGGTTATGCAGCGCTGCTCTGCTGCGGACCATGCTTCTCCAACGTTCATGATTTCTTGGGGCTCGCCCCGCATCAACACCGCTCCACAACCGGCTCCAGAGGTATCGGTGTAGAGGTTCACTGTCGGCATTCTCGTTGCCGTGGCCGGCGCTATCGCTCGTGGGCGGTTCTTCTGAGCCAGGTCGTACCACTATTTAAGTTGTGCATGCGCCGTTGGGCGTGTGCAGGCCGGCTCCTTCACTGGAAAAGGTGTCCGGCTGAGCTGAGACAGCCTTCGTCTAATGGGCTTCAACGCCCAATAGAACTCTGCGGTGCGGATATGTAGGAATGACGAGCTGCGGAGGAGTTGTGCGTAGAGTCGCTCCAAGTCACCGCCCGTCATGCTTGGCGTCGGACCATCAATCTTCTGGATCGAGTGATCTGCCGCTCCCACTTTGTGAACTGCGTGGTTGAAATATACCCCCTATGAAGTCGGGGACTTCTCTTGCGTATCTCTCGTCGGTGTGAAGAGAGAGTGGGAACTCTTGCGCGGTGGTCCACATCCTCCTGAACACCGTTTGGAGTGCTTGACGCGTGCCTGCGTACCGTATGTTGTCGATCCGAACGTCGATTGAGGTCAGGGCTGGGTCGTTCACGGTGAACTCTTTGCCCGCCTACGTCGGATGACCTGCCACGGTGGACGTGAGAATTTGCATGATTTCCGGTGGGACCGAGTCTCCCAACGGAGGCCGCGTCAAGTACCGCTGTGTACCGCTATTCGGATCTGTTAAGACGGAGCTTTCTTGATCTCTTTCTGGGAGCTCGACCTGAAAGAAACTGGCCCTCAGGTCGTGTACGCTGCCCATCTCGGCGTTCACTGCGTCGAGATGTATCGCAACGTGTAGGAGTGGCTCGTCTGGGCGGTAGCCTTGTGCGTCCGAATAGCCGTTGCTCTTTTTCCTGACATCAGAAACTGATGTTTACTGTGTGCTTAGACTGTGTGCAAAGCAGTCTGCTCCAAGGAGGTGAAGGAGATCGTCCACACACTGGGGGATCTCTGTCACATGCGTGACCTAGCTTTCTGAAAGTTGAGAGGCGCAACTTCCGACGCACCACGGATGTTGGAAGCCTTCTTCCGTGATGGCTGTTTTCTTCAGATTCCATGCGCCTCGACCGAGATAGCCGCCGCGACCTGCGGTACCTTCTTCTATTCGTCATTGCCGTGCAGAGATGATAGCATGTGTCTGCAAGCTGATAAAGCTGGTCTTGATGGTGTTGTGCCTTGGCTGGCCGTGCGGGGTTGCCGCTGTCTATTTTTTCATCAGTTGACAGGTTCTTTTCTTGTGCTTGTCGGTGCTGCATCCAAAAGGGATCTGCTATGCGTTTCGCGATGTCGAGAAGGTTGTCTCACTCTTCTCCATCTTCATAACTCATAGGAGTCATGTTGCCTTTTGGGTTCCGATCACTTTCGCTAACGGCACGTAGTCGGTGATGTAGCGAATCGTGTTGTGCATTGTGGCTTTGCCATCGCCATGCTTTACTAGCAGCGGAATGTACTTTTGCTTGCGCTGATTCTGCGCGGCACATGCTGTGAGGAAATTCAACGCGCCTCGTTTGATTGAGTGCGCTATCAGCGCTGGGTTTGCTTGTTTCAGCTCGCGGCTGATCTGATGCGCATTCATTGTTGTGAGCTGCGTTGATGCTGGGTTGTCCGCTTCCCGATTGCTGACAATTTGAGCGATTCGTCTCATCTCGCTGATGTCCTCGATCCCAACTAGGGCGTATGCCTTGTAAAGGTTCCGTGACGGTGTCTTTCCCGCTGTGAAGCGTATTACAGTTTGATGCGGGCTCGCCTGCAAGAAATTCTCCGCCGTCAATCCTTGAATATCTCCCCAACGGCCTGCCGTTTTCGACGCCTGGAGTACCGCTGCGTGTTCGCGTGACCTGTCTTTCAGCGCTTCCATGACAAGCTCTATCTCCCTCCGTGTTGCCGGTGCGGTTTGCTTCTGTGAAGTTCGGTTGATAGAGAACGTTTTCAACATCATCTTCACGGAGATGTTTTCGGTTTGCAGAAGCTTCAATATTGCTCATGCAGTCACTGCGTCGGTTGACTTTGTGTTGCTGCTGACCTTCATTTGCGTGATTGCGTTTGCAGACCGGTAGTCTGTGTTCGACTGCGAGATTCTGTCGACGTCGATATTCTTGGCGTGTTTCTTGGTTGTTGCAATGCCGTGCACCAAACTGCGTCAGATGTGTCTGCGGTTCTGCCACATTCTCGGGGTGGCTCGCGCGTAACTCGTGGCCAACGTGGGTGTCGTTTTTAAGTGACTTTATTTTGGTTTCCAGACGGTTTCTTCTACTTTTTCCTTCTGCTTTTCTCCTTTCCTCTTTTTTGTAATAGCTTCAGCTTTTACGTTTTCCTCTTTCTTCTTCGCTTGTGTTTCGTGACTGCTCAACAGTCGCAGTTTTTTGTTCGGCCCTCTCACCATCCCCCGGACGCTCTCGTCAAAACCCGGCAGGAGACTTTTTCCTCTTCGTTTCGGTTATCCTGTCTAGCTTGTATCCGTTATTTGCCCTCACCGCAGAAAGTGGGTTTTAATGGAGGAAGGGGGAGGACAAGGACTGACATGCAGATTTGGGGCGAAAATGTACCTGGAAGTGTTGGATTCGCAGCTCTCAGCTCTGGAAGGTGTTGTACTGCAGCTGGTGCCCTCTGCGCTGAAATCGGGAAGATGGGTGATAGATTTTGTTCGAGGTGTAGCAGAATAATGGTCACTCTTACTTCTTCCTTTGACGGGTGAAGACGAAAGCGGCCCTGTTGGCCAATACTCAAAAAAACGAAACTGTGATGTGTTTTTGTTTTCACCAAGGGAGAGGAGGTGAAGCGTGAAGAGTGGAGTTTCGAGGCGCAACAAAAGACTTGGCGTCGACCAGTAGCTGTTATGTCTGTTGTGAGCGCTTCCTGATTATGGAGAAGTGCGGTCGGGCCAGGCAGAGAGGGTGCGAGCGAGACCAGAGAACAAGAGCGGACCATCTTAATATCCGGTGTTTGGAAAGGGGTGTTCTGCGAAGTGACAGAATGATCGTGTTTGCTGAGGGCAACTGTTGTTTCTTACGTGAAGAAGTGTTTGGGTTTCATGTTGTGCTCCAGAAAGGGATAAAACAGAGAAAACGACTGGCGCTAAATGCACGCGTTGAGACAAGGGAGCGTTACGCACCGGACAGCTAAGGTGAAGCACCCGTGTGGCTTAGAACTCTGATCGGTTAACACTTGCGAAAAAAAAAAAAGAAGAAGAAGGATAGACAAATCCCAAACAACAACAACAAAACAGTATGCCTTGAATGCAGCCACGCGTAGTTTTCCCTTCCACTTTCTACTGTGACCGAAGGGAATGAGCTAGGAAAGACACAACCTATCTTTTCAGAGTGTTTAGAAACACTTATGGATTGAGATGCTTCGGATGCGTTTCAAGGCACGATCGACAAAATGTGATGTGAAGCGAATAATAAAAGTTTAGTTTAGGATGACTCCGTGTTCCAAATTTCTCCTGCCTGTATTCCTTTAAAACTCACTCTTCTATCCTTGATCCTTTCGCTGAATGCTTCATTTTCCTTGTTAGTGTAAGTTACGTTCACAACGGTTACCAAATGCCATCGGGTAATGTCGATGCGCAGATTAGCGCAGTGGAGCGGATCAGCGAGCCACAGTCTGTCTTGGATGTCGTTTTGGCGAAAGCCAAGGGAAAGAACTACGACGCAGCGAACCCGTTCCTCTTGAGAGTCCTTTTCTGCGGCAAGAAAAAAAGTGTTGGCTTTGGAGGCGTGTTGGAAAAAATTGTGAGGGAGGCAAAGCAGGAATGTGATTCAGCAAACCCGTTCTACAGTGAAGAAAGTGCCGGCCAGATTGGGACACTGCTCATCGATTATGGTGAGTATTTTATCCAACTCGTAGACGGGCCAGAAAACTACGTGTTTCGTTACTCTGAAAAGCTGAGCTCGTTGCCTTTTGTAGAGTCATCAAATGTTCAGCTGCTTTACCTCGACGACGACATTCCAAACATGCTGTGCACAGGAGCTACTATAATAGATAAGGTTCCTCCCTCCTCTATCGCACCCGGCTCCTCTGACAAGAGCATCGACGATATTGCAGACCTTGTCATCCACGACGTGAATTCGATGATCGAGCTTGGAGCACAGGAGAGCAGCCAAGTTGCTCGAGTGAAACGCGTGTTTACTGACAACGCTAAAATCAACTTCCCTAAGCTTTTCCCGAGAGTGGAACTTCTTATCGCGTACATGCACAGCGGCAATTTTTTTACGCTGGATGAGTTCATTACTAATTTCTGCAAACCAGCAAATCTTGTTCGCGAGGTCGAAATTGCGCACCCTGCCGAAGATCCCCTCACGTGCTAATCGATGTTGTTACCTTTTTTTTGTTTCTGCGCCATGAACTCGTTTTCAGATGTACAATGTAGACCGCAATGCGGTAAGACAAAACTGAATGCTGATAAACTGTAACTGTTTTCTCTGCTTAAATGTGAATAAGCCTGCAATTTTTTTCCCCACGTCACTAAAAGGAGTACCCTTGTGACGCTACTGCTATGTGAAACGTGTGTGCTTTCGGAACTGGGGTAATGCTCTCCTCCACACCTACTGAGTCCTTTCTTGATACCGTAACTCCCTCGCTTTTTTAAATTGATCGCTTCTATTTTACATCCTTCTACATTTTTGCACCTCTAACTTGGCAAACAGCCATTGGGAAGATCAATACACATACAAAAAGTTGCGATTCCCAAGAAATGCCCAGTAAAAAAGCAGCTACAAAAACCAAGTCGCACAGTTCCGACGCAATCGATGAGAACTTTCAGAACTGCCTGCTGCGCATCAACAATGGAACTGATGTGTATGGAATGCTCGTGGTACAGCTTGAGACTGGACGTGTTCCCAAGGCATGCGAGTTAATTGCACAAAACATTCCTTCCTCCATCTCAAGCGAAAAGAACAAGTCAAAGCAAGGCTTCTACAAAAACTCGCGTTTCATTCGACTCACAAAAGAAGGAATTCAAACAGGCGAGGTAAGCCCATCACCGAAGAGTGTTCCCGTCTCAGAGCTTGAAAGCGAAATTGGACGGATCCCACATGGCCTCGGCACTGTCTCACTGTGCCGTACTTCCAACGTGTTTGATGGCTCTCAGTTTTTTGTATGTCTGACTAGTGATGCAGCCGAGCTCGATCATCTGAACCGAAAGCATGTTGTGTTTGGGCGTGTTATCGAAGGCATTGATGTTTTGGCGAGCCTTCATGATGATATGCGACCGTACGTGGGGGAAATGGGCGTGGTTAGGGCCGAATGTCCCTACGTGATGGCGGAGCTTGTCTTCGCGTCGATGTAGTTTTTGCTTTATCACGATGTTTTATACCTTATACAGTTATCACCTTTGCGTAGAAGAAAAACAGTGTTTTTACCAAAAGAAAACGTTGCAACTTCGGGCTGTTTAGTTGCTGCAGTACGCCTCTTGTCGTTGCTATTGCATCGCCTGAAAGCAAGTCATCAAAAGAGGATAGTCCAGAAGTGTGGTTGCTGACTTTTTCCCTTGATATTCACAGAGAAACCAACCGGAAAAAAATATGTGTTTCTCCATAACTCTCTGTTGTGCACTTCCCTTTTCCTTATTGTTAGTGTGTTTCACTTCACCTTTCTCTGTTTCAAGTAGACTTTGCCGTATTAGATCCGTTTCCAACTTGTCTTATGGACGTCAAAAACAAAACAGGTCAAGTTAGCGAGGCGGCGTCGTCCGCGCTCACCCTTGAGGCAATTCTGCAGATTTGCTCATTCAGCACAAAAGATGCCGACAACGCCGAAGTGAAACTAGCGGCAGAGAGCGAGAAGAACCAACTTTTGGAACGCCAAGGTATTATTGTCGGGTTACGTCTCACAGAGCGCCTTTTATACAGAGAACCGTTCTTCAACGGAACGCCTACAGAAATCGCCAGGTATGTCGGATATACAGTGTGGCAGGTGGTATTCGGTAAAAAGGTCGACTCGATCAAGGCCATCGACAGCATGTACCATCTTACTGATCAAGACTTCCGATGGCTTCAAGGCTTTCCCAAGCTTAAAGAGATGGATCGTGTACAGACGCTGGTCACGTCAGACGAAGGTGGGGGCTCCAAGGACACTGATGCTGAGGAAGCCGCCGGCCCGGTCACCCACAGAGACGTCCTTTTTTACATGGTGGGCCTTATCAAAGGAGCAACGCATCCGTTGGTGGGTCAAAACAATCTTACCATTAGCGGGACGTACACGAAAGAGGGTGAAACGTTTTTTGTTCTTGATTTTCGTTGAGTACCACACATACTGCCTTTGGTTCTATCGCAGAATATTTATTTAAATAAAATGAAAATCGAAAGCTGTTGACTTAGGGTGCTGAGGGTTTCCTTTTTTTTTTCAAGACGTCACGAAAACGTTGGAACAAAAGACTGCTTCCTCTTTTCTGTGAGCAGATTAGCTTTGTTCTCTATGCCTTTCTTCCCACGTTGGCTGCCCTACACCCCTCCTTCTGTTTATCTCTTGTGTCTCGTTCTTTATCCCCCCACAAACATTAGGGAAAATCAATTTCTCTCCTTCTCAGACCACATTTAGTTTAGCGTCAAGAAAGACTTATCCAATGTTTCGTGGTGCCAAAGCAAGCCGTGTATGCGCGGTGAACGCCGCTGCCTGGATGCAGCGCCGCGCGGCTTCCCTCCAGTCGGAGAAGCCATGCGCTACTCTTGCCGACAAGATTGTGCGCGGAAAAATGAAAACGACGTTCTACACTCACCCTAGCTATGTGATGTCGCGTGACAAGATGCTTCAAACGCTCTGGGTGGATATTGGCATCTTCAATACCTGCGCATACGTGTTGTTTCCGTTCTTTATCATCGCGTACTTCTTCAAAGCGTAAGATTGAGGCTAACCTCAATTTCCCTGTTTAGTTTCACGGTAGGTGTTTCCCGCTGATTACTTACGCATGTGAAACGTAGTTTAGTAAGCCACTTTGAAAACTGTTTTTATTCGAACATCTTAGCACAGCTTTAGCTTTTATTGTTTTAGGAAACCGAAACAATATTGATATTTTACGAAGGACAGTTTTCGCAAGGAATCTTGTCAATTTGGCGCGTGCTTGCTTGCTCTCAAACAGCACAGAGGTTAAAAAGAGAAAAGGGCTCTGTCAATTACAAACTCATGAAGCTTGTGGCAGGTGCCGAAAGTGACACTCATACCCTTTTTCTTTTTCTTCTCCTGCTTATGTCACTGTAGTCGCGAAACACGTCTTCGTCTTTTCAAAACCTCGTTTTATCGATTCCCCGCACTCTTTCTACCTCCTGAGCGATTCTTTCTTACCTTTCTTTCCACCAGAAGCTTCAATGAGACTCTGCATAGCTCTGTGTTTTCGGGCGTCACTACTGTTGCGATGTAGCAAGCACGCTGGTGCCTTATTCCGACTACCATCGCTAATGGACGCAAAGTCATTCGCCCTCTTCGTGAACCGCCAGGGTGAAAAACTAGAGGCGCAACTCTGCAATAGCATAATGGCAGAGAAGCAAGAGCTGCACTCACGTGCCTTCAAGGAGCTGGCACAAAAGCAAGCTCGGGAGCTCTGTGCACCGCTGACGTCACTGACAAGAGATGAAGTCGAGCACATTATTAAAGAGAAGTACAAGCTCACCGACACGCGTGTCGTAACCTGTCTTGTGCCGTACCAGCTCGGAGCAAACGTTTTGCTTTCTCGACTTCCTGCTAAGATTCGCGGCGAAGCCGTGAAGGAGCTTAAAGAAGAGGAGGCAAGGAGACAGGAGAAGGTGGCAGTGCTCCCGCATAAATGGATTCAGTGGTTTGATCCGGATGTCTACGTGTCTGTTGGTCTCAAGTACATTCAACGCGTCAGTCCGCTGCTGCGTCGCCGGATTCCTATCTTCGCCATTTTGGGGCACGTGAATCACGGAAAGACGGCATTGCTCGATTCGCTCCAGGATTCCAATATAAGAGATGAGGAGCCACACCACATCACGCAGTCGATTCGCGCTTTCACGGTGCCGTCGCCGAACAACGCGCAAGATCTTTTTACGTTCATTGACTCTCCTGGTCATCGCATCTTCGTGGAAACGCGTTTCCACCTTCATCTCGTGGCCGACTTCGTTCTCCTTGTAATTTCAGTAGTCGACGGGATCGAAAGTCAAACGCACGAGGCAATCAAAGTTGCACTCAACGTTGACAAGCCTGTGATAGTGGTTCTGAACAAACTCGATCTGCTGTCCGATGCGTTCTCGGCGAAGAAAGCAGTGAAACGCCTATTGTCAGAGTTGGATATGATCGGCCTTAGTGTCCAGATAATCGAAAAAGAAAAGGACGTTGATAAAATCGAAGCTGAGATACGCGCAGCACAGACAAGTAGATGTGACAAAACAACGCTGAGTGTACGGCATTCGCAGGCGGAGTTTTTTGCGCCAATGAAAACGGTTGATCCTGATTACCAAGGCAGCAAGCGACACCCGCAGGTAAATCTGCACCGCAAGTGCTACGGCGTCTGCGTTTCTGCGACGCAGAAGGTGCACATACCGCTGCTGTGGCGTCTGCTACGTGTTTGCCGAGATGGCGCTCCACCGATGTGCCACAGCAACTCTGTCAGTTACAAGGAGAGCAACGCGGCTGTGCAGGCTGTTGTCTTGGAATCGTCAAAACACCTCTTCGACGAAGAAGGGTTCCGCTTGAATCGCAGCCGTCAGCGCGTTCAGCGCGCCATCGACGCAAAGAAGCAGCGCCGCACGAACAAGTTTGAGAAGCTGAGCCCTCGAGTACGTCTCAACTCTATGTCAAACAATGCGATAAACCAGAAAACGCGGCAGAACCGGACGAGCTCGACCTGCCTCGTCATCACCGCAATTGTCCGTGAGGGCGTTCTTAGCGAGGGCATGCACTTCATTGCTGATCAAGCAGAGGGGCAAGTGCATTATCTTGTCGACTACTGGGGGAATCGCATTCACAAGGCTTACCCTGGCATGGCTGTCACCATCGTCGACAAGGACAGCATAAGCGGTTGCCCTGGGGCGGGAATCCATGTTCTGTCCGTGACCGACCTTGCGACGCGCGTCCGCGTCCAAGCATATAGGCAGATGCTGCAGTGGTACGTCGAGGTTTTCACGACGAAGCTGCACTACCTGCGTCCGAGAGGTATGGATGTCGCTTTTGCGCACCTTGGCGATTACGGACAGCTGGGAATCACGGACTCTTTAGAGTGCCAGCTGTTGTGCGGCCCGACCGCAAAAAGTCCTGAGAATCAAACACAGCTAGGGTCGGCGCCTTCGAGGTCTCCTACTGAACATATTTCGATTGGCACCTATCTGGCGGAAAAGAATAAGATTTCTGAATCCACTACCGTTCAGGTGAGCACTGCCGCTGCCTCCATTGCGCTTCCCGATGGCAAAACAAAGCGGTTGACGCAGGGGATCATGGACCGAAATGCGGAACTGGTGGTGACGTCGTCGTGGAGCGGCATGCAGCGAACAGAACCGTTGGCATCGCAGAAGGAGTATGAGCAGTTCGTCATGCAATGCGTGCAAGTAGGTGTGCTCATCAAGGTGGATTCTTGGCACACCGCCCGCATGTTGCTCCGAGAAATTTCACGCCTAGGGACGCGTAAGGTCTACTTTCAGGTTGTTGGTGCGCGTTTTGGGCCACTGCAAGTGGATGACATTCTCTTCTTTGGCCAGGCGGTGAAGGTCATCGTGTGCTTCCGCACGCCTATCGCTGCCTCCGCTGACCTTGACAAGTACATCGAATTCAACGACACATGGGTTCTGCAAACCGATCACTTTTCAGACGTTGTTCTGTTCATGAAGTGGTGCGCTGTGGCGACACACAAGGAAAAGGTTACTGAAGACGCCACGGATGCTGATTCTGCCTTCCGACCGCAAATTGTGGTGGACTCAACGAAGTCGGCAGGGAGCGAAGCCAAGGCAGCGAAGCCACTAGAGCGGAAGAAGAAACTACTCATCTACAGCGACAACTCCATTGAGGACGGATAGGGAGCGGAGCGAGCTGCGTGCACGCATTGTTTGAAGCGCGTACCTGCATTTCCCTTCTTAAAAAAGAAGCACCTTTTCAAGGTTGTCATACTGCTTCAAAATGCTTTTATTTTTATACCTGGGTTCTATTTCCGAGTGTTCTTCACATATTTTAAGTTCTGCACGCCCCTTAACGAAAACGACCTTGATCTGCTCTTCAATTCTTAGTTTTCTATTCCAATACTAGGACTGCTTAACTTCATCACTGCCGTTTATCTTGACAACGCCCTCATTGAAGGGAAAGTGCAAGCTGTTCTTCTTGATGCCGTCTTCCCTTTTCGTATGTGACTCCAATTCTCTCTCTGTTTTTCCTCCCGTCTCGGTTGCCACACTTTGGCCGGGTCTTTCAACGTGTTCGCCGATGTGTATGTAAGAAACGTACCCTGTTGGTCAGAGAACTGGAAAAAGAACAAGTAGCGGTTCTCGCAGTTGAACAACATGAGTGCCTCGGGGGCGCGTCAGGGTATGACGACGGCGACGGGCAGCGAAGCCGTAATCAGCGCTGCTGATAGTTTGGAGAGGGCCCATCAACTTGCTTTAGCATATGAACAGCCAATGCTTGCGCTGAAAGCGTACGGCGCGTGGATGCGGGCCTCAACTGCGTCCCCTCGCGCGCGTGCCTTTGGGTTGCTCGACTTTTCTCTCTATTGCAATAAGTTTGCTATGGAGCAACGAAGCACCCCAGACGCCGACGCAGGTCTTCGTCTCGTTCGTGTGCGAGACTATTTTCAACTGGTGTTGGATGCGTTTGAGGACACGTATCAGGTCCGAGTACCCCTTTTCACTGCAGCAGACGAAGCGGGCTACACGGAAACACTCGCGGTGACGATGCCCATCAAGGCGGTTCCTGATGGACTCCTGATCGCATTGCAAGTCACGCTTCATAACTGGGCATGCCTGGAAGCGAATTCTGAATCTGAGGGAGTGAAAAGGGCGGAAAGACTGTTTGACGCGAGTCGCCAGGTCGAGGAGCATATGGAAAACTTTTCTCACCTTGGCTGGTCGTGGGAAGCGGTGCGGTGCATCACTTCTGCTGTGCAAGCTCTGATGCGGTGCGACTTTGCTGCTGCGGAAACAGCCAGTCGCTTAGCGGTGGAGCTTGTTCGTGTGAACGCGAAGGGGCAGGAGAAGACGAGCACTACCCCTTTAACGAGCACAGCAGTTAGCGAGATAGACGGCGATACGGAGTTCCTACAGGCGCTAGCTTATTACACACTGGGAATTGCGAACGAGGCCTCCGCGTGCGAGGAATCTCTGCAAAACTACGAAGAGGCCCTCCTGCACGTTTCTGAAGGCCATAATGCAAATCTGTACCAATCTGTGATAGAGCGGGCGCGTGAGCAGCTCGCGGGCTACGTCGAAGAGGAACACCACCGAGAGCGCATGCGCCTCGCCGCAGAGGAAGAGATCGCAGCAGCTCACGGGGACCGCAGAGCTCAGAAGGCAATACGGCAGAGGAAAGCGCAGGAGGCCGCGCGTCGCACAGCACGCAAGGTGTCCAACTCACGGACGTCCTTTTCCGGGCAAAACCTCTCGCCAGTTGGGGCTCCACCGGTTCCCGAACCTCTTCAGCGCTATCTCGCAGAACACGGCCTATCAACGCTCGTGCTTTCTGTGTGTAATTTCAAAGGCGTTCTCAAAGCTCTCGGGCGTTGCCTGCTCGAGGATGCCCCCGACGAGTCACTGCCGGCTTCCCTTTTTGCGGACACGCGTTTCGAAGCTAGTGACGGGGAGACTATTTTTGCGGTGCTCCTCTGCACCAACACACCGCTGCAGTGGACGTTTCGTTTGCGCGAGGCAGCCAACCAGCCACGCTCCACTCTCCATCGTTCTGTTTGGTCTCCGCGACCGACGCTGGCCCCGCTGCTAACGGAATTGGCGGCGCAGCGTCCGCCTGGTCCAAAGAGTGTGGCGGCGGCGCAAACACGGAAGGAGATTGTGGAGGGCAACACCAAGTTGCGTCAACAGGTGCTGCAGCTTTTCGCACCCCCATCGGCGGCGCCCAAGGTAAAGCAAAATGCGCATGAGTCTGTCAACACAGTGGTGCAGCTCCTAGGACAGCGCTTGGGAGTGTTGCTCAAGACGGAGCGGGCGTTTGAGGACCACTGGTCAGCAACGGGACGCATTTTGTCTGCTCTTCAGTCCTACGCGGTATCACAGGACCTCGTGTGTGTGAAGCGAACACTGATGTCCCAACAGCGACTGCGCCAAATGCGCCTCGAGCGAAGTGCTCGCACCATCGTACACTTCTTCCGCGACATCGTAGGTCAGCGGGCTCTGCGTGCTGAGCAGGCCGCGGCAGATCGTCAGCGACTTGCAGCTCGAGAACAGGCAACAATCGTTCTTCAAAAATATGTGCGACGCTGGCTGGCCTGTCAAGAAGCCGGGAGGAGGGCAAACGAGCGCGCAGAGTACGTTAACAAGATCCTCATCGTGCAGAGTCTGGCACGAGGGAAGTTTGCAAGAGCGGCGTTCGATGACTTCCGCAAAGCGTGGGGACGGCAAAAGGAACTGGACTACGACCGAACAAAACAGGCATGTGCGGCCCTTCAAATCCAACGTGCGTACCGCGGCCACTGCGCCCGTTTGCGTTGCTACCACCTTCGGGGACTCGTCCACGAAGTGACGCTTCATCACTTTCGAGATTCGCGAATCTACTACGCGACGTTGATACAAAAATGTGTTCGCGGAATGCTTGTGCGGCTCCAGTACGGGAAGGCAGTGTATGCGAAGCGATGCTACGGCCGTAACGTGTATCGTAGACGGCTGTGGGAGCGAAGCTGTGTGGTCATTCAGCGTGCATTTCGTGCATACCGCCTGCGTCGTGCTCGCACGCTTCACATTGTCTCAATCGGAGAAGACCTTCTGTTGAGCGACGCTTCATCAGGCAGGCCACTTACATATGGAAATGCGACAAAGGTGTCTGCGGGACGCGCGAACGAAAGCGCCGCCGCACGATGCATTCAGGGCGCCTATCGCTCTTGCGTAGCGAGGCGTCGTTGTGAAGCCCTGAAGTACGCCCGGGCGAGGGAAACCCAATCCAAAGAGCAGCTTGACTGGTCTGGCGCACCTCCATTTTCTTTGAAAGAGTGTGTATTTTGATTATCGGCAGCTTTTCATCTCCGTCTTTTCTGCATGTATTATTGCTTTTTTTTTTTTCTTCTTGTCCCCTTTGTAGGGGTGTCGGGGATGCCTTGAGATGTACACTAGTTTTGCGTTGTGACATTCAACAAACATTGTTGTGTTCTTCGCCTCGTCATTTTGTTTTTATCTCTGAGCCTTCTCTTCGTTTTCCGAAACCTTCGTTTTTGTCAAGAATATCAAGGAAAAAAGCCGTTCATGAAGCCGAGTGATCTGACATTTTCGAAGAGGCGTTTTATGTGAGTCTTGCTTTTGCTTCTGGTGGGGGAAAAATACGATTTTTGTTTCTCTTGAAGCGATTCTTCTGCCCTCTGTGGGATGTTCCTTCTTTCACCCTTCGAAGACGGCCTTGTAGCTTCGACGTGAGACTTTTCACGTCATCAGCTGATGAGTTCTTCGTGCGGAGTTCATCGTCGTCGTTTCTGTGATTTCGTTTTGCGACAGCATAGCTGTTGCGAATTCTCCTCTCTCATTCGACTTCCCTTTCCCCTCGTTCTATTCGACTCTTATTACGTGCTGATGGAACTGCGTTGCTGCCTACAGAAACAGCGTTTTTTTTTCGTCGAAGGAGTATTGCACGACTTGCTAATTCCCATTGTTTATAGTTCGCTCGTTTTCAAGTCGCCTATTCTTCACTTTGTAGGCAAGAAAGAGAGGAGGTCCGGAAGCGAGTAGACTTTGTGCTATCTGTTTCGATCCCATTTTCCCCTTAGCGTTCATATATCTCTTTCCTCTTTCTCGTCTACAACACATCACGTTTCTTTGCTGCTTCGTCAACTTACAGCAACGACTGGAGTTTAGGTCTTCGCAAGGAATACCTTTTCTTTTGCTTGTCTTTAGTGCCGCAATACTCATCACTTGCATCTTCTTCTTCCTTTCTCCGTTCAATTTCACGAACTGGGAGAATACGCTTAGCCAGTCAACAACTTCAATACAGCTTTAGACGAAACATCCGATAGTGAAAATGGGAGCGTCCACTTCCACTCTAGAGGCAGCGAGGCTCGTCCGCACACTCGTCTCCGACGAAGCCGCGCCTGCCGAGACCTTCGTTGTGCTGCTCAACACACCAATGACAGACGCCGAAGCATCGCAGGCCTTCCCAGTCGAGCAGCTTCGCCAGCTGCGGCATCTCCACACCCGCAACTTTGCCGTCTTGCTCTACCGCTGCATCGGCGCCGTCGCAACTGTGGCAGCTAAGAGGCATGACGTCAACACCACCCCCAACGCGCCAAGCACCATCCTCACTGCGGAGCTCATGACCCAGTTTTACGCGGCGTTGCGCATCCTGTATCATGTGTTACCGGTTGCGCTGGAGGGCGGCTCTACAACGCTCGACCTCGCAGCGGAAGGGGAAAGTCTCCAGCAGAATCACCCCTCCCTCGCAACGCCGAACGATGCGGAGCGAACAGAGACGCCGCCGCCGTCGTCTCAGCGTCGCCATCGCACCAACGCGACTCAAAACTTTCAGCAGCTTTTCTTTGCGCAAGGCAGCACCTGCGACGATGACAACCCGGACGACGTCTTCCCGCTCATGCCGCGACAAAACATCCATCTCTCTCCTGCACATCCGTACGCCAAGCCACAGCCGCTGGGCTCTTTCCTCGCCTGGTCGCTTGTAGAGTGCTGCTTCATTCGCGGGCTCACGCTGCCTGAGCAAGCCGTGCAGCCCGCTGAGCCGCAGCTGAGCGTCATCCATGCAGAGGTGAATGTAGGAATTATGTGGTGCCCGGGACTCGCCTCGGAAGACCCACTTCAAGCTTTTGCGTCCGCCAAAAGCACCCCCAGCTTCTCCTGGGCCGCCCCGAAGCTTCCGTCTACGCGCAAAAGACTGTTGGATATACTATTCATAATGCTCTCTTCACCCGTGTACCACGGCCCTGACTTTCGTGACACCATCTTTCTCGAACCTATCTTGTCCACCATCTCGGTGCCACTGATGCCCACGCTAGCGATTTCGATGCTCAACACCATTTTGCAGTTTGTCCCGTACGGGTATCTGCCTTACACGAGTCACCTTGGGGTCGAGGAGAGGGAGCTGGTGGAAACCTGCGCTCGTGTTCTCGACGCCACGCTTGCCTACGTTGGCGTTCCGCTGGACTCGTCCACAACCCAACGCGATGCTCGACACGGTGACGCGGACGGTTCCGCGCCAGCTTCGTTTTCTAGCGGGCACCGAAGCGGCCGTGAGCGCCTGCAGGAGGGTAAAGGTGGAGAGGCTTCCGCGGAGGCCTCGCGCGGACTCCCACGTATCCACCAAGGGAGCCGGCACTCTCTGGCCGAGTCTGCCGCGAGTGAGTCGAGCCCGTCGCAGGCTTCGCCGGGTTCACGTCCGACAGAGACAGCCAACCAGGACTCCGGCAGCAACTCTGCCGCAGGACAATCGTCGAGGCATGGGGCAACGCCGCGCTTTGTGCACAGCGTTCGCAAGGCACTTCGCGACATCACGATTACAGAGGCGAAGGTGGTTGTGGAGCGGATGCAGGCGATTCTCGGCGTGAATGCGTACGCAAACCAGACGTACCTTCCTACATCGCAGAGCCGCTTCGGGTCGCTGGATGAATTCATGCTGCTCTTCTGGAAGATTCTTGACCTCTCTCCTACGTGTCTCGCACAATTCGGCAGCAGCCCCCGCGCGCTTGACTATGTGATCCCCATTCTGGATTACGCGCTGGAAGTGCGCCGCAGCTCTCTTTACGTGTACCGCTTTCAAATGATGCTGTTCGTGCTCACCCGTCTCTCCGAAGTGCGCGGCTTTGTGCTGCAGTGCAACCAGGTGAGTGCGGCGGCACTTCCCTTCCGCTTCCCGAAGCTGTCCCCGAACCACACCTACAATGACCTTATCGTGCTGGCGCTGTGCATCGTCATGGAGATGAAGGACATCGCTCCCCTTACACCGCTCTTCCCCTCTTGCACGGTGATCTTGGTCAACATGGCGCCCTTTATCACGTCGCTGGGTCGCCTTCCGTCGATGAAGCTGGTGTCCGTCTTCGCCCATGCGGCGTATCGCTGCCTGCATAACGGTACCTCAGCGCGGGCGTCACCGGCGCCGCCGCCGGACAGTAACACGAAGGCAACATCGCCGGCCACCACGACGGAAGCCCCGGTGGACGTCCTTCATCAGTCGATGATGGTCAACCTGTGCGAGGCGATTGCAAGTCTTCTGCAGTACCAGTCAAACAGCGCACTGTACATTCTCGCCTCCCTGGTCGATCACCGCGCGGTGGTGCGAGAGGCGAAGGAGGCGTACGTTGTCCGCCGCACAAAGGTGGTCACCGGTGGCTTTCCGCTGCCTTTCTTGATCAATACCCTGGACACCGCCGTCTCGGTGGCGCTGCCGGTGGTGGAGAGCACGGACGCCCTTCGCAAAATCTCAAAGTACTACATGGACTCAACGTCACCCGAGGCGGTCAACAACGCGACGGCGGCGTTGGAACGCACCAGCGCTTTCATGCCACCTGTGGGGATGGGCGAAGCTGGCGTCGGAATCGCCGCAAGCGACGAGGCGATTGAACGACTTCGGACACTGAGTCTTGTAGGGGTGCTTCCCACTCCTCACAGCATCGTTATTCGAAAGTTTCAGTCGACTAAGGATGTTGAACATTGGACATCGACGACGTTCTGGACAAGCGCGTACATTCACGCCGCCCCTGGCACTCTTGGCGATCGCGACTCGGTGAAGCTTGTCCAGTTTGTGGGCGCGAGACTGGGGGAATGAAAACGAAGAAGAAAAAAGTACGACCGGCGGAGAAAAGCTCCACGACGGGTATTCGTACGCGGCGTTTGTTCATTGTACTTACACGTCTTAATTTTGAGTTTTTTTTTTAGCTTCCAAAGGTTCGACAGACAGCATTGAGGGTGTCGTCAGCTTGTGGGGGTACTGTTTGCTTTCGTAATTCTTGTTTTTCTTTTTGACATATTAATTCATTCACTATAATTGTTGCTCCTAAAACAAACATACAAACAAACAACGGGTGTTTCTCCGTATCTTTTGCCTCCTATGGTTTTTGAGCGAGGTGCTACTGGCTTATTGGCAAGGTGCGATGCTGGAAGAAAGCGAGTTGCGAATTAGGGGTGACTCAAGCATTTAAAGCGAAAGCAGGCGTTTGCTTTTCTTGCGCGTCATATTATGCCCGCTCTTCATTTCTGTGGCGATGGGCAGCACTGGCAGACAATGTGCTACCTGACACGGAACGACGCGATGGGTGCTTCACACCTTTTTTTTGGCGTTTACTCTCTCTCTCGCTCTCACACACGCTCCTTTTTCGTGGATATTTGAACTCTCACTCATACGCGTCTTCTTTTCCGTTTCGGATGCAAAACCTCTAAATCTCTGTGGTGTCAACGCGCTATCGCTGTGTCGCTTCACAGATACGCCTGAGTCTCTTCTTCACCTTCAACACCACTCTTCCTCTTTGATTCAGAAAGCCTGTTTATCTAACCATCTCCGCGCACGCGAACTTGCGTCATCATGAACAGGAATACGTGCACAGCCGTTCACGTGCCATCGCACATGGAATGCCAGGTGTGCTTCGACTCCTGGACGAGCCCGACGCAGCTGCTGAAGTGCGGGCACATCTTCTGCGAAAACTGCGTGTCGCCATCGACGACGCGCTGCAGCATTTGCCATGCCACCGTGACCGGCTTCACCAAGCCAAGTGCGTCCATCATGGAGGCATCAATGAATATCCCCGTGCTGTGCTCTAGTTGCGGTTGGCGTGGCACCCGCAAGGCATCACTGGTTCACCGCTGCGATCCTGGTCAGACCCACAGTCCGTACATGACTCAGCCTCCTATGACGAATGAGGAATGGGTAGCGTTTGCTCTCCAGGGCCGCGACGCAAACGGGAAGCTCATCGTCACCGAGGTGGCGCACCGTGTGGCGCTGACCTCGACTGAGAGCATTTCTACCGATGCGGTGCGCGGCATTCCAATGTAGGCAATGCTCGTTGGTGATGAGCAGCCATGGAGGGCGATGGGCTCAATTGGAGTTCTCTTTTTCTGCCATCTTTGTGCGTCCTTTCAATAGTGTGTGGGGCTACATCTTCTCGAGCTGGCTTTTCCTTTCGCTCAGGTTTTCAAAGATGAATGAGGTGGTGTTGCGCCTGTTCAGAGAGCAGCACACAAACCTTCGGATTCGAAAGCCACTTCTCCATCTGCGTTGCTCTGCTGAGCGACAAGGTGTGAACACAAGTGCCACTTAAGATGTGTCATTTCTCAGCGTAGACTGAGCAGCAGGTCTTCCTCCCCTGTAGTTCTTCGTTTCTTTAGACACAGAACCTTTGCTTCTCTATGCTTTCAATGCTTTTCGGCTCCATATCTAATCTGGATTATGGTAAATAGATGATGGGTGCCCGTTTAACGATCGCAATATTGAGGTTTTTTTTTCTTGTTGACCATCATGGCCCGTGATGCCAACCCTTCTTTCCCCTTCACTACCATTTTTTTTTTACAATTTGTGGGGCTTTCTCTGTTTTCATTTTTGCGAATTTCGAGCCACACATGCTGTCTCAAGACAAATTGTCCAACAAGAACAAAAAACTTTTTTCTGTACGTACTTGTGGCGCAGTAGTGTTGAGATGAACCAACCTTTTATTGAAAGTATCGTGGATGCGACTTGATATGCTAGAGCACATCTGGCAGTTTTATTAGCACAAATTATTCGGGCTGCAATGTTCTTTTTTTGTTTTCACCCTCGATTTGGTCAGGTGTTTGGAATTGTCGCTCAATCAGTAATCTCACTTTTTTAAATATATCCGCTCACTTTTTCTTCTGTCCAGTGCTGGGCCACAGAACGTCACGAAACAAAGCAAAAATACCCCAAGGCTCATTTGCGGAGCGAGAAAGTGGCAAATCCCTGAACTCCAACCCGTTGCTTGTCTTCTCTGCTCTCAAGGGCTCCTACGCTACGTTCGTGAGAACACAAGCCAACACACTCAATAGCTGAAATATACGCTGCTTCGATGTCAGTTTCAGATAATGAATCCTGCCGTGGAACCGCACAGTCTTCATCTACTGTGTCCCTCAAACGCAGTCACAGGAAGCGAGAATCTTCCGCTTCTCCGGCGACTGCTGAACGCGCATCGTTGCAGGCGACAACAACGCCAAGGCGTTACACCGAGGCCCACAGTCCTGCGGCTCCGTCTCGCGATGCGATTCCATTCTCGCATGGTGTGGGTTCGCCCTCGCGAACGCCGCGGAAGGTGGTGTACTTCGTTGACCACTCGGTTACAGCCATCGCGTACGCGGAGGGTCACGTTATGCGTCCGTCACGCGTGCGCGCGCTACACGCACTCGTTCACTCACTCGGGCTTGATGGGGACGCGCACATGACTGTGTGCCACGCCCGTCCTGCGTCCGCGGAGGAGATGGGAGCGTTTCACCGTGGAGCTTATTTGGAGTGTCTCCGACGCGCACCCGTGATCTGCGGCAACCCACTCGAGGAAACCTCCCTCGCGTTTCAGAAGGAGTTCGACGTCCCTTTCGCCTCTCAGCACGGCGACTGCCCGCTATTCCCTGAGGTTTGGTCACTCGTCTCTAGCCAAGCAGGGGCGTCGATCGCCTGCGCGGAGGCGCTCATACGGGGTGACGCAACGGTGGCCATGAACTGGGCTGGCGGTATGCACCACGCAGCCGCCGCCCACGCCAGTGGGTTTTGCTTTGTAAACGACATCGTCCTGTGCATCCGACGGCTGCTGCGACATTACCAGCGCGTCCTGTACGTGGATTTGGACGTGCATCACGGCGATGGCGTCGAGGGCGCCTTCTACGGCAACCACCGCGTCATGACACTCTCCCTGCACCAATTTGGCAATGGTTTTTTTCCTGGCACGGGCGACTTTGCGAGCCGCGACTCCGCAGACAGCTTTGCGATCAACGTGCCGCTGCCGACTCGCACCGGCGATGCCGCCTACCTGCTATCCTTTCGCACGGCGCTCTCGAGCGTGGTGCAGTGCTTCGACCCCGAGGCAGTGGTGGTGCAGTGCGGCGCTGACACCATCGCTGGCGATCTCATCGGCCGGCTGTGCGTCACCACCTTGGCACACACCCAGTGCGTGGCGGACCTTCTCGCTCTTCGACTGCCCACCGTGCTGTTAGGCGGTGGGGGGTACCACGTCTTTCACACCACGCGCTGCTGGGCGATTCACACCGCGACGGCGCTGGGGAGGACGGCCGCGCAGCTGCCGCTGTACGTCCCTCGTAGCGATCCGTACTACATGGACTACCGCAGGGAGTGTGTGCCGCACCGGCCCACGCTGCACGTCTTTCTCGACCCCGACGTGGACGATCCTTTGCCGCTGCAGGAAAGCCTAGTCTACTGGCGTCATTTGTGCCGTAGCATTCAGTGGCAGATGCGGGCGGCGCGGTTGGTGCGGCAACGTTTTTATCGCACCATCTCCGTCTCCCAGCAGCGACAAGCAGTGCTTCTTCGGCGGCTTGGGCCACAGAGTCAAACGGGGAAGCACGTCCTGGTTGTTGACAGCCGCAAGCGCGCACGCCCCGCGTCTGAATTGCTTGACGAAGGCGGCAAGGTGAGATGAAGCTTCTTAAAATTACTGTGTGCTTATCGACTGCTCTACGCAATATGGCTCATTACTGAAGTGTAAATCCTTTATGATGCTATCTATTAAAAACAAAGGTAACGGAGTTCGACGCTGTTCGAAAAAGGCAAGGGAGCCAAAGGAGTATCATAGCGGATGTCAAGAATCCTTTTTTTCCTGCTCTTCCCGGGGTATTACTGAAGTCAAAAGAGGCGTCATGAACAGCTTTCCTGTCCAATGAAGAAGCACTGCCTTCCCATTTGCTATGCCTTTCGATCTCTCTCCATATAACTCTCTTTAGCACTCTCATTACAATCTTCGGCAACGCTTCCTCGTCCACATTATCTGGATTTCCATGACAAAAACACACACACTCACACATACTTAGTGTCCTCCGCCTGCTTTTCTGCTTGTGTTCTTGCAAGAGGATGTGAGTCGGTAAATTTACCGTCTTCAGCGTCAAACTCACAACCAAAAACTCCTTGGTTTCTCTTCTGTTTGATATTCGTTGTTGGTAACAATAAATCTTTCCTTCTGTGTTTGTGTGCGCCAACGTGCATTCTGCTCCCTGCACGCGTACCCTCTTCCCTCTGCTTTCCGCTGTTTACACGTTTGCGTACGTCGAAGTGACGTCCTCACGTACTTTCTTTGTTGCCTTTCTATTTTTTTAATATTTGTACTGATATTGCCGCTTTCTCGGTTCACATCTTTTACTCCGTCGTTTTATCTCGTATTGGAAATATCTATTTTTAGTGCGTGATTGTTTTTTGTTAGTAGTACTCAGCTTGCCGCTTGCTTTATGTTCAGCAGCTTTGAGTCAGGACTTTGTCCTCAAAAGTGGTCCTCTCATTCACTTGCTGTGCTTTGCGATCGTACCAAGAGCAGAAATAACTGTTGACAACGTTTTAGCGCGATACTGATTTCATCAGCTGCGGCTGTCTTTCCTTCTTCTTTGCAGGCTTCAACACTTTCGGTGGACTTTAAAGTGCTTGGGTCTTTGTTGCCTCTTCATTCGTGTAAACGAAAAACTAAATTTAAAAAAACCAGAGCAGAAGGAGTCACAATGGCAAATCTCTGTGTGGGCCAAGACTTTAGTGAGGAGCTCACCTGCGCCGTGTGCCTAGACTCGTGGAAGGAGCCGATTGAGCTCTCCCCGTGTGGGCACATCTTCTGCAGGGAATGTGCGGTAGGCTTGAAGGAATGCCCGGTGTGCCGCAAGAAGATTGAATCTTCCAACCAGCCGAACCGCACGCTGGTGAACATGGCGCTGCAGATTCCTGTGAAGTGCATGCGCTGTGGGTGGCAGGGGACGCGCGAGCAAGGGATGCGTCACGAATGCGGTAGCGGCTCTGCCCAACCAACGCGATTGTCATCCATCAGGCCTCCACAGCCGGCCCAGGAGCCGCCGCAGCATCCGTCGGCGACAAGCACATCCAGTCCCTACGCTCCCTACACTTATCAGTCGAACCAACAGAATTCCAGTGGTGGGTATTCTGCCTATCCTCCGGATCCGCCGAACGCCTCGAACAATTTGTGGCAAAGCGGTGCGCCAACGCAGTCACGGCCGCAGCAGAATAACTACCAGGGAGGCTACCAAGGTGGTTATTCGCCTTCCTATCCCGGCGCGGCCCCATCGTTGTCCAACAACTACTCGTCAAGCTACTCGCCGAACCCCGCCAATTCTGGTGGTTATCAAGGCTACCCGGGATACCCAGGGTACCCAGGCTATCTCCCACAGCCACCGCAGCCGCCACAAACGCGTCGTAGAATGAGGAAGTATGAAGTGATTGAGCCAACGGGAAATTACCCGTGGACGCTTTACGGTCTGGGACAGAATGAGTACGACCAAATTGTGTCGCTGTTCGTCTTCTTCGACGACGATGATAGCGGCTCCTTGGACAGAAACGAGGTGGCTCGCCTGGCGCGTTGGCTGAACTTTGCGAACACGCCGCAGGATGTGCAGCGCATCTTTGACGACATGGACGCGGACCACAGTGGTAGCCTGTCACTGGGCGAGTTCCTTAGCTGGCTGCGATACAACAAGCCCAACCCGCAGGCGTTGTACGGGCTGACGCAGTCGCAATACAACACCATCATGATGCAGTTTCACACCTACGATACGAACCAGGACGGGTGCCTCGAGATGAACGAGTTCACGCGGCTAGTGTTGAATCTGCGGGATGTCAGGGACGAGGCAACGGCACGGCGTCTCTTCCAGATGATTGACCTGGATCGTGACGGAGAAATCAACCTGCACGAGTTCCTAACGTTCCGCGCGGGCAAAGGTTGAGGTTTTTTTTTCCTTTTTTCAATTTGTGTTCGCTCTGGTAATTTACTGATCGCTGTGGTAATCAAAAATAGGTATGCAGAGGTGGAGGTTTCACCAAAAGGAGTGCCGGAAAGAAGAGAACAAGACGACACACATGGCGCGATGATTGTTAGAGCGCCATGATACGATGCGCTGTCAGCTTGCTGTTTTGGTTTTCTAAGCCTTTGCCTGCTCCTTCTTGCTTCTGCTACCCACTGGTCTCTCGCTTTTTCTTCTCAATGGGCCTGAGACTCCTTTTTGTCTTCAAGTTGGTTCGACAACTGTTTGTCGACAGGTGAATAGAAAGCGACAAAGGAGGACAAGAGAACGGGGCGTTGATAACACACAAAGTGGAAGCGGTGATACCCGGAGAATTCCTGCCGTCTTCTCACCCCACAAAAGCTGTTTTTACTTTTTTCCCTTTCTTCTGGATGTTGCTGTGATCCCTCACATGTTTTAGTCACACCTTGATTGGGGCGTGAGTCTCTCCTTGCATCTTCCCTCGTCTCTTTTGCTGTGTATATCAGTATAATCCTCAAAACAACGACCCCTTTCGCTATATTGATATCAGCTCCGTAAATTGTATTATAATAATGGTTAAAAAAAAAAAACAGGAATATCAAAGCAACTTTTTCTAATGAACAACCACGTAGACAGCGTACTTGCCATTGACTTCTGCGTTTCCCTTCCCCTTCCGTTGATATCCTCATAAGCAGTTTATTGCGAGGTACAATCGCGCGACGTCCGCCCGTGCGCCGTCTTCAACGTGGGAGGAGAAAGAGTTTAGCGGTTTAGCAGTGCATTCCGGGGGAAGAAAGTGATGACACTGAGTTGATTTCTTTTCTTTTGAAGGTATGCGTTTCTGAAGTCTATGAGAAGCCCTTGCATTTGCTTTTCGTTCTTTTCTTCTTTTAAAACAGCGAGAGAGACGTGGTGCATATATGCCTTTTCCGTGTTCTCTCTTCCCCCCATCGTTTCCCATCTTTTGCGCACACATGGTGTGTTGGTTACGCGTCTCTCACGTGCTCTAACACAAAAGCCAAGATCGTTGCAACTGTAAGCGAAGACGACGCACACGAGGCTCGACAGTATTCGCAGCTTCGCCAGGTTTTTTCTCCCCATTAAAAAAAAAATCTGTTGGCGAAATACTTTGTAAAACGTAAGGAGCTCACCAACCTTTCAAATTCTACCTCGTCATGTCTACTCTGTGCGTCGGACAGGATTTCTGCGAGGAGCTCACCTGCGCCGTGTGCCTAGACTCGTGGAAGGAGCCGATTGAGCTCTCCCCGTGTGGGCACATCTTCTGCAGGGAATGTGCGGTAGGCTTGAAGGAATGCCCGGTGTGCCGCAAGAAGATTGAATCTTCCAACCAGCCGAACCGCACGCTGGTGAACATGGCGCTGCAGATTCCTGTGAAGTGCATGCGCTGTGGGTGGCAGGGGACGCGCGAGCAAGGGATGCGTCACGAATGCGGTAGCGGCTCTGTTCAACCTCCTCCATTCCAGCCTTCTACGGCGTTAGACGCGAACAAACCTAACCCTCCAACCAACGTGGCGGCGTCACCAAACCCGTATCATGATTTCGGAGGGTCCAACGTGGGTGGCGATTATGAAGATTTGTGGACGAGTGGTGCGCCGGTGCAGCCTCCACCGCAGCCACCACAGCCGCCGCAGCTGCCACCGTCGGCTGAACATCCCCAAGTAATCGAACCCACCGGTCCCCGGCCGTGGACGCTTTACGGTCTGGGACAGAATGAGTACGACCAAATTGTGTCGCTGTTCGTCTTCTTCGACGACGATGATAGCGGCTCCTTGGACAGAAACGAGGTGGCTCGCCTGGCGCGTTGGCTGAACTTTGCGAACACGCCGCAGGATGTGCAGCGCATCTTTGACGACATGGACGCGGACCACAGTGGTAGCCTGTCGTTGGCGGAGTTCCTCACCTGGCTCTACCACAACAAGCCCAACCCGCAGGCACTATACGACCTAAGCCCTGCGCAGTACAACACCATCATGATGCAGTTTCACACCTACGATACGAACCAGGACGGGTCTCTCGAGATGAACGAGTTTGTGAACCTTGTGCAAAGGCTCGGCGAGGTGCGCGATGCGGGCACTGCTCGGAAGCTGTTCGAGATGGTGGATCGCGACCGTGATGGCGCAATCAGTTTGCACGACTTTCTGCTCTTCCGGGCGGGGCGGCTGTAGGAAGGCACCCCGCTGACGTCTGAAAAGGCCTATCGACGAGCAGGGCGTCCTTTTTTCTGATAGTAAAGCCTCTTTTCTTTCCGACTTTTTTTGTTGGTTCAAGACGGTCAGTTTTTGCGCGTAGGCACATTCGATGCGGAGAGCTGATTTGTTCAAATATACGAACGAAACCCTTTAACGCGTTATCCCGTGGCTTTGTTGCTTTTCCCTTCCGCAGAAGAAAAATGGAAGGCTGTTTGCCGTTTCTTCCTGCCTTGCGGTTTCTTTTTGTTTTTCAGCTTCAATACTTTTACACGCTCTCTTACCTTGTAATGGAAAGTATTTGGTCGAGCAGTTTGGGAACACAAGACTCAAACCCCTGAAAAAGCGAAGAAACGTCGATATTTATATATGAACAAATAAATGCGTTACACGATGGGGCAGTCGGAATGCGGAGCACTTCTATGGCCTTCCACACTCAAGCACGCGCCTCCGTTCACGAAGGCGGCGAGTTCAAGTGGGAGTACTGCTGCTCATGCTCCCGCTCCTGCGCTGAAAGTTCGGTTGCCTGAACTCGCTCGTTTTCCTGCACTCGTCGCTTTCTCTCCCCGCTCATTTCACAACGCTTTAATGCAATGGGCGTCCCCCACAGCAGTTTTCCACCACGCAATCGATCTTCGCTGATTTGATCTTTTACAAAATTGTAGTTCTCTTCTATATAGAGCTTAGAACACACGCAACCGATCTCATGTCGTCAACAGTGAACGCCTTTGCTTCCCACCAAGCGCGGTCATCGATGCTGGTGGAGCGGGAGCGCGCGCTCGATGCACGGCGCACCACGGTCATGGAGCTGCGTCAGATGGTGAACAACCTCGCCACAGAGAACCGCACCCGGGAGGAGCAGCTGATTAGCGAGCGCAGTCGCTTCAATGAGCGCAAGTCCGCGCAGGATGCGAAGCTGTCCGCGAAAGAGGCGGAGGCACGCGGACAGCAGGCTCGTGTGATGGAGCTGGAGGCGGAGGAGGAGCGGCTGAGCAGCGCCATTGCACAACGGGAGACGGAGACGGCGGCCGCGAGCGCCGAGGTGGAGCGACGCCGCGACCTAGAGGCGACGCTGCGCGAGGCCCGGGAGGTCCTCAACCGCGCTAAGTTTAACCTGGAGGAGCAGGACGCGAAGGTGATGCGTCTGGAGACGCGCCTCGCACGACAGGAGTTGGTGACCGACAAGCGCCACGCCCAGTTGGCCGAGCGCGAGCCGCACTACTGGTTTCCACGTGTGGCCGAGGCTGAGAAGTCGGCCGCGCTAGAGGAAACGGCAGGCGAAAGTTTGTACCTCGTAGATGAACTGGCGGGTTAGATGCCGCCTGAGGTCGTTTGTTTGTGCTTTCCTTCTTTTCATAGATGCATTCATTAGACGCACTGCCGGAGAGTTGGCTGTGTGTGCTTTCACCCACGTTGATATACATTTTTCCTTCTTGAGATACACACGGCTACAATCGCGGCACAGAGAGCAACAACAAGAAAGTCGACCGCAAACAAGTGTATGCGACGCGCTGTTGAAATAGTCGTTGACGGATTCCAGAAAATGCGCTGATGGGGTTGAAAGCTCGAAACGTTTTTTTCCCTCGTCGATCGCACAGGGACTCCTAGCCGTCCAAAAATATCACTGCGCTTTAAGGATTCGACCGTAAGGAAAGCAAGGAGCCTTTTGCAGGGTAGGTTTGAGAGCAACGCACGGTCACTTATATTCAGCTCCTTTTCCCTTTCCCCTTCCTGGTTTTTGCATGCGCTCGTATTTCTTTTATTCCCCTCTCGATTTACTATTCGCTTCTTCCTCCTCCCTTTTCATTATTTGCACTCTTCTCTTCTCTTTTTTCTTTTCTTCAACAAAACAGACCCTTTGCGACGTGCCCACTCCTCCTGCCGCATCTTTAAAGAACCTTTTCTTTTGTGTTCTCCCTCACCTCCCTCTTTCTCTTCTCTGTTGCGGCGACCGCACCTTCAAGTTCACTCATTGGGGACTGCGTTGCTGCTGCTTCATTTTTGAGTTTTTTACCCTTTCGCTTCTTTACCTTTCATTAACGCGCGATACTTTCCCTTTCTGTTTTTATCTCAGAGTTTTCTTTTCCCTTTGACTGCTAAACAGCTCATTCTTTTTTGTACTCAATCGTGGCTCTACTCCTTTCCATTCCTTTTCGGTAGAGCCTCACCTTCCATTTCTTCAACAACAGCATGAAAGGGATGACGCTTGTCTTCCGCGCCTGGGCAGCAGGAGAGCGGGGGGATGCTTTGCTGTCTCTTTTGGTGTGTCTGTGCTGCATCGGGATCGCACGGACGGCGGCTCAGCACGGCGACTTTACCCCCGTCGACCCTCCCTTCAACACATCTGTGCAGGACTTCCTGGCTCCGGCGGTGGCGATGAGCATTGGTCCTACAGGGGGTCACGCGTACCTCAGCACCGCCTCCAACGCCTCAACGGTGTGCGCCGCCGTCGACACACCGCCACTCTTTGCACCAGCCACCGTCACGACAGTTGATGAACTCTTTCACAGCCTACGTGGAAGCGACGTCCGCCTGGATGTGACGCACGCGTGTTACTTGAACATGTCGCAGCGTCTTCCGCAGTGTGTCGCGACGCTCCAGTCGACAGCGGCGGACTGCGGTGGTGTCGCGGCGGAGGCGGTCGGGCCGCTGCTGAATTCATCTTCGCGGTTGACCGACGTTGCGACCAGCAGCGCAGCGCTGCTGGCCTCTTACGTCCACGCCGGCGCGGCACAGCGATTGCGGCTGGAGCGCTCCCTGCGCCGCACGCGCGAGGTAGTGAGTGCGCTGAGCCGTGTCCACGATCTTGTCTTACAGGCAAACGACACTATCTCTGATGCGCATGAAATGCATCTGTTGCGAGCCAGAGCCACCCAGTACGTAAAGGAGGTGGTCGAGGCAGCCTACGACCGCGTCATGGACAAGTACTACGTCCTCGATGCGTGGACGAATGCGTCTCTTGGCATTACAGCGCAGCATTTGTCGTTTGCTGCCGGTCCTGCAGGGGGGACGTGTGCGGTGCACAACTACACCCATCGTCTGCTCTGGGGCACCGAGGCGTCCTCTATAGTGCTGCTGGCGCTCACGCAGACGACCCTCTCCATCGCGGACAGCATCCACAACAGAACGTACAGCCCCGCAGCGCGAGGTGTGCAGTGCGCGCAGGTTCTCACGGGGCTCGTAATGATGACGCTGGAGGACGACGCGGTGCGTCAGGTGGCCGCGATGATCGCAGGCAACACGTTGACCGCTACAGTTGTGTGGGAGGTCAGCGACTTTGCGCTACTGTTGCCCAGTCGAACAACACCGCTGCGTCAGCGTCAGCTCTGGAGCCTCGCTTACGTCTTCGCCGCCGTCGCCGATCCAATCGTCGTGGATGACTTGGTGGGCAGCGCTGCGGTGGCGGAGTGCATGCGGCGTGCTGCGCTCGTGGTACCGGACCCCGTCACCGGCAGCGTCCCTCCCTCTATCTCGTGGTGCCTGGAGAATGCCTCCACGAGCGAAATGATGCCCACCGCGGTGGCGCAGCGCTCCTTAGCCGTGCGCGAGTCGGACACCGCGGCCAATGGGCGGTGCCTGTGGGGACTCAGTGTGTGGGATGGCCTGTGTGATGGTGCGGCCTTCGACGCGGCGCGGTGCGAGAGTTGCCCGCCTGGCTCGGTTGGCGACGGCGAAGGCCACTGCGTGTGCGGCGACGCCACGGCCACCTACCCGACGCTGACGAGCGGGTGCATGCCGAAAGGCGCCGCGCACGACGTTGCGGGCCTCCGTCTTCTGCAGGCAAACGGGCAGGTGTCCGTGCCTGGCGCCGCCGCGGTGCCGCTGCTGTCCGTTCAGCTTCCTCAAACGGCTGCCTTGGCGGACCCGACTGCCTTCCTGCGCGTCAACGTGACGTGTGTCGACGGCGGGAGGGGCGGCGGCACGCGACTGCTGGCGACCCCACAAGGCAACCGCACAGCTGTGTGTGCCTCTGTCGTGGCCTACGAGCGCCACGAAGAGCGGACCGGCTCGCTGCACACATTCCGCGGCACGCAGTTCTTTGAAACCTACGCGGAGAACCTCACCATCTCCGTCCTCGGCAGTGCCGCCTTCTTCGGCGAGACGTGTCGGATGGAGGTGGTGGTTCAGAGCGCGTCACGCCGGGCCTCCCGATCCGTGGTGGCAGGCACGTGGACGTTTATTCCTGCCGCAGAGGCCTTCACCTTGGAAGCTCACAGTTACCCAGGAAGCGTATCTCCCAATGCAGCGGCGGCTCCAAGCGATGTGCCATTGTGCTCCCATGCTATGTTGGACGCCGTGAACTCAAGAGAATCACGGAACGGTCCTGTGGTGCAGGTTGATGTGTGCCGCACCACCAGCGGTGGCCCCGCTCTCCTCGTCCAACCAAATGCATACTCCGTGTTCGGCACGTCCACCCAGCAGGCGGTCGGCCAGCGCATCCGTCGCAGCGCCGGCACCTCCCGTGACGCGTCCTTCATTGCGACCTTGCAGTCTCTCACAAGTCGAACCGGCTTCCAGCTCATGGTGGAGGGTGGTACCGGCTCGGACGTTCTATGGTCTGCTGCGTGGGTGCGGAACGCCACTCCGTTGGCAGTGAATGCGTGGGCGTCTGGGTGGGTGGTGCCGATCGAGTCCTGCGTGCTTCGCAACATGCGTTCTTTCCGCCTGCGCGTCGCGGACACGGCCAACACATCTGCCTTTGTGGCTTTCGAGGCTGCGGTACAGTACCAGTACGGCAGCGACGCTGAGATCGCAAGCAGCTCCAGTGACGGAAGTGACAAGGGCAGCGAAGCTGCGGCAAAGGTGCCGGGAGTTCACTATGACTTCTGGTACGTGATTCTCTTTATCGTTGTCAGCGTCCTCGACGCCGTCGTCCTGGCAGCATTTGGGTTGATGGTGTTCCTGCGCCACGCCTCGTACGACAAGTGGCCGACATGCTTTAAATAACATATATATATATTTGTGTGCTAAAGGCGTGTAAGGCACTTGTCGTACGCGGCCCCTCTCTTTTTCTCTTAGTATCCCTTTTGTTCAACTCCGAATGACATTCTTTTTTGTAGCTCTTTTCTCTCCTCTTTACCTCCCACCCCCTCCCCACTATTCTTTGTAAACGTTGAGGACCCACAGAAGCAGGAAAGAAGAAGGCGGCACGCGGCACACGGTGTGGAGCCGGATGGGCGCGCATCCGCAAGGAACTGTGGAGTACGCTGTTTTACTCCCACCGTGTTTTCCCCCTTTTCATGGTAGAAGCTAAATCTCCCGTCTTTGTGCTAATGGAAGAAATTGCACACCCAAGGAGGCGGTCGCTCAGTTGCATTCTGAGCACGCGCATGTCTTCTGACGAGAGGTGGCACCCTCGCTTCGCCTTGTCTTTCCCCTTCACAACTTCACACACACACACACCGAATACTTTCTTTTTTCTCTCGATTGTAGTGCTGTCACAAAAGGGAATTGGCGCACTGCTTGATGGTTTCTCCGGACATGTTAAGGGGAAAATAAAAAAAATAATCCAGAGTACCGCACAGACCATACAATCCAATTTATTACATTGCTGATTTCGTATCTTTCATCAGCACCTCACATCTTCTACGATCAAGCAACGACAGGTATCAACTACAGAATCAACTGTCGCGGAAAACACGCTGTGTTGTCGGCTTCCTTTTTCTGTTGAGCTTGTTGATGCAACAGTCCACCATAAAACACGGAGTTCTTTATCTGCAAGCACACCACATAGACCATCACGAACTTAGTCTTTCTTGTTTCTCCAACAACGAATAAAGACTGTCATACATCTTTGAAGAAATAATAAAGAGAAATCCAATACAGAATACTGCTGCGATTATTTGTGAGAGGGAAAACTCTTTAGGGACTTTCTTTTTCTCCCCGCTTTTGCGACGAAGCCGTGACGGAGTTCTGAAGAATAGCTTACAGCTGCGGAAGGCCTTTTTTCTTTTGCTGGGTGGTGCGGTACATGGCCACTATTCAGAAGCTCTCGACCGATGTGATCAACCGTATCGCTGCGGGTGAAGTGGTACAGCGACCGAGTGCCGCTCTTAAAGAACTCCTCGAGAACGCTATCGATGCGGAGTGCAGCCGCATTCAGGTGTTGGCGGCCGAGGGCGGTCTGGACGTGTTGCAGGTGAGCGACGATGGCAGCGGCATCCACCGGGAAGATCTGCCCTTGCTGTGTGAGCGTTACGCGACGAGCAAGCTGCAGAGCTTTGAGGACCTGCAGCACGTTACGTCTTTTGGCTTTCGCGGGGAGGCCCTCGCCTCCATCTCGTACGTCGCTCGCGTCACAGTGACAACACGCCGTCGTCCACCCACATCGGTGCCCACCGTTTCGCCTGGTATGCCCGTCTCCTCCTCCGCCGCCAGCTCGCAGGTTGCGTGGCGAGCGCAGTACCTCAACGGAAGTCTCAAATCTGATCCGCAGCCGTGCGCGGGTAACGTTGGCACCACCATCCGCGCAGAGAAGCTGTTTTACAACGCGCTTGTCCGCCGCAACTCCCTGCGCGCGTCAGAGGAGTGGGGTCGCATCGTGGACATCGTCTCGCGGTACGCCTTGGCCTATCCTCAAATTGGGTTTACCTGTCAGCGAGATCAGAGCTACGGCAGCAGCAGCAGCGGCGGCGGTGGTGGGACTACCGGCACAGCAGCAAGCGGCGCGCAGGGTGGCAGCGGTGGAGTTCACTTCCCTCCCAATTCGACCACTCGTCAGAACATCCGTCTCTCGCACGGCAGCCGTGTCGCCGCTTCGTTGCGGCTGGTGTACGCTTACGAGGTGGGTCAAGCGAGCATTGCCGCCGAGAACAAGGCAGACTTACCTCGCCACATCAAGGTGGAAGGAGAAGCGGAGGCGCCCAAGACAAAGACGTTGTCTGCGAGCGGAGTGCAGAAAAATGCCGCCCAAGAGGCGCGTGTGTTTGCGCAGATGGAGCGACGCGCCAACCATGTGCGCTCCGCCGTCGGCCCTGCTGGTGCTGGTCTCTTCACCCTTGTTGGTTACACCAGCGACCCCACGCTGGCCCAACGCAAGCCGTACCTGTGCCTCTTCATTAATCAGCGACTGGTGGAGAGTACCGCGATACGCAAGGCCATCGATGGCGTGTACAGCGGCGTGCTCACCGGCGGCAATCGCCCCTTCACCGTTCTCTTTCTCACCGTCCCAACAGATCGCCTCGACGTCAACGTGCATCCCACAAAGAAGGAAGTCTTTTTGCTCGACGAAGAACTCGTCGTGGCGCGTGTGTCGGAGGTATGCCGGGGCGCCGTGCTGGAGGCTGCCGCGGCTCGGCAGATGGACATGCTGCAGATGCGCCACACGACCGTGTTGGCACTCAAGCAGCTCCCGTTGGCAGACGGCAGTGGCGGCGTGGACGGCGACGGGAGCGAGTTGTCGGGCAGCAGCAGTCAGCACATTCTGGAGAAGCTGCGCGATCAGCACCGCCGCGGAGCACCGATGGCCTCGCCGCTGACTTCTTCATCTCTTGCGACGTCCTCCCGCGCGACGGCGAGCGGCGGCCCGGCGGCGGTGGTGGTGGCGCCGTGTACGATGGTGCGTGTGGAGCCACAGAGGGGCGCGCTGGACCGCTACTTTTCGCAGCGTCTTGCTTCCACCGGAGGTGATGGCGGCGCGGCAGAGGCTGTGGTGAGTAAGGCGGCGACCACTGGTTCACCCGTTATCGCAGATCCACAAAAACAAGGAGGACGCCCAGAACCTTTCCTGTCCTGCCCGGACACGATGGACGCTACTACTGTCTCTACCGTATCCGTGGATGCGAATCCTGACAGAGGTGGTGCGGGTCAGCATGCGAGAGTCGATGTGGAAAAGGACTCCGCTCCTGCCTATGCGGCGCCGTCGTGGGATGCCGTCATGGCGTCGCTGCATCGCACCACAACGGTCTCTCCTAGCAACGCTGATGAGATCGGCAACCACAACAGAGCAGGTGTGGTGCAGTCCGCCATACTCAACACCTCAGCTGCCTCCATCGTGTTGCTCGACTCAGAACCCGGCCGAGATGTCCCGTCGATGACTGAGACATCTGCGGCGCAGAACACGGAGATGAACGTGTTAACGGAATCCCCTTTTCAGGTAAGCGCTTTTCATCCAAAACGAGAGCGTGCCGCTGACGTTGACAAGGAGGCAGACGATAAGGACACGAGTTCCTCCGACGACGCAGACAGCGATGAAGAGGATCGGATGCGGGAGTTCAAGCGTCATCGCCGAGACGTTTACGAGCGTGTGGAGGTGTTACAGCGAAACACGCCTTCTGCTGTGAAGGCGGAGAGAAAGACAACCGCATTTGCCACCGAGAAGGAGAACACGGCCCGTGAAGTTCTCTTAAGCGGTACTGATCGGCCTGCGTGCGAAACGGATGCTTCTGCGCTATCCGCTGACCGTACCGCAGCGGAAGAGCTCGAATCCATGACGCGGCTTGGTGCCGTGGTGCAGGCCGCTGATCTTCTGCGCGACGAAGCGCTGGCAGCTGCACGGAACGTGTCCACCTTCGCCCACGTCATTGCCTCCAGTGAGGAAAGCGACGCCGAAGAAGGAGAAGAAGTGGAGGGGAGGACAGCGAGGGCGGGCCGAGGCACAGAAATATCCAGCAGGAAGACGGCACTCGTCTCCGTCGCGGAAGTGGAGGCACCCGCTATCCTCTCCAGTGTGTCCATCGTGATGGAGAGCATTCTCGCCAACGCCAGCCCTAGCGCAGCCGCGTTGACTGCGCAGCTCGCCTACGTGGGTGCCGTTGACACGCGTGCCTTCCTTGCGCAGGTGGGGACAACACTTGTGTGGTGTGACACGATGCGCCTCGTGCGTCAAGTCGTCTTCCAGCGCGTCTTTCTCCGGTGGGGTCAGCCCTCGCTGCCTGCGCCGTCCATCCTCGAATTCGACACACCGCTTCCACTTTCCGATCTCTTGGCGACGGCCTTGGCGTTTGATGCGCCACACCTGCAGCCGCCGTCCGCGGCACTGCTGGCGCTGATGGAGGACTGCGATCGAGACCCCGCGCGTTGCACGGACGGTAGCAGGGAAAGCCAGCCGCTGCGTCGGACGGGCCTTACAGCAGAGGCGGTGGAGCGCATGGGCGGCATGACGGCCGGCGCATGGCGACGGCTGCTCTTTCAGGGTCCGAGCACCCCTTCAGCCACGGACGACAACAAAGCATTTCCTCCTCCGACATCAATGCCGGTCCCGATGCCGGCAACATGTCGGTACATTCGCCGACTTGTGCGGAGGCTCTGTCGCTGGCGCGGTCTGCTGAGTGAGTACTTCTTTATCCACATCACCTCGGACGGGCTCTTAGTAAGTGTTCCATATGGGCTGAATCGCCACTGGCCACCGCTGCTGCGCGCCCTCCCCCTCACCGTCTGGTTACTGGCAGAGGCTGTGCCCTACCCTGGTGGTACGCACGCAGCCGTTAACACTGCTCCTTCTCCACAGCCGGCGCCGCTGCAAGTGGCATTACTTCAAGAGGACGAGGTAACGTCAACCGAGGCTTCCGCTGGTGCGACACCCGCGCCCACGCAGACCGTCGTGGAGGCGGAGGCGGACGGGGTCGCACAGGAGGTGGCTTGCTTCACTGCCGTCGCACGACATGTGGCGGATGTGCTCTACGGTCTGCAGGCACCGCCACCACCAGCGACGATTCAGGCAGCGCCTCGTCCTTCATCGGCAGCGTCGGAGGGGCCGGAGACGGAAACTTCGGCCACCGCCAGCGCCGATGAGACCTGGCGAGAGCAGCTGGTGCAGCACGGCTTGTTTCCGTGCTTGAAGAATGCGCAGCTGTTTCGCCTGCCCGACCGGTGTCTGCGCGACGGCACGGTGCAGTCCATGGTCTCCGTGGAGTCGCTCTACAAGGTATTCGAGCGTTGCTGAGAATCCGCTGCGTCGGTGCACGGAGTTAAAGAAGACGAAGAGGGAAAGGCGAGTTGCGGAAAAAGATATCAAAACTGTCTGCCAATAAAGGCTGGTCCGATGCATCGACGCTGATCAGCAGGACAACTTGCTAGTGGAATGCTCCAGGGGAGGAGATCAACGACGAATACGAACCAATAAGCAAACTCGCAGCAGTTTACTTGTGTATGATCCACAGCACGCCGACACTCAGATACAGGATGAACATTGAGCTCCGCGTAGCACCAATCCAGGTCGAAATTCAAGAAACAACAACAGCAATTTCAGAGTCTTTTCGCTTGCTCACAAAAACAACAGCCGTGGGGCCAATTCAACTGCCCAGTATTGTTTCGCAGTCCTTTCCTCATCTTTATTCAACGTCTATGCCGTAGCATGCAGGCGTTGGTCTGATCTGTTCCGCTCTAACCAACATCTGTGCACTCCTTCGCCTCCGTTCTCCTGCTCATCTTTCCTGTGTATCATTTACCGTGAAGCAGACTGTGTTGTTGATGTTGCTATCGACTGCCGTAGTCAATAACTAGGATAATCTATACGACTTCCAGCTGCGCCGACGTTTGGCATTTTGGCAGACCATTCAGCAGATCACTACCTGCAGCTTTGCCCACCCCCCGCGTAGGCAGACAACTCTGAACGTACTGCAGCTCCTTAACCTTCCTTTCTTGCTTCCTCCCCTCGCTTCAGCACCTCAGCCTATCGTTGTTTCAAAGCTTTCCCCCAAAGAAGAAGAAAAAAACTCGTACAGCTACTCTCGAAAGCGAAGCTGGTAGAAGCGTAACCAAGCACTAAGTTCAGCGTGTGGCCTTTATACTGCGTTGGTGTACATATATATATATATATGGACTTATGTAGAGGAAGCAGCGTTGGTCCGTCGCCGCTGTGTCGTTTGCATTAGGTGGTGAACAAACACGTTGAGTGGAGTACTTATTTTTTTGCTTCTCTTCTTCCTCAGTCGGTGTTGCCCATCGTTTGCTTCTTAAAAAAAGAATTCTCGCCCCCTCTGTTTATACATCACTTCTTATTGTTGTAATTATCCCCGAAGAGCTCAAGCCTTTTCTTGTGTGTTTTTAGAAGGAAAGAAAAACTGGGTTGATTGATATCATTGCTGTGCCCTCTTTTTGTATTGTTTAGCTTCGGTGCTGCTGCGGTTGCTCACGTTGACGTCGCAGAGAACGGATTGTAGGTTGTACATATATATATATTCAGTGCACCTGGTCTTGCATGATTTGAATCATCAGGCTTTCCCTCACGCTTCAAACGGAGCCATCCCTTTCTCTTTTTTTGAAGTTTTTTTTTGGTTTCTTCTGTCATCTCTGTTGGTGATATACTTCACACACTGTCTCACGCACGCACGTAATCGATGAAGGCCACAACTTCACTGCGGCAGAAGGTAGTGAACCGGAGCGGCGCCGATAAGCCAACCGGTAACGGCCGGAGACCCGCAGCGGACACGGCAGCCAACAACGGCAGAAGTGACGGAGCGAATCGCTCTGCCTCGGCTGGTCGTACTGGAGGTACTCCGTCTCTGTCGCGTCGCCGAGGCCTGTCCGCTGGCAGCAGCAGCGACTCCCGCACAACTGGGAAGACGCAACAGAAGTCTCCCAACTCGCACAGTCCGCACGGCACAACCGCGACAAAATCTGTAACACCACGAAGCGGTGTGTCGACGTCTTCACCGCCGCCGAAGCTGCTTCTGACAATTCCGCGGCTGCGCCCCGGTGCACCACGGCCGGCGCTCGCGGATCATAGTGACTCCTCGCGACCACGTGACTCTCCGACACCGGCGCTTGTCGGTGCTGCTGCCACCGGCACGTTCCCGAAAAGCAGAGTATCTGCAGGAGCAGGAACAGGCTTGCAACGCCATTCCATCCCTGCCGATCCACGGCAGGTTATGCAACGCCAGCCTGGTTCACTCTCTACCTCCTTCAAGGCGTGCAGCACTGTCGGTGCCACGTCGCCATCTGGCACCACCGGCCCCATTCTGAATTTGAAGGATGAGGCGAATACAAAGGCAACATTGCAAGTTACCCCTGCAACTGCGTCTACAAGAAACGTTGTCAGCGGCTCTCTCGCAAAGCCGATGCTTTCCACCTCACATGTAATAGTAGAAAAGGATGGCGTTGCGAGAACAGAAGCGGCGGCGAACACCACCGCCTCTTCGGCCCCAACGCCTGTGCCGCAGAAAGACGCGGACGACATCGACATGCTGGACATGGGACTTGCTCTTCGCCTCGGTGACCTACCCTCGGTGCCGGCCGCTGCGGATCCGGCCACTTTCCAAGTAGAGCAGGCACCGCCGTACGTGGCTGGCACCCCACCTTTCCGTGGTATGCGTCGCCGAAGCAGCGTCTGGTCGTCGGAGAAGACAACTCGGTCGCAGGTGATCAGCGGCTCGGGGGCGACGCTCCCGCCTGCCGCCACCTCACGCCGTCAGACGCTGGACAGCGACGACGGGGTGGTGTTGCGCAGCGCAGAGGCGGTGGGGGCTGCCGATGCCACGTCGAGCGCATTTGCTGCTAATGCTGTTGCTGCCGTTAGCCCAACAAAAACGCCTTCCACGGCGAGCAACTCTCCCGTGAAGCTCGTCTCTGCGCATCTGGTGTCGTCGTCGACGTCGACGGCCAAAGTTGGCTCTGCGCCGACAAATCGACGACGGAGGAGGTCGACCGAGAACACCGGAGCGCTGCGGCAGACGGGCAAGTCACCCAATGCAAAGACGAACGTCGGTAAAGCGAGCGCGGCCCCTACTCTGCAGAAGACCCACGACATGGACCAACAGGTGTCGGCATCTTCAGAAAAGAACCTTCAGCGAAAATCTTCAGACAGCGGTGCGGCAAGTGGATTGCCGTCGTCATCACACTCCCCCGCGAAGACAGAAGCGGCGGGTACTGCTTTGGCCGCTGGAGGTCCTGCTTCATCTTCTAGGACACCCCAGAAGTCCGCGCCTCCTCGTCCCGCTTCCAAAACTAGCGAAGGCCACCTCAACCACAAACAACGGAGTGGGACGCCATCCAACGCAAATGTCAATACACCGACGACCACCGCGAGCTACCCAAGCACGCCGAGGACACAAAATGCACCCCAGACTACGCTACGCAACCCACGCGCGGCTGCGATGCTGAGTCAGATGCTGTCGGTTGTGCGTCCCATGGCGCCTGTCGTGCACGTTCGTATCCGACCGGTGCTGCCGAGCTTCGGTGAGACAACTCGTCAGCGCCACGTGTACCTGCTCGACCACGAAAACGTCATGATTACTGGAACGCGTTTCGGCTTTGGTGGCAAAAGTGCAGCGACCTCTGCTGCTGCGGGGAACAGCTTACTGTTTCCTACCACCGACTACGTAGCTGCGAAGCACATTGGCGCTGACACTCGTGGTGGGAGCAGTGGGGGAACTGGCCGCTCGCATGAGGGGTTCTTGAGCACAGGCTCCTCCGTTGTGATGGCCAACAGCGCGAATGGTGGATGGCAGGACCGCAAAGGAGCTCTCTCTCCCCGCCGTGGCATTGCCGCGGTTGCATCGGGGTCCGCCGGTGAAGACGGCGCTGGCAGCCTCATCTCGCCGATCGCCGCACCACTCTGCGACGGGATCCCTGCTCTCTTGATGAGCCCGTCAGAGAATCCGCCTCCACTGCACGACATCGCCCACCCCGCGGCGCTCGCGGAGACGAAGCGACGCCAATCACGCAGCTCGTCGAACGCTACGCTTGGGTCGGCGCGGCTGCAGTCGCTGCTTATACCCGGCGCGATCCCCTCGGTGGGCGCCTCGCACCACCCGCGGACAACCAGTTGGCTCAGCCAAGGCAGCGAGGACGTCGCCGTCGGCAGCCGTCTCTCCTACGGCTCGCACTCCACCTCCCCACCCCAGTCCGGACTGCCACCGGGTGGTGGCTCGGCGTCGTTGATGAGCGCCGTGAGTACACCCCGCGCCCGGCCACGCTTGGCGGCCTTCACCGCCCTCCCAGAGGATACAACGCTCTCTCCCGCAACGACTCCGCGAGGGCTTACCGCGGGCAATCCCGCCGCGGGCGCCGTGGAGGAAAATAGAGGCCGTGGAGGGCGGCGCACGAGCGCGCTCATGCAGCTCAGCGTGTCGCTCTCTGCGATGACCGCCCCGGGCTCGCGTGCGACGACGCGCAAGAACTCCATGGTGAGCGGCAGCAGCCTCGCCGGCCCGCAGAAGAGCGGGAGGGCGGCGGCCAACGGCGAACGACGACTCACGGCCCGCTCCGCCCTCGGTGCCTCCGTCAGCGTGTCGGCGGTGTCGACGCTCACGTTGACCAAGTTGGAGCTGAAGTCGCCCGCTGCGGTGGAGGAGCGGCGCCGTTCACGATCACCGCCGCAGCGTGATTTGCTGACGGGTAACAGCACCTTTGCGGATGCGCCTCCTGACGTGGCTGCGGCAACCAACACGAACACCCCTCGCACCAACGGCACGGAGCAGCACTACCGTTTTGAGTTCGTACACGACGAGGAGGCGACGCAGGCGGACGTCTTTGAGGAGAGTGTGCTGCGTTTCGCGGACGAGGCGCTGCTGGCGCAGAACGTGGCGATTATCTGTTACGGTCCGACGGGCAGCGGGAAGACGTATAGCATGATGGGCAGCCAGGCACAAGCGTCCTCGACGGGAGCCGCAACAGCGGGCGGAGGCGGAGTGGCATCAAAGTCTTCCAGCAAGTCATTCAACGCACATGGCAATGCGGCGAAATCCGGCAATAAAATGGTGAACGGCCACCATACACCTTTGAAGACCGCCAGCAGTGACAACGCTCGATCAACGAGTGTGGCGGAAGGAAAGCGCCGCCTTGCAGATGACTCCATCGCTTCCGGAGGGGCACGTGCTGACAGCACCAGTCGCCGCGACCCCAGTGTCGGCCTGGTGATGGACGACGAGGACGACGAGGAGGGCAACACGTGGCCGCAGCTCGGGTCCAGCTGGCAGTGCGGCTACACCGATCGTTTCACCAAGAGCGCCGCGACGGCCAAGGAGAGTCTTGCGGATGCCGAGGGAGACGGCGGCGACGGGTGGCACCGCCACAGCCACGCAGCTGTTCGGACGGCGGGGAATATGATGACCTCCGCGAGCATGATGGAGATGGGTATCCTGCCGCGTCTGGTGCACACCCTGCTGGAGCGCCGCGGCGAGGCCATCACCATCCGACGAGAGTCGGGCGGCGGCCGAGACAACGGCGGCGGTGGTGGTGGTGGCGCATCGGCGACTGCGGGGTCGACGTCCAACAGTCCGCAGCCCACGCCGCGGCCGGCAAGTGCGTCGAAGGCGACGAGTCTCTCGCTGACACTGCGCGACCTCACCTTCTACGGCATCGAGCTCTACATGGATCACCTCTGTGACTTGCTGGACCCGGGAAAGCGCCCTATCCAGACCGTGAGCGACACCGGCGGGTTGGAGGCGCTGTGTCAGCGCATCAACGAGGCACGCGACTACCGCATCAACGGCATCCGCGGTGGCGCAAGTCAGGTCTGTGTCACGTCTCCTCGCGCAGGCGGCGGGATGCCAATCACCTCCCTCGCGGACCTGCGTCGCGCCTACCGACTGGCGCATGACAACCGTGTAACGTCCCGGCACGCACAGAACGACACGAGCTCCCGCTCTCACGCGATCTTTCTTCTTCAGCTCGACTTTGATCTGGTGGAAAGCCGTGTGGAGGCGGCGCAGAAGCAGCAGCAGCGGCGTCACGACGCTACGGCGGGGACGGCGACGGAGGACACGGCGGAGACCCCCGCGGAGACGGTGCAGCGCGTGCACTCGTACGTAGCCATGGTGGACCTCGCGGGGTGTGAGCGAGTTAAGCAGACGAAGGTGGAAGGCGTTGCTCTGCGTGAGGCGCAGTACATCAACAAATCCCTCTCCGCCCTGTCCTCCGTTGTGCTGTCGCTGCATCGCAACAACGCCCACGTGCCGTACCGCGACTCGAAGTTGACGCGGCTGCTGCGGCCGTGTCTGGAGGGCGGTCGTGTGCTAACGCTCGTGCACGTTGCTCCGTGCTCGAGCACCGAGACGGTTAACACGCTCAAGTTCGCGGATCAGATTCGCCACACCCACATTCCCACCCACGCCCTCACACCGACGTCGTCGAAGCATCGGGAGCTGCTGGACGTGTTTGCTGATCTCATCGACCCCATGCAGGGCTTGTGGGAGGCGCAGGTGCGACACGCACAGTCGCAGCTCAGCCGTCTCTGCGCTGATACTCGCCTGGCGTACTTCTCACGTGCGATGGGCGCCGTGTCCCGACACGGTCCGACAGACCACGGGCTTTCCTCGCGATCTGTGCCGAGCGACACCGTCAGCGAAGTGTCGGCTCTCACCGATGTCGACGACTCCACCTCGCTCTCCCCGGGCGACGTGAGCCTGGAAGAGGGCCCACCGCCGCTGACATGCGATGCCACGGAGAAGGAGCGGCGCGGCTTTGCCTTGCATTCGCTGCTGCACCGGCTCATGGGCCCCATTCATCAGCACCAGCGCACCTCGATGCGGGACGCCATTCGAGATATCCGGCGTCGCAAGGAGCACAAGATCGCCTCCTATGAATTGCAGCTGCAGCAACGCATAGAGAAACTTCAGTCCACAGTGGAGAAGCTGACGGCGACGAACGCGAGGCTGGCCAGCGAAAACAGCACCCCGCTCCCGCGAGACCCCTACGCGTTGGAGCTGAACCGACAGCTTCGCGACACATCCGAGCAGATTAACGAGGCAACGAAGGAGCAGGCAGCCCTGTCCACCTTGTCAGCAGCGCTGCGGCAGCGCCTCGTGAACCAGGACATGCTGGAGACCACGGTGGATGAGCAGCTGCGCAAGGTGCAGCATCGCACCGCCCAGGCGCTGCAGACGCTCTCCGCCGCCGCTGCTGCGCACCCGCCGGGTGTGATGCCCTCGCCACCCGCCGTGATACTCTCCAACCTGTCGTCGCCACGAGAGCCCACGCTGCCCACCGGCTCTCTCGTCCCGGCGGTCATGGCGATGGAGACGGACGACGACCCGGAGCTGCGCGACATCGCCCACCAACAAATTTCGCTCGCGAAGGAGCTGGCGGCGCTACGGTTAGAGGCTGCGTGCTTTGAGATCGGCACGGGTGTGTGGGAGGGCTTGTGGACGCGTGCGATGCGGAAGGAGATTGTGACGGCCTTGGAGGTGGAGGTGTTCGCGATGGAGCGCATTCTGCTCGACCGCCGCGCGCTGTCCTTGATGCTGATGGATGACAAGGACGGCGATGAGGAGGACGGCGACGAAGCAGGGACGGCAGGTCGCTTCGCGGAGGCCTTTTTGACCCTACCCAGGGCAGCCGCGAGCGGAAAGGAACGACAAGGTCGCGGTCATGCAGCCGTTACTGGACAGTCGTCGCTCGTACCGACCAGTATGGCCCGTCTGCCAAACAAAACAACGCCGCCCGGTAACCGTGCTGCGTCCATGCGGTCTGCGTTGTGGGTCCGCCTGGGCACCTATCTACACGGTAGAGGACACCAGGACAACGCGGTCGAGACACCATCACACGAACAAATGGCAGCAGCGGCTATCGCAGGAAAGACGACGACTGCTGCTGCTGCTGCTGCCCGAGACACAGACGGTCAAACCGGTAGCCCTCGGACACCCCCTCCACCACCGCCGTTGTTGTCATCGTCGTCATCGTCGCCGTGGCGTCGCGATCGGACACATGCAACAGTGAAGTCCAACTCCGAGGCGTCAGAGCCACGGAGCAGTGAGGGGCAGCGCACACGCGGCGGCGGCGCGTTGTTCTCGCGGACCGGATCGCCTTTATCGCGAGCCCCGCAGAGACTCCCCGAAGAGGTCGTTGTGAATCCGCTGACCATCTTGGCGATGGCGCACGACGAGGCCATGCGACAGCGACCACAGTCACCACCACCGCCGCTGCAGGAGCAGGACCCGCAGACCGCCTTCACACCGCCCCCCTCTCCACGACGGTCAGAGGCAGCGCCGTCCACCGCAATCGTAGCAGCTGCCTTGCTGCCGCTCACCATCTCCGGCACCTACGGTGATGAGCAGGCTATGCAGGAGGCGTGCCTACAGTTGCTGCTGCGGGATGGCATTCCGTGCGAGGCCTGCTGCATGGGCAACTCCGCGAACCACGTCTTGCGTCACTATGTGCTGCCTGACACGGCCGACGCCCCGCTTGCGGAGGAGCTCGACACCACAGAAAAGATCGCCGCCACAGCCGCGGTGCACTACATGGTAAAGACGCCGCCGCCCACGCCGCACAATGAAGGGGCAGCTTCGGCGAAGCGCGGGAACAAGGGTAACGCGTCCGATACACCCCTCGCAACGCCGTCCCCCTCTCCCGCTGCCCACAATTCGCACGCACGTCCTGGTGCGGTGAAGAGTGCGAGCTGCACGACACGGTTTGGACGTCTGCGTCTGGTGCGCATTCCACGCCGGGCGAACAGCTACGTCTTGGAGTTCGTGTACACCCACCAAGGGCTGCCCATGCCGCCACGGATGCAGGCGGCGCTGACGGGGAGACCGGAGGAGTCCCTCACGTCGACACCGCGGAAGACAAACTTGGAACAAATGGTCGACGCGTTGCCGTCCGTGCATGGCGTCGCCGGCCGCGGTGGGACGCGGACGCAGGGGCCGCTGAAGGAGCACCGCCTCTTTGCGATTCCCCTCCACGAGCCGTCCTTGCATCTGCACCTGCACGTGCTGGAGGAGGGGATTCCAGACATGGCGACGCCTGTCGCCGCCACCTCGGATGCACCGGCAGACGCGACTGACACGATGCTGACGGATAGCTCACGGGCGGGTTTGCCAGCAGCTTCCTCTCACCTCTGCGTCGCTCGTCGCTTTGAGGCAGGGTCGCAGATCGTGCTCGAGGTGCAGGGACTGCCCTACACCACGTCCACCCGTCGCCCACTCGTCGTTGCTGCGGCGGCAACGGAGACGAAGACGAAGTCGCAGTCCAGCAGCAAAAAGCAGCAGAAAGCAGCTGATGCGGCGAGAAAATCAAGCAAACAGACCGCTGCGGCAGGCAATGACAACGAGGGGAGGAACTACTCGCAGCTGTACACGGGCACCAGCAGGGGCGCGTCGAAGGCGTCGACAGCAGCCCATGCGAGTGCGGAACCGTTGCCCTTACCAGCACCGCCCACAGCTGGATGGAGTGACCTGGTGCTGGCGAAGCGCTTGAGCGGCGGTGGTGAGCTTATGCTGCCCTCCTCCTGCATTCTGGCCAACAAAGGCTGCTGCTCGCTGGTGTTGCGCTTTCCCCATCCCTTCTTCACCTCGATGACGCGCACGGAGGGCATTGAGGCGATCGTGGGTGCGCTGTGCGGCATCTTGCGGCCGGCCCTGACGGTGCCGGAGGTGCGACTGTCCGCGCCGTCTACGCGGTCGCCGTCCAAGAAGAGTGCCGCAGCGCGCCGTCGCAGCTCCACCTCGCCCGGCGTGACGTCTGTGGGGGCCGACAGGGACCGCACCCGCAGTAGCAGCAACAGCGGTAGGGGCCACACGCGTCGTCGCAGCAGCGTGTCGCACTCGCCGCTACAAGACGACGGCAACAGGGCGGTGGAGCTGGAGGTGATGACGTACGCGCACGTGCCCTACACGATGTTTGCCGCGGAGACACCGACGGCGGGACGGGGTGAAGGAATCGCAGCCAGTTCCGCTGTGAGAGTAGAAAGAAGTGCGTCATCGTCGGCCGTTGCGGGGCGGGCTGCACAGGCGCCGTCGTCGTCGCACTCTGCCTCGATGGCGCGCAGCGACTCCCTCGACGGACTTATGGGGCCAGGCGGTGGGATGCTCGGGCACACGCTCCAAAGCAGCTGCAGCGCAGCCCACGAGAAACGCGCGACGGCCGCCGCCACCGCCGCCGGGGCTATGCCGGCGACGCCGGTGCGGACACCGCGAGGGAGCACCGCAACGGTGACGGCGGAACCCGCGGCGGAGCCGCAGAACGGGGCGACGCTGCAGGTCCAATTCCACTGGATCTCCACGCCGCCCGACGTCGAGCCGCCCCCACGTGGTGGCACCAACATGAAAAGCAGCGGCACACCGCACACCAGTTTTGGCGAGCCGGACCGGTCGGAGGAGGCACAGAAGGAGCTCCCTCGTGCCCCGCACCGAGACAACGGTGTGCACGGCTTTGGCCACTCTCCACGGCGCAGGGCGGACGAAGGCGTCCGGCAGCAGTTGCGATCGGCTCTGGGTGTTCTGGCGCACCTTTCATACGTTTTCGTCGAGGGCCGTCCTTCCTCGTCTGCGTTCACCACAGCGGAGTCGTCGCTGGCAGACTTCCAGCCGCGCGAGCATCACGGGCATACTCGTGGGGGGACAACTGGTGGGCTGGCGCAGCATCTGACCCCGAGCGGCGGCACCCACGCAAGTCGGTACAAAGACGCCGTCGCCGTCGCCGCCCTGCTACGCCAGCTGGACACCTACCGTCAGCGTATTCGCCGTCTGTTCCGTCAGCAGCTGTATGACGCCGAGGATGTCTTGGGCGACGAGGTTCAGCTTGGCGGACCCGAGCGCGGGGCTCACGTGCGGATGGTGCAGGCAGAGGTGAAGCGGGCTATTGGGCTGCCCAGCGGCATGCTTGGGCACACAATGACAGACGACGGGGCATCCTTCTCCGTAGACGGGTCACCCGCTCGCCTGGGTGTTACCGACAACGGTCGCCGAGGCGCGAACACCAGCGGTGGTGGTGCTCGTGGGACGCACGCCCTGCTCTCGTTAGCAAGCGGCGAGAGCGGCCCCGACACGCAGGTGACAATTCCGGAGGCGCGTGAGGCTTGCGGGGCGACGGTGCCGTGGAGCATTTGGCAGTGGGCATACCGCTGGTCCCGCCTGCGTCATCTCCTCCTGCACCCGCTCCAACACGCACCGAATCATGCTCCTGTGGTGACACCGAGTGGCGGTGGGTCAATCGCAAAGGTGGACGCCCCTGCGGCGTGGTTGCCGGTGGACGAGTGGGTGTCGGAGACGTCCGTCGCGGCGCACGCGGGACACGTTCTGGCCGCGCCAGCTTCACTCCCCGAGGCGACCTCTGCCCGTTACGCGTCATCGTCCTCCAGTTCCAGTGAGGGCTACGCGATGGAGGGGGATTGGTTGAGTGAGGCGAGGCTTGCAGCGCGACCGAAGCGGGTGTGGCTGCCGGATGTGTTGTCCAGCACCATCCCGTCTTACCTGGAGAGTTGCGCCGCGGACTACGCTACGTGAATTGTACTGCGCTTTTTTCTTCTTCTCCTGTCTTCAACGTGCTTTGCATACTATAAGAACGAAGCGCTCATCCTTTGGATAGCTGCCGATAAAAAACTCTCTTTGTTTTTATGTTGCTTCGCTGGAGTGGATTTACCCATCAGCAGCAGGGAAGTGAAACGAAGTTGTGCACCTCAACTGTAACCCGCTTTACCCCCAATACATCTAGATAGCTGTCTCAGCGGCAGCACGCAGATACAACACCGATGATAACAACAATGAAGCAAAGAGCGAGAACAGTGCGCCTCGCGGGTGCAAAACACCTCCGTGAAGCGCCGGGTAAACCAAACTCCAACCTCGTTCAAAAGAGTCCCGCACAAGGAACAACCAGGAGGTTTTTTCTCTAAAGCTGGCTGGTAGTGAAGCCCCTTACGTCACCTTCTTTTTAGTTGTTGTTACCACAATGTGTGAACATGTGAGCTCTACAATAATGTGTGTTTCCTGTCTCTTTTCCCGACACCTCGTCTCCGCATCCTTCCTTCTCTTATTCTCCCCGATTTTGAAACGGTATTTACATGCGGCTTCGCATTCCGGTTACATTGGTGCCGTTCACGCGTTGGCGCACCGTTGAAATAGGAGACAAAAAGCTCGCCCCTCTACACAACACTCCTCTACCCATCAAAGTTACTTCTCACTCTTTTCCACGCGTTGTCCCTCCCTCCGCCCGACCAAGGCATACGCATTCATCACGTCGCTTCCCCATCACTTCTCGCATATATATATATTTCGTTTTGTCATTGCCGTCGCCTACCTACACAGCCCGAACCATGTCCATTCCGTTGACGGTGGAGGACTTCATCGGCACCGAGCTCATCTACACCTACGACAACGGGTGGGAGTATGAGCTGTACGTGAAGAACAGGGACACCATCGACTATCGCATTTTCTCCGGCATGGTCGGGGGACGTTGGGTGAAGGATCAGAAGGTGTTCCTCGACATGCTTCTCCCCGGCGTGTTCAAGCTGTCGTGGTCGGAGCCGACGGGCACAGATGTGAGTCTGTGCTTTATGCTGGCGGAGAAGCGCACCCACGGCACCATTTTCTTTCCCAAGTGGGTGCATGATTTTCCCGCGATCACGGTCTGCTACCAGAACGACTACATTCCGTTGATGGAGGAGTCGCGTTTAAAGTACGACACCTACCCGAAGTTCGACGTCTCGGAGTTCTCGACGATTACCTTCATGAAGAACTGTGGCGCGAATAACGAGAAGGTCGTCGCGCAGGCGCCGTACGATGGCATGGCTGACGATATTCGCAGCGGTAAACTCACCTTTAACTAGGAGTTTTTATTATTATTATTTATTTCCATTCTTTATTTCACTGGTTGTCACGCTGGCTGTTAGAGAACAAAGGTGCGCGCCCTTCACACCAGTGAGTAGGCGCAGCCCTTTTCTCTTTTCTCGCCTTGCCAGCAAACTTGTTTATTTGAAAATTTTATCGTATATGTGATCTTTGTTTTTTCATTCTTCATTGCTTCCTTTGGCCAAAAGGGAGAAGAAAAGGACGATATTAACATGAACGCTTCCCAACACACTCACATACACACACAAATAGAGACATTTACGTTGCATATGCCCATCGATTAAATCGGACCTCCCAATGCAGTCTTCTGCTGTTTCTTCTTCCACTCCCTTTTTGTTTTTGCAGTTTGCTGTGTTTCGAACCTTTCGGTGTTTGCTGCTCGTACGACAGCGCATTCCTCAATGTTCCTCGCTTCTTCTCTAGATTGTTTTATCTTGTTCTCGTTTCCTTTTCCATTTTGGCGTGTTCAAGGACGCTCTTCTCAAAAATAAAACCCCTTTGTCCTAAAAAGAAACATAGATGCTGCTTTCTAAACATCTTGTGCTCGCGGGAGATCCACCGTGGAGGTGGCGCTTTCTCAGATAGAATGAGGAAAAGACCAATGAAGGTCTATTGAACCCAATCTGACGGACTGCTGCCGATACCGCATGTCAGACTCCACGGCGTTCACTCGCTCTGGACCTTTTCTTCTTCTTCTGCTCAAAGGTTATTCGACAAGTTGTGCCTCTTCTCCCTTCAACTCTGTTCGCTCTTTTGCTCTCCCTCCTTCTTCTTATGAAGGGCCGCATCGTCCATCTTCACGGAGCGAAGGACGTGCGCTGTGTGTGTGTATGTGTGTGTGTTGCGGCATCAACTTCCCATAAGAAGGACACGTTTCCATTGCGCTGTGTTGAAGAGGTGCATAGAGCTCTGCTGGACTTCTGCTTTGCAAATCGTACGGCAACGCCATGAGCAGCTCGTCAGAGGAGGAGGGGAGACCTGCAGCTGGCGTGCGCAAGTTCAAGCTCGACAACAGCGAGAGCAGCAGCAGCAGCAGCGTTGACGGCGATGTCGACCGTGCCAACGGTGCAACGGCGAAGCGCCATGCCTCCGCTTCGACGGCCAACGCTGGTGGCGGTGCCGCCACGACTCGACATCGCGCCGGCTCTCTCAGCTCACTCGATCTGTCCACGTCTTCGTCCAACTCGTCTTCTTCGTCTTTTGGTGTTCTTGCCCTCCCTGCTGCGTTTCGCAGCGCGGCCGCCGTGTCCGCCGCAGTACAGAAACAGCTGCGTCACGGCAGCCGTAGCAGCAGCAGTGCGGCTGAGGACGTCGATAAACCTCCGCAGCTGACGCGAAGCGTAGGGGGAGAGGAAACAGCAGCAGCAACACTTGCTGTCACCGCATCTGAGGTGGCGTCGGATGGTGCATCGCGGCTGAGGCAAATAAAGGAAGAAGAGATCCCTGACAAAACAGCTGGAACTGCCATCACGAGCACTCTCAATAGCGGCTCGGCTGCTGCCGCTGCGCTACCCGCCGCGCCCGCTGTGGAGTCCGACACGACGAAAAGCTCCCCTGCCTCCGCCTCCAGTCCCAGCTTTCGCGCCGGTGCGGACTTCTTCTTCAAGCGGCACGGGACGCCTCCTCGACGCACGAGCACGCCTGGCACACAGGAGAGCTCGGCGCCGGCTGCCGTGGCTCAATTTGCGGTACCGGCAGGCAGCGACGGCGGGGACAGCAGCACCGCTGCGAGCGGGAAGGACAGCGTAGCTGCCACAACGCATCCTCGACCGACAAGGACCTCCCACAGCATCGCTGCCGTGCCTGCACCGGTGTCGAGTGGTGCGGAGAGACGCGAGCCGCCCGTGACTTCGCCTTTGACTGCTATCCAAGCTGCTCGTGATCGCCCGACACCGGCAAGTGGGCCTTCAGCCGTGCGTAAATTCCCAGTGATGGGTGACCGCCCATCGCACGCGACGGCGGCGTCCATCGGCACCTCTTCACGCACTTCCACAACGGCAGCAGCGCCACCGCTGTCATCGCCTCCTCCGCTGAAGGCACCTCCAGTGACGGCCGCCGCCGCCGCCGTGTCAAAGAGGGCAGCTGTGGCGGTGCCACCTGCGCTGCAGATAAGAAAAGTAGCGACTGATCTGGACAGCGGTGCGGAGGAATCGACAGGTGGGCATGCACCGCGAGCTACGTTGGCTGCCGGGCCGACCAAGGACACGGAGGCGCTACCGGCAGCAGCAAAGTCGTCTGCACGTGCATCGACGTCAGAGGCAAGTGTCTTTGGCGCAGCCCTTGCTACACGACCGGAAACCTCACAGGAGGAAACTGCAAATCAAAGTGCCATCCCCAACAACAACCCAGGCAGCCCCTCGCTTTCCGGTCCTTCCGGCAACCTCGCCTACAACCGCGTCAGCGCCCGCGGCATCGGTTCAGTCCCTGCGAGCGTCATCGCGGCTCCTTCGCGGCCACGGCGACGCGCGCTTCCCACCGAGCACACGATGTCCGGCGAAGCAGCGGCGGAGGGATCGGGGCCCATCCCATCAACGCACCGATCGACTCCTTCCACGAACGAGCCGCCAACGGAAAGTGGAGCACCGGCCGAGAAGGAGAAGGCGAACACAGACGAAGTTACACTGTCTCCACCGTTGGTGTCTACCGCGGTTACGGGGCAGACTGCCGCTCCGCCACATCGCCCGCAGCGCCGGGCTCCACGCATGCCACATACGCCCAGTTTACCCCCTCCAACACTTTTAGAAGATGAAGACGGAGACGCAGAGGCCGCGAAGACAACGAATCCCGCTCCCACCAACGCTGCATCTACACGAGCAGCAACGCAGGTAAAAGGGACCGCAGAGGAGGTCCAACAAGCACCGGCGCGCTTCTCTTCTTCCTCATCACCACCGACTCAGGACGCTTCTTACCCCCTCTCGCCACCCTCCTCATCGCCACCCACCGCCTATCGCGCAAGCTCGGCGGCAACCGCAGCTCTTCAGCGGCAACTTGAGGCCGCACTCGTCATCTACGACGATCGTGTGCCGCCGGAGTGGCGCACCGGACGTCACGCACAGCCGTTCGCCGGTGCCGGTGCGGCTGCGCTCTCGCGAGAGCCGGTGGCGACGTGGATGGTGCTGAGAGAGCCGGTCCGTGACGTGCGGGCTCGCGGCACCGCCTCGCACACTCCTTGTCATGTGCCACCGGACAGCAAGGCAAGTGCTCGTGCGAATACGTTCGGCTGCCGCCCCGTGTTGCACATCGCCAATAGACGACGTGCCAGTTTTTCATTGCTTCGCACACACGAGCACAGGTCACACCGAGGTGAATTGGGAAAGGACGACGCGGCAGAGATGCTGGAGCGTGCCGCAACCGGTAGCAGTGGTGCACGCACGCCTCGCAGCAGTACTCACGGTGATCGGCTGACATCATCACGGACACCAAGCCCTCGTGCCACACAGCGCGTCTCGAGCACAAGTGGCAGGTCACACGTCAGCGATGCGGTGGTGCAGCAGCTACTCCAGCAATACGGACCTCATGCCCCGCAGAGAGGGAACAGCAAGACAGACGCAACAGCTGACGACTCTCTTGACGATGTGCCGGATGCGATGGCCGCGGGAAGAGTCAGTCTGATGCCAGCTCGTGACTTGAACACTGCTAAGATGCGTGACGCGACTGCAAAGCGCCCGTCGAGCCCCTCGAAGCGACGAAAAACTGGTGAGGTGGGCGACGTAGATATTCTGAACTACCGCAGCACGCGCAGCCATTGATCATGAACCGTGCGACCCACTGCTTTCGTCTGCCTTCCCAGGACCTGCTTTTCCTAAGTAGAAGAATTTCGTTGGTGTTCTGCGGCAAGTGTCTTCTTTTGTTTGTTTTGTTTTGCTACAAAGTCTCATTTTCCTCTGGAAATACACGCAGAACTCACCTTTGATGTTTCTCTCCCTTTTACACACTGCACTTAGAATCCCATCACAAACTTACTCAACCAAAAAGGGCGTAGTGAGCGAGGAGGTAAATGATTTCCCTTCTGTACTTTCCGGCCGCTTTTTGCGTCTCTCTCTCTCTCTGTGTGTGTGTGTGTGTGTGTCCGTAGAGCACGGCCGCTCCGCACTCCATCAAAGGCTGAGGGGAAGCTGCCGTTTTTTGTTTCTAGATCACTTTCAGGGTTGGACTGCGCTGTTCTCTGCGTCCCAGCCAGCAGCCCACGTACCCCCCCCCTCTGTGGACTCACTCCGCAGCAAAAGACGCTCGCTTCCACAAACGGAGCGTTGCTTTTGCCGAAAGCCTATCCGGAGGCGCACTCCCTTTTCTTTGCGTTTAAGAATAGCTCGTATTCTCGTCTCTTCTTACTTCCCCAACACCGTCGTCTATGTTCCCATTCGGCGGGGGTTCACTACGGCCAGCTCCTGATCGTTTTCCCCCCACACAACACACATATCGAATTTAATTCCTTTTGTCAAGGGAGAATCTCCAAAAAACAAAAAAAACTATCTTTTGTGTACAGTTCTCCTGAATGAGGCGAGTTTGTGCGGGGACGGCGCGTGTGAGCGGCGGGGCATCCCCAGCTGGCACCTTAGGCAGAGCGTCGCTGTCGTGCGGAGGTACCCTCACAGCTCCGGCGTACCTCTCCTCATCACCGTTTTTCATTCGTACGCCTCACCGATGCGCTTCCTCTGTGGCTGGTGGTGGCGGTGGACGAGACGATGTGAGTTTCTTTCAGAAGTTGAAGAATCTCTACCGCGAATTTCAGCTATCGCAGGACCGCAAGCTGGACGCCGTGGCCGCGGAGGAGGCGCAGGAAGGTCTAAACAGCTTCTTCGAAGATGAGCACCGCGATGATCCGCGGCATCCATCGTCGTCGAGTAGCAGAGGCTCTTCTGACGACGGCAGCACCCATCCGCGTGACTCTCCGCTCATCTCGTGCAACCCCAATTTGTGCCCCCGCAGCGTGTTGTTTGTGCCTGGTTCAAAGCCGCGTGCGATGGAGAAGATTCCCAGTCTGAGCGCCGATTGCTTTATACTAGACCTGGAGGACAGCGTCGGCGTGGGCTCGAAGCGCCAGGCGCGGGAGAACATTCGAAGCTTCGTGGAAGGCTTGCAGAAGACGCGCCGCATGCACCGCGATGCGCAGGTGTCCGGTATGGTGAACGCCTTCCTGCAAAAGCACACCAAGAAAGTCGAGGGCTCTGCAAATGCAGACGAAGCCGGCGCCTCTTCGAGGGCTGCTAGTGGGAGGGTGCACCACAAGGTTGAACTCTTTCCTCGGCTTATTATACGCATCAACTCCCCTGACTTCGACCCCACCACGGCGATGTTGGACCTGGAGTTGGTGGGGCTTCTCGGCCCCGCCATTGAGGGCGTTGCAATCCCAAAGACGACCCCACGCAGCTACGCGCTCGTTAAGAATTACGTCCATCCGTCGCATCAACTGTGGGCCTTCTTCGAGGCGCCGAAGTCCGTCATCCAGGCTCCGATCATCTGCAAGCAGCAGGTGTATCAGTACGCGGTGATGGGCTACAATGACTTGAGCTTGGAGATGCAGCTGCCCATGGCCTCCGCCCCACATCTTAGCGACAACGGATTGAGCGAGGCGGTGCGGGAGTCGTTGCACATCGCCGCGCAGCTGCCGCTATGGCAGTGCACCGCGCAGGTGCTACAGGCGGCGCGCGCCTATAACATGTTCGTGCTCGATGCTGTGTTCAACGACCCGACCGACACCGCTGGCTTTCGTCGCAGTCTGCTAGAGTGCAAAGCGCTCGGCTTGAACGGCAAGACGCTGATCCACCCCAGCCAGATTGAGCCAACAAACGCCATCTACACCCCGAGCGAGGCTGAGGTGACGTGGGCGACGCGCATTATTGAGGCGGTGCGGAAGGCCAGGGGCGGGGTGGCCACCGTTGATGGTAAGATGGTCGAGGAGCTGCACAAGCGGCAGGCGGATCGGCTACTCGCGTTGCACCACAGCATCGAGGCAGAGAAGCAGCAACGGGCACGCGAGGCAGCAGAGAAGGCGAGGGCGGGTGAGACGCCGGGGGCAGGTGAGAAGGACGATGCGGAGGACGCACGTGAGCCACGGCAAACACCGTCCCGGCATCGACCGCTGCGTTAGGACTACGTGCGTTCAGAGGAAAAGTCCGTATTCAAATTACAGTGTTATCGTTACCGGTCGTGGACATCAAAAATGCTGTTTAAGTACTCTCCTAGCAGTTCAATACGTACAGTTTTGTTTTCATTTCCTTCACTTCGCGTATTCCTCTTTATTATTTCTTTTTATGTAGTTTATGCTGCTTCCTTCACAGTGAACGGTGGCGCACAAGCAGGCGGGAAAACTAAAAGCAGCGGATTCTCCTCACGTGTATCGTGTCGAACAACGGGCGGCGGTGAAGCTTTAAGTAGCTCTCTCTCTTGTTGTTGTTTTAGACTTGAGGAGGTGCGAGAAGTCCCTGTGCTGTTGTCTTGATGGGTGCGGGCGCAGGTGACACACTGGCGTCTGTCCAGCAAAACACACACGCACACAAGCAGCGACACGTAGCGAAAGATCTCGTTGTGCTTTGGGGCTCGCACACGAACAAATGCCCTCTTCGCTACTCCTGCACAACTGTCTCCTTCCGGCGCATTTGCGAATGCTCTCCTCTCGTTCACTTCCCAGCTGGGCGCTCTTTCTTTTTTCTGCCGAATTCCTCCTTCCTCTTTCTTTTGTTCTTGTTGATGAGTAACAGAGGAACAGAGGAGCGAACACGTGCGAAGAGACACCTGTCCTCCACCTTCTGCTTCTTCACTAAAAGAGAAGAGTACTAGTATTACCCGCACCAAGAGAGCAAGACCTATCTCGGAATACCGCGACGCAGCGCTTGACTGTGCGAACGGACGTCCTTCGACGACGGGCGTTACCAACACAGTAGTTCTCTAAAATATTTTCCAGTTTTCTGCTGTTCCGTCGCTTTCCCCGTGTGTGTGTGTGTGTGCGTGCGTTCTCGCTTTCTTGTTCGTGCCGAGTGCGCCTTGTTCGATTCATGTCTGGCGGCGGAGAGCAAGCGTCGGCCAGTGGCGACGGCACCGCTGCGTGTCGTCAGTGCGGCTCCACGTACCACAAAACAAGCGCCAAGTTTTGTAGTCGATGCGGCGCGTCGCGCGAGATAGCAGGCAACGGCAGCCGCAGTAACGGTGGGGGTGGGAAAGGGAAAGCGAGCGGGGGGCTTGATGACACGGTGCGTAGCTTAGCGGCCACTGCAAATGGGCTGGCTGGGCCGATGAAGCCTCCGCTTCTCTCCTTTACCGCGGTGGAAGCCGGCGGGCCTGCAGAAGCGGCGGACGAGGCGGTGAAGGGCACGCTACGACCCTTCGATGTAGAACTACTGCGCCGGCACTCGCATAAGGAGTCCTCGGCGGATGCCGTGGGGGCCCCGCTGGAGTTCCGTGATCCGAGTGAGGCGACCTCGCTGACCTCCCCCAAGCGCTGCCCTCAAAGCTCGACATCTGGGCCGGCACCACCGCCTGTTTCTGCGGCCGCATCCTCTTCTCCTACGTTGACGTCTTTATCCGCCTCACGTCCCCCCGGCCTGCATCGAGAGGCGCGCAAGTCCTCCATTTACGCGAAGGACAACGCCCTACCAGAGCTGCCGCCGGCCTCGCTGGCCGATCCTCGTCGCTTCACACGCCATCAATCGGAGTCGGAGGAAGAGCCGGAGACGAAGCTAGCCGCGACTTCGGTGAGCACCTTTAGTGGGTCCTCGGCACGTCCGCCGGCGCCACCACGCGAGCAACCGCCGTCGCACGATGGTGGTGGTGGTGGTCGACCGTCTTCCGCGTCATCGCCGTTGTCGCACACGCGAAAGCGTTCTAGCAAGAGTCAGATGCAAGAGGTCGCGGTGGAAGATGCCGCTGCGTTTGCGGACAGCGTCGTCGCCGCCGCACCTACGTCTGGCGCGAAGGAAGGAAACGAGAAACCCAAACAGAAGGCGGCGGCAGCAGAGGATGTGGGGGACGGTGAGGAGGCCACCGGGTCTCTCCTCCGCCCCTCCGCGGAGGAGGAGGCGCAGTACACGGCGTGGGCCACGCTGTCCCCTGACGGGCTGACGCCGGAGATGCTGCAGACGAGTAACGCGGGCGAGCTTCGCAAGTGGCGCAAGGGCAGCCTCATCGGCCGTGGCACGTACGGCTCCGTCTACCTCGGCCTCCTGCCCGATGGCAGCTTTTTCGCCGTGAAATCGGTCGAGCTCGGCAACCGAAAGACCGGGGCGGACCACCTGAATGCCCTGGAGCTCGTGTCCTTGTCGCGGGAGATCAACATGATGCACCGACTGCGACATCGAAATTTGTGCACCTTTAAGGGCGTCTACTACGACGCGGAAAACATGGCGATTTGTATGTTTATGGAGTACATCGGCGGTGGCTCGCTCTCTGCTCTGGTGAAGCGGTTTAAGCCGCTGCCTCCGTCGGTGGTGCGGAGCTGGACGAAGCAGCTGCTGTGCGGTCTGCTGTACCTCCACACTCAACACATTATCCACCGCGACATCAAAGGGGATAACGTGCTCGTCGACACCTCCGCCGATCCATCCTCCTTGGCGCAAATCAAACTCGTAGACTTTGGGGCTGCGCGACGGCTGACTGATGCAGTGTCTCAGAGCAGCACGGTGATCGGGACGCCGTACTGGATGGCACCGGAGGTGGTGGATGCGTCTGGGGAGGGCGGGGGCTACAGCTACAAGGCGGATGTGTGGTCGGTGGGGTGCACCGTGGCAGAAATGCTGACGGGGCGTCCGCCGTGGCCGTGCAAGACCAGCGCACCGGCGGCCATCATGATGATTGCGTCTGCCACCGGGATGCCGACGGAGATCCCGGAGAAGGAGGCCACGGCGGGGTGTCTGGACTTTATGCGGCAGTGCTTTATCCGCGACCCCGAGAAGCGGCCAACGGTGCAGATGCTGCTGCAGCACCCCTGGATACAGGGGAAGGTTGACTAACTGCTGCCGCACACAGACACACACACACGGTGAGAAGCGAGTCTAGAAGAGAACTGAACGCTTGCCAATCACCGGTCACGCGGCGTTCCCTTTCATTTTTTCCCTCTGTATAGTTCTATCGAAAAGCCTCCCTCCCAGAACAAACAACAACAACAAAGAAAAAACGCCTTTTTCAACCCTCTCATTCCGTTCTCGCATTTCTCCTCGTCGCCGGCAAGAGAATTTTTTTTGGGTTTCTGTTTTGGACGCATCGGCGGTCTTCGGGCACATCAACATCGACGTCAATGGCGGTGTAGAGGCACGTGGAGGAGGGGGGGGGGGCTGAGTCCTTCCTTTCGAATATCCATATGTATACATGTACATACATTCATTTCGTAGACCTTGGTAAGAAGCAGGAAGTTCATTTCCCAAAGCATGGTTACGCTTCGATATATCCTTTTGTTTTTTCCTCTGCCTGATGCACCGGCTGTGGGCGTCGGCGGTTGCTGCGTTTTATGGTGCTTCTGTAGGATCGAAAGAATAATGACTGACCAACGTGCCAAACACACACACACATGGAAGTATCACGTAATAACTTCAGTAAAACAAAACCATTTTACCTTACGGTGAGTGGGATGATTGCTTTCAAACCTTGCCGTCTCGCTGCTGCGAGCGTTGTCGACTGTCCCTTTCACGCATCGTGTCTCCTCCACCTGGCCCACTACGGTTGAACCTTCGTGGCCTGCAATGCCAAAGAAAGCTTCTCGCTAAAGCATGCATCCCTCCCCAGTCCGTGTTTGTTTTACAGGGTGTTGTTCTGAACGCATCGTGTGCCTTAGGTGCCGCTCGAAATCGCCATCGTGCCACTTCCGTCTACACCCCTCTCCATCCCCCCCCCCTTCGTCCTCCTCCTTCGCCGACAATGCAAAACGCTTTTGATGGGTGTCCACTACACACACACCCCGCGCACGCTTTCTAAACACGTCGTCGCACTAAGCTGCTAGGTCAAACAGAAGCACCGGTAGTGCTTCACTGGAACAGGACTGTCTTCTGTGGTTTGCATGCCCTTTGCCGTTCTCGCCTTTGCGGTTTCCAACTGCGTTTCTTTGTTCGTCGTTGATTGAAGAAGTTTTCAACTTTATATTTAGATTGCTGTTCCCCCTTTACTCCGCAGCACGCGTTACTGTTATTTGGCTGCCCTCACTTACGAGACAGTACAAAGAAAGAAAAAAACGGAGCAAACAGAAGTGTCAAGGAAAAAGGAAGGGGTTTTTGAAGGTCTTTCTTTCTTCAGTTTTCTTTTGTTTCCCCGGCGCTCATCTTACGTTTGTTTGGTTCTGCCGCATCGTGCGTGTTCAGGGCTCGACTTTTTTTATTCTCTCTCAAAGAAAATCTCACCTTGACGGCGCCACGGACCTTTACCATTATTAGTAGTGTGATTTTTGCTGCTGCTATTCCCACGCAAGCTTTCAACACAGCAACTTTACTTTTCTTTCTCTTGTAAGTTTTTTTTTTGTAGTTCGCGCCGGCGACGCACACGAATCTTCTTCCCTGCAGGTGTATCGTCTTTTCTTCTCTCCACTGTATGCTCCTTTGGCTATTCTTATTTTTTTCTGTTTTCAAAGGAGCGCCTGTTGCGATTCGTGAGCCGAAACGGCCGTGAACACAGCTGGGAAACGTAGGCGTGTTGTATGCACTTCAACGCGCGCTATACGAGGTCGGTGACGGCTGAGTTACGATTCCTCTGAAACGTTTGTTGTAGAGTTTTTCTGTGTTCCTTTGCGCTCTCACTGTGGATTCCACGGACGCTTCTTGTTGTTCTTCCTCTTTTTCTTTTGGTTTCCGTCGCAGCCGGAGATAGATCGCTGACTGTGTTAATCGCTCTGGAGCGCAGGCTTCACGGGACGCTCTTTCAGTGGTGCGCTCGTCTTTTGTTTTTGAAGAAGAAAGTCATCTTGCTTATCGAGGGTGAGTCACGAAAAACGGCACTGTCAATATGCCGTTTTCTCCGCCGCGATTTCGTGCGCATGGCACCGGCCTACCGTCCGTTTTCCAAGACGCTGGCCATGGCGAGGCGTCTCCGTTGCTGACGCAGCGATCCTCTGGTGCACAAGAGCGGAGCAGCGGCAGCCAGCACCGCGGGTCTCCTCGAGGTGCTACCTCGCGCAACAACTCTAGTGATATTTCTGATGCGTCTGCCACCACCGCCGCCTCCTCCTCCCTTTCTGTGAACAACTCGTCTGGCGGTGTGCCGAGCTTCGGCGAGGGGAGTAGCAGCAGCGGCAACGGCGGTGATTGCAGTCGTGCCCGCAGTGCCGCGAGCGACGAGAACGGCCACAACACGACGGGCAGGGGTAAGGGGTCCATCTTTGGCACCCCGCCCACTTCCATCTCGGCGTTTATTGCTATCTTTGCCCACTCGGTGGCCCTGCAGTCGTGGACCAGCTACGTGCTGGCGGTGGGCTTTCACGCCTTTCACGTGCTGCTTATTCTGTCCTTTTTGCTGAGCCCTGTTTTGTTCCGCTCGACTATTTTCTCCTCGCAGACGATGGGGAAGGCGCTGCTCGAGGCGCAGGGGGTACTGCAGCACAAGGGCCACGGCGACAAAAACAGAGGAGATGGCGACAAGATGACAGCGCATCGTAACGGCAATAATAAGAGCAGCAGCGTGTTGTCTCTTCCTTCATCTGTATCGCACGCCCCTGTGTCCATTGAGAGCGTTTGGTCCATACACGACGCGGTATTCTTCCTCGAGCCGGGCCACGTGGTGATGCCAACCACCATAGAAAACAGCTTCGGCTCTCTTCGCCGCCGAAAGAACCACAAGAAGGGGAACTCGAAGGATAAGAAGAACGCGAAGGGCGGTTCAAGAGACGATGGAGATGGCAAGACAAATGCTGGTGCGACAGGGAATACCAAGAGCAGCAACAGCATGGACAACAACAATAATGATGATGACGATGCTAAGAAAGGGAATGATGAGTATGACACCCACGCGTACATCGTGCCGCATGACAATGGCGGCGGCGGTGGCGACGGAGGAACTCCTGTGGAGTTGCGGGCCGTCAAACCACGGCTTTCGAAGCCAGCTGTAAACGGAGTGAAGGCGGCGCAGGTCGGCGAGGACAGGGCCGGAGGTGAGGGGCCTTTTTATAACTTTGCGGCTCCTCCACCGGTCGCCCCGAAGCTGCCGCTGTCGCAGCGGAAGAGCGCCACCCACGGCAGGGCCACGCTGTCGAAGATCCTCAGCGCCTGGGAGGCCTCGCCGCTGTACTCCTCTCCGCTAGCGTTGACCTTCTACTACTACCTCTATTGCATTGGCTGCATCATCCTTCTCTTAACGGCGACGGATGGCATGCTGACGGGGCACTTCTCTGTGTTGCGACTTGCCGTCTCGCTCGCGGAGCTGCTGTGGTACGTTCACCACGGTGCCCATGCCTTTGTGATCTACTGCTGGATGTGCCTCCTGTCGCACTGGCCGTACTACGCCCCGTACTCGGCGAGCGACGCCGCCTTTCTACGCCACGGCACCCCGTACGCGGTGGTGTCGAAGCAGAACGGGGAGGTGGCCATGTACTGGTTCTACCGCGCCAGCCCCGGCGGCGGAAACGGTCATGTTGGAAAAATGGAAGATCGGATTCTCGTGAGCGAGATGAACGTGCAGCACTACCTCTATGACCAGGCGTGGTACCTGCAGCCCGTCGCGTCCACCATAGCGGGGGCCTTTCTCGTCTTGCTGTCCCTCTGCGTGGCCCGAGATCTGCACCGCATGCTGGACGCCGTCGTGGGCGTGCGGGTGCTGATGGAGCCGGAGGGCTGCGTGCGATGCCCGCTGTGCGGCGAGCTGATGGAGCTCTGCCAGCAGCACCGCGATCATCGTGGGAAGTCCATCTATCAGTCCGCGCGGGAAGGGACCTCGTTGTCGGTGCGGCGAACGATGTGGTGGTGGCGGTGGCTCCGCAGTGCGGTGCGGGGCAGCAGCAGCGGCCATCGCGTGCACACACCCCGTCTGCACAGCCCGCTGTGGCGCTGGCTGCTGCCTAGCTGGTGCGGTGGGGGTCCGCAAAGGGTGGGGGGAGGTGTGATCATCGCGGATTTAAACGGCAATATATCGTCGTCGACGGCGCTCTCCACGAGCGATGACACACCCTACGCCGTGACGGATACGCTGGAGGACATCGAGTTTTACGAGCAGTCCGCCGTGCGACAGAGCGCGGTGGCCCCGCAGGACACCGTGACGGAGGAGACGGCGCACCTGATGCGGTGGCTGACCGCCGCGCCCCGCGCAGACACGTCGGTAGCGGTGCCCGTAAAAAGCGAGCGCAGCTCCTCGGACGGCAGCGAGGCCGCCGACGCACTGGGCATCGGCTCGTCCGGGTCGTCATCGGAGGACGAGGTGGAGGAGGGGTTGGTGAAGGCGGTGCCGGCCGCCGCAGCAACCGGATCAACACGACGACGTCCAAGGACGAAAGCCACAGCGGGGCCGCGCGACACCACGCACTCGTCGACGCCGTTGCGTAGTCAAAAGAGTCTGATGCGGCCCCGCCACGGCGGCAGCGGCTCGCGCCATCGCCATCGCTCTCACACCCGCTCCACCGGTTCGACGGCCAGCAGCAGCGGCAGTCCGCAGCAGACCCGGCCCCGCCGTGTGAGCCGCTTTACGGAGGAGGTGCTCTACTGGAACTACGCCACCCGCCACGTCCACCACCGCTGCCCGAAGCTGTACCTCGACGCCCCGGAGGCCACCGACGACGAGGACGATGACACGGACAGCGAGGACACCAACTCAACCGGCGGCACCAGCGAGGGGGGTTCATGCTCCTCCGCCTCCGCTTCATCCGCCGCGGGCTCGTCGGTTGTGGCGAGCACGTCGACGGGAACGGCAGGTGCAACTCGAGAAGAGAAGCGGGGGGCTGGCACTTCTGCAGCTGCCTCGACTCGCGCTCATATCGGTGATGCCCCCGCCACGGCAAGCCGCGCCAACTTCTCTGATCGCGGGCTGCGCCGTTCGCTCTCGCCACGCGCGACCGCCAACCGCGAACAGCCCAACGCGCCCTCTCAGCAGGCAGCACGGTCGGGATCACAGGGAGGGGAGGGGCGACAGCTGGTGCGTCGCGACGTCGCGCAGCAACCACAGCAGCCACAGCCGGCGCTGCAGCGAACGACGTCTGCCCCCCTCGGCGGATCAGCAAAGGGAGGCGGCGGCAGTGGTGATGGCACCATGCACAAGGCAGGCGCCAGCAATACCAACAATAGGAAGAATCCGAACGTCCCTCGCAACTACGGCACCATCGGCCCCAACTTTTCGGAGTCTCCATCGCAGCTGTACTCCCGTGGGCCGCAGCCGGAGGCGCCGGCGAATCACATTGTACAGCGGGGCGTGTACGACCCAACCAAAGACGAGGAGGACGAGTTCCGGCCTGGCAACGCCTTCCAGTCCTTTGACCGGGCAGGGTGGCTGTCGCGGCTCACCTACAGCTGGCTCAATCCGCTGCTGACGTTTGGCTTGTTGGAGCCGACGCTGCTGCGGCAGGAGCGCTTCCTGCCCGCGCTACCGGAGCAGCTGCTGTCGCTGGACAACATTGCCGTGCCGGCGTGGCGGCTGTGGGTGCATCGCAAGGCGTGGTACGCCAACTACGTGGCGAAGCCCGGCGAGCTGCTCATCCCCAGCAATGAGGCGATGGAGCGGGCGGAGGAGCAGGTGATGTCCTTTGCCGACCTGCGCGACGCAGAGATCAGCGGCGGCGACGGCGACGACACGGAAAGCTCTGAGGGCAAGCAGACCGTTGTCATGCTGGGCCACACATCGCTGAAGCAGGCGGCGAAGTTCCGCCCCCAGCGGGCAAAGCGCTCGTGGGAGGAGCGCCTGTTGTGGAGCGTGACCGCGCCGATTCGGTTTCTTCTTGTCTTTCTCTTTTACTACACATACATCGGCACTTCCCGCACGGTGCGCCGGACGCGACGGCGGCTGGTGCGGGAGCTGCTGAAAGACCGCCTGGTAGCGGCGGCGGAAGACATGTATGATGAGAACGGCTACCGGGCAATGGAGGCGAATGAAGCACTGGAGGAGGCGACGTTGGCGCTGGCCGAGATGGCCTCTTCGTGCGGCAGCAGCGCAGCGGCCCCTTCTGCAGGCTCTGCGCTGCCCACGCACATGCGCCGTCAGCTCGCGCTGAGTGACGTGAGCCTGTACTACCTCTTCCTCGAGCACCGCTGCGGGCGCCGCTTTCTGCTCATCGCCGCTCCCCTGCTGCTCCTCAGCGAATTGCTGATGCTGTCTGTGGTGCCGGTGCTGGCGGTTTTTGTGCTGTTTTTGCAGAAGGTGGACACGATTGAACTGCTGCCTGGCCGTCGCGAGACTCCCAGTGACCAGGAGAACGTCAGCGCCGCGCTCGCCCTCGCCGCGCTGCTGGGCATGCTGGTCCTGCTGCAGGGCGTTGCACAGGGCGCGTACCGGAGTCAGGTGCAGCAGGCGGCGATGGAGGCCCGCACCTGCGTCCGTGCGATGGTGCTAGAGAAGACGCTCGCCCTGCCGCTGGCGCAACGCGTCTTCAGTGAGGGCGAGGTCGTCGCCCTCGCCACGGAGGAGGCGACGCGCGTCGCGACGTGTCTCGTCTCGCTCCACCACACGTGGTCCTGCCCGCTGCGGGTGGTGCTGCTGTCGCTGCTGCTGGGCTACTACCTGGGGTGGGCCGCCGCGGCGGTGGCGTGTGTGGGGCCGCTCTTGACGGTGCCGTGGCTGCGTCACGCGTCGCACGAGACCCGGCAGCATCGACACACGGCCCAAGAAGTGACGAAGCTGCGTCTCTCTCTGCTGCAGCTGACACTCGCGCACATCCGGGAGGTGAAGGGGATGCTGCTGGAGGGCCGGCTGATACGGCGTCTGCGCAAGGCGCGGCAGGCCGAGGCGTCTATCGCGGAGGAAGTCGCGATGGCGGAAGGCACGGCTGGCATGCTCTCTGGCGGTGTGACGGCGCTGCTGATGGTCATCGCCCTTGGTGCGGAGTGTGTCTTCTCGCCGAAGGCACTTCGAGATATAGACGTGCTGATACCGACATTGGTGATCTTCATGCTCATGACCGCACCGCTGCTGGAGCTGCCGTCGCTCTTTACCGTGGTGGCGCGCGGCTTCTTGTCGATGAAGCGGATCGAGGCGTACCTGCGCCAAACACCCGATGAGTTCGTCGGCACGTGGGTTGACTTGACGACCTTCTCCGCGATGCAGCAGCAACTTCGTCAGGACAACTCAAGCAGCGCCTTGCTGCACTACCGGCGCGGCAGCGTGGTGTGTCGAGACTCTTCTTTCACCTGGCAGCACGACCTCACCGAGGCGTCGCCTATGACCCTCCTGCACAACGTGGACGTGTGCGTCGAACCGGGGCAGCTTGTGGTGGTGCAAGGGTCTATCGGCTGCGGCAAAAGCACGCTGCTGCTGTCCATCTTGGGCGAGGTAAACCGGTGCGTCACGGCGAGTGGCTCCGTCGACGACAGGGGCAGGGGCAGCGGCAGCGTGACGGACTACGAGTCGGAGAGCTCCTTCTCCGTCGTCTCCGCGTCTGAGGCGGCGGCCCGCGGTGTCTTCGTTGCATCCCCAACGGAGTCGAGCGACGCACGTCGACGCCGGCGCGCGAGTGACAACAGCGCAAACGCGAACACGAGCGCGTGCAACAAGGTTGGTGCAACTCCCCCCGCAGAGGCGGCGGTGACCCTCACCGCCACCACGGCTGCCACCGCGGCGGCAACGGCTCGGAATGCGTCGCAGAAGAGCCGGGACGAGTCGAAGAATCGAACGGCGAGCACCACCTCCCGCAGCGCCGGCACGAAGTCCTCCGCCAGTGATCGCGATGCTGCCGACAGCACCGCTGCTCTCACCGAAGCCTCGAAGCTCGCGCCGGCAGGACTGGAGGACGGAGAGAGCAGCACGGGTGGCTTTCTCGTCTTTGGCTCGTGCGCCTACTGCGCGGAGGTTCCGTGGCTGCAGAACGACACGATTCGCGCGAACATCATGTCAAGTGGCGGCGCGGTGCAACTCGAGCGGTGGTACAACACGGTGCTGCGGGCCTGCGCGCTGTGCTCGGACATCGCTGCTCTCCCGCAGGGCGACGCCACTGTTGTCGGTGATCGCGGCGAGTTGCTATCGCTCAGTATGCGGTGCCGCATCGCGATGGCGCGTGCGGTGTACTCCAGGTCACACGTGTACCTCTTCGACAGCGTCCTCTCCCCGCTCGAGCCCGCAATCCAGGAGCACGTAATCCGCGAGGTCTTCCACAGGCTGCTGCGCAAGCGCACTGTGATCTTAGCCAGCAACGTGGGTCTGCGCTCCTTGCGGCCGCACCGGATCTTCAGTCTGGCCGAGGGCGGCCTTTTGCGAGAGGACACCGAGCTGTACAAAGCGGTCTCCTCGCTAGACGCCCGCAGCGATGACGGGGACGAGGACGAGGAGAGGGAGGAGGACAAGGAGGAGGGCGAAGGCAACGGCGCAGACGGGTCCTCGCGTAGCACGGCAAGCAACCGGAGCAGCGATGCGAGCCAAGGCACAGCGGCGCCCCCGCTGCCACCCTTGTATGCGGAAGAGTTCGCGGAGCCGCAGGAGGTGAGCGAGGTGGATGTGTCAAAGAACTTTAGCAACGATCCAGTGGCGGCTGCCACCGCGATGCTGTTCGACGCCGACGAGGGCTTCCGCCCACGCGACCCGCTGTTCTCCGACTTGGGTGACCGCAACGACAGCTTCGGTAACAGCGGCTCGAACAGCGGGGTGCTGCGGCCACGGCGCACTGTGCACTTCGGTCCCCGCACGCCGACTCGGCCGGACTCGCTTCTCCAGATGCCGGGCACACCGAGTCAACCCTCGCCAAGGGCCGTCACGCTGCTCCTGCCGGTGGCACCGTTCCCGGAGACAGGAGCGAGGCTGGACGCCTCGGTCACTGCCGCGACGGGGAGCGGGCGGTCGTCGACGCTGCAGCAGAGCGCACCGATCCCGTCACAGAACGGCAGAGAGAGTAGTACGCACGGCAATGAGGCACACAGCGACACCTGCAGCGAAACGACGGCGACGACGAGTGAGACAGGCAGCTGCTCCACCGGGCAGTACATTCGAAATCACTACGCCCAGCAGCTGGAGCGAGAGAAGCTGCTGCGCCACCGCCACCGCCTGTCCTTCTTTATCTTCCTACGATTTATGGGTGGCCAGGCGATGTGGCTCCTCTTCACGACGGTCGTTCAGCAGTTTGTGCACATTGGAATTGACATCTGGGCCGCCATCTGGCTCGCTGTGATGACGAATACCAAGATGACCGCCGCCACGGTAGCAGGGAGCAGCAGTGGTGGCGGCAATACGACGTCCGTGTACGCCAAAGTGCGCCACCAGCTGTACACCTGGACCGCCGTGACGGACGCGGTGTTTCTGGCCATCGTGTCGGCGCTCACGGTGCTGACGATGGTGCTGACACTGCTGCGCACGCGCGCCGTCTACGTCAGCGTCTACGGCACGATGCACTTCATTTACAATCAAATTGTTCGGCGCATTTTGCACGCCCCTGCGTCGTACTTCGACAGTCGCATCATCGCACTGCTGACACGTGTGCTGGAGAGCGATGCCGAGGTGGCCGAGTACCACGTGCCCGGGACGGCGGAGGTACTGCTGAGCTGTACGGTGCAGGTCGTCTTTATAGCCGCGTGGAACTCCGTGGCGAACCCGATCTTTCTCCTGCTGCTGCCCATCACCATCTCCCTATTTTATCACATTTCGCAGCGTCACGCTGTGGTGCTGCGCGAGGTGCGGAAGCTGGAGGCTGGCTCCGTCAGCGGCATGGCGGATATCCTGCGCGAGGTCTACCAGGGCGCCTCCACGGTGCGGTGCATGGCTCTGCAGGACCGTCTTCGCGAGGAGTACTGCCGTGCACTAGACACGGTGAACACGGCGTCGATGGTGGCCTACCTGGCCGACCGCTGGGTCGAGCTGCGCCTGCACGTTCTGACCGCCCTTGCCGTGTGCAGTGCGGCGATGCTGGGCGTCGTCTTCACCTTCGCCTACTCCCGCCCGAGCTTCACCGCCGTCGCGGTCATCGTGGCGCTGCGAGTGGAGCCGGTCCTGCGCACCGTGTGCCAGAGCCTGGGCAAGTTTGCCGTGACGGAGTGGGTGTCGGTGCAACGTCTCATGAGCCTGTGGAGTGTGCCGCAGGAGCCGTTGACACTGGAGGGGGATGCGGACATGTACAGCTACGGCCATGTGCGACGGCGAGCCAGTGGGCTCTATGTGGAGTTGGAGGGGGGACAGGATGCACCGCTCTTGGACTTCGTGGGCACGCCTTTCAGCTCGCCCAAAACGCTGGCCGCCATGGGTTTGCAGGAGCAGCAGCAGAATGGCCAGAAAGGGAGCAAAAGCACAAGGGGCGACAGGCAGCCAGACGCAGGGCGGGGCGAGGGCGACGGCGCCCAGGCCTCCGCCACACCCGTCGCACCGCAGTCCTCGTTGTCCGTTTTTGCCGCCGCCTCGGCCGCCTCGTCGTCGTCTTCCCTGGCTGCCTCGGGCGACAGAGGCGCAGCGCGGCACCCAGCCGGTGAAGGTGCCACCATGACGCTGCCACTGCTGGAGCTGCGCAACGTCTCTGCGCGTTACCGCACCACTCTCCCGTACGTTCTGCGCCACGTCAACCTCGCCGTCTACCCACGCGAGCGTCTGGGGGTGGTGGGCCACGCCGGGCAAGGGAAGGGCTCGCTCTTCAACGTGCTCATGCGACTGGTGGATGTGATCGAAGGCGGTGGCGTCTTTATCGACGGCGAGAACGCGGCCAGGGTGCCCTACCCGGCTCTCCGTGGCTGGTTCGGCCTGATCCCGCAGGACCCGCTGCTGGTGCACGGGTCGTGGCGCAGCAACCTGCTCATGGGTTACCACCCCGAGTATCGCGTGTTTGTGGAGAGTGCCAACGGCAAAGGCGGCCGTCCGTCTGTGCCCATAGCGGCCCTTGACCGACACAAGCGGCCACGTCAGCACCCGCAGCAGCAGCGGGAGAAGGAAAGCGGTGGTGCCGACACGCATACCACCACGACGACGACCACCGCCACCGCACCGACCTCCCTTGCTTCCCACCTTGCCGGCGGACAGCAGAGTGAAACGACACCGTCGGTAGGGGCGACAGACGGCCATGATGGCCATCGCCCAACGCACCACAGCAGCCACAATCTGGTCAGCGCAGACGACAGCGCGGTGTCGGTGCAGATGTCTGACAGCTACGGCAGCACCGACAGCGCACGCGCCTTCGTCGACGGCGACGGGCAGAGCCGTGGTGTGCGCTACATGGACAGCGTGGAGGAGTACGGACCGAGCCGCGATGTGGGCGGTGACCTAGGCGAGAAACACAGCAGCGGCATCGCGGCGACGCTCGCGCGTACTGCACGGCGGGTGCGCGACACCTTCTCTCCTTTCCACCGCCGACGCAATCGCAGCGGCACGAGCGGCGATGGTCGACTGGAGCGGACGCTGTCCGGGGATGCCGGGCCCGCGCGCGGAAACAGCGGAAGTGGTGGTGGTGGTAGAAGTGGCCGCCGTCCTCGTCGTCGTTCCAGCCGGCAGCCGAGTACCAACAGCGGCGCCGTCTCGGGACACCCCGCCGAGGGCCCGCGTGCGCCGATGGAGGACGCCGCCCTGTGGAACGCGTTGCGTGTCGTGGGCCTGGATGTGGCGGTGGAGTTCGACGGGGGGCTGGACGCCACGCTGACCGGCGGGGACGTCATGGAAATGGACCTGACGGAGTCGCAGTGCCGCCTGCTGTGTCTGGCCCGCGCCGTACTCAACAGGCCGCCGATCGTGCTGCTCGAGGACGCCGTCCTGTCCGGTGTGGGGGCGCAGACGGATCGGGTCGTACAGCGGGTACTGGCGAAGGAGTTGCGGGACTCCACGGTGATTATCATCGCCCATCGCATGTCGACGGTTTTGAACTTGTGCACACGTGTGGTGGCGATGGACGGGGGTACGCTGCTGCCCATTGCGGATCTGCGGTCTGCCGTGCCGTCCGAGGCGGCGACAGCGCAGGTGGAAGAGGGGACGGGGCTGCCTGCGTCGGGTACGGCCTCACTAACGGGCCTGTCCACACCGCCGCTGACAGCCAGCATCCACCCAGATGTGTTGAAACAGCTCTCCTACTACGTGGAGTAAACTATCGTCTTGGGCTTTCTTGTGGGCATGTACATGCATATCTACATGTGTCCATTAAGCCGAGCCCAACTGCGTTCTTTTGCCTCCTCTTTGCCTGTGCGGGTTGCACCGCCGTGATTGGCCCACCTCCAGCGGTGACGGGGTTTTTTTTCTTTGCTGTTCGAGGTTTTGCGGTGTTTTTGCCTCGGTTGCACCGCTGCCCGCCCGTTGCACTCGCGGGGGCGAAAGTCCGTAGAAGTAGGGCGTTGACGTTGAGTGGGTGTGTGTGTGCGTCTGCGGGGAGGGATGTCGTGGAACGCTTTGGCACGCGTAAGCCTTTTTTTTGTTTTTTGCCTTTCCTGCTGTTTCCGTTGGCGCTGCCCACTTTCGTTGTCCCCCGGCGAAGTCCAACGAAGCGAAGAAGAACAAATAGGTGTTTTTTTTTCCCCTCTTTTTCGAAGCACACAAAACCAACAGCGAAGGTTTTTTTGCCGAACATCTTTCGGGCCTTGTCGTGTCTTTGTCAGCGTGTTTCGCTCTGAGCGGCGGCACCGCGCCCCGCCCAATTGATGCGCGCTAGCGTTTACCGCTGTTGCTGGATGTTTTTTTTTTTTTGGTAGTATGCTCGCTAAAGTGTTCTGTTTTCAAGTACTTTATTTGTCCTTTATTGATGGTGGACCTCATCGCACTCTCGACTCACGTCCTCTTCTCTCCCCCTCCTCTCGCTGCGGTTATTATGTGAAGGTGCTTTCTGTGTTGCTCGAACAGACAGTTCTTCCTCTCCCCTCTCTTGGCGTGCGAGGCGAAAATTCTGTGGAGGCAGCGCATTCCTTTAGGGGTTTGTCCTTCTGCTGCTGATCTTCGGAAGAAACGGTGTTGTGCGTTACTAACGCCGACTCATCGATCTGTTCTGCTTCGTCTTCTCCGCTTCCGCACGTCCCTCAAGCAAAACTGCGTCCTGATAGTGATGCTCGGCCGCCTCCACTCGCAAGGCGGCAGCGGTGCCGCCACCACGTCCCTGCGAGTAATGCAAAGGCGGTGTCTATCGAGGCACGCCCAACCGTTCAGCCGGGCAGACGCGCAGGCTTTATATTTCACGTCTCGCCGCTCGAGTGCATCTGCGCCGGCATCCGCGAGAGGGCCTTTTTTTGCCGTGTCCGTCCTCAACACCTCAATCCGATGCTTTCGGACTTCAGCCGCACTGTGCGCTTCATCACTGACGTCGTCACCATCAACGCGAAGCCGCGGCAGCTCTCCACGCTCTTCCAAGCACAGGAATGCTTCTCCCGACAGGAGCTCTAGAAAACTGCCTCTGCACGTCCGGACACAAGGCAGGAAGCCATTGTCCTCTTCAACACCTAGGCAGCCAAAGGGAGATGCACGCGTAGCAGAAGAGGTGCCATCACTGTGCAGAGGAGAAGACATCGATGACGACTTGTTGAAGGCCGCGAGGGCCTCGGCATCGGGGTCACATGAGGATAGCGTTGATTCGAATACTTTCACTTCGGGGCGAGGTGATCGAACCACACACGGCTCTGCTCCACCGGATACGGAACAAGAAGCGGTGCAGCCGCGCGGCGAACCGGGATGGGGCCTGGAAACGGTGAATGCTATTACCGGCAAGACGGCCCTGGAGGAGCTGTACGATCGTAACCTCAGCCGCATCCACGGCATCCTGGAGCGACCCCTCCCACCGATGCCGCACGACGGCAGCGTCGATCCGGACTTCTTTGTGGGATTCGCTTCCTACAGTTATCAGCTGCGGGATCAGTACCGGGCCGTCATCGCACGCGAGCTGCACGTTCCGGTGAAGGCGGTGCGGCTGTCAGTTGCGTGGAGCGGGCGCTTCAACGTGAAGCGATTCGGCAGGGTACAGAAGGTGTGCGGCGTGTGCTTGGACAGGACCGCACTGTCCGGCGCCAACGATGGCGCAGTGAAGGAGAAGGCAACCAACACCACAAATACTCCAGACTTTACCGAGCAAGAGAAAGACGCAAACAAAGCGTCGGCGTCCGATGGCCTACCGGATGCCATACAGCAGCGCATCGCCCAGTTCGTCTCCGCAATCAACACCCACAAGCGAGAAGATCTGCTTCAGGTACAGCTTTTTCAGGCCTCCCCGCCCATCCCAGAAGTGGAATTCGCCTTGACACGGCAGGAGCATCGTCTCGTCTACCACTTACACGAATGGGTCCGTCGACACGTCCTGCAGCGGGCGGTGGCCGTGGTGGTCTACGGTGTGCCGCCTTCTCCGCTCTCAACACAGGCTTTACCGAAGGAGTCCACGAAGCTCGCCGAGGCGGCCACCCTGGAAAAGGAGATTCGCCATCGCTATGAGATGTGGCAGCAAAAGGCAAGCGAGGAGTCCGCTGCGCAGCAACGTGAGGTGCAGAGCCGCTGGCTTCGTCTTTTCCACCGACGTGAGCTCGTGCCTGCTGTTCTGAGTCTGACGGAGCTAGCAACGAGGGTGGCCATCGCTGTCGTGCGCGGGGATGTCTCGGGTGTGAGACTGGAAAGGAAAGATGCCGATCGCGCAGACGGCCAGCAGGATAAAGAGAACATGGAAGAGGCGGAGGCGGTGTTGCTCAATGGCCCTGTGCGAGATTTGCTGATTGGTATGGCGTCTGTCGCTGTGGCACCTGCGGCTACGTCTTCTACGGCTAGCAGCGTAAAGGAAACTGACTGCAACATGGGCATGCTCGCCGGTGCGGCGACGGCGGCAGACGACCCACGAGAGGAAGCGCAGCCGAGGTGTGGGATGAAAGACGTGCTGCTTCCTCGGAACGCTTCTGGCCAAAGCCCCGAAACTGCTGGAAGCTCTTTGGATTTGACAGCGACGGCGACGCAGCAGGAGGCGGTCCTGCGGTGGGTGCGGCTCGTTTTCCAAGCCCTCCTTCTCCGCGAGGCGACTTCTACTTCGGCCACCACCCCAACGGTCGCGTTAGAGGTCTCTCTCCCTGCTCTCTTTGCGCAGGGCGTGTACGCTGGCGGTCGCGACGAGGTAGCCTACCTGCAGCACAACCGAGCCGCACTGGACGCCCTGCTGCTGCACCCGCACGAGATCTCGTTTAAGAAGAAGTTTGTGAGTCGCTTACGTAATGGGTATCGTCGGCCTCAGATGGAGAAGGAGGCCGCGGTTTCGCATTCCAACAGTGGCTGAGCGACACATTGCTGTTCAGTTTGCTAGGAGGAAACAGAGGTACCGGTTAGTGGGGGAGGCGGGGTGGATTGCCTCTGGGGATCATCAAGGTGACGCTTATCGTTGCGTGATCGTGTGTTGCTCATCACATACCTTTAGCAGAAAGAATCGATGATAATAGTAGTCACAGTAATAAGAAAACACCCTTTTTTTTGGATCTCACGCGTTCTACATTCGAACGCGGTACAGTAGTTCTTGCCGCTGGCCTGTTGCACTGAGCGGGGAGGTCTTTCAAAGGGAAGAGAATGGTGTCGTCGCTGCATGGTCACCTACCGCAGCCACACACGAGGTATTCGCTTGCGTCTTCGTGGCCTACTATGGCACTGATAGACAACAACACAGGAGCACCGATTGTATGTGTTGAACGCATACATATCTCCTCTGGTTCTCTCTTGTCCAACCACTTCACCGCATTGACAAAAAAACACACACCATCAAATAACGACAGGTAATAATAATGTAAGACATATCTTCCGCATTCTTCTCCTCCCCACCCTTCGCGTCGAAACAGTACGTAAGTAAGTACGAACGCGTCATCACATTTTTTTTCTTTCTTTTGGGGAGCACACGCACGTACACACTGACGTCGTGAACACCACCGCCGCCACCCCCCAAAAAAAAACATTTCGTTTGTAAAAGAAAAAACGCATGTTGATGTGAATTAGCTTCAAACAGCGACAAACGAAACGTACGCGGAAGTCCGACGTGTTCGTTGATTGTCTTTCATTTCTTCCTCTTCTTCCTTTTCTCCTTTGAATTTCCGTCCTTACCTCGATTGACATTTGTGTTTTCCTACTCGCTCTTTTCATTTCATTTTCATGTACAGTCTGCAGGCGCAGTGAACTCACTTGACTTACAACTTCAACGAGAGACCCCTCCTCACACATACATACACACACGCTGTAGGCATTAAAAAGGAAATAAGAGAAAGCCTCGGATGTGCGAAGCCTAATCTGGAGTGATTCAGGCGTGTCGAGTGTGATCCCTTCGGGTCAGTTGGAATGAATCTACCTTTCTCCCTGCCAATGCATCTACTCTCTCTCCCCCCTTTCTCCCTTTTTTACATATTTTTACACATTTCGTGAAGCCTAGCGCTTTCGTTTTGGTCACTTGACAAAGTTTTTTCTTGCCACCCACCCACCCAGTCCAGTTATTGTTTTTTGTTAATCGTTTATCGGGTCTCATCGTTCTCTGAGTTTTTTCTTTCTTAAATCTTTCGGGGGTTTTGAAATTTTTCCCCGTTATTTTCTTTCTCATTGTTGTCCTAAGTCGGAGCGAAGGTTACCTGCCTAATTAAGGGTGCCTAGTTAACTGCTCCTGGACGTTTGTATTCTTTTCACCACGATCCTGGGCAAATGGCCACGGGATCATTAACACAAGAGATGGAGGTCCGGCCGAGTATTGGTTTAACAAAATGTTGAGCGGGGGTTTTGACTGTGTTTTTCCCTTGCTGTCCGTTGTTCTGCGGATTACTTGGCCGTGACTCTCCCTAGTTTTTTCTAAACCTTAGTTTGTATCTAACCCAGCGCTGCGAGCGGAACTAGTCGGGTAGTTCCCCCGCGGTAGCTGGTCTCGCCACTGACTATGAATAATGCAAGTAATGACCGATATGTTGTACTCTGAGGGAGCATGCGAAGCAGGGGCCCCAGAAAGTAGAACAAATCCTCCTCCTCCACCCTCTCTCTCTCTTAGTTAGGTGACAATTGTTGTGGGACGCTTTCGTCTCTCGTTTCGCGTCTCTTCACCGTTTACGCTTTGCTTTTGTATTAATTTGTACCGCTGCCTTTCAGCAACCCTTTCTGTACGCCCACTCTCCTTACTTACCTCGCAGAATTAATTCTTTAAAAACAAACAAGCAAACCAAACGTACTCATGCATAATACAAAGATCATGTTCGGAAGCCGCCTGGAAGCAGCGCTTGCCGGCCCAGAACTGACGCCGGAGGCTGCCGCTGTCATGCGCACCAACAAAGCTCGCGCCCAGGCCGCTCAGTTTCTGATGCAAGACGGTGATAGCACAGCGCCGCTGCCGCCGCTGGACCCGTCTCAGCGCACCTCCCTGCACCGACAGCTGCGGAGCCGCTACAACCCTTCGCAGATTCCCTTTTCCTCTCTGTCGTGCTCGAAGTACATAACGGCGAACGATGTGGAACAATTGGCGAGGGTCTTTCATCAGTTCAACTTATTTGCTGTGAGCGTGCCCGCCGTGGAGACCGCTGCGCCGTCTAGATCACGCCGCAGCAGCCCGATTGGAACGATGATGGGAGGACGAGATGCCACCGCTGCTACACCTTCCACAGAACGAGAAGCAAATGGCGCTGCCGCTCGCAGCCCATCGATGGCGGCGCCGGAGACGCGTGCGTCGAACGCCAGGTCGACGTCCTCTTCCGTCTCCTCCCTCGCTGCGCTTCTTTCACAGCGGCGCACAAGCGCCATCCCTCCCCCTGTGCGCAACTGGCGGGTCGGGGAGTGCGTTTTTCAAGGCGACGGGATGGCGCTGCTGCGGGATGTTGTCGAGCCGCCGCCGCCGCCGCGCGTGACGGAGTCGGTGCGTCTGTCATTGCAGATGGACGGCGGCGCGCGGTCCCGCTCTCCTCAGCCAGACGGGACGCCATTGCCCCCTCCTGCGCCGTCGACACCCGCGAGTACCGCTGGCGCAGCGTTGTTGGCGCCTCCGACGCGCGTCGCAGCCGTGGCCGCATCCTACACTAACAAAGCTGCTACCAATACCGCCACTGCAGCTGCTGCTGCGATCGCTGATGGCCGCGATCTCGCTGAGCCGTTTACCTCCGAGAGCAACGATTGCGCGATGACGATGGACTGGTTGGTGGAGGTGCTCTTGGAGATGATCCTGGCGAACTACGATGCAGCAAATCGAAAAGGTCCGCATGTCAATGCAAGCGACGCCGACGTGGAGAGCATCGAGAGAAGGTTGGCGAGCACGATGGCGGGGGGGCCATTCCAGCACCTAGCCAGCACCCAACCCCCCGTCGGCGACTACGGCGCCACTTTCGGCACCGCGATGAACAACCTCAGCGCCGCCTCGTATCAAGCACGCTGTCGCGAAAGCAACATGGATCTTTTGTTAAGCGTGAAGGCGGAGCTGCTGGACTGGGTAGAGCAACTCAAGCAGACCTGTGATCAGCGCGAGCACCTCGCTGCCTGGCAGAACTGCATGCTGCAGGAAGATGTGCTACATCGGTATCAGCTGTGCGTGGTGCACTCCCTTCGAACAACCGCCACCGCCACCGCCTTCACCAGCTCCCACGCTACGCCGCAAAGCCACGCGTCTGCGGTGTCACCGTCAACGTGTTTGAGGTCACCTCTGCACTCTCTAGAAGTAGATGTGACAAGTCCGGCTCTCACGGATGGCGGCGCGTCTGCATTTAGTCCGTCGACGACCCCGAGTGGGGCTCCGCCGCGATCCCGTCGCGCCAACGTGAGATGGCGCATGTCGGGCTCGATCGCCAACGCCTCCGCTGCGACCGCCGCTGCGCCTACGGTGCCAAATACGCGACCGTCATCTGGCAGCGGTGTCGGCAGGGTCGCTGTTGCACCGAGCCCGCACGCCCTTCGCGGTTTGACGGGGCCTGTTGCTTTCCGGCACGACACGTCTCGGCTGTCGCGCGATGGTGCGGGGTTGGTTGAGGTGCTGGGTGGGTATTACCTGCCAGATAAACCGGGAGAAGAGCTCATCCCTCTGCACGGGTGTTCCTCGACTGAGTCGTACTGCGCGGACACCGCGGCCTCGCTTCCTGGTTGCGCGGAGACCACCGCGTCGTCGAACGCCGCCACACTCGTGGTAGAGTCAAGCTACCTCACCGTGAAGGCTCGCATGTGTGCACCGGCGTTTAAAGATCTGTTGCTGTGTCCCATGGAGCTGAACAAGTTTTTGTGGGAGTCACCGGCTGCCATTGAAATCGCCATGGAGGAGGAACTGAAGGTTCAACAGCAGCAACACGCGCGATCCACTCGCACCGCGACGGCGGCCACTGCTGCTGCTGCTTCTTCTTCTGTCGGGGTGGTGAATGAATCTTTTAACCAGTTCTCTGGCGATTCCTCCTCTCGCTCCGCACCGCAGTCGCAGTCACAGCATCAGCAGAACCGACGCCGCCGCGCCGCCGCCGAACAGCACCTCGTGTGCTGGAGTGACGTGGCGAGCAACTTGCTGATGGGCCTAGAGACGACCTGGACGACACAGCATCACGACCGGCCCTACGTGCGGGTGCAGACGGCGCTGCTGGAGGACATGGCGGAGGAGGCGCGAGGCGCCGCACCGGGACCGCACCACGTGCCGCTGACTTCGCGACGGCTCTCGTTAACCGCCGTTGCTGCGGCTGCGGCGGCCGGCGTTGGTGGTGGTGGCACGCCCAACACGGCTGGTCAGCCAAACGAACCAGAGGAGGACGAGGATGATGACTCGGCGGATGAAAGCCAGTCCCTCCCCCTCGGTGCAGCGGGCAAAGGTGGCCAGTGCCAGCGGCGCCGACTGAATAAACCGGGCAGCAGCACCGACGCCGCGACGTTGCAGCAACGGGCGATGTTGCTGAGCAGCCTTGGCGCGGCGGCAGAGGCGGCGCTGCGCACCTTGCACGCCCAAGCCGCCGACCACGTCGTCGTCTCCCCGCAGCAGAAGTTCATTGTCACAAGCAGCAAAGACGGAATGCTGAAGGTGTGGGAGACGTCTCGCGGCCAGTTTGTGCACACGATCCTCAACGTGGGACAGACGTGGGTGCTGCACATGTGCTTCTTGCACGGCGGGGAGTACTTGTTAGTGGCGACCAGCTCGGCGGAGATCACCGTGATCAACTTCCCTGCCGGCGGGGTCGTCATGAAACTGCGGGGGTGCACCTCGTTGGCAACGGCCATCACCTTTGTGAAGCAGCCCTCCACGGTGAACACGCAGCGATTCGGCTTGAAGCCCGGTGATTGTGGACACCACAAACCGGTGACAAAGCAAGGCACGAGCGTCACCGAGTACCACGCAGCGGCGGCGATGCGGCTGGAGAAGCAGGTGGAGTCGGAAAGCGTGCCCATCGCTGCTCGCCCGCTCATCGGCTACGTCGCCCCCACTGCGGCCTTTTACGAGGAGGAAGTGGGCCACTTCTTCTTCGGCACCCTCAGCGGAATGGTGGGCTGTGTGGACCTGTCCGAGCCGCTCTCGCGTTCCGGCTTGCTGGCCGCCGCGGCGGGGGCGCGATGGCGGGAGCCGCTGCACGTGTACAACAGCGTCTACGCCCATCCTGACTTGGCCGCGGAGCGAGAAGGCTCCCCCGCGCCGCCAGCAGCCACGGCATCCGCACGCGGGTCTCTGGTGCGGGCACGCAGTATAGTAGGCGGGGCACAGCCGACCATGGCCCCCACCAGCGGCACGACGCAGCCAGGGCTGCGCGTGAACGGCGTCTTTCACTGCGGGGTCGGGCACTGCGTGATTTCCGCCGACTGCGCAGGTGGAATCGTGCGCACGCCCTTCACCGCCGCGGCGGACACCCTCGTCTACTCCCTCGGGGCCCCCGCCACCGTCATGGACACGGAGAAGCCGATTCGCTTCATGGTGTGCTGCCCGGGTGGGCGTCGCTTCGTCACGGTGCACAGCGACCGGCGGGCGTTGCTGTGGGGTGTCGGCCGCACGACGACCGAGGTGGTGCACCAGTACCCGCAGGAAGCCTGCGACATCGTCGATGTCTGCTTCCTCACGCACCTCCTGCAGGTGGCGCTGCTCATGGCAGACCGCAGCATTCACATCTTTGACGAGCGCGGCACGCGCTCAACCAGCTCTATCCAACTCCCGCGTGGCCTCAGCAGCCGTGTGGAGGATATCGCGAGCGTGACGCTGAAGTACTCGGCGAACGACGGAGAGGGGTGTCTGGCGTATCTGCCGAGTGCGCAGCGTATTGTCTGCGGACTACGCGGGCCGGTGCTGTATGAGCCTGCGGTGCGATCTGCCGCCACCGAACGCGGGATGTCAGCAGCGACTCCAATGGCATTCAGGACGGCGGAGGAGGCGAAGCCGCGGCGAGGCAGCGGTATCATGGGCACAAGCGACACATTGATCGGTGGTGGTGGTGGTAGCGCCTCGCGTCGTGACAGCGCCGCGCTCACATTTCTCCTGACTGCTTCTGCACCTGCCTCCCCGGCCAAATCACCCAGCAATAAAAACCTGTGGACCGACTCCTCGGCATCGTCCCCGTCTGCCGCCGCTGCGGCTACGGCGGCGGCAGACCGTCGCACTGCGCGGGATCGCAGGGCCTCCATCTCCTCCATGACGAGCTGCGTCAGCGAGTCGAGCGTGATGGACGACCGCGCACACGAAATGGCGCAGCGGCGGCAGCGCCGCCAGCTCTTTTCAGCCGCCTTTCTCCGAGCCGAGCAGCGTCTCCTCCCGTACCAAACCCACACCTCCGCCGTCGTCGGCGTCGTGCTTAACGTGGAGGGGGGCGAGCTGCACACGATCAGCACCGACACGTGGACCACGTGGAATTTCGAGACGGGGTTACGCGTTCGAGCGGCGGTGCAGGTCCCCGATGCGGCGGTGCGCGAGTTAGCGCTGCAGCGGCGCGCCTGCCGGCTCACGTGCTGCGCGTGGAGCTCTACCGCGCACACGCGTCTCCTGCTCGGCACCCGCGGCAGCCGCGTCCTCACTCTAGACTCCACCGTCGGCTCCGTCGTGAGCGTGACGGAGTCGCTGCAGCAGGGAGGGCACAAGGCCCTCGAGGACAAGGACGTGGGCGTCATTGCGTGCTGCGGCACCCGCACCCTCCTCTGCAGTGGGCGGGTGTGCGAGGTGCGCCGCTACGAGCTGACCGGTGCCCCCCTCCCGAGTGGCGAGGAGAGGTTTGTGTCGATGCAGGTGCATCTGCCGTCTTCCACCGCTGCGCTCAGTGCCGGCGGTGCGGAGTTAACAGGCCCGGCGAGCGAGGGGAAAGGGCGCGAGAGCAGGGACCGAGGAGGGAGCAGCTCCCCGGCATCGTGTGCGCATCCAAGCAACGGCGGCGCCGGCCCCAGCTCTACCGAGCCGATGAGCGGCGCCAACACCGTCACCACCACCATCACGTCGTGCTGCGTGGTGCGGGAGTCGTACCTGTGCCTCGGCACCAGCGACACACAACTCTTCTTTTACCGAATGGTGGCGAATAGTAGCCCGATCCAGGTCGAGGTACTGCGTGACACAACTGGGGAGCCGGATGTGGGGCGGGTTATCGGCCTTTACTACGTACACAACAAGACGCAGGACCTGCTGCTGGCCGTGGTGGACACCGGCGCGCTGTACGTTTACTCCTACACGCTGCAGCGCATGATTACCCGCTACAGCTTCCCTTGTCTCGGTACAAATTTGATGCGCATACCCACCTCGGCGGAGCGGAGAGGGCGGCCGGCACCGTTGCAGCCGCAGCGGCCGCATTACTTGACGAGCGTTTCGCTGACGGACGACGCCACAAGCAGCAAAGGCCCTGCGGCAGCTACAGCGCCGTCGTCAACGGGGATCTCCACCGTCTCTGGCACCTCGCAGCGCCAACTCATCCTCTGCTGTGGCGACTCCGCTGGTTATGTCCACGTCGTCTCTCTCAAGGGTGTTTTCATGGACGCTGCCGCCGCCGCCGTCGCGGGTCTCGGCTCGAAGCTGGCGACGAAGAACCGAGCGGTGCACATCGTCGCGTCATTCCGCGCAGCCACGTCTGGCGTGTCAGCGCTGGAGACGATGAAGTGGAACCAGATGAGCGCGCCGGGTGTGGCGGCGGCGGCGGTGCAGCCTGACGGTTCGCCTACGAGGTCGCCGGACTCCCCGTCGTCTACGGATGCTTCTACTTCCCTCGTCCTCTTTGCCGGCAGCTTCGACGGGAACGTGCGCGTCTTTTGCCTGCTGCTGCCGCCGTCAAACTCGATCACCGCCGCTCCGCACCGCTCTAGCTCAGGGACGAGTAGAGTGACGGCGGCGTCGCACGGGTCTCCGTCACCTCTCCTGTCTTTCTCCGTCGCGGCGGTGCAAAAGGCAGGCGCCTTCACGCCCGCTGCCGGTGTAGCGCTCGCGCCGCCGCTCACAGGACCGCTGGGAATGGCGCCTATTTTGCGGGGTCCGCGTGCGCTTGGCGACGGCACACCCTACAGTGCGACGATCCTCTCCAGCGACCTCAAGAGTGAGGGGACGAACTACAACGTGAAGGACAGCAGCGGAGGCAACGGCGGACCCTTCACACCGGTGCCGTCCTCGTCGCTCACCTCTCACCAGGCGATGTGGCTGGTCAACACGCTGCCGCAGTTAGCCGCCGACAGCAGCAACTCTGCAAAGCGCAGCAACACGCCGACGACGAATAGCGGAGTGGTTAGTAGACCTGTCCCGATGACGGTGGGACTGTGCGGCGCGGACACGTGGGACCTGTATGAGCTGAACACCTTCTCTGATGTCAAGCAAGCTCTTTGGGCAGCAGACTTTGTGGAGGAGCAGTACGACGAGGAGGGCGAGGGAGCGGAGGAGAAGACACGGCTGCCCAGTATAATGGATGACAAGAATGAAAGCCGGCCGAAGGAGGGGGAGACGCCGACGCGTGCTGCGGCAGCTGACTCTGCGAAGAAGGACAAGACCGGTGTCACTGCTGCCGGTGCTGGTGGGGGTTATCCCGGCGCCGATCCTCGTGAAGGCAGCGCGGTTTTGCTGCGGGATGTGCTGCGCCGATCTAAGAAGCGCCTGGCAACGCACGGCGTTGTTGCGGCCAGCACGAGTGTAGGTGGCACAGCGGACGTCGCAAGTGCGCCCGCAGCAGTGGCGGTAGCAAGGCGGAAGAGCAACACGGAAGCGACGGCGGCGACGAGAGATGAGGCCGCGCTGCGCAGCACGCCGATGCATAACGCCTATGAAAAGGTATTCGCTGGCACCGCCCCTGCCGTGACGCCTGGAAAGGCACGAAGGGGAAAGAAGCTGGCGACACTGACAGCGACCTCACGTCTGCCTTCTGCGCCTTCGTCGCACGCGTCTCCCGCCGTCAGTGGGGCCGGCAGCCACGTCGGCGAAGCTGCTCTCCTTTTTAAACCGCACACGCTGGATGAACTTGTCAGCGGCGCACACCCAAGCACGTCCAAAAAGTCGACGTTCCCTCCCGTTAAAACTCAACTCACTGCGAGTGGAATAGCCGCCGCCGCAGCAGCATCGACGCCCAGCTTGAGCGAAGAGGGCGACTTTGGTCTGTCCAGCACGACGGCCATCGCTCCTAATGACACGGCGGCGCTGAACTCTAGCCTGGGCCCGCAGCGGAGGCCCTTCCCCTTCAAAACCCAACAGAACCCCCTCCTGCACACCTACCCGGTGGCGCTGCTGCGACAGATGGGCGTGATGCCTCCTCAGGCCGAGCCCCCAGACGTTGACCCGGTCACGCAGAAGCCAGTGGAGCTCTCCGCGCAAGAAGCGTTTCAGCGGTGGGGAAGGACAACCTCTGCCCCGACCAACCCCCTTCTCTCCTCGACGGGCGAGATGCACCTGCTCCCCGTGGCGACGGCGCACCTGCCCACCTCTGCAAACGCCGACCCGCTCGCACCGCCAAGCGGCCCGCTGTCCGACGCGCGTGGCAGCGATGAGACTGTCGCGGGGACGGAGCGGACGTCCGCGTCATCGTCCGCGACCTCGTCCTGCTATTTCCACTATAACAATGCCGTCGCTGCTGCTGCCGCTGCTGTGGGTGGTGGTGATCGTGATGCGGAAGACGCTGACGGCAGTCGTCGCTACGTCGAATCCGTCTCGCATCTGCTCTCGTCTCTGCGGGGCGGCTGCCAAACCGTTGAGAAGCGCGACAGCGGGTCCACCGAGCGCGAGACCGCCGCGCCGGACACCGACGATGGGGACGACTCCAGCGGCGGTGCCGACAACGCACTGGAAGAAGAGAGCGTCGACGAGGGGGGCGAAGAGGCGGCGGAGGAGCCGGATCTGCTGTCGCCTTCTTCATCCGCGGAGGAGGAAGGCGACAAGGCAAAGGCGTCGACGTTTCTGACTGAGGGCGCGGCGCATGGCCAACCAGTGGCGCGCCACCCGCGCTTCACCATCGTGCCGTCTACTCCCATGTCCGTCACCTCCACCATCACCCGGCGCAGCACGGCGACCACGGCCCCCACGGCGACGGCGACGCTCACCTCCGCTGGCGAGGCCGGCATACCGGCAACGAAACTAGGAAAGAAATCACAGCAGTCACCCTGCGCCATCTCTGTATCCGCGACGGATGCACTGCAGTCCTCCGTCTTTAACGTGTCGCCCATGACGGAGGAGGCGAATGAGCGGTGGATTGCGGCGCAGCAGGCGCAGTCGCCGTTTGGCGCTCCCAGTGAGGCACTGCGACCGCGACGGTCACGCGCGTCGTACATCAACACGGACGCCGGCGGCGCCTCAATGACAGACCCGCCGCCAACGGCATCGTCGCCGAAGCACTCCCGCGCTCAGCGTGAACGCACCTTGCTCCGCGGTGCACTGCAGGATTTGGATCCGCAAGTGCTAAAGATACGGGAAGAGCAGATGATGCTGTGCCACGCTGCCGGCCAGATCGATCGTGAGCTGCGTCGGCCCATGGGGGCGGCGTCTTCTGCACGTCGTTCGAGATCGTCGATGGGTTGCACGCAGCAGCCCGGCGCAGCCTCCGCACAGAGCTACGACGCCTCCAGCGGCAGCTCCAACACGGTCAACAGCAGCACGCGAAGGATGGGCGTGGGCGAGTTCACGGCGCGGCTGCTGCGGGTGTGGCGGCAGCGCTCCGGCGATACAGCGGTGGAGGCGTCCGCGGCCCTCATGCAGCAGCTGCAGCGGCCTCCCTCCAGCAGTTCACACGCCGACGAGGCCACCAACGCGTCGATGTCCCGTCGCTCTTTTGCGGACTCGCTGGTGTTGCCGAAGCGGCACAGTAATCGAGGACAGCTGCCAGGCATTGCCTCCCACGACTCCGGCCGGCTGCCGCCGAATGTGATGATGGCGCTTGCAGCCGCCCGGCAGGCCACGCCTGGGGCGGGTTTTGGATTGGATCTGTTGATCCTGACGGTGCCGTGTGAGCCGCCACAGCTGACCCGGCGGCGCCCAGTGCGGGCAAACACAAACCCCAGCCTCCTCGCGGCCTCCGCTGCTGGGCCACCGCCACCATCGTTTGTCACCCCCGCGCGGTCAGCTCGGTCCCTGCCGCGGCTTGGTGTTCAACAGGAGCTGCATCCCGTGCAGGTGGCGCTGCCGTGCACCTTGCAAAAGGACGAGAGTGAGCGACTGCGGCTGCGGCGCTTTGAGGCTGCGGTAAACACGAGAAGCGGCAAAGGGCGGCGGTAAAGTAAAGCAGAAGGGGTGCGAAGGAAGCCTCGTTTTTGTTTAGCCTTCGCTTATTCGTGGCTCGTACGGGTGCCTGCCGGACCGCGCGATTCAGCACTTTATCGTAACCATTGCATATATATACTTACATGTATTGATGTATTCTATTTCCCTTTTCCCTTTATTTTCTTCCTCTCCTCGGTGGAAACTACTTGTATTCTGTAAAGGACCTTCGTTGAATCGCCGCTCGTACGGCTAACATGTACAAAAGAAGGGGTGATCTGCTTGTATGACATATGTAGCAATATATATATTTATAACTCTTACGGTGCCTTATGTTCTCCCTCCCCCCCCTCCCCTCGTGTACTCCGTTGTATTTCCTGTATCTTTCGTGGTGCCCTGTACCCTAGTAAGAAGACATCCATCTCCTATCAATTGTTTGCCAAACGGCGCTGGAAGTGCCTGGGACTTCCCCGAGGCGTCTCTGCAGAGCACACGGAGTGTTTCACACTGGTCCGTATTCGAATCGGTGCTCTGCCCGAACAGCTGCGTGATTTCCCTTTTTTCTGTTTTTAAATGGGGAGGGCAATGGAAGCAATTCGGTGCTTTCCTCTTCTTCTGCGTTTTCTCTTTTTTTAGCTGGCGATCCACGTTGCCGTCGTAGCAACACGGTAGAGAGAGAGAGCGAGAGAAAAGGAGAAGGAAGACATGCTGCTGCCGCCTGTGCCTGTAAGTCATCTCTTTTCTTGTGCTCGCATCTTTCCACGCTTTCCTCCCGCCCTTTCTCGCTCCCTGTCGGTCTACTATTACTGTTATTATGTAAATGGCTTTCACATATCCACGGCACAATTCCACAACGTAATTTCCATGACACCGTGAGTGTTCGTGTGTGCCGATCGCGGTAGTACAGCCGTTTCCGTTTGAATCTCGTCACCACCGCTCTTTAACTATTCTCTGTCTTTTTCCGGTTTATTGATAAACGAACGCCTTCCGTCAGCAGTCGAGGTCAAGCGAGGGACCACCTCAAGCACCTATCAGCACCGGTGTTCATTGCTTTTAACAACAACATCAACAGCAGGCAAGTAAGCAAGAGCAGAGCAGAAAAGACACGCGCTCTAGCGATATGGCGTATCTTCTTCACCCGTCCTCCATTGTTGCCCCGTCAGTGCAGGATCACGTCACCGGTGAGAACGCCTCTGGCGCGGGACTCTTCGGGCCTGTGCGCTCGCTTCTGCACTGCGTGCACGCCGCCCTCCACGGTGCAGCATCCCATGGCGTGGGTGGCGATGGGAATCGCGCGTTTCGCGGCAGCAGCTCCGACGTGCCGCAACACTCAGGAGCCCGACAACGATCCCCCGGTGATGCTGCGTCGAGCCCACTGCCCGCGTCCGGCACTTCATCATCTTCTTCACAGGAAGAGAAGCCTAATGCTACCTACAAAGCACACGCGGGGAATCGATGCGTGCCGTTCGCAGCGACACGTTTCGCCCGACCGTCTTTCACTTCACGAACGCCACAACCGGCCGCCGCCGCAGCGGCTGCAACTGCGGTGCCGGCGCATCGTCGCAGCAGCGGCGCGGGCAACACAGCCGTCACCTCCGCAGTGACCTCCGATGCCGAGTTGTACCGCCGCGCCGTCGACTTTGCCGACGTGGCTGAGGTCCTGCGCTGTCCCCTGCCGCCGGTGGAGGGCTGTCCCACTCTGGGTGCCTACGGCGGGAACCTCGTTAAAGGCGACGTGCCCACCGGCGAACACTCCTCTGCGGCGAGTCCAGCAGGGACGCCGCCGCCACCGCCACCTCTGGCCTTCCGCTGCATCGGCGCAGACCCCGACACCGGCATCACCATCTACAGCACCCCCGTCGAGGACTGCCCGATGCACCTCATGCGCGCCTACGCGATTCTCCCCTGCGCCCCGCGGGACGTGCTGCAGTACATGGACAACGACGTGCGCCCACAGTGGGACACGTACATTCGCCGGAGTGCGCTGCTGCGTGAGCTGCCGCCGCCAGAGGTAGCCGCGGAGGCGAAGCGCACGTATGGGCTGTCGAGCTCAATTGGCACGGCAGAGGCAGGGGTCGGTCGGCGGAGTCCGACAAGTCTGTCGGCCCGAGCACAGCCGCCACCATACCCCTCTGACCCACACCCCAGCGCCACGGCGATGACGGCCTTGCCTACCCATTCCCACGGCTTTAGCTACCAGCCGGGCCAGCGTCGCGTTGCCATCCATTACCTCGAAACCCGCAGCCCCGTTCCCTTTGTGCAGGACCGCGACTTCGAACTCGTGGTGGCGGAGGAGGTGCTGCCGGACGGGACAGCCTACTCGAAGGCCTTGTCGACCCCTTTTGGCTATCACATGCCACTGGACCCGCAGCAGTCCCGCTACGTCCGCGGCGTGGTGCTGCTTTCTGGTTTGGTGGCCCGCCCCCTCGATGCCGCGGTGGTGGACCAGGTGCTGCCGCCGATGCTGCGGCGTCATCGGGCGTCGTTTGCACAGCAGACCAGAATCACGGGGAGGGATTCGAAGGCAGCGCAGCGCAAACCCCTGCCCGCGCAACGGCGGCCACCAGCACCATCATCACCGTCACAATCACCGCCGCCGCCGTCAGAGTACTGCGTGCTGGAGTATGTTGGCCTGGTGCATCCCATGGGCATGCTGCCAGCCGTACTGGTGAACGTGGTCATCTCAGCTCAGCTGAACGCCATGCGTAAGATGCAGGCGTTTATTGCGCGGCACCCGATGTCGACGCTGCGGCCGCGCGGCTCAGCCGCCGCCGCCGCCGCCGCTTCATTGAGGGACCGCCCCGCACTGCGGGCGACGGTGCCTCCGCTGAAGGAGTTGTCCGCGGCTTTGCGGGCGGCGCCATCGGGGGCAGCGGCATCTTCACGGACTGCAATGAGCACAGAAGAGAAGCGGGAAGGAGCGGCAGACGTGGCGGCTACGTCGCCCACGGTGGGTGATGGGTCTGTGAGCACGCATGCTGACCAGACGTCGAAATCCACCGGGTGTTCCGAAGAGGGCGAGAGGCAGCCGGGCACATCAACAGAGAAGGAGGCGGGCAAGACAGCGGAGAGGCAGAAGCGCCAGTCGGCGAGGTCGTGGTGGCGGTGGCGACCAGGCCCTTTCTTCTCTCGGCTCTAACAACAACATAAAAAAAGTATATACGCAGATATATTATGGCCCTCTTCCTTTTTATTTTCTCTCGCTGTCCCTTTCTCCTCCATTGGTTGTCTCACCTGAGGCCTAGTTTCGACACGAGCTTGCCAGCTGTTTTGATGAGAGTTATCCTTTTCGTTCGCTGGATTAGTTCGAATATGCTACGTGGGGAAAGCGGTTCGTGTCGTCCTTAGAAGGCCTTTTGAATTTACTCACCTCGTCTCTGTTTTCTGTTGTAAAACATGTTGCTATATCTATATGGGAAAACAAAACTGGGAAAACACGATCGAATATCAAGGGAAACAAAAGTGGAGAAGTGATCCTGCTGTTGCTCAGCGAGGTAAGCTCGTCGACATCGGAGCTTCGGCCAGTCTGTTTAGGCCTCTTTGCGAGTTTTTATTCCGTTATGATGATGATGATGTTTTTTTTTTCAATTAGTGGCGTTCTGTAACGAAATCACAGCTTCCGGGTACCATCACCTTTGCAGACGTTCCCACCCCGCTCCATTCTCCTTCCCCCCGCTCCTTCCTTGCCTCCCTGCCGCCCTTCCTATCCACGCTTGCACGGCAAACAGGAAGGGAACGCTTTTAGTCGCGCATGCTCGTGTGCGTTTCATCTTGACGCACACTTACCTGGTTTACTTTCAAAGGATAATAATAAAACAAAAACAAACAAAAGAATCGCACCACAATGCTGACCACCTTCTGCTGGGTCCCCAAGGGGGCGATGAAGGCCACTCCGATCCTGTCCACCGATACGGCGAAGCAGGCGCGTGCGAAACTGCGCCATCAGCACCCCGAGTACGTCGAGGAGGAGGAGCAGCAGGGGCAGCGTCAGAGAGCATCGGCGGAGGATGAAACCCACGAGCGCTCCGCCGCGGACGCGGATGACGAAGACGCACTGAACGTCAACGTTGACGACGCCCTCCGCGCCTTCGCCGGTGGTGGCCCCGGTGCGCTGCTGGAGGAGGTCGAGTCGGACGATGAAGAGGAGTTGGAGGACACCACGTTTAAGCAGACCGACCTCGTCTTCACGGTGGCCTGCGCTGATGCAGAGGCGCCGCGGCTGGAGCTGTACGTCTACGATGAACCAGAGGACAACATGTATGTGCATCACGACATGGAGATCTCTGCGTTCCCGCTGTGCAGCTCGTGGCTGACAGATGGCACCATGTCGATGGCGGCTGTCGGCACGATGCTGCCCTTCATCGAGATTTGGGCCCTTGACGTCATGGACTCCGTAGAGCCCGCCATCATCCTCGGCGGGTGCGAGAAGCAGTCGAACAACTACTCCAAGAAGGCGCTGCGGCGAAACCTGAAAGCGGACTCGCACACCGAGGCGGTGCTGTCGGTGAAATGGAATACCGTCGCACAGAACGTCTTCGCCTCCGGCAGCGCCGACCGCACGATGAAACTGTGGGATTTGAATGCGGGCGGTGTCTGCCTGGGCACCTACAGGGAGGCGGACAAGGTGCAGTCGCTGGACTGGCACCCCACCGAGGCGAACTGCCTCCTCTCTGGCGGCTTCGACGCGAGCATGGTGCTGCGCGACTGCCGTCAGCCGGACCAGACGGCCCAGCGCTTTACCCTGCCCGATGTGATTGAGCATGTGGAGTTTGTGCCGGCGCTGGGCGGCGCAGGGGCGGCCCCGCTGGTGATGGCCTCCACGAGCGGCGGACACTGGGCCGCCTTCGACACCCGCGTCGTCGGCACGCCGGTCTGGCAGGTGCAGCCACACCAGGCCGACGCCACCTTCAGCTGCTCCCGCCAGGTCCCGGGGCTCTTCGCGACGGGCGGCAAGGAGGGCACCATCACGCTGTGGGACGGCCGCGACGGCGGTGCCGCACCGACGGCGATTGTGTCGCGGAGCTACAAGACAGGCTCGGTGCTGTCCTTGGCATTTCACCCCAACTCACCGCACATCCTCGGCGCTGGCGGTGCATCCGGGGCGCCGCTGGTGTACACCATCACGTCCGACATCCACGATGTGTTCCGATAAGTGTGGCTGCTTGTCTTCTTTTCTGTTGCTTTCGCAGGGGAAGAGGCAAGAGGTGGGGGTTCCTCTGTCGATGCTGGCGTGCACAGCCCAAAAACATGATAATCTGAAGGTCTTCAGTAATGCCGAACTCGTATAACCGTTTTAATTGTTCCCTCACACGTACCTGTGGTGGTTGGCGCGTAAAGTCTGCAAGCGTAGCACGTAAACAAAAAACCCAGTAAAAAAACTCATATACTAATCTATAAAGGAGTAGAGCTCACTTGTCAAACGCTGCAGCAGCAAATGAAACTGAAGCTATTTTGCTTGTCTGCATTCGGCGGTTTTCACTGCTTTTCTTTTCCGTCCCAGCGTGCGTGAGACACGGCAATGATCTGTGCAAAGCAACTGTTGGTGGAGCTCTCGATGTAAGCAGCTTCTGCTGGCAGCAAGGTGGTCGGCTGCGCGAACAAATGCGCGTGCCGCCCCCTCCTCCCTCCCCCCGCGTTTGGTGCGAGCGTAAAACAAAGTGCGGAATGAGTCGCTGGACAGTGTCGGCCTCTGCTTGCCCAACCAACTTCGCCGATCTGTGGGTGCAGACTTCCCTGCCAAGAAAGGGAGGCCCCATGGTTGTTTCTTTGCAAGCTCCCTTTTCCGCTTCTCTATTGGCCTTTCACACCCCATCTGCTTTTCTGTCCTTGACGAAACAAACAAACAAACAAAACTCGCGCTACCAACGACCCCGCAGTCTCGCTCTCTTTCCAGCTCACGCACACAGTGCTTTCTTCCGCTTAAACTTCGCTTCCCTCCTTCCGTAACCATGAAGATCTTCAAGGACGTGCTCACCGGTGCCGAGGTGGTGTGCGACAACGACCGCCCCTTCGACGTGGAGGGCGACATCGCGTACATGGTGAAGGGCCGCTACATCGACGTCGGCGGCGAGGACTACGGCATCTCGGCCAACGTGGACGAGGACGCCGCGGAGGGCGCGACCGGCGATGTGGCGGAGGGCAAGGAGCGCGTGGTGGACGTGGTGTACAACAACCGCTACACCGAGACGTCGTACGACAAGGCGTCGTACATGGCGCACATCCGCGGCTACATGAAGCAGCTGCTGGAGAAGATCGAGTCCGCTGATGAGAAGAAGGCCTTCCAGACCAACGCCGCCGCCTTCGTGAAGAAGGTGCTGAAGGACATCGACGACTACCAGTTCTTCATCCCGGAGGGCAACGAGGAGGACCCGGACAACGGCATGATCGTGCTGTGCCGCTGGGACGGTGAGACGCCGATGTTCTACTACTGGAAGGACGGCCTGAAGGGCGAGCGCGTCTAAGCGTTTGCGAAGGCACCGGATTCTCTTCAAGGATCTCGGCTGATAAAGTACAAATTAAATCTAAGCAAAATTAAAGAAAAGGTAAGAAGATATATTTATACACTGTGAAGAAGAATGGATCTTTTAAGCAATGTAATCTGGTAAAGGCGCATTGGATGGCGAGAGGGCGTTGAGAGCAGTAGGACAGGTTCTCGTGAGCCGTCATTTTTCCTCTCTCCGTTGATCACCATTCTGTCTTCATTTTCTTTTACACTCTTTTCCAATGTACTTGTAGGTCAGGTGAGCACCTGTTTTACTCCGTCTCGCGAGCTGGCTGGAGGTAGGAGAGGAGAGCGGTAGAACTGAGATGGCTTCCTTCTCTTCTATCTTTCTTCTCTCCCCCCTCTCCTTCATGCTGTGCACACGTCGGAAAGGGAGCTGGTGTACTGACTTGACGTAACAAGCCGCATGGAGAAGAAGAGTACTGGTTGACGCGCGCCCCCCAAATTATTAAGAACTCATTCAGAGAAAAAGCGAGAATCTACGAGAGGTGGCCTTGACCAGCGCATTGAAGCTGCGGAGGGGCACAGCGGGCGAAGGCTTCCTGTTGCTTCGCCCCCCTCCCTCCCTCCTCTTGGCTGCGTGTCTGCTGCGGGGAAGCATCGCCGCGGTATTCTTCTGACGCATTGCGCTGGCCGGCCAGAGTTTTTCGCTCTCCGATTCAACGGCGGAAACAACACCGCGCGGATGGAGCGTCCAAAGGAGCGAATGCAGTTCATGTTTTCCTCTTCAATGTATCTGGCTCTTTTGTTGTCGCACCCCAGCATGCGCGCTGAAGGCGAAGGCGCTTGATGTACGAAAGAAGAAAGAGTATGGAAGCGAGAATTTGCTCACGTGTACTACCGCATCGTTGCATCTTCCATTTTCGCTTCTTCTCCTCTTTTCTCCTCTTTCTTATGTGTTTTACGTTGAAACGGGCTTGCGTTGCTACAGCGAAATGAGGTTTATTCGTAGGTGGTTTTTTTAGTTTGTTGTCATGGCATCGTTGGGAGACGCACGTGAACCGATGGATGCCCCGTCGGTCAACGCTCAGCTCAGCTTCTTCCTGCAGCAACACGCCTCCTTCTCTTCATTTGCCACCTCAGAGCTTTCCTGCGAAGGGCTGCGGCGTTATCCTCTACCGGTGCTAACAGGGGCAACGGCTACCGATGCCGCCGGGTTCGCGGGCATGCGAGCTCAACCTGTGGCAGCCTTCGACTTGTCCGCCTCTTCGACGAACCCGTACGGCAGACTTCACTCAGTCGCGAGTGCGGTGCATCAGTTTTGGCAAACATCCGATGCGTCTTCTTCGACAGACTCCTCTCATGCAACAGGAGGGGAGGCCACCTCGTCGTCGTCGCATGCAGTTCATCATCCAACTGGCCGCGGAGAGGAAGGAGTAGGCAACGGCGCTGCGTGGTTGGCGCAATCGCCGTTTCGGGGGTGCGCACGGGCGTCCTTTCACGCACGGTTACGTCACCTGGCCACGCCGCCCTCGTCCAAGTGTTTTGATTCACACAACACAAATAGTTCCATAGAAGCGCCATGCCAGGGGCCGCTGTCATGGATGGATGCGTTGTGTCATGGCTTCTCCACTGCTGCTGCTGCCGTTGACGATGATGGCCCTTCCCGTCGAAAGCGGCTGCGCACCGCATCAGCAGTGGCTGTGACGCAACCACCACCGCCGCCGCAAAAGTGTCAAACCACCGCGTGCAATCAAAATGCTGATGTGTGCACAGAGAACGTCGCCACTGCAGCGATAGCACGAGATGTGCGGCGCATGACCACGGTGGAGGCACATGAAGTGGCGACGAGAGAAACGCGTGCCCCATCACCGGCGTTGCGGTCACGCGTGACGGAGAACGATGACCTGCTGGGCATGTTGCTGGGGGTGCCCACGGTGGTGCCAGCTGCCATTGCGGAGGACCGCCCAATGAAAGGTGGTGACGGCGAAGCGAATGGCTCGGCGGCGAGGTCGCACGCCGACCTCCATCAGCGCCGCACTTCCGCTCCCGAAACAACGCAGCAGGAAGCAGCGGCGGCTCCGCAGGTGACGGCAAATGCGAAGGATCGTCGACCCGTGCACGCAAACGCACTCTCCTCGGACGATGAGGCTTGTCTGATGCGGTGCAGTGTGAAGGAGCTGAAAGATACCTGCGCTCGACTCGGACTGTTAAGCACGGGCTCGAAACACGTGCTGCTGCAACGCATTCAATTATATCAATCATCGAGGAAGCCGACCAAGGACACAACGAACACCTCAATGCCTGCAAGCCAGTTGCCATCCGCAACACCATTTCCACCACTATCAGGAAGGCGAGATGTTTCTCTAGCTGCCCCTGCCGCAACGCCTCCAGTTCTGCTGTCTAGCCGCTCCGCCAGTGGGTTGCCGCCGCGTACCGTCTTCCGTTATCGAAGTCCGTCAGCGCCGCCGGGTGCATCGACAGTGACAGTGGCCACCGCTGATAATATGGAAGGAAAGACACGTGTTAGCACACCGCACTCCGCATCACCTTTGACAGTGACGCTACGTGGTAGTGCAGCGACATCAACGGCGCTGGGAGAAGATGTGCTGCGGTTTGCACCCACAATGGCGCCTCCAGCACCCCCTTCACGCCGCGTCGTGCCCTCCCCTACTGCGTTTCTTCAGCAACTCGTGGCAACTCACCACCATCAACAGCAGCAGATCATCGCAACATCCCTTCCTACAGCTCACAATGCATGTGAAGGGACTGAAGCGAATCTCTGCGTGAGTGACAAGCGAACAACCCCACCACTTCTTTCTCCAGCTGCGTCGCGTGCTCAGGAAGATGCGCTCAAGAGTGAGATGAGTGCCGTGCGCTGGCAGTGGTTGGTCGACTTCCGCGAGCGCGCCGGCGGCCAGCGCGGCAGTCGGTCAAAGCACGAGGGAATGATCGATGCGTTCCGCCGTCAGCAGGTGCCGTGCACGTCCGTCATGCTGCCTTGTGGTGACTTCATGCTGGCAGTGGATTTGTCCCCGCAGGAGGCTGATGAACTCCAGCAGGCACATCAACGCGGCTCCTCTTCTGCTGCATCGGTGTTGTCGCAAGCTGAGGAAAGTACAAACGAAGTGCGCGGGGCGACCGGGAATGCACCGGCGGAGCCGTCGCCTATTTTCGGGCACGTGTGCTCGCTGGTCGTGGAGCGCAAGACGGCTGCGGATCTCGACGCGAGTGTGAAAGGCTCGCGCTACTCGGAGCAGCGCCGTCTGCTGGAGGCCTCACCGTATGCGCTGGTGGTTTGGCTGATTGAAGGCACCGATGTGGGCGGGGGAGGTGCAGGGCGAAGTGCGAAGGGCGGTTTCTTCTCTCGACCTCACACGTGCCCCCAACAGGGCGGAAGCCGAAGTCCGTCGCCAGCACCCAACGACAGCGATGTGGCGTCAGCGACGGACGTTGCAAGTGTGGCCTCGCCCACCTCGCCGTCGTCACCGGTGGAGAGCGCGCAGCAGCGGGTGGACTCGGCGTGCGCGTCGCTGGGCATGCAGCAGCAGCAGCAGCACGGTAGCTGGCTGGTCGTGCGCACGCGTAACACGGCGGAGAGCGTGCAGTTTTTGAAGCAGCTTGCGCTACAGGTGGCGCGGCAGCTGGCGGCGCGGCGTCTGACCCACCGCGAGACGTCTTCAGCGTCGAGAAGCGCGTTGCCCATTGTGACGACCGACATGGATCTTGCCCGTGTGGAGGTGGGCGCCCACCTGAGCAGCTCGTTCTGCTCTTTACCGCTTGCACGGATGACTGCACCGAGCCGTGGTGAGAGCGCCGCCCACGTTTGCCGTGCCCTTTCTCATGCCTTTCTGCAGTTTGGGCCCACTCAAGATTGCTTACAAAGCGTCGGTGCCCTCCAGCGACGACTACGCGCGCAGACGGCCTTTCCACGCATGCTGCTGTGTGTTCGCGGCTGCTCACCGAGTCTGGCTGCTCTCTTAACCAGCAAGTATGGCAGTTTGATGGGTTTTTGGCGGGCGCTGCGCAGACATGGGCGCGAGGCCTGCGATGCGGACCGCGATATCCGCCGCCTGTCCACGGCACAGAAGAAGGTGTTTATTCTGCTGACGGAGTTTCTCCTGGCGAAGGACTACTATTGAGGTGCGTTTCCCTCTCTAGAAGAGAAGCCGATCAACAACCCCATCCTTGATCGCAGGGTTTTTTTTTTTGAATCGGTGGACCCTGCAAGCACCACGTGTATATGTTTAAAATCATAATCAACCTTCGTTATTAGACGTTCTTAGATGCTTCTCGTTTTTCTATGTCCTTTTCCTTCTTCACTTGACAGATGGTGGCGAGGCTTCTGTGTGTGTGTTGCACCGCCACGGCAACTTGAGTCCTCAAGAAAAGTTTATCGCGCGATGTTTTAGTCGAGGAATGAATTCGATGGATTTGGTTGCGTGTATTTCAACGTACACGCGTTGTTTCCTTTTCTTAGATCCCTTCTCTTTGCATCTGCGTCGTTGGCGGAGAAAGGAAACTCGTCTGCGTCCTTCGGCCTTCTCATGCGTATGCCGCTGTTTACTCGCTTGCGCCTTCTTTTCTTCCTTTCCTTTCTTTGCATTTCGCACTACTGGGCCTCGCTGACCGTACAGTGAAAACCCACGGAGGCTGTGGACAGAGAGGGGAGAACGTTCTTGTAACGACTTTGTGGGTGTCCCCTTGCCACCGTAATTATTTGGCTGTAACGCCCACACACGCACTCGCACCTTTCCTGCCTGACTGATCGGCAGAAAAATAGAAGAAAAAGGAAAGCTCACAACAGACACGAACAGAACTAAGCTCTTTCACTATAGAGTACACTGCAGAGCGTGTTGTCGTTTCCCTGCAGAGCTGCTCTTGCATTACACACGCACATTGCTCGCACACATACACACACACACACACACGAGAAAAAAAACTCTCTTACCAGCGAGGTATTTCCTGACCCTACCAGAGAGAATGTCGTGAAGACGCTCATCAGTGACATTTTCCTGCTCTTCTGCGTCTCCTCTGCGGATATTTTTTTGGTTTCTTCTTTCACCCCCTCACCTTCTTGCCGCTGTGGAATCTTATCTTCATTGCGCCAACTGCGGACTTCACTTTGCCGCGACGCCGTTGTAGTTGCGCTTCCGTTTTCGGACCAGCAGAACACGTTTTCACTCACAACCACAGCCGCAGAAATTCTTTTTTTTATCTGCGCGTGCTCCGTCTAATTCTTCTTCTTGATTTGCTTCTTCTTCTTGATTTGTTGAGTTCGCAGCATGCATCCGCCTCGCAAAATGTCGTTGTCTGCAGCGCCTCCTGCTTCCGCACCTCCATTGCCTCCGCTGGCGGCTTCCTCTTCTCCTGCCTCACTTGTCACCGCGGCTCCCTATCGCACAAACCTCAAGGAATGGGTCTCTGCGCTCGCAAGGGCAACGCAGCGTTGCCTGTCGGGTAACGGCGGGGCGGCCTCAAACAGCAGCATCAACGGCTCTGCCAGGGACACCACCCCCACCTTCGCCGAGTATCACGCGGTGTCTCTCCAAGCAGGAGCCGCCGCATCGTCATCGGCGCCGCCGCCGCCACCGATGCTGCTCTTTCCTTCCCGTGCACAGATGCCGGATCGTACTGCTGCGATGAGCAGCAACTATTCACGTCCTACTGCTGCGTCTGCTGCCCTTCCGTCGTCGTGTCTTTCGTCAACAGGGCCAATCAGCAGCAACAGCGGCAATGATAAGGCAAGCACTTCGCATCCACAGCCGCCGTTCCCATCGACCACTGTCCTGCCTCCCGTCGTCGCCGTTTCGGTACACAGCGGAGGAACAGGTGAGGGGAAAATGGAACGCGAAGGGCATCAAGCACAGCAGCGACCACCACCACCACCACAGGGGCGGTCGTCAGATCCTTCTCTTTCCTCCTTCGCGGTGCCCTCCCCTACGGCGGTCGCGTCCTCCCTGCCGCCACCGCAGCCCCCCATCGCCCCTCCTTCTCCGTCGCCTGCCGAATTTCTCAACGAGGTGAAGTCGGAGATGCGACTGGTGGCACGGCAGCTGCGCGAGGCACAGCAGCAACGAGACGACGTCATTCTTCTCGAGGACGAGGAGCACGACGCCTCTGCGGAGTTGATGCAGCTTGACGGCAGGATTGGCGAGCTAGAGAGGCGCTTTGCGCTGCTGCGGTTGTCACAGGCAACGCTGCTGCGCCGTCCTACCCCGGTCGCCACCCCGCTCCCCTCAGCCGCGTCGTCGCTGATGGGCTCGCCACGCACGGTGTCCGCGACAAACGTGAGCAACAGCACCAGCTTTACGGGTGCGCCGCCGTTGTGCTACGCGACAGCGGCGACAACGCCATCGACGACATCGGTAATGGGAGCCGTCAACGACGTGAACAGAAACGCTAGCTTTGGCACATCGCTTCGTAGCGGCATCCATGAAGGAGAACAGTTCCAGAACAGCAATAATTCTCCTTATTCGTTCACGAGCACTGCGGTGGCGGCCGGCGATCCGTCGCGTGCGGTGCCGTCGCTGCCGGCGCTTGCCTGGTCGTCTTCCACCACCGCCTCACCTGCCCTCAACGGCGCAACGACGTCTTCCTGGTCTACGGCCCTCGCCCAATACAACGCAAACAACAGCAGCAGCATGAACTGTAATACCAACTACACAGGGGCTAATGGAAACGGCTTTGAGGGCAGCGGTGGCGGCAGTAATGATACTATGGGCGAGGCTTCTGCCCCCTACACACGCAAAGGGTTTTCCTGGGAGGTGTACGAGCAGCAGGTGGACCTGGACGCGCTGTCACGCGATGCCCTCTCCCGCACCGCCCACGTGGAGTTGCCAGTGAACCCGACACAGCAGTACGGCGGCGAGCGCTTTCCGTGGTCGACCGAGCTGCGGCGCATGATGCGCGAGGTCTTCGGCCTGCACGACTACCGCTTCTGCCAGCTGGATATCATGAACGCCTGCATGGATGCGCGGGACGTCTTTGTGCTGCTGCCGACCGGTGGCGGCAAGTCCCTGTGCTACCAGCTCCCCGCCCTCATGCCGAACCCTGCCCAGGTCACCATCGTCATTTCCCCGCTGATTTCACTCATCCAGGATCAGGTGTACGCGTTGATTGCAAATGACATCCCGGCCATGGCGCTGACCGGCCAGACAAACGACGCAGCCCGGCGCAGTCTCTTTCAGGAGTGGGCCGCCGGCCGTGTGCTGCACACCCTTGTCTACGTCACTCCCGAGTACTTTGGACGGAGCGACCACTTCATTGGGACGCTGCAGAGCCTGGCGGGTCAAGGGCTGCTGTGCCGCTTCGTGATTGATGAGGCGCACTGCGTGTCGCAGTGGGGTCACGACTTTCGCCCCGACTACCGCAAGCTGTCCGTGCTGAAGAGCCAGTTTCCATCCATCCCGATCACCGCCCTGACGGCCACCGCGACGGACTTCGTCCAGCAGGACGTGATCAAGACCCTCGCCCTCCGCGACGCCATCATCTTCAAGGGCTCGTTTAACCGGTCCAACCTGAAGTACTCCGTGCAGCACGTGCAGGGCAAACAGGTCATCGCCGTCGTGGAGGACTTGGTGCTGCACCGCTTCTCGCCCAGCTCGTGCGGCATCGTCTACTGCCTCTCGCGGAAGGACTGCGAGGAGATGGCGTCGGCGCTCGTGCGGCGTGGCATCAAGGCCTCCTACTACCACTCCGAGGCCTCCGCAAAGAACGAACGGCAGGAGCAGTGGACGCGGGATGAGCTGCAGGTGATCTGCGCGACCATTGCCTTTGGCATGGGGATTAACAAGCCCGATGTTCGCTACGTCATCCACGCGGCGATGCCGAAGTCGATTGAGGGCTATTACCAAGAGAGTGGCCGTGCGGGACGGGACGGGCTGCCGTCGGACTGCGTGCTGCTGAGCGCGACGACGGACCGGCAGCGGCAGGAGCGGCTGATCCACGGCTCGAAGGACTGGCGGGCCTCGTTGACCTCGCTGCATCGCATGCTGTCGTACACTCTGAATGACGTGGACTGTCGCCGACGTCAGCAGCTCGATCACTTCGGCGAGGCGGTCGATGTGCATTTTTGTTTGACGCAGCGTGCGGCGGAGGAGGCGGCGGGGGTGCGTGGACCGGCCGCCACCAGCGTCACGCAGCTGTGCGACAACTGCGCCAGCAAGCTGGCGGAGGGCTGGGCTGTGAAGGAGGTGAACGTGAACTCGATTCTGATAGATTTGTACGCCATCGTGCAGCGTCTCGGTGCGCTGACGGCGAAGCAGCTCCTCGGCGTGTACCGAGGCGCGGTCTCTGAGATAGGGCGGGCGGTGGAGGCACGTATGCGGGTGAAGGGGACACCATCGGAATACAAGAACGGTGGGAAGCAGCCCAAGACACTGCTGGAGCGCGCGCTCCTACAAGCGATGCAGCTGGGGTTATTTGAGGAGCGTCTGGACAGCGTTAACGACTTCGCCGTGTGCGCCTTCGTCGAGCTCGGTGGCGGCCCGGCGGCGCAGCAGTTGTATCGAGATATCAAAGCAGGGAAGCGAGTCATCGTGGTGCGCACACGCGGTGAGAAGGCTCCATCAGGCAAGGGTGATATGAGTCTTGGCAGCAACGACATCAACGGCGTAGTAGCGGCGGCGGTGGCGGCAGGGGCAAAGGAAAACAGCATCACCGTGGAGGCGTTTGCGAACGCGCGGGCTGGTCGGACGCTGCGCCAGAAATTAATGCCAGCGGTGCCCGCCACCGCCGCTGAGGACAACGTACCGCTTTCTGTGCTTTTTGAGGGGGCTCCGGGTTCATTCGGCAACGCATGCGACGCCCCGACATCGAGAGCGAAGGGAGCGACGGCGGCAAGGAAGACGAAGTCTGCCGGGACGCGCCGCGGCGGAGGCTACGTGCTGGATGAGGCAGATGCCGACGGCGACGCGGTCTCCTCTATCGACTCCGACAGCGACGCGGAGGCTGACCTGAGCAACATGTCTAGCTTCATCAATGATGACAGCACTAGCGTCAGCAACAGCAGCAACATCACCGACTTCTCCACGCCAGCTGCGTCGTCGCACAACACAACCCCGCGGCGAGAAACGGACACGGGTACGGCGATGCGTCGAGCACAGGCACTGGCGGGGTCTCGCTTACCCTCTCTGAACGACCGGGCTTCTACTACTTCTGGGCAGCTGCCCAACGCCTCCATGCGCCGCGCCAGCGACGGCGACCCCAACTCATCTGGCCAGCAGCCCCGCAAGCGATCGCGCAAAGAAAAAGCCGGCACGTCAGCTGCAACGGCGGCACCTGCGTCGACGGTGCCGGCGGCGCGCCTGGAGCGGTTGAAGGTGCTTCTCCAAGAGGAAATGGAGCAACTCGTGCAGACACTCGTGGGGCAGTCCGTCGGCTGCCGCAGCTACAACGTCATGCCGAAGAGCACCATTCTGCGCCTCACCGACACCTTGGCGGTGCCGCGGTGGGGCACGGTGGATGACCTGATGGACTTGGAGGGTATGGGAAAGAACAAGGTGAAGCGCTACGGCGCGGACATTCTGCGTGTCTACCGCCGCTTCCGCTACCTGCACATCGGCGACGTGAATGAGCTGACGGAGCAAGAGGCGGCGGAGTTGAAGGAGGTGAAGACGGCGGTGCGGCCACGTCATCGCCTCGTCCGTGGCAGCGAGCTCGTCGTGGAGGAAGTCGTGGAGGAGGACAACAGCAACGGCACCCCACGGGCGTCGTCCTCGGGGCTGCAGCCCATCAGTGGCAGCGACAGCCGCAATGGTAGCGTTGCTGCGACAGCGGGCGTGCTTGCCATGGCTGGTGTGGCGGGGGTGACGCATCACCTTGCGCAGCCGTCCATCTTACTCGACCCCACCACCCCCGATAAGACAAGGACGGCGTCCATCTCGACGGCCGGCACGCCATCGCAGCCGCACGGCGGTCCCCTGGGCCGCTCCCCTGGCAGCGGTGTGGTGGTCGACGACGCAGGGCCGCCCCAGGCACCACCGCGGCGCACCACCTTCACGTTTTCAACAACGAGCAAGCCAGCCGATGGCGCTGGCGGTGGTGGCGCTAACGCCGCTGTCGATGCAGGCGCACCGTCGACGTCATCGCTCGTACGTCCTTCGCTGCAGGTGCCGCACATCAACGTGGCTTCCTCAGCTGCTGCTGCTGTGTTGCCCCACACGGTAGACACGCTCGACAACCTCACCTATGATCCGTCTATGTCGGCACCGGCGACTGCATCGGCGGGCCGAGCACCCACGGCGATGGCGGTGAGAGGCGATGGAAGCGGTGCGGCGCGGTCCCTTGTGTTTAGTACCACGTCTCCTCCGTGGTCACAGCAGCAGCAGCAAGTGCCACCACAGCAGAATCATTTTTCCACTGCGTCGGTGTCGAGAGGACTCCCCGGCGCTCCCGTGCAGTTTTCCGCTCCCCTGCTTCCCGAGCCGCCGACGTGGCCCAGCACGTTGGGCGCGATCTCCTCCAACCCATTCGCTGCTGATGCTGCTGCTGCTGCTGCTGCTTCGGTGGCGGTGACGCGTGCACATGTACACCCCAACATGGACCTCCTTACACCGTACACCCCGGTTCCTTTACTCAACCAACAAGGGCAGACGATGGCGGGGGACGTCGTCGTGCCGCCGCCACCGGTGGGTGCCACAACGTACGGGTACCCCAGCGGTGACCCGAGTTTGGCGGACACGCTGCGTGGCGGCGGCGGCGTCCCTCTCAACGTTGGACACACACCTGCTTTCGCGGTTCTCGGCGATGCGCCGCATCATCGAACGGCACCGAGCAGCACCAACAATAATATCAACACCGATGAGCTGCTTATTGGCAGCAGTCCGATGCCCACCCAACAGCAACGCCAGCAGAGTCACAACGTCGAGAAGTACGGATTGCATGGCGCTGGCCCCAGCGATTCCACTGCCGCACACGCCGAGTCGGTAATGCTGCTAGGCTCCGACGGTGCCACTCAGGCACCGCTGTTACCATCGCCCAGCAGCTTCATCCCATCGGCAAGTAATGGCAGCGACAACAACGGCAGCAATTACGTCGGCACTGAGCTGGCAGTGCAGGGCGGCAACGCAGCTGCTGGGAGAGGAAGAGTAGGAGGGGACGCCGACACGAACAGCGTGGACTTTCTCATGAATTTATGCGATGATGCGCAGCTACGAACTCCCCTGAGCGGCAGTGGCGGTCAGCCATCGCCGAGTCGGCTGCCGCCCCAACGCCTCTACAACTATCACTATCACCAGAACAACGCAACGAGGGAGAATGGGAGCGGCAGCGTACGCGGTGCGGCGCCCCAGTCAGATCGTCTGAACACGAGCGGTGCCGCCGTCCCTACCTCGCCCTCGCCCCTCTGCTCTACGGGGACGGACGAGGAGGCGATGTCGTCGTCGGAGCGGCTGCTGTTTCAAACCGGTACTCCACAGGCGGCAGGGTCAGCCAAGCCAACATCGCAAAGGACGAAGAGAGGCAGCGGGGATCGGTTGGAGGTGTTTACGGTGGACGACGACTCCGAATGAATAAATGTGAGAAGGGAGAGCAGAACCTTTGTCTTGTGCGAAGGAGTGTTGTGTTGTCTGCGTTATATTTTGTTTTATGGAATGCAATTCATTTCCTGCTTCAAAGAAAAAAAGAAGAAACAAGCATTGTACTCCTCTCTTCTTGGTCAGGCGCACGTGTTAGCTGCACCTACGCCAGCTGTTCGTCATGCTCCCAGCTTCTGTTCTGCGCTGCACTCTTTCGTGGAGGAGCATCAACAGCACAAAAGCCTGCTCGAATGTGTGTGTGTGTGTGTGTGTGTGGTCGCGCTCAGATTTAGCGCCTCTGCGTGTTTGAAAGTGGCTCAGCAGAAACCCTCCGGGTACACGACAGCTCCTCAGCAGCTCGTTTTGTTTATGTGAGCTTTGGCACCTCGTGATCGACAGTGGAAGCCTGATCAGATCTACTCACCAACTACTCTTTTTTTCTTCTGCTGTTACTACTACATCTCTTCTCTGGGTTCATGCGGGTGGTGGCTCTTGCATTCAGCAGGGGATCTCCGACCATTGGTGTGCCGTTCACCTATCCTGTCCTCACACTAGTGCTCCATGATCAAGGCGGTGCTCATCATCAACACAGCCGGCAAGGTCCGGCTGCTCAGCTGCTACGAGAAGGGCATCTCCCTCGCGCAGCAGCAGGAGTTGGTGCGCAGCATCCACCGCGCCATCTCGCGCCGCGGCGACGAGCTTTGCAACTTCGTAGACGACTTCCACGAGTGGCCTACCCCCGACACCCGTGTCATATACCGCCGCTACGCTACACTGTGCTTCGTCTTTGTCACGGACTCGTCGGAGTCTCAGCTGGCGATTCTCGACCTCATTCAGGTGTTTGTCGAGGCCCTCGACCGCACCTTCGAGAACGTGTGTGAGTTGGACCTGATCTTCCACTCCGAGAAGGTGCAGTACACGCTGATGGAGATGATTATGGGCGGGATGGTGCTGGAAATGTCGCGCGATGAGATTATCCGCAGTCTGGCGGAGATGACCCAGCTGAGTGCGAACACCGTTGCCGACAACGGAGGGTCCCGCACTTTGTCTGGCTATCATTGAGCGCGGGAGGATTCAACCGTTTCGATCTTTTTAAATACTTTTTCTTCCACGATGAAGCTGCTGAGAAGACAAAAATTCTCTTTGTTTTTTGTTGGCGTGGATGACTGTGGTTGCTGCTGTTGCGGAGAAAATGGAGTTCATTCTTCTTCTTCGTATCTTTGTTGTTGTGCGCTCGTGCGTGGGTGTTGTTTCGGCTCCGAGCACAGCAGGAAATGACAAATGGACGAACCACTTCGGTGTCCAAACACACGGGGACTGTTTTTCGGGAAGGTTAAACGAAAAGAAAAATGAGATGAGCGAGGAGGAGCTGCCGTTCGTAGGCACACGGACAAGAGATGCACTTTTCAAAAGGAAATATAAACGAAAAGGGGCTGCGAAGTACCTCGTCCAGACGAGGTAGAAAGATGCTACAGGAAGGCACACGGTTTCCGCTTTTCACCACGGGAGCTATCCAAGTTGTATGCCTCGCTTCTTTTCCAATATCTTCCTTTTGCTTGTTATTGCTATTCCTCCCCCCCCCCCCCCCCCCCCCCCCCCCCCCCCCCCCCCCCCCCCCCCCCCCCCCCCCCCCCCCCCCCCCCCCCCCCCCCCCCCCCCCCCCCCCCCCCCCCCCCCCCCCCCCCCCCCCCCCCCCCCCCCCCCCCCCCCCCCCCCCCCCCCCCCCCCCCCCCCCCCCCCCCCCCCCCCCCCCCCCCCCCCCCCCCCCCCCCCCCCCCCCCCCCCCCCCCCCCCCCCCCCCCCCCCCCCCCCCCCCCCCCCCCCCCCCCCCCCCCCCCCCCCCCCCCCCCCCCCCCCCCCCCCCCCCCCCCCCCCCCCCCCCCCCCCCCCCCCCCCCCCCCCCCCCCCCCCCCCCCCCCCCCCCCCCCCCCCCCCCCCCCCCCCCCCCCCCCAACGGGTATTCTTTCTTTGCTGCTAGGTCCTTCACAGCTGCCGCAGTAAGGCGGTTCTCTAGACATCTTTTGTTTCTTGTTCACAGCATTCGTTTAACATAATGTTTACGGCCTCTCCCAGTGCAGAGGACGATGAAGCCCGGCTTCCCACGTGTGCGGAGCAGCTCCACGACCTCGCCCAGTCCCTCCCGCGCCACATTGAGCACACCGTACTTCCACAAGTAGCGGAAGAAGTTGCCTACAGCGCGGCAGATCTCAGCTCACAGGTGGACGGTGCCCGACAGCGCCTCCTGCAATCTGCCGTGCTGCGCCGCTCCGCCGTGCTGGCCCCAATGCTGAAGCAGCAGCTTGTCCATGACGCCGCCCGCCTGCAGCGCCGTCGTGCGCAGCTCGTGCAGGAGCTGCAGCGGTACGTGAAAAGCCGACCAGCCTCGGCAGTCGGCGTTTCACAGAAAGGCTCCACCACTGCTGGCGTGCAGGGCTCCACATTTTCGGAACTGCATCTTGTGCAGCACGCCTTGCAGAGGGAAATGCGGGGGGAGGAGAAGTTTACGAGCCTTGTGCAGGCCCCCCTCTGCCCTTCCACCGCGACGCTCACATCGTTCCTGGCCGCGGCGGTGACCCAGAAGGGACTGCATCGGCGGGTGTTGGCGCAGGTTGGGAGCAGCGAACCCGCGCAGGGAGTTCAGAAAGCGTCGGGGAAGAGTGCCACCCTTGCTGCTTCGACAGGCGCCGCCACCGCCTCTTCTTCTTCTTCGCCGTCGCCCCAGCTCGATGGGGCAGCCGAGGGCGTCGACGCGATTGAGGAGGCGCTCCGCCTTCTGCTGCATCACATCCGGCTGCAAGGTAGAACGCTCGATTCATCCACCGTAGGAGGTGGGTCGAATATGAGGAGCAGCCACCGCAGCGGTGGCGCTTCCCCGCGTCCGGGCCCACTCGCTGGGGCTGCCTCTGCTAGCGGTGTCACGAGTGGTGACGACAGCACACGTGTAAACGTGCGTGGCGAGAAGAGGGAGGGGATGGGCATTTGCGATGTGGACGGCGACTCCGACGTGGACGTTGATGATGAGGAAGAACAGACGCTGCGGATGGCTGCTGCGGAGGAAGATGTTTCGGTCTACGACCCGTCTAACGCATCGCCATCCCCAATACAGCAACGGCAGCAGCCATCGCAGGAGCACCGCGATCCTCGAAACGCGTCTTCCTCTGCGTCGTCCGGGCCGTGGGTGCGGGTGCCGGGAATCGTCTCACTCCGACAGTTCTGCGCAGACTTGCCGTGGGTGGCCGATCTCGCGGAGCAGCGCTACACCGAGGCACGCGAGCGTAAAAAACACAGCAGCAGCGGTGGCAGCGGCGGCAGTGAGGGTGGCGAAGGCGGTTACTTCAGCCGTCACGTGCAACCGGACGAAGAGGAGAAGAAGGCGGCGAGTAGAGGACAGCTGCGGCGACAGAAGGCGGCGTCGTTCATTTCATCTTTGGGTCCGTTTGGGTGCTTCTTTTCTCCTGCCTTGGCTGCTGGTGCCGCTGAGGATGGCGGGGACGATGATGAGGGCACCTCTGCAACGTCTTCTCCTGCCTCTTCTCCGAATGGCCGCGCAGAGTCGATGGTGGCTCGTGCCATGCGTCACACCGCTGCCGCTGCTGCTTCTTCAGGATCTCCGTTCCTTTCCGGCGATCAAAGCGCACACGTCAACGTCCCTCTCTCCAACGGGGACGGGGTACTTTTCGGAAGTGACGCGCCGACAGATGAGCGCACAGCGTTGGCACGAGCAGTGGTGCAGTGCCTCTCGCTCGCCGTGGATGACGCATGGCGGGACGTTGAGGAGACCGTTCTCACGCCGTTCTGCGCAGCGTCTGCGCACAGCAGGTCTGCACTCCTCAAAGACATCAACAAAAACAGTGAAGACGGCACAGAAAAGGAGACGACAGAGGAGGAGGAGGAAGAGGCCGTGTCTGCATTTCTGGAGGTGGTGCGGGTGCGCTATGCGGTGGAACTGGCCGCGCAGGTGGTCGCCGCCCGACAAGCCGTCGATCTTCTCCTTGACAGCGAGGACAGCGTGGTCTTCGATGGGGCGCGGCTGCTGACGCTCTCCCTCCACACAATGGAGCGAGCAGGGAAGGCGGAGCAGAGCGATGCAATGACGCACGAGCGAGCGACAACGTCGTCGCCTTCCTCCTCGGTGCTTCCCTGCACGGTGCTGACGGTGCCGGGCTTGGAGGAGGTTTTTTATGTCGTGGCTTACTGCACGGGTGCGGCGATGCTGCGCGAAGCAGCGGCGGCCACGGCAGGCACGTATCTCGAACCTGGAGGGCAGCCATTTGTGATCGACGTAGACGCGCAAGAGGAGACGGCTGGCGGGGACTGGGCAGATGCACCTCGTGCGATGGATTTCGCAAACGAGGAGGACACCGCCGCGCAGCATCAGGCGTCGCTGCAGGCGTGGGCTGCCGGCTTCGAGCAGCGCTTTCTCGCCCCCCTTTCCAGCTTCTCTGCGTTCACCGGTGACGGCGCGGTAGGCGCCTCGCACTCCCTCTCGCATCTCTTTCGGCTGTGGTTGTACCTGTGGAAATATGTCCTCTCCGTGCCTCTTCCAAGCACCGCGGAAGGACACGGCTGCGCTCCGCAGGCGAGCCAAGCACATGCGACGCATCGCCCACCACACGGCGGTACACCGGCGCAGTTGTTGGTGGCACCCCGCACGGCGCGCCGCTGGATCGAGAAGGTGACCATCGCCTCTCGCCTGCGCGGGTGTGCGGAGGCTAGTGTGATCGGCGCGACGGTGATGCCGGAGTCACCGCAGTGGTGCCTGCCGTCGTTCTGGACCCCGTCGGAGGCAGAGCGGGTGGTGCAACGCACGACGGCGCAGGCGCGGCAGGCGCTGTTGCGTGCGGCCGGCATGGACACATCTGCATGAGGGAAAATACACAAAAAATAATAAAAAAACAAGAAGTCATAAGTAACTCATCTGCACCTCATGTCGTCGCAGTTTCCAATGGGGTACACATACATACACACACGCACTGGACGCTGAAACTCACGAAAGAGAATGGTAAAGCTACTACACTCTTATATATATATATATATATATATATATATATATATATATATAG